AAAAAAATTCATGCTCCTTCCTTGTAACTAATCCACGCAAAAGCATAAAAATAGCACCCACACACACACACACTGGGCCGAAACACAAAAAAAGTAGCACTTATTTTTAACACGAGCTCTTTTTTTTTTTTTTTAATTCTCGTTCCCTATTTTTTTTTTTTTTTTGTCATTGCTGAGAACCAATAGGATGAATACAAGTTCCGATCTTGTATGCGTATTTTTCCATTCAGACAGCGCCCGGAAACATGGGTGAGCTTACGTTTTGAGGTTATTTACCACTCTACATCACTCAAAAGAAACCAAGAAAGAAGGGGGGGAGGGAATTAGACTTGTCTAGTTTTTCTTTTTTTTAAGGCAGTCACGTGATGGAACACGTACTATGAACAGATACAGAATATTGTTCCCGATGTTCTCTCTCTTTTTTTTTTACCGTCATTCAGCATCACACGAAAGCCACAAGGCACCGTGGATCCTTTTACCGGAGCACTTATTTCAGCCTGGTGTAACAAGTAGAATAGTAATAAATTTTGCTTACTATTTATACGCATAGAAAGGTTCTCTAATGAAAATGTCATTGTAAGAATATTTATATAGACTGTATGTTTAAAGTTGATTTCGGCTCCTTCTCCCTTTAAAGTAGCTGTTTTTTCTTTCATATCAAGATCTACTTTGGAGGTTATGAACGTCAACGGGTGGCGTGTATCGTGCTGATCACTCATTCTACTCCTTTGGGTCTTAAAACCAGACCTTTCTTTTTTTTTTTCAGGTCTAACTTTAGATCAATGCAATTTTGTAGTTAGGAATTCAAAAGAGTTTGGTATCACCAAGTCATGTTGATTCAACATAAACAGCAAGTTTAAGATATTCCCCCCAAAAAAAAAGAAAGGTTCACCTCAGTATGCTCAGTTACTTTAAAGGGCGGGGGGAGATAATATGTACACGACGTACATCGGATGCTTGCCTTTTTACAGGAGAGAAAGCACCATGCCAAAGGTAGTTATGTAATAAAAAAAGAACACATTGCGATCGACAAGTGGTTCGTAGCAAGGGAAATCTGCCCTGATTAAAAAATATCATTTATCCCATCTGTCATATCTATCAACTATATTATACGAGAACATTCATAGTTAAAAAGATGATTTAAATACCAGTGAGTAATCTAAATGTGGTATTTAAATGACCCTCACCATCTTGATGATATTATTGTCTTAACTACTCAGACATCGGACATAATCGGAAAAGTAGTTGTGGCATCATCTGTTGCTTTCAATTGGAAGAGATCTTATGGTAATCATTCTGTAATTTCCTATCATCATACTACCTGACACCTACAAATGCTCGCTCGGCATATTGCTGTACAATTCAAATGTCCGATCTCAACGTCATCATTTTTTTTTCTTCTCCTGACTATATGATTTTTTTTTCTCTCTGCTTATTTCTCTCTCTCTCTCTCCTGATTAACTTGCAAAAAAAAAACACAAAAAAAAAACATGGAGGATGTTAATGAAAGACTTTCACCCATGGACACTTCATCTCCAAGCCGAGTCTCTGGCCTTGTTGAAGAAACGGAACCCACTGTGAGTGTAGAAGAACGAGAACAACGCGAAGCAGAAAAATTAGCAGCACGAGCCAAGATCGAACAAGAAGCTCGTCAATACCTAGTGGATCAAACACAAGCGGTTACTGTACCGCCGTATGCTTCTTGGTTTGATATGCAACAGATTCATAACATTGAGCGCGTGTCGTTACCCGAATTCTTCACCCATCATAATTTATCAAAGACGGCATTGATCTATCAAGATTATCGTGATTTCATGATCAATACCTATCGTTTGAACCCCAAGGAATATTTAGCCGTAACAGCATGTCGAAGAAATTTAGCGGGTGATGTTTGTGCTATTATGCGCGTGCATGCCTTTTTAGAGCAATGGGGATTAATTAACTTTGAGGTACACATTTTTTTTTTTTTTTTTTGGTTTGAATTTAAAAAAAAAAAAAGCGCAAACGCGCACACACACACACACACCAAAACGCTAACTTGTCTAAAAAAATCTCTAGTGCGATCCTTCCACTTGGCCATCTCCCGTAGGACCACCTTTCACAGGACATTTTCGAGTGACGGCGGATACACCTCGTGGATTAGCACCCTTCAAACCAAATATTAAACCCCAAGCGAATCCGTCGACTTCTTTAGGTGGCGAAATGAATGTAGAATTACGGCAAAAGGTATTTGAGAGCAGTACAGGAAAAGATACAAAAGAATATCATTGCACTACCTGTGGAGCAGAATGTTCTCGTGAACGATATCATAGTGTCAAGACCAAGAATATGGATCTATGTTCACTTTGTTATAAGGAAGGACGATTCCCGATGACAAGTTTTAGCAGTGATTTTATTCGTTATGAACCCAGTGCGTATAAGCATGGGAGTGAGGATGAACGTGCATGGACTGATGAAGAGACCTTATTATTATTGGAGGCCATTGAATTATATGACGATGATTGGAATACCATTGCGGAATATGTGGGTACCAAGACGCGTGAACAATGTATTTTCTATTTCTTACAATTACCGATTGATGAACCTTATCGTGAGACGGAGCATCGGATGAAGCATTCGAGTGTATTAGAACATCAACGTACACCGTTTTCTCAGGCAGATAATCCTGTCATGTCTATTTTGGCGTTTTTGGCATCTGCTGTGGATCCAGAGGTCGCTTCTGCCGCTGCGGATGCGGCAATTGCATGTCAAGAACAATCGAGTAAGAAGAGAAAGGAGGACACAACAACAATGGAGGTGGAAAAGAGTGCAAAGAAACCTCGTACGGCGATTGAGAAGGCTGCTTCGGTTGCTTTGGGTTCAGCAGCGGCCAAATCAAAATCCTTGTCATTGATTGAAGAAAAGGAGATTCGACGTTTGGTTCATTCTGTGGTTGATACGGAGGTAAAGAAACTGGAACTGAAGATGAGTTATTTTGATGAATTGGAAGCTGTCTTGGAGAATGAATTGGATTCGATTACGCAACAACGAAAGGATATATTTGCGTATCGATTAAGTGTAAAGAAATCAGAAGCTTTATTGCAAGAGGAGATCATGAGACGAGGTGGGATTGAACAGGCTGTGGAAAGTGGTTGGACACCTCAGGAATTACAACAGTTTGTTCAAGGTAGTTTATTTAAAGAAGATTATCATTTAGTGGATATTTCAAATTCCAACCAAGAGGGACTTGTTCATCCAGCTACAGTCATGGATGAAGGTGGAAAACCACCACTTGCTGTCTTGTCTCTTTAAAAAAAAAAACTAATCATCCCCCCACACACACACACACACACAAACTCTTTTCTGTTTTAAAAATATACTTTATACAGTGTTTCCACCGTCACTTTACTGAAAAAATTGGTCGCTTTTATAATTTCTAAATGTGTAACATGTCAAAATGATGACTGACGCATCTCGCCTACTCCTTCCTTTGTAAATGCAACAGATGTCTCATACCTAAATAGACCAAAATTCATTGGGAACTTTTTATCGATAAATCTTAGGGCTCTAAAGATTAAGAAAAGCCAAAAAATAAAATAAAAAATAGCCTGATATGAATTTACAACTTTATTTTGACATATACAACAAATTAATCTTTTTTTTTTTTACATGTTTGCCAGTCCATTCTACTTTCGTTTTGCTTGAACTGCTTAACATAATCCACATCTGTTTTAAGGTACACTAATTTCCTTACGAAGAATATCAATAAAAGAGCTGCTGTCATTCATCATGCTTTTGGCCAAATCTGATGATTCGGGTGATGGTAGCATAGACTCTACAAATTCTTTGTTTCTTTATGTATACTTGTATTTACATGTTTGGGTGTAAAGAGCACCATCATCAGCATATGCGCGTAGGCGCTTTTTTCAAAAAGGGTGTTCAAAAGAAAAAAAAATTGAACTGTAGATTGCTTTGATCGCAAACCTCAGAAGTTGACTGCTCTGCAGCGACTTTGGTCATTGTTTGTTCTTTATCAATTGCATAGAGTGTTTGTAAAGTAAGGTCGTCTCTATATTCAGATACTAGCAATGAAAGCTTTTTTTTTTTTTTTTTTTTTTTTTTTGAAGAGAACAAGTAGGCAATCGCCACCAAAAAGGAGGGGAGAGGAACAGTCTTGGTAGCTTCCATGAATGTGTTTTGATCAAGAAATAGAACATTTTCTGCCCAGCACTTGCAAGGGATTTGCTTCATCAATAAAAAGAAGTTACCTCAAAGTCCCGAGCTGATTTCATTACGTGTTGCGTAGGTACCAAACACAACTACAATTGGCTTCACTTTGTATTCTTTCTTTTTTCGCAAATTAAGGAGTACCCCCTAAAAAGGCGGTCAACAAAATCCAGGCTAATGGTATATTGGGACCTCAATTAACACTGGTGGCAATCCCAGAGGATGTTACTGAGGCAGTATAAACAATGTCAGATTTTTGTTCCTTTGGGCCATTCAGTAGGTTTAGATGTATAAAGAGAACGAGTATTCTCATCTATACAGAAAACCAGCACTTGTATACGTTCAAGGCGTCTCTTACGGAAATGTCTAGACCTCCGTATTTTTTTTTTTTATATACCACTTACAGTAATTCTGGCTAAGACCAGAAGGCCAGTATGACTAAGTAACCTTTTTTTTTTTTTTTACTTTATCAGTTACTTTCATACGATAGAAGAAATTTGTTAAAAGAAAAGAAAAAGGAGAAGAATAAAGCGTGTGTGTGGAACCAGCTTTAATTTGTAGGATGATAAACAAGAGGCTTATGTCAGAATGATTTCATTGTTTCATCATCCCATCATGTTTGGGCCTTTACTTACAAACACTTGCAAAAAACCTCCTTCTTAAAAGGTTATTTTTAGAGCAACCCATACATAAAAAGAAATATTGCCAAGCCGTAACTTATTTAACCGGCTGCTCTGTGTGTGATTTTTTTTTTTTAGTCATAATCTTACCAATAAGCTCAGGACAAACAAAAATTTTAAATGAGCTGTATAAATGAGTAATAATAATAGATAAATAGTTTATTTGGGATAAAATTTTATAAGATAAAAAAAAAAAAAGGAAAAAAAAGGGGGAGGGGGGAGAGAGAGAACTAGGTGGTGGTGTTGAGTACATCTACGTAACGCGATCGCATGGATTTTCTAGCACCTCCACTACGTCTGGTAGCGGGTGGTGTACTAAAGGAAGGAGGAGCGGCGTTGGGAGGACCACCTGTGGAAGGTACATTGGGTGTTGAGCTGATACGTACAGGTGGCATACTGGCAGGTTTTAATCCAGCGGATGTAGGAGGTGTCATCATGGCAGCAGCAGAAGCAGGGGGAGGTGGAGGTGTATTAGTTGGAAAACTGGGTTGTGGTGTAGCAGATTTTGGAGGTGGAGGAGTCGCTGTAGTCTCAGGCTTGGCGTCATTCTAATAAAAGAGAGTTAACAAATCATATAGCTAAGGAAAAAAAAATCTAATAAAAAAAATGGACTTACAAGTTTGTTCACCCAACGCTTCTCCTTTTCATCATAGTAAAATGAACTTTGTTCACCCAAGTTGGCTTTGACAGCCTTTTTTTCTTCAGAGGTTTGTTCCTTTTCTTTACGACCGCCACCAAAGAGGGAGAAAATCCCCCAACCACCACTGGGAGCCGCAGTAGCGGATTTCTCTTCCTTTTTCTCTTCTACTTCATTGGGTTTTTCTTCTCTGGCGGTGGAACCTTCAGTCACTTTGTCTGCCTTCTTTTTAGAGTTACCAAAACCTAAATCATCATCATCATCCCATGTAGTGTTATTATGGGTGGTAGAGGGTGTATAAGCATCGGGTTCATAACTGGTGGGAGTCTCATGTTGATAAGGTTGATAGGCCGGCTGTTCTTCCTTTGTCTCGACCGTGTCCCAATGCGTGGTATGACTTTGGGATGGTGTGTAACCCTCCTGATGATGATGATGTTGGAAAGGTGAGTGAACACCTGTATGGGTGAAAGGTTGTTGCTGTTGTTGTTGTTGGAAAGGTGAGGTCACGGCTGAGTTTTGGAAAGGCGAGGATTGGATCCCTTCCGCTTGTGATGGCGATGGCGCGTAACTTGTGTGATCAGGTTCAGTGTAACCACCTCCATAGCTATAACCATAATTGAACCCATTGTCTACTTGTTGATCCGATGTGACTTGTCCGGTCGTATCATCTGATTTTTTAAGAATAATGCATGTGAGTTCTGAGTTTTTTCTGTCATTTCTTTCATTATTTTTTACCGTAAGCATATGAGGAGGTACCCAGATAAGTGGGATCTGGATGACGACTTTGAATTTTGTCTGTGATTGTCTTTATCAAGGAATCAAAAGTAGCCTTGTTTAGTAACGATGTAACACTACTTTTTTTTGGGGGGGATGTTTGTTAGCTCAAAGGAAAAAAAAAAAAAAAAAAGAATCGAGATTTCCGATAAGTTTTTATGTATACCTGTCTGTCACTGTATCACGAATTTCGTTAAATCCGGTGATCTCTTCCAAAGTAAGACTATCGGCCAAAGCATCAGAGTAAATGGCAGCTTCTTGTGTCATGTCCAATTCAATCAACCACCAAGCGAGCATGAGCTTGTATTGAGGTAATTGAATCTTGCAAGCGTATTCGTAGAATTCTGTAAGGTATAAAGCGTCTAAATCCGTCTTGTCTTCCGTCGAAAAGATCCCGCCTAGACCTTTTATCGTATCAGGTGACAACATGTAACTATGGTTTCAAAAAAAAAAAAAAGGTTAAGTTTTTTTTTTTTTTTTTTTGTACTGGCACCCGGATCAATTTAAACACGTTGCTTACCAGATAAATGCATTGGTAGGGAAACCTGCTGTCTTTAATTGATGACCTAATTCGGAAATAGCTTCAGAATCATTGGAGGAACGATTAAGCAAGATCAAGGACAAAGCCTTTTTCCAATCTGGAAGGGAATCCTCCGAAAAGTGTGTGGCAGGATGATCTGTTACTGAATTTCTCGTAAGCTGACTCACTAAACAGAAAAAAGAAAAAAAAAATTAAGACGGATGAAAAAAAAAATTGTCATGAGATTGGTATGTGATTTTTTTTTTTTTTTTTTTACCCGCATCTGCACCAGCGCCACTGAAAATGGAATAAAGCATACGCAATTCTTTTTTATCGGCCGGAAGATGCGTAAGGGTGGATTCAGTTGAGGCAAATAGTTCTCTGTCAATAAATTTCGAGATAAGCTGCTTAAAATGATCGGGACCTTGGCTTTGACTGATGAGTAAAGCATGTGCCCATAGATCATGTTCCGTAGCAAATTGACAGGCTCCCTCTCGATCTCCCTGTAATAAATAATGTTCCAGTTGATCCAAAGGCAATGATGCGTCATCCAAAGGAGTTGGGGTCACAAGTAATTGTGCGATGGATTTATCTAATTGGCCACTATCAAAGTAGTAGGAAATGGGTTAAAGAATGAGCGTATAGAAAAAAAAAAGGAGGGGGGGGGGGACTTGTTTTTAAAATATTAACTTACCCATCGCCCAAGGTTTGATCCTGATGTTGTATCATTAATTTGACAATGTTCCAAACCAAGGCCTTTTCATCATGAAATTCCGAGATACGAGAATCCATGTATTGTAAAGCGAATTGTTGTTTATCCTCTTGTGTATGATGAGACAAGATAGAGTGAGATATAAATTTCTTGAGACTTTCACGCATCGTATCCTTCTTTTCATCCAAAGCGGTACGAGGTACCACTTGATTGGTCTCGGACATGGTAAAGACACCGGGGGATAGACCAGCGGAAGGGGTGGTGGATCGGGAGATACCTGCCAAGGGACGACCGCATTCACAGCAGAATTTGGCTTTAGCCTTGTTCTCTCCTTCGCATTGAGGATCTGGGCAGGCTGTTAACATGGGACGTGGGGAGGCAATGCGTTCTGTCATGGGAGGTGGAACTGTAGCGGAACGCTCAATAGAATAAGGGTAGCCTGTAAAAGGGGATCCGTTTTGTTTACGATCGGGTTCTGTGATACTGTTGGATCGTTGTTGTGTAAATGCTTGCATGGCATTCATCCCTGCTGCTACTGGTGGTGGTGGAGAGGTCATGGATTTTCTGGACATGAGGGGTGAAGTCTGTGGATGACTTACTGTGCTCATGCTTCTTGGGGGAGCATAGGATGGTGTCTTCATGGATCTTTGCGTCGTTGGGGGTTTCTCCACAATAGCAGTGGGTTGGGTAGATGGCTCATGTGCTGGCTCGGTTTTGGGAGGCGCATGCATGGATCGATCATGTTGTTGAGGCGTATATACGTCGGTGGGCTGAGGTGTATAAGAAGAGGAATAATCCACCACTTGATCAGACGATTGAGGAACATAGGCGTCCTTCTGAGGAGCATAGGCGTCCTGTTGAGGAGCATAGGCGTCTTGTTGGGGAGCATAATCGTCCTGCTGAGGAGCATAGGCGTCGTGTTGAGGAGCATAGGCGTCTTGTTGAGGAGCATAGGCGTCTTGTTGAGGAGCATAGGCGTCTTGTTGAGGAGCATAGACGTCCTTCTGAGGAACATAAGCGTCCTGTTGAGGGGCATAGGCGTCCTCTTGAGGAACATAGGCATCCTGCTGAGGTGCATAAGCGTCCTTCTGAGGTGCATAGACATCCTGAAGAGGAGCATAAACGTTTGTTTCTTGAGGAGGAGCATACTGGAAAGCTTGGTCAGCATGATGATCCGACGACTTGTCATCTTGTTGAGGTTCATAAGACGATAAGACGGTTTCCTCAACATGTGGGTGAGTTTCGACGTGAAGGTCAGAAGGTTCTTCATACTCATTAGGGTTATTATAAACCGGATCTTTCTTGGAGGATGCAGAGACCAGACGATCTAATTCATCTTCGGCTTCGTAGAGATGCTCGTCCTTGTTGAAAGAGCTTAATACCATATGGTCTAAATCATTGAGATCGACATCGTCTGTGGGTTGATCATCGTGGACTTCTTGTAAGCCGTCTGCTTCATGCTGAGTGGTGATGGTGGGCTGTTTATTCTCCTCACTAGAAGCATCATTGACTGAATTGGATTTGGGAGGAAGCGAAATAGATTGGGGAGGACCACTGGGGGGAGGCATGGACATGGCTTTGGAAGGAGGTGGAGGATTGGCTTTAGGAGGAGGAGGTAGAGCCTGTTCCTGTTGTAAATCCTCAGCAAAGAAATCGGATGGAGTATAATCTTGTGTACCATAATGATGATGTGTTGACTCATAGTCCTCTCCTTCGATCTGAGTGACGGCGGTGACGGGAGCATAATCATCCTGTGGGTAAGCCTGATGCTGAGTGTCAATTGTTTGTTCAGATTGAATTTGAGCTGGAACTTCCGCTACTGCATTATTATTATTATTATTATTATACACCTGAGAATGAAAGAAATCTTCTTGACTGTATCCTTGAGATTCGGGTACGGGAGCATAAGCATTAGGATCGTAATTATCTTGTGTATAGACTTGTTGATCGTGAGAGGTTCCATCGGTATAACCAGCCATTGCACCAGAAGAGGCAGGTTCGGGAGCATAAGTACCACCAGTAACAGCAGCAGCAGCAGCAGCATTATTATCGGCGGTAGGTTCTACTGTGGTAGCAGGATCATAAGCTTGTTGAGCGTAATATTCAGCATACTGAGGATCGTACTGATAATCATAGGGCTGACCTTGATCATCGTAAGTATATTGACTCATATCGTATTCTTGGTTGGTATTGGGGTCGTAATAATGAAGCTGACTTTGTTCATCGTAATAATAATGTACATTGGGATCGAATTGAATCCATTGATTCGGGTCATATTCTACGGCTTGCTGATCGTAGGCTTCTTGAGGTTGACTGTAGTCTGTGGCTGAATAAGCGTTGGGGTCAAAAGCTTGGGTGAGAGAAGCGGTAGATGAGACGGGAGGGTTATGAACCTCCGGTTGAGCCAGACCATCAAAGAAAGATTCCGATGGTTGTTGTTCAAAGAAGTTTGCGGCAGACGCGTTTTGTGAATGAGTCGACGTTGTGGTTGTAGCAGTAGTCGTTTTTGGTTGAGGGGAAGAAAAAAAGATGTCAGCGGCATCTGTATTGGCTGTACCACTAGGTGTGGCGAATAAGCTAGAAGCATCCGCTAATGGTTGAACATTGGCAGTAGTAGGTGTTTTCTTTTGTTCGGTTACTACTGCTTTTCCTACTGGTGCTGGTGGGAGTTCCGAGACGGAATTCTGTTGAAGCATTTGACTAAATGGATCATCTCCAGCGGAATCCCCGAACAAGATGGAAGGATTAGGCTCTTCTTTATGAGAGGTCATGGAACTAAAAGATTAAAGTGCTGTTAGTTGATTTGATGATGAAGCCATGTCTTCCAAAACTTTACTCTTTTTTTTTTTTTTTGTTTATCAAGCACTAATTTCTATTTTCTGCTATGAATATATATATAAAAAAAAAATACACACAAAAGAATTTAAGCTAATTTCTCCCTTGAGTTTTTTTTTTTTTCTTGTTCAACAAAAACTGTAAATGTGTAAAACAAGTATGTTTTTGAGATAAAAAGGTAGTTGATTTAGCTTTTTAGTAATTTGTGGATAATCTACAGGCATTTTTCTTGTTTTTAAAACCCCACACTTTTTTTTGAGCGTACGACGATCCTTACTACTGTGGATTTGTTTCATTGGATGATAAAAAAGAACATCCTATCTCCCTTCCTCGCCCCCTTTATTAAAAAAATAAATATATAAATTATGATGAATTAATGATTTCTCCCTTATCAGCCAAGGAAGCCAGCCTTTTCATTCTTTCCGAACTTGTGAATCTTTTAGAACCACTTCTGGCTCTTGGTACGGGTGGAGCGTCTTCTTCATTTTGAATGTGTCTTAGTAGATCTTCAGCTTTGACCACCATGGATTCTGCTCTTGTTTTTCTACGTTCTCTATGTGATATTCTACGACTCTTTCTATACGAAGAAGAAGAGGCCGAACTCATTTCACCCAGACGTAATTTCTCCAATAAATTATCCACAATATCCTTTTCGTCGTTATTTTCTGCGGCTCCTACGCAAGACAATTTAATTTCACACGTCTTTTCCAGCCACCTACTTTTGATGACAAGTTACCTTCATTCATATCCAAACGCGCCTGCAATCGTGCTTTTCGCTGCTCCTGGAATTCCTTGGCCTTTTCAGCCTGTTCCGCTTTTTTCCTTTGCGCTTCAATATCGCTTTTAGCCTTGGTCCAACTGGAATTAAAGGTCTGGAAGATCCCAAAGAATTCATCCGGTTTCATGTCGGCTGGATCCTCGCCAAAGTAAGAGACAACGTCCTTGTATGCAACATCCATGGACGTATAACGCACCTCGATCTGGTCAAATTTTTCAATAGCCCGATCCCGGAATTTATACATGGTGTCTGCGTAATTATCACCGCGTGGGGGTTCGTAATCCGCGCCATAATGGTAATCCAGTTCATGAATCAACGTTTGAAGTCCTACACGTAATTCATTGTAATCCCTGATCAGATCTTGTATTGTGACTAGAGAAATGAAAGGGTAAGTTACACCGTGACAAATTATCAAAAAAAAAATCGACTTTTTTTTTTTTTACCTCGACAAGCCTCGCGACAAACTTCTAAATCATTCACAAGGTTCTCACTAATAGACGGGAACTTTTCTTCCACCATGGTACATAAAAAGTGAAGCAAAGTGGTATCGTTACTGGATGCACGGGTATCAACTAATTTATTGATACTGCTGATACGAATACCGAAAGCGCCACCTTGAAAATTCGAACCGTTTAAGAAATTACCCACCATCAGAATAAGCTTTTTTAGATGAGAGAGAGAGAAAAAAAAAAAGGTTAATTTTTTTTTTTTTTTTGGGGGGGTGTCTGAAAAAAAGAAAGACTTACGTTCAAGAGTTCCTTGAAAGGCTCTGAATCCTTAATACTGGTGGAAGCGTCCATGACATTGGTCATATTTCGGCCTAATTGAGTCACACGTTCATGGAAAGTGGATACGAATAGCATATTACCAATACGTTCTTTAAATCTATCAATGGACATGATCTATTTAAAAAAAAAAGATAAAGTTGGGTGAGTAAGTGAGTTAGGATGATTAATTCCTCCCCCCTCTCTATTAGTAGAAAAGGGGTCTTTACCTCGGCACAGAATTGATCGGGTTTGGAAAGACTGGCTAAATCCTCTTCAGAAGCCGATTTTAAAAACACGGACAATTTTCCCATTTCATCATGAGAGGGTGCATTCAGTATCAAGTTACGTAGGAGCACCTCAGTACAGAACTTTTCATCCACCATCAAGATCTTATGCTTAAATTCGGCAAACGTTAGATTTTTGCATTTGGCCAGCACCGCAATACTGATATTATACGCCTTGCGTGAATCAATGATACAGATCTCGGCTCGTTTCTCCTTCGTTACAGGTTTTGCCTTCTCAATCACACGTTGAGCAAACGCCTCCTCCATACGTTGGAAAATACCTTCCGCTTCAAGCATATCCTCTAACGCTTCGTCCATTTCTTCCGTCGTCATGTTGCGCCATACCGTAGAACCTAATGCGTTTACCGAGAGCTTCTGCCATTGCAGTTGGCGCGTTCGCATAACAGGGCGGTGGCGCAGTTGCTTGCGAAGTGTGGCTACGTTGAGGCCATCAGCGGGTGGGGCGCCGGGAGGAGGTGGTGGAGGTGGAGCACAGGGTCCTCCTGCTGTTGCTGCCCCTGGGGGAGCGGGTGGTGGAGTAGGAATACCCGTTGTACCTGGTGGTGGTGGAGGAGGGGGAGGAATACCCGCTGTGCCTGGTGGGGGAGGTGGGGGAGGAGGAGGAGGAATGCCTGCTGTACCTGGTGGTGGTGGTGGAGGTGGTGGCGGTGGTGGTGGAGGAGCAGTAGATCCATGAGGCATGTATGCACCAGATGCAGGAGGAGGTGGTGGAGGAGGAGGAGGAGGTGCATTACCAGGTAAATGTTGAGTGGAAGGGATGGGTATCGGTTGCTCTTTTGAATGATGGGTAAATGTATCCATGATACTTGATGCTAATGAAGAGATAACACTTGAATGTGAATCTCTGTTCTTGGTCGACATATCTCTACTTTTGGTGGAAATGTCTCTACTCTTGGAAGCTATATCTCTGCTCTTGGATGAGGAAGTGGGTCTTGAAGAGGGTGTGTTTTCAGTGGTGGTGGTGACGGTTACAACTTCCTGATCGAGGGGAACAGTGGGCGAGAATTCAGCATGAACATGTCTACGACGATTATTGGAACGTCTTACGGAGGAACCCATTAAAGGCATGGTACCGGGTAATACGAAATCATTGAGGCCACTACTAGAACCGAATTGACGAGCCAATTGACTCTTGAATTCTTCCGTGAGACCAAGGGCCATGGATTTGTACTTGCTTTTATCGGATTCTAGGCTGGATAATTTCTCGAGGTCATGTTGTGGTTGTGCAGATGCTTCTGTGGTGGATTTGAATTCCTTTTTGCGGCCTTCCAAGGATTCTTGAGCACGTATTCTGGCAAATGTGGTGACGAGATCTTTACGTGGGATCACAATGTCCCCTTCTAGGTTGGATTCATCGTCGCCAATCAGTTTATAGAATTCGTCTAATTGGCGTTCGGCCTTTTGTAAACTGGATTCGTATTCGTTTTGTAGATCGGTGAGTTTACGTTGGAGCGTTGAGATCGTGTGTCGAGACATTCTTAGGAGGTCTTCCAAAGACACGGTCTTTTCCTTGAGTTGTACGATTTCTAAGGCATCTAAAATGATGGGGGAAACATTAAGCAAAGAAAAAGATAAAAAACTATGTGTGTAAATGATTTACCTCCATGATGAGACAATTGTTGGCGTAGTAAATCACGCTCTTGTACGATTTCATCATAGTTTTGTTGCAAGGATTTGATATCTTGGAGAGTGGTTTTAAGTTGATCTTGATCTGCAAATTTATTAATCAAGTGTTGTACGGTCGTCGTATAATCTGCGGAGAAATCATCTGCCAACCCTTTATGATCCAAGACGACCTGAGCCACGAGATTATCAATGATTTGGTAGTACCTTGATTTCAAGCCGGATTCTTCATTGTTGACCAGCAACAAATGCTGCAGACAGCTCAAGAAGAAATCATAGCCTCGGGTACCTTCCACACTGGAAAGGATACATTCAAACACATCACGCGGGTCGTTTTGGTCACTGAGAACGTGTTCGTGGTACAGTTCCATGATTTCGTCTTGATCGTTTTCGGCCAATGTCTTGAATTCACGCACTTGGCGATCGACATGTTCGTCACATAGCTCGTTCATTTTTTCCATCACTCGTTCGAGGCCTGATACATTCATTTGGTTTCGCAAGTGGATTCTTATCTCTGGATCCTCGACAATGTTGACAATCGCATTGACCAAAATCATGTTATACAACTGCGGTTATAATGAGTGAAATGGATTGGGTCAACAACAACAACAACAACAAAAAAAATTGTAGCAAAACTTACAGCGTAGTCGGTGAGTTGGTTATCGGGAGGGCCATAAGCGGCCATTCGCTTGAAATCCTCACTAGCACCCACCATACTTCCCATACGACCACGACCTCCCAAAGTGATTTCGAGTTCGTATAACCAGGCATCAAACCTACCTAATCCTCGCTGTTTGTCACGTAATTTATCCATGGCTTTCAAGACATGATCCTGACCTACGGGTGCTTCATAATAGCACATAAAGACCAGGACTTCACAGACGAGTCGACGTGAATTGATGGATGGGGAGACGATGCAATGGACGATTTGTTCTACACATTGTGGATGTTTCATTGCTTCTCGCGCTCCCACCTAAATAATAGAGAATATTAGAAGAAAGAAGGATGTAGGGTTCCATTGTTATACTTGCTCTATTGTTTAATAGGGCTTTGAAGCATTTCAATAAATCAGCTTCGACGGATAAACTCAATTCTTGTCTAGTGAAAACAAAAAACAAAAACAAAATTATTATGATGTAAGGTAGTAGAATGATGATGATGTACCTTTGTTTGTTTTTGTTGAAGGCTTTTAATAAAGCAGTAATGACTTGTAATCCTTGCATATCGATGAATTGTCGCACCCAACTAGATCATTGTGAGAGATGAGTCAGTGTGTTATTTATAAAGTAGAGAGTGTTTATTTTACCTCAATGGCATGGTTCTAAGTCCCACAGCGAGATGTGCAACGACTTTTGTGTTGACACCTTTTGACATGTCTGATAATTTGCGAACATAATATTCGGGACCTTTGTTCTCGGTTTGATGATGATCCAATTTTTTATCGACACCTGTTCGTCTGCTGGAAGGACTGGCGACGACATTATTTTCGAATTGAATATCTTGGCCGACCATAAGCCTCTTTTTATCGATGGGGAACGATAGCATTTTTAAACGATCACTGTTACTGTTAATTCCTCTTCTTGTCTACATTAAAGAAAGAAAAAAAAAACAAGGGTGTATTGTTGTTAATTAAAAAAAAAAAAAAGGGAGAAAAGAAACCAATGGGAAATTGTATATATATATAAAAAAAAAAAGTGTACCAGCATCTTTTCGAAAAAGTCCTCTATTTCAGCTTCTGTCATGGTGTCGACGTTGGTGTATTCGGCATCGGTACTTGGTATTGAAGAAGATTGCGAGCTTCTTATGGAAGATGAGCCTTCTACTAAACGTCCTACCCCTGGACTGGGTTTATAAAAATCTTACTCGTAATTACTTTTAAAGGTTGACATACCTGATGCGTAATCGTCGTTGGGATGAAGAACAGGGCTTTTGGGTGAATGAGGCGTGTTTGTGAAAGGCGTACTAATTGTGGTTTGTATGGCAGGTTGGTCTGCCTTTTTCTTTGCCTTTGATTTTCCTCGATTGAAGAGGTCCATTTTATACTCTTTATAGATTTAAGGAAAGGAAGACGAAAAAAAAAAAAAAAAAAAGAGATGGGAAAAGAAAAGAAAGAAAAAATAGGGAGACACACACAATAAGTGTGGATACACACTTATATACACATATAAAGACACGCACACGCACACACACACACACACAACAAAATAGTCCCGCTTGAATTAGATAATTAAACTTTTTTTTTTTTTTTTTTTTTTTTTAATTCTGTTGCATTTTATCTTGCATGACATTAACAATGGCTATGAAAAAAAAGGTGAAATCAGGATCCATTGTTAGATGGTTTCTTTATGTGATTGTTTTACCTCTTAATGTGCTTTGTTTGTCAGTGATGGTCTTTTCAAGTGTACCGAGGTTCTTTTTGACATATCCAACCTTGTCATTATAAAACTTGGATGCATCTCCGACAGACTAAAAAAAAAAAATTCCCCAAAATGAGATCAGTTTATCACCCTAACCTACTAAATTTGGGTTTACCTTTTCAACGTAATAACCGGTACCGACATCCACAATAACCTTGTTCACATTGCTTAATTTACCTGGAACATAGAGGTACAAGAGGGGGTTAAGGACAATAATGATGTAAAACTGTAGTTGTCAATGGTTAGTCATTAGAAGAAAAAGGATATAGATGAAGTGAGAGGTACAAGAATAGTCTTGTCTATAGAGAAGAGAGAGAGAAAAAAAACGCGACAGTTAATATACATTGTTTCATCATTCACCCTTTTTTTTTTTATATACCATCGGCCTTTTCCACTTTGAGAGCATCTACACTTTCGGCACAGTCGGTGAAACGGCCTTGGACATTCTTGAGTTTACTGTAAGATTGGGTCAAATGGTTTAATTCCTACATGATGTTATATAAGCAAGTCGTCCCTGTGTGTGTATGTGTGGGTGGGTGGGTGTGTTACTTCTTCTAATTGACCCTTGACTTGCTGAAGAGCATTCATGTCGAGATCGGCAATGTTGACTTGTTGTTGTTGAGCCATTTTCTTGTTCGTGTTTAGTAAGAACGTGTTTTAAGAAAGAAAAGAAAAACCCCTCAGGAAACTGTTTGAATTTATAGTCAGTTTTTTTTTTTTTTTTCTCGGGTTCTTATTACGGGGTTAAGATGTGTGTAAGCAGTCCATTATGGGGGTCAATAAATAAATAAAAATAAATAATAAAAGGTTTTTGACAGGAATGTGTGTATGTACTATAATTTTTTTTTTTAATGACAAACATATTATAACAACGTTGTAGAGTGGATAGATAGAAATCAACGTGCGATGTGTATAAATAAGTTTTTTTTTTATATGGTGTAAAAAAATTGGAATTATTAAACTGTTTATTTGCTGACGACATAACCAGTTCCCTTGTATCCCTCTGAGGAGATACCAGAGATAGGGTTGGAGTTCTGGCTCTTGAGGTACTCGTTGGTAGCTTCCTCCCATTCCTTGCTGATGGTGTGAGGCTTCTCTTGACCTATGATTAAAATTGTCTTTTAATAAAAAAAAATCTCCCTTTCTTTTCTATCTCTCTCTATCCCCAATGAAAAAAAAAATATATACTTTACCACCAAGACGGATAGCGTAGAAGAGAGCACTGGAAGCAGCAAGAACACCGGCAACACCAGCAACAACCTTGGTAGCATGACCAGGCTTGGTAATGGGTGCACGGGGACCGTGAGCACCAAAGGCAATGTAGTCTGATTTAAGAAGAAAAAAATAAAAAGATTAAACAACCTGTAAGAGAGAGGAGACTTATTCTAAGACTTACAGGCAGCCTTCTTCTCATCGAGAGAGAGAGACTTCCAGTCACCCTTTTGGGCTTCTTCGAGTTGCTTGGCAATGGTGTTTTGTTCAGCGGTGGAAAGAGTGCTCCAACGAGATTCAATGTTTTGAACAGCAACATTGGAGGCATTGCGGCGTTGAACGACACGAACGGCACCAACACGGGTACGAGTAGCAACAGTACGGAGCATATTTAATAAAAAGTTTTCAAAGAGAGAGAAAAGAGAAGGGGGGGCGAGGAAGGAAAAAAAAAAATAGCAGGGCAAAGCGGTGTTTTGGCCTATCCCACTCTTTTTTTTTCTTTCTCCCATTACCCCCCGCCCAAATTTTAAATTTTTATGAACTCATACACAATTTTCCAGAGACGTCATTAAATTTTAAAACTCCGACTGTCTTCTTTTCTTTTTGGCATGTGGGAGTATCACAACCACTGTGGATGTGTCGGTAACCTCTGTATATCACCAATGCCTGAGTTAGCATTTTATGCTTTCACCTATGGGATATTTATGCCGTCTAAACAACCATCTGATTTTGCCCATAGGCCATGATTCTCAAGTAGCATGATATTCCTGCTAGTATGCCATAGAGATCTGACATCTTGTGTGACCCACTGTAATAACGATAAGGTGCGTTTATCACAAGTTTCAATTGTGTCAGTGAGTGGTACTCTACTACGTTGAAACAGTCTATTAAATCTCACTTTCGCTTGAAATAACATTATTCAGCAGCGACATAGAGACTCTCTCCATTCTAATACAGGCAAGTCGCAATGGGATAATTAAACAATTACTGGTTGAGACGCATGAAAAAAAAAAAAAAAAAAAAAAAAAAAAAAAAAAAAAAAAGAAAGACATGTAAACACCTCATCGTCCTTGGGGAGTTCTAATAGCCCTAAGAGTCGCATGTGAGATGGTATCATCATTCTGGAATTTATGACTCTTTGGAGAGACACACGGGGGGAATTTCCTTCATGAATAAGCATCAAGTGACTTGATTGGTTGTGTATTTTTAAAAGTGTGCGGAAACCCTTTTCATATGTAAATATAGAACACGGCTGACGATGAGATGATACAAAGTGCTTGGAATCCTTTCTGTTCCATACATGTGATTCTTTTAAACACTAGTGGAATACATCTACGTTGTACCTAAGTGCTACTTTATTAAATTAAGCAAAAAAAGAAGGTACTGCCCCTTTGGAAAAAAAAAAGGAACAGAAAGATGTATTTGACTTTAGCAATGTCAACCATGTGAATCAAGATCCCGCGACGGACAAGCCTTGATGAGTGATTTTTCTATCTGTGGTTCGGAAGCTGAGTTATGGGTATGAGGCTTCAGCAACATGTATTTTTAAATTGCATGCCCATTTCTAAAGCAATTAAAATGAAGAATCTTTATTGGCTCTGATATGTATGTGCCAAGTAAAGGTATCCCGTTGTACACATATATGGAGAAAAATGGGTTGCGTTTTAATCACAGTTTCTGTGACTCTTTTTTTTAAAAAAAAAAATGATGGTTGCTTTAAAAATCAATTTCATTGGTTGGGTTGGGGAAAATGATTTTTTCTTTCAGGTTCCAAACAGCTTATGTTCCTGTATGTTAATTGTTTATCCTGTATGTTAAAAAAAAAAAGAGCCAAGTAAAAAGTTTTCCCCCATTGGTTGAGAAATGCACGTCAGTTTAAAGTTATTTTAGTGCAATGATAGTGTAGAGAATTCATGCAGTACAACTATCCAAAATAAAACCTGTGTCATGGTGATGGTGATAAATTAAAAAAAAAAACAAAAAACAAACACTAGGAAAAAAAAAGTTTTTTTGTTCTTTGCTGTGTTAACATTAGATGTACAAAGGTGAGAGGGGAAGAAAGCGCGGTAAATTAAGGGGTAGAGTAAAGATAAGAGTAAAAAAGATTTATTGTTTGTTTGGTATAGAGAGGAAGTATGTATAGGTGAAGTAAGAAAAAAAGCTAGAGATTTCTGTAGATGTGTGTAGGTGTAGGTGTATGTATAGATAGTATTTAACAGGAGAGTGTTTGTTGATGCCATGAATCGTTGTTGTACAATGGTCTATTAGGTTCGGATTCGTTTTGAATGTCTATAAACTCGGGAAAGGATACATAGGTCTTTTCAAATGGAGAAAGCTTTGCATTGGCGATTTCAATGCTGGGATAAGGACCTTTTGATTCGGGTTTGAAAGATTTGACAAAGTGATTTAATAATTCACGAATGGAGGGATTGGTTGGTTGAAGCATACTGACAGATTAAATTTTTAAGAGAGAGAAAGAGAAAAACTTTTTTTTTTTTCTGGACCGTGATTTTATATTAAAAGCGGGGTTCCGGTTCACTCGTGGAGGGGTCCGGCAAAATCCACACTCCACTCCACACGTGCGTCGGCCCAATATTTTATTCATGATCGCCGGAGTTTTCTGTCTATTTTCAAAACATGTAAAAAAAAGTAGAAATAAAGGCGGGGTTTCACTGGGAAAAGCTTTCTCTTTTTGCCTACCATTGGACTTTTAGCAGTAGAGGATGAGTTGTTTCCTCAATTAAAAGAGTGTCTTTTTCTGTAAAAGAGACAGTCTGGGTATCCAGACTGTTCTCACATATGCATTGAATAGGTTACATTGTGTTTTCCTCTACCAAGTATGCGGTAACTTGGAAACTGATTAAAAAAATTCTACCATATAAGGATCCGTTCCTGGGAACAAACATCACATGTTAAATAGGTCTAGATGAAAAAAGGGCTGTTTTAGAGTAGCCCATGTCGAAATATTACCTATCAATCTTCCTACCCCAAAAAGCAATAAGTGAGGACAATAGCCACCTAATTTAAGGTTTATTGGTCTAGCCCAGCCCCCCCCCCCACTGCCAAACAAAAAAAAACGGTCCAAGTATGGAGAGTTTTAATGATGTTTGAATTATGTACTCATGTTATAAGCAACATTTTATTACCCAATGATATGAATACAAATGGTGATATTTGATAGCGAATCATTCTCGGCCTAGTTAATAAAAAAAAAACCCGATTTTGGCTTGTGGTCATAAATGATGAATATAAATTTGGCTCCAGAATCCGCATCATCTGCACTACTACTATTCTAGTATACGAAATGCAAGCCAAGTCTGTTAGAATAAGACCGGGTCTTTAAATCACTGAAAAGCAGAGAACACAAATAGAGGAGGGGCTGGGAAATTCCAAAGGCCCAACATTGTATAACCATACCCGTCATAATTCTAGCCCTTTTGTCATTGCACCCCCCCCCCCCAAAGAGAGAGAGAGAAAAAGAAAAAAACTGGCTGGGAAAGGGAAAAAAAAAAAAATGAAACAATTGGAACTGGGGGGTGTGTGTCTATTTTTAGTCACTCTCTCTTTTATTTTATTTTTTGTGTATTTTGCATAGGATTAGTCATTAAAAAGAATTTTGTTTACCCATGAATCATCCAAAATGCAAAAAAAAAAGAAGAGATCTATTATCGCTTGTGAAATGCACAAGTGGGGATTACTAAAATCGAAAGGGCCAAATATTTAATTATTTTTTTTTTTACACCAAACCCAAAAAAGGTGACCGTCGTGTAAATTACCCATTTTTGATTCAAATAAAAAATTAATCGGCAAATGTTAACAAGGCTAAAGGATCGAAGATACGTTAAGAGAAAAACACGTTTTTTTTTTTTTTGTTTATTATTATTACAATGTGGGTAGGACAATAAATGGTTAAGTTTAAATGAATTCCCGGGGGGTTGCAAAACAGTGTATTTTCGGCTACATTTTGAGGATAATTTATTTTAAACCAATAGACCAAAAATAAAAATAGGGCTATGAGGTTTTTTTTTTTTGTGCACGAGCTCCTCTTCTCACTCATTGGACTGCGTTAACTATTTATGAGACAGTGTTTTTATGATGGAAAATAAAAAGTTGACTCGGGCAAAGACAGAAGAACTGGGAGAAAATAGCTTTAAGGGCTAGGATGAGATAATATGTAACGAGTATGGGCTTGCGCACAACAAATTACAGGAAATAAGGGCTTTTCTACTTGGCTTGTAACATACCTACATTCGCACGAAAATGAACAATATGAATTTTTACTTGGTTAAGCTGACTTTCACATTTGAATGAGGCTACCGTTGAACATAGACCTTATAGATTTGTCTTTGCAAAGATACTCGAAATCATCTTCCGTTGGACCACAAGACACACTGAACTTGAGTCTAAACAGTGAGTCTGAAATGATCCATCACTACCACCACCCGTGTCTACAAGTTGTTGGGTTTCACTTGTTGTTACCCTTCTCGTTGTAAGTGACTATTTTCTGCTCTCGTGAAATGAGCGGTCTGGCGTTTTAAGAGGTGTCATTGTTATACTGTTTTGAGCTTTTAGGTAGAAAAAGATTTGCTGATCTCTTCTGCCCACTCAGTCTTCACTCTTCATACTGACCTCTTGTTTGTAACACTTGGGTGTTGTTGAGTTGCAACTTTAGTCTAAGGTAAAAAGTAATTTCCAATAGTAGTGCACGTTCTTTGTTGAATTGTTCCGTGAATGTTTGTTGTCTCTCATTGGAGAGATTATCAGTCATAATTACTCCACGATGTATGGCTTAGAAAGATATGAGGGGGGGGGGACAAGTTTTATCATATTAAACGTGGCTCAGATTGTATCTATCATTGAGATACGACAAACAATGTTCTATTTTTAATATCGCTGTCTCTTATTATCTTTTACTGGTTAAATTCTTTTCTTTTTGGCGTGGCTCAAAGAGACAATTAAAAGAACGTAAGCAACTGTATTTAGACGGTTCTTTAGTACAAGAATCTCTGTTTTTTATTACTGATTGGTGGTGCGCCTGTTATATCAAACTATATTACATTGGTTATGTAAACATACCAGCTGAATTAGCCTAAAAAGGGATGATAAGGACGAGGTGTAGCTACTAAATTGCTGTTTTGTTTGTCTGTGAGTATGTTTGCTGATATATTACGTAGTTTTTGATTTTTGAAAGCTTCTTCCCCGAAATATAAGTCGACGCTTTTGAGAATTCATCAATTGACTCTGTGGGAAAAGAGGTCTGAAATAAGGAGATGAAAAAGATTTACTCTTTAAATGTGTTGGTATCTCAGTGTACGTTAGACCGAAAGTCGACCCAGACGCATTGATTCTTTATAGCAGCCAAGTAGTTTAAATCACTGAACTTGTTCCATGTATTTTTTTTTTTTTTTTTTTTTGTGCTCTCACTATCAAAGCTTGGGAAATCTTGAAAGGTCTTAAAAATTTTTTAGGGCTGCCCTTGAACATGCATATGTCTTTGTGATGTATGATTCAAAAAGTGTTGCTATCATTCATGGTAATATATGATTAAAATCTGTTGGCGCATTGTTGTTGGAAGATGGAACTGGTTGATTAGTTAAATTAGCAAGGTAATTATTTACAGATTTAATAAAGTAGAATAAATGGTAGAAATTCAAGAATAAATCGTTTAACCCAGTTTTTCCTTTGATCACTCTAATGTATATCTTTTTTTCGAGCACTGACTATCATATATCCTATTCATTGTTTTGAGCTCGTCAATGATAGTACGAAGTCCGCCTAGTTCTATTATTTTTTAGAGTGACATCAAATGAAATGACTTTTTTCATGATGGTAATACCTTTTGGTAATGAAGCTGAGCATATACAAATGAACAGTGCATCTAAAAGGCTAGAGCTTTTTTCCCGTGTATGGATTGTATTATAAATTTCTAACCAACTTCTCGTAAAGAACATACTTTTCTTGACGTATTTTTAATTACCAGTGACCAGTTATAGTTTTCTTATTTACTCAAGCCGCATGAGATAGCTTTTTTGGAAGATCCAAATTATTTTAAATCCCGATCGATGATTTGCAAAAATGGTACATGGTAATCTCAAAAAAAAAAAAAACGAGCTTTTTATGTGGATGGAGGAATACTCCCATTGTAACGTATTTGCCGAAAACACAGAAATACAATTAGAATAACAGGTTTTCCCTGCTTAGTTACTCGAGAACAGAGTAAGAAAATGAAGCTGCATTTAGCTACTTGTAACTTTTATTAAGGGATTTATTGTCTAAAAAAAAAAAACGTTTACCAAATAAAAAAAAAAGTTTATTGTCTGCCTGCATTGAGTTGTGTGAGAGGGAGAGAGAGAGAAAAGAAAGCAGTAGTGATGCACGATATATTTTTATTTATCTAAAACGATGTTTACGATAATATTCATGCACACTTGGAATTATTTGGACCGATGATAATGGATGGCCCTTTTTTTTGTTGTTGCTCATAAGGAATGGTAAGTGAGTGTATATAAAAATGAATTTTAATTGGGGGGAAAGTGTGTATTGAAGTAAAAGAAGAAGATAAAGGTTACTGGGGGGAGAGCAACAGATAAAAGGTATGCGCACTTTTATAAAGATGACCAATAAAGAGGGTAACAAACAGTAAAAAAAAAAATTGATTTGCCTAACAATCATGGAATTAAAATCGTTGCATTCCCCGGTTTTTTAACTTTCTTTTGTCTTTTTTTTTTTTCTATATCTTTTTACCCCTTTTTTATATATATATATATTCTTATTATCCCTTTATTGTATAGCTATTTCCCTCAGGAAACCCCCTTGCATTTTTTAGCTCTGAATATATATATCTTATGTATATAAAAACTTAACGTAACAAAGCGACATCACATCTTCTTTTCCTTTTTCTTTTTCTTAAAAAAAAAAAGAAATGACTGAAAACGGAATCCTATTTTACACCACCTATGAACATGAAAACATCATACTTGTACCATCGATATCAGAAACGATATTAAATAAACCACAGCCACCTACACCCATCCAATCCCTTGATGACGATTTATTTTATAGACTTCAAAAAGAAAATGCTCGTTTACCGCCCCAAGTAATAATCCATTTTTTTTTTAAAGAAAAATAAAAGAGAGAGAGAGAGAGAGAGAGTTCATTAAAAAAAAATGAACTCTACAACCCAAACAGAGCATCCCCCCGCGCGCACCTCCTTTTTATTAAAAATAATAATAAAAATAAACTCCTTTTTTTATATGTAGGATTCCACAGCATTTATATTAGCACAAATCGAACGGCAAAATGTGCTGTTAGAGAAAGACCCTAAATCAATTTATATTCAATCAAATGAATTAAAAGCTCACTTTTCAACAGTGCAGCGGCTGGTCAGGGACAATATTGATGATGATGAGGATGAAGAAGAAATCGATTGGGGGTTTTGGGAAGCTGTCATTCAAGACTCCGATCAAGTGGCGCTCAAGCTACCCCACTTACTCTCGCTGAAGCTGAGGTCAGGCATCCCCACGCGTGTCAGAGGCCTGATGTGGCAAGCCATGTCAAAATCAGCTTCGTTGCATCTGGAAAAGGTATATGAACAATTATGTAAAGAGAAATCCCCCCATGAAAGAATCATACAGCGAGATCTAGCAAGAACCTTTCCACGCATAGACATGTTTAAGCAAGAAAATGGTCAAGGCCAGAGTTCCATGAAACGCATTTTGGAATCCTATAGTTTGTATGATGCAGAAGTGGGGTACTGTCAAGGTCTGGCTTTTTTAGTGGGTCCGCTTTTAATGAATGTAAAGAAAAAAAAAAGAGTCTTTTAAAAAAAAACATTCATGAACCTAATGGGCTTTCCATTCCCAAATAGATGCCAGAAGCTCAATCGTTTTGTGTATTTGTCAGGTAAATGACCTCTCACGGGGGAAAAAAAACAGACATTGATTTTTTTTATTTTTTATGCTAATGTCCTGACATATAGACTAATGGAAACATATGAAATGAGGTCCATGTTTACTTTAAACATGGAAGGTCTACAACTTCGACTCTATCAATTTTCCAGCCTATTGAACGAAATTCTACCCGAACTAGCGCAACATGTATCTAATTTTGGAGTTCATGCCGCCATGTATGCTTCACAATGGTTTCTGACCCTCTTTGCCTATGTTTTCCCCATCAACTTGGTGACCCGAATTTATGATATTATATTTGCAGAGGGAGCAGCTGAAACCATCATGCGGGTAGCGATCGCCATGTTAAAGCGATCGCAGAGCACGATTCTTGAGTTTCATGAATTTGAAGATATACTTGATTTTGTCACGACCAAGAAGTTATGTGCACCGTATGAAGAGAATTATACCAATGTAGTACGGGATGCGATGGCACTTTCGGATATGATCAGTCGGGACAAGATGGATGCACTTGCAATTGAGTATGAACATCACTCGACGCACAAGATGCTGGAACACCCGTTGGAAACAGGACGGTTTGGATTTTGGAAGCGAAAGGGCAACAGTAATAAGAAGCCTGATATGAGAAGATCTGCAAGTAGTCAGGATAGTAACATCACGGCAATTGCAGCGCCACCCGTGATGCTAAAGAAACGTTGGTCGTCTGTGTCCTCTCGCAAAGATTGGTCTTACCGCACGACGACAACGACGCATATTAGTAGCGAGGAGGAGAATGCTGCTAAAATGCAGGATTTGAAGTTACAGCATCAAAAGACCTTGAATGAATTATTGGAAATGAAGTATGATAAGCAAGACTTGGAATGTGAACGAGATGCACTCAAACTCACGATTCTTGAATTGGAACGGTGTCATCTCTATAAGAGAAGCAACATGACCACCGACAGCAATCAAACATCGTTGGAAGCATCTGCCCGACTATTTGATTGTGATAATTCAGCTGACTTGGAAGGCACAAGGTCCTTTAGTGATTTGGCGGTAGCAAGTAAAGAAGAAGAGAATATCAACATCATCAGTCGCCAAAACTCTATCCATCATTCCATGCTCAGTAGTAGTAGTCAAAGTTATACAACGACCGAATTTGACGACGATGATCAAATCTCTTTATCATTGACAACAACCACAGTTCCTATCTTTAGTGATGAAGACGAACTTTCTTCTCAGATTGTGCATTTAAAGGTTAAAAATTTCGAGCTGGAGCAACACGTGGAAAAATTAAATGGTGATGTAGAAGCAATCACCTCCAAGTTTGATATGGTGAATGAAGGCCACATGGGTCTAGTTGAACAGCTTGTCTGTTTAAAGTCTGAAATGGAGGAATGTGCCCTAGAGGCGGGGAAAAAGGAGGAGACACTAAAAAAGATAACGGATGAAAACGAGCAATTAAAAGAAGAGCTTGAGATGATGAAAAAATCACTGACTTATTGTCGCATCGAAAACGGAGTTTTAAATCAAGATTTAGAAATGCTGAAGCAAGGCATGTTTTTTAAACCATCTGTGGTGAATGGAGGTGAATCAATGGGCGGTGGTCGTCATCGCATCCGTCGTCATAGTACAGCGTCGTCTTCTATGCTGACACTGCTCCGAGATCAGCGCATGCATCAATTAGAGCAATCTTTGACAGCTGCAAACATTAAAATGGCAGAACATGAGTTCTCTAAACAACAAGAAGAATTTGGTAAAAAGAAGTCCTCCATTTATGGGCGTGTTCTACATGCTATCAAATACAGTAGCTGATAAAATACTTAATTATGCTTACGATATAAAAAAAAAAAAAAATCAATTTCTATACGTGTGTATGTTACACGAATGGGGAAACATATTTTACCTTTTAGTTTCGCACGCCTAATGTTTTAGTCATACGCTTTTTTTTTTTTTTTTTTATTATTATTCTTTTGCTAATCATCCATCTGCAACCATGTCCGGAAGTCAAAAACGGATTTCTCTCATTGCCTCTCATTTGGCAACATCGAGCGTCCAAAGTCGAACGTTGACTACACAGGCTGTCAAGGAAACCTTTAGAAAGCGTCAGGATTATAAATATTTCCTACCCATACAGTCTAGGTAAATATGATAACTTTTTTTTTTTAATGGGTGGTTGTTCCAAGATAATAATGGAAGGGGGATAGATGGAGTGATAATGATTGCTATGGACATATCAACAATTCGATCTATTACCATTATTTTGATACGATTATCAATGAATATTTGATTCGTAAGTGTGGACTTGAACCGGGCAGTCAAACGAAGCCGATTGGACTGGTGGTTGCCAGCCACGCTAATTTTTATGCATCTGCCTCCTATCCTAATCTGATCATGGCGGGACTTGCGGTTTCGAAGCTTGGCAAATCCAGTGTTACTTACAGAGTCGGTATCTTTGAGTCGGAAAATCCTTTGGCATGTGTGGTGGGTGGATTTACGCATGTGTTTGTGAATAATGGAGATAGACGGCCCGTCACACAGCTTCCTGAAGAAATCATCACTGGTGTCAAAGACATAGCGGAATAAAAAAGTTTTATTTTTATTTTTTGTAATTAAAAAAAAAAAAAGAGAGAGAGAGAATAATGTTACAAATAGTGAGAGAAAAAATTACGGAGTCTTTAAAAAGAGGAAGTTTTTTTTTTTGGCGGGGAGATAGGTATATGAAATGTGTGTAGGAAATATTAATACTTAAAGCTTCTTTTCTTCAACAGGACTACTTTAGAAAAAGAGAGAGATTAGTTTGACTAGTAACAGAAAAAAAGGGGGGGATTTGTGAGACATACCTAGCCTTTGGTTTTCTTTTTAATTCATCACCATCATTTTCATCTTCGTCATCACTACGAGGATCATCGGTACCACTTCCTGTGAACAACCTTGTAATAACCTTTACAATCATCATGAACCAATAGAACATGATGATATTCAATAAAACTAACGAAGTAACAAACATCTTTTGAACGTTGGGTGTGAAATACTTTCCCTCGGCAGGGTTCCAATCCAATGAAAAATAACGAGCAGGTTCAACTAGATTTAAGAATTAGTTTTGCATGATTCACCCTCCATGTGTCCCCCCGCCACCCCTTAAACTAAAACATCCATTTACCTGCAACACTCCAGGTGACAATTGAGAAGAAAACATGACGTGTGATGGGCCATGCTACAGCGAAAAGACCAAAAGCAATATCACATACATTGGTGAATCCAAGGTATTTCAAGATTTTGGCGAGCTAAGAAGAAAAGGAAATAATTAGAATCCTATCCGTATTTAGAAAGAAAAAAAAATACCCCTCCCGCGCGGGCTGCCGCAAAAACCCAATCTCCCTTTTTTTTTTTTTTTTTTTTGTTATACTTACAGATAAAAAGATATCACAAAGATCCATACAACAAAGAACACCATTACCAACACGAGTGAGGTTGACATAGTAACTTGATCCAACAAGCCAGATGGTAATGATGTGATGACTGAGCATCGCAATATGATCCTTTCTACGCTTTTCGGTGTGAAGACCATAAATTTGTTGGAACCAGAAAGCAAGTTGCATCAAGTAATAATATTTCATGTCTCGAGAAATAAGGATGTGAGGATAATCAATCCAGTATTGGGAAGTGTTGAGCCAATGAGGGTTGCAATACATAACGTACTATGGGTTACCAGGGGGGGATTACAATGAGTCTTGGGTGTTATTTATTATTATTACTACTGAAAAAAAACTTACCAAGCCAGCAGCACCAAACACCACGTAATAAGCGAAAATATAAATTTGTTCAGCTACTCGTTGTCTTTTGGAAGGATCGGCAATGTTGAAATAATTGGCAAGGGGAAGATAACCGTATTTGATAAAGGATGCACGAAGAAAAGTAAACATGATTGTCCAGAAGAATACGAAATAAGCATCACCCACGCCTTTATCGAATTTGTCTGGGGAAACTTCATATGAAATGAATAAAAATTGGCTAGCAATAGGATATCCAAGTAAATGATAGATGATGACACTTAAAACAATTGAACCAGAGAACTCTGTGTGAAATTACGAAGGGGGTTACTTATTTGATCTATCACACACAAAAAGAAAAAAAAAGGGATACGTTACCTGCTTCATACTGTAATAATGTGTTCTGGAGAACTTGGTATTTAGAGAGTGTAGGAGCCACTCTCTTTTTTTCTTTGGTCTCGTTCTTCATACGGGGAAAAAAAAAAGTACAACACAAGAGAAAAGAAGAAAAGAAAAAAAATAGAAACCCCTCCTTTTATATATATATACCAGCCGAAAAAAAAAAAATTAAAATGAGCTGGTTTTTGGGTTTAAAGTGTGGTGAAATAGATATCAAGGAAAGGTCTAAAAATATTCTAAAATCCTCCAGAAATTGAAACTCCAATACCCGGGTTTGGAAAAAAAACAATGTTTAATTACATTTCAGAATAAAGTTGCTTCTTTAGGGAACTCTTGTAACCACTGAATCCCATTACGTACAGATCTTTTGACCATAGTAAGCGATTTTTTCTCCCCCTGTTTTTTACACAAAAAGGCCATGAACAGAAATCCTCTTTTATGGTGCATTACACAAAATCAGAATAGTGTCCCATGTGTGTGCGTGTATAGATTGGCAGATCAGTGTAATACCCCCCCCCCCACTTCAGCTACTATGTTGCCTTCTACCCGTACCTTTTTTCTCTTTTTTTAATTGGGGGCTGACTCCATAGTTTAAATGTATTTGATTTACTTGGCAAAATTCCAAGCTTAATCTTATCGGTGCCCTTTTTTGTCTTACACTAGAATATTAGTGTAACGATGGCCAATAGAAGGACTCCAATCCAGCAGAAACTCTTCTTTTTTGATTTGATCTGTTTTATGTTCCTGTATAAATCAAGCCGACAAAATATATTTATAAAAATAAGCTTTTTTTTTTTTGCGAGATGTGTAAGCATCTTATGGAGTCTCACAGAGTACAAAAAGGAGATTAATTCATTGGTTTGATCCCAGTGATGTAATACAAATTAGACCTTCCGTGGTATCATCATATAAAGACGAACACTTTTTTTTTCTTTCTATTTGAAATGAAACAAATCCCTACAATTTCAAAACCGGAGCTCTGGTTTCTTCTTTTGGCAAAAGAACACCCCTTTTGATTCGTTATGATGAAACTGATGCAAGACCTAAAAAAAAAAAAAATTCGGCCGCCTTTTTATCCTCATCCACTGAGCAATGGGGAAAGGCTTTGTGGAAAAAAAAAAAACTTTAAAAAGTACATTTATCTTCATCCCCTCGTTACCTCACATCGACCCTTCACATCGAACCTGTTCGTTATTACTTGCAAAAAAAAAAAGGCTCGTTCTAGGCAAGAAACCTTTCATTGGCTGATCTATACCGGTACGGAGCGAGAAAAGAATAACTGAAAAAAAGAGGGTTTAAAAAATAGCACGTCACACATTTTAGCTTCCGTTAATTTGGCTCTAAAGAGGCTAAAGAAATGACAGGCTCCTTTTAGTTTTTTAAAAAAAAAAAAGCTTATTTCTGAATGACATAATCGATGTTGGATCCATCTTTTATGAGCGTGATAAATGAATAGGCACCTTTTAGGAAAGATTAGGGGACTTTTTTTTTGTAATTGTTATAACGTTTAGGTGTAAAATTAAACGGGGAAAACATTACCATTGTAAAAAAAAAAAAATTAGGTTTTACGCTTATTTAGCATGATTCTTATCACATTTGTCTGCGGGGGTCGATCGGATTATCTTTCCCCTCTAAAAAAAACAAATGTAATGCGCAAAACCATCTGGATATTCGTACGGGAAATCATACATGAAAGAATTCGCATCAAACTATCTTCGTCACAAGCGCATTGATGATATAATAGAACGAATTCCCCGGATATCTTTAGCGGCTTTGTTACTAACAATCAAACATGTTGGCCCTAAATGTTATTTTATTTCTGGATGGAAATTAGATAACATTGACTAGATATGTGTCTCCAACAATTCGACAATCTCACGCGTTATTATCGTTTTGATATCGCTTTTCTTAGGGACAGCCAAATTTTCCTTAGGGACAGCCAAAGTGCACGTAGTCGCAACGCAAGATCTCTGATTTGGATGTTCTATAGACCTGGGAACAAGGATATACAATCAAAAACAATGTAACAATTACGAATAAATGTATATTAAACAATTTATACTTATTTTGACAATTCTATCATCACTCTTTCGCCTTTAAGCTCGTTTGATCTTAATCTTACGCAGACATATTAAGGTAAAGTCCAAACGAGAAGCTGAAAGTAAGCTGTAAACCACATATACTGGTTTACAATATGTTCGTTGTAATAAATGTGTATATATTTCAAGCTGTTAAGTTGCATTGACCTCTTGATGTCTATAAAAGTATCATAATCCCAACATTACGACTACGCGCACCCTGGCTGTCCCTAAGAGACCCGTTTTGATATTTGTGGCATTTCAACGGTTTTTATCTGTGTAAAAGCCATAGTGTTGACTTTTCTGCCATGAAGAGCTTCTGTATGTTCTTGCTGCTGGAGTCTTGAAAAAAAAACCTATTAGAATAGCTTGCCTGAATTGTAAACCTGTCACTTCTATGGTTGGGGTCTGAGTATGTTATACAAAAAGCCCAAGACCCGGGCTGATATTTACCATATATGGAATGAATGGAGACTTCAATAGACAGGAATCTAATACAATTCTTTTAAAAGTGTGCTAAAATCCCCTTCCAAGAAGGAAGTAAAGGGTAAGAGACGGAAAAGATGAAAAGTGTAGTGGCGACAAGGGGGCAGAGAATAGTGCACGTAGTTACTGCCCACAGATCGGGTATCTTGGCTGTCCCTTTGGACTCGGGAAAGAAGAATATGCAATTTAAAACTAAATGTGATACTTGTATTGACCAATATATATAGCTATTTTGACAATTGAATTACTACTTGTCTAACCCTTGTGCTCTTTTCATTTTCACCTTGGGGGCAGAAGTGATCGTAGACTAAAGAATAGGCGGATATAAGAATAGAAGCATATTTATATCGTGCGAACATTTTTTTATAATATAAAACAGTAAATCACATCGGCTTAGATATTGGTAAGATATCTTGCATCAGGACTAAGCGCACTCTAGTTGTCCCTTGGAGGACTGATCTGAGACCTCTTCAAACAACCTGAAAGAGAGACCCGACCTAGAAAGAGGCACTATGTACAACATAGGATGTCATGAATCGAAATCAAATAAACCTTTTCCATGCTGAGAAGAAAAAAGTCCTGTACTCGGTTACCCATGAGTTCTATTGCGATTTTTAATAAGAAATGAGTCAAAGAATGATAAAAAGGCCAAATCTTGCTACATTTAAATTGATCATGCACACCTGTTTCAAATCACTATATTACTACAAATAGCTATCATGTAGTTTAATGATTATAAGCCTAATTCTCAAGGATACACGCTAATCGAGAAAAGTGTGATTTGGGGGATGTTCGGGTTGCTTTTTTGTGTATCTCAAAAACAAGTATCCGATTACCACTTGACACTTTATATAAACAAGTATCTAGACTACTTTTTGTGGTGCGACCTGATGATGATGATCATACAAGGTAAAAAAAAAAAAAAAATGAATGCATACTGCAAACCGAAACGAAAAGCAAATTCAGTGCATCAAGGATAAACTCCGCGAAGGGGTGGGGTGGGTTGGGTGGGGGGAAGGCGAAGCGACTTACATCTTTTGGGCTTTCCAATTTTGCTGACGTGTTTTTTGTTTAATAAAGCTATTTTTAGTAGCAAAGTAATTTCAACGAAAAACTTGTTTTTGCATAAGTAGTTTTCAAATATGGATATAAAGAGAGAGGATAGAGAGAGAGCAAAGAAGATGATTATGACCTGAATTTGTATCAAGAAAAACATCAGACGATGTAGACATTGTTGAGGGAACTGTCTCAATAAATAGTAATGTTTGGCTGATTAGTGTAACTTTTTTATACTCTGTCATGTGGCACGAGAAGGGTGCGTGTAAACAGGCTCCGGTAGACTTAGTTTTTCGGAAGCAGCGAAAAAAAAAATTAAATTTTCTTCTTTTACTTTCTATCTTTTTTTTCTTCTTGAATTCAATCTTATAATCATGTCTTGGCAATCATATGTTGACAATAACCTCGTTGGTACCGGTTACGTTTCTCAAGCTGGTATTTATGGTTTGAACGGTGGTGGTGTCTGGGCCGCTTCTTCTGGCTTCACCGTAAGTTATTATTTGTTATTTTTTTTTAAGGGGGGGTCAAGATGGAGAAGGACTAATCTGTATTTTCTTGCGAACAGGTCCAAGCTAATGAGATTCAAGAAATTATCTCTGGCTTCACCAAAGCCGATCACATTCTTGCCTCTGGTATCCATATCAACGGTACCAAGTATCTTACTTTAAGTGCCAACGAACGTTCTATTTACGGAAAGAAGGTATGTGTATATGTAGAAAAAAAAAAGGTAAACAAAAAAGTAACAGAATACTTAACACCTTTCACTTTAGGGTTCCACTGGTGTTTGTATCGTCAAGACCACCCAAGCCGTTTTGGTTGCTCTTTATGACGATAAGATTCAACCTGGTGCCTGTACTAAGGTCGTCGAATCTTTAGCTGATTATTTGATTTCAGTTGGCTACGTAAGTAATAATTTTCTCGTGTTTTTGACATGTTCTCTTAACCTTGTGTTTTTTTTTATTATGTAGTAACATGTATATCAAAAACTAAAGTAAATAAAAAAAAAAGCATGGCAGGAGGAGGGGACATCTTCTTTTTGTTTGTTATTTTATGACTAGATATATCAAGTGTACTTTGTCCCCTCTCACTCTTCAATACCAATAAAATCCCCCATTTTTTTTTTATTATTATTATATGTGAAGCGTGCTGTATGTCTATTAAAAAATCAATCTTTAAAGTCAGACCTTCCATTTCGTCATGTAAATTAAAACTCACTTAAATGCGTTCTCTTCTCTCGGGTTCACAAAGTATTCAACCGAGATGGTAAAAGGTAAGTTGGAAATAGGGAATGCCTTAAAAACCCTCCAACCAACCTCCACCCTATACACCTCTTAGTTTTGATTCTTGGTGCAGGTTATGGTACTAGACTTCAGCGTGACTTGAAGGCTTCTGCCCAATATAAACATTTGTTGGGCGTTCCTAAAGCTTTGTTACCTCTTGGTAATCGAGATGCTCTCATTACTCATTGGGTTGAACTCTTTGACAGACACGGCATAACGGCAAGAAAAGACATTTTCGTTGTCACAAACGGACAATGTTACGAAGCATTCAAGGTTTGGGCCACTGCTAATGGCGTTCCCCTTGACCATATTGTAAGTGACGGAACAGACTCCAATGAAACTCGTCTCGGTGCGGTGCCTGATATTTTATTTGGCATTCAACATTTTGGCTTGGATCAATCGGATGTGCTCGTAGTTGGCGGTGATACTTTGTTCTTGCATGATTTCAACCTGAGTCAATTCTTGGAAAAGTTTAATTCTTTAAACGAAAAGAGCTGTCTTGTAACAACCTATTTGGTACCCGATGAAGAGGTTCATAAATTTGGTATTGTAGAAACTGATCGAGAAGGCGTTATCACAAGTTTCTTGGAGAAACCTGATCCTTCCGCTACTAAAGCACGTACTGCATGTCCCTGCTTTTACTTGTTCCACCGTGAAGCTATACCCTTGATTGAAGAGTTTATCCATGCTTGTAAAGAAGCCAATGCGCCAAAGGAAGCATACGATGCAACAGGAAAATGTCTTGCTTACCTCTATCCTCGTTTTAAGGTTTCAACTTTTTCTATCTCAGGTCGTATCGATGTGGGTGGATTGCAGTCCTATATCGATGCCAATGTCTACTTTGACAAGAAAACAGATTAAATAACACTCGCGTATTTATTTTAGATATAAAATAAAAAATTACTTTTTATTATTATTATTATTGTACAGTAAAAAATGAATTAGTCGTCATCGCTTTCTCCCGTTGGATCAGGATAACTTATGGCACCAAAGAGATTGTATAGACGTTCACTAATTTTAAGGGCCCATCGACGTCTACCAATCTCATGTTGCGTTGCTTCCTTTGCCAGAATTTTACCTTGTTGTGGGGTTTTACCATTGTATGCCTTCAACAAAGCGTTCGGGGTAGGGTATATCTTAATCAGTGATAGTGCACGTTCAGCATTCACTCCCTGAATCGTTGATAACATGCGTATAAAAATCTCATGAACAGTGGTACCACCGTTCTTCGTATTGAGTTGACTGAACATGGGGTATGTAATTAAATAAGCAGATTTTTCGGTGACATGGCGGTTCGATTTATCTTTACAGGCCTTCTTTAAGCTTAGGTAATTTTGACGTGTAATGATGTGACCTGGGATAGTGTAAAGTACTGTATTCTTGTAGATCTGGTGAATCAATTTGGTAACCGAGACAAAGAACGCGATGGTCTCATCTACGCCTTCCGTTGTCTTTAAGAAAAAGCCATCAATGATCTGAAGAGAAGACATGGCGGTTTGAACAGCCTGTACACCAAAATTGACAGCATCAGCACGATTGTATTCCTCCACAACATACATGACTTTTTCCGCACCGGATCGTTTGAGTCGCGTTTTTTGCTCAGTATATCGACCGTCTTTGATACTGCTAACAAGATCGTCCAGTCTTTTTCTCTCAACCACATAATCAAGAAACAGCTCTTCGTTCTGATTAGTGTTGCCGATTTTCCTTGCTATCCAGATCACATCACCAAGGTCCATGGATCGGGTGATAAACTTGACACCATTTTCTGCTAATTTTCTTTGAAAATAATCACGGTCGTTTTTCATTTGAATTTCACGGCTATCCAAAACCAGGACAATCTCGTATTCATGGGGTAAAAGGGATTCCATTACTTGATTGTCTATCAGCTCATTGTAATCCACTTCATTTTGTTGTGTTTGCGTTTGCGTTAACCTTTGTGAAGGCTGTTGTGAAGAGGTGACTTGGGATGATGCTTGCGAAGAGAACATGCTTTCCGCAAGATCCTGTTGTGTATTTGTCGGGGTCTGGGTGCTGGTCAAGGGGGTTTCTCTGGGCCAGAAATCGTCGGGTTCTTCACGATGAAGCGGTAGGATGGGTCTGGCAGGAAGCCCAGGACAGATTGAATCTTTATGCAACTCGCTGATATAACCAATGGAACAGTCAATGTGAGTATCGTCTATCGACACTTGCATTAAGTGCTTGTATTTCGGATGATTCGATTGAGATGTATAAAATCGAATACGGTAGGCAAGACATGCGTTCTCGTTGTCGATGATGACTGCCGCTTTATTTACAGATCTGACATCCTCTTCTAGTTCGGACAAATAGGTGTAGTGGAAAGCTTCGTTGTTCATTGCTTTTGAAATAGATTGAGTCACTGGGAAATAATCCGTTTCAAGATCCACATCGTCATCGAAACTCAAATTGTTGGAAAGGCTCGTTGGCCGTAATGGCGGTGATGGTTCCGGCGATGATAAAAGATCTACAATATCGTCCGATGGTATGGTCAGTTGTGATGATTGGAGCTTGGGTAGATCCGGTGCGGTTAAATCGATATCGTATTCGTCCACATTGTATAAAGATTTCTCACTTTTATTTCCAATCTTCTTGTCATTTCTCAAAAGGACAGAGTGTTGGGGCGTTGTATATTTTTTGGGTGTGACAGTTTGTGTGCTTTTTCTTGATGATACGGATGACGATGGTTGTGAAGGTGACCGTCTGTTCCAATCGTCATAGTCATTACTATCTGCAGCGTTCATGACTTTCCTGGCAAAGGATGTGTCTTGACCAGGTCTACTAGTACCATTTTGGCTAGACAGGTTTATGTTGTTTGGTGGATTGGAGGATGTCGTTGGTTTATTGTGAACCGTACGCCCTCCCAGAGATATAGATTGATGTTCTGACGGGTTCATCACGTAATTACTCATATTCAACTCAGATCCTCGTGCATCATATTCGGCAAGCAGAGTGTCCAAATAGGCGGCCGTTGTAGATTTTTTTGATTTGCGTGGTTGCTTGTTTGAAGTGCTGGCATTCTTCGTTCGCTGTTTCTTTTTAGGTCTGCTTGCGTCTGCTAATTCCTGAAGTATATCCGAGCCGTCATCTTCTCGAATTGTTGTATTTTTGCTGGAAGTCCTGCCATTGATGGAGATGGATTGATGTTCAGAGGGATTTGAAACGTATAAGCTCATATCTAATTCGTTTGGTTCATTGTCATCGAAATCAAGCATTCGATCCAGAAGAGCACTTGTGCTTGAACCTGTGGCCTTTTTTCGTGATCTCGCTGTTGAAGGATTTCTAAGCGGTTCTGAACTTTCTCCGTTGGTAATTCTTTGTGTAGATGATCCCTCTCCATTCCCTTGGCTTGCTCTGGCTGATTGTGCAACTTTTAGTCTTTCAGATAAGCTGATGCCGGTTTCTGTCAATCTAAATTTTGCTGGACTTCCAGATTTGTAGATGTATCCTTTTTCCAATAAAGTTTTCATGCTGTTCCAAGCTGTGTATGATGATCCTGGATCCTTCATTGTGTAAGAAGCGTCACAATGTTCCTGAGCCGCTCGACAGATCTGATCCTTTGTCAGGTTTTCTCTTCCTCCTTGATAGATTTCGAATAAACAAAGTAAGATGCCGTACCCTCCTGTTCTGTATTTGGGCACATAAGGTTTGGATGGTCTCGGTCGGACAGGTGTGGTCGTGTCCTCTAAAGCATCACCACTTTGCGTAGTAGGTTTTTTTCGTTTACCTAAAAGCTTGTTGGCCATTTTTTTTTTTCTTTTTTTTCTCAAAAAAACTTTTGGGAGTAAAATGTATGCGTCGTACCTTTGCTGGAAGATTCAGGCATGGGAAGACCATTGTCCTTGCAGTATTTTTTTAAAGCGTTTTCTAATTTAAGGGCCAAGCCAGGGCCAATGCCTGCTAATTTTACAGTTTCAGAAGGGTGGTTAAAAACGTCGGTACATTTGTCTAATGATTCATAAGCCTATTTTTTTCCCCCGAAATCAGTGTTAGTAATGTGTAGATCGATTTGTAAAAGAGAAAAAAAAAGGGGGGGGGGGTGTGGGTCAGACGAACATACTTTTTTATATGTGTAGTAGGCCTTGCTTCCCAGAGTTTGAGCTTGTTCCATCCATTCTTTTACCCAGTCTCTGTATTGCGGATTAGCACATTGGTCAGACATTTTAATGGATCGGCAAAAGAGAATAAGGGTCTAAATCTTAAAAATGACTACGAGCTACTACATCGTTCATCCCCCGCTTCGCGTCCAATTGGATATCGCGTAGGACGCGATTTTTTGCTTTTCTTTTTTTTGGGTGGGTTATCGGCTGTTTCTAGGGGGGGGGGGGGATATCAGTTTGAGGTCTATACTGTGCTCACCTTGTTTTTACTAAGTTGTTTAGATGCAGGATAGGATAGCATGATGGCTACCGTTCACTGTTTCAAAAACCTTCACCAGACATTAATGCTTGATAAGAGTGACCGTTTTTACATTTCTCTTTTTTTTTTTTTTTTTACTTGCAACATGAATGAGCCAACTCGTAATGATAAAGAAGAAGAATTGCCTATTCATGAAGAAGTGCAGCCAAAGAGCACAATCATGTCTCGGTATGTGAGGCCCATTGAGTTTGTCCTTGAGGGTTCCGACCCACCTGAAAAGGCAGAGAAGAGACAAAAGGTAGCTTCCAACGGGGATGAAGTTGCTTCCATTTACCGTAGCATCATTTCAGCTGTGCCAAAAACGATGAAAAGAGTAGAACCCGCTGCTGTCTCTGAGAAGCCATCCGTCGATACCATCTGGTGCGAGAGTTGTAGTATGCTGATAGATAAATCGGACTATAAGCGGCATATTCAAGGGACAGCGCATATGGTAAGCAATCAATCAGAACCAGCACCCGACCTACTGAATCTGAGTGGGAGAAATGTTGGCTTTAAAATGATGAAATCACAAGGCTGGAACTACGAGGATGGATTGGGCCCAGAGGGTCAAGGGCGTCGACATCCCATTGCTACTGTGTTAAAACAAGATCGATTATGTATCGGCCATGAAGAAACAGGTCGTAAGGTCGTCACACATAAGTACAAAGAGATTGAAAAGAAGGCGATCGCTCGACAGCGAATGGATGCCCAAAATAAAAAGGATCCTGGAAAGGAGATTGCACGGAAAGCTAAAGCAGAGTCTGAAAGAAGAGTTGCAATTTTGCGATACATGAAAGATTAAATGCATTTAGCATTTTATCGCACACAAGTTTTTTTTTTTTTTTTTTTGTATATGGAAAAAGTTTATGATACTCGGTTCGCTGATCACTTCTTTTGATAGTCTGCACTGTTTTTTTATGCATTATACAATAAAATTAGTCCATGGCTCATCCATGTCTGCTGTTTATGCTTTCATTTTGATTGATGATATATCAACGAGTTTATATATTAGGTTTAACTACCGGAAAATTTTTGTACCTACAGTACAGTTTCTCTTATCATAATTAAATCTATCTTATACAAGCCAAATTGTATGATTACCTAGTTGTTGAAGAGGTGAATACTTGTCAACTTTACAATTTTATGCCGCTTCAGTGGTTAAACTCATATTAAGATACCGATCGAATAAGCGATACAGTCTATTGAGCAGCTGTCAAAAAGAAACTGGCATTGATTGGCAACGTTTAAATATGCAGTTTATATTTTTTTGTCATGACAGATGTTTATTGATTGATTTGGAATATCTCAGAAATATTGAATTACATTGCTTAATTTTTGGCCATTAAGCAGAATGCTTTTTCTAGACAACCATAGCCTACATATATAGCTGACTTGAGGCAGTATTAAATGACAAATCCATGTACGGCAGAGGTAATCAAAGCAACCGAATCCAAAAAAAAAGGGCTCTTAATCAATGGAAAAAGACTAGAACACAAAAAAATACAGTTAAGAGTCTTGTATGAAAATCACTTCTAGGTGTTTATCAAACATTCTGGGAGGATTATGCTGGTTTGCTCAAAGATGGCCCAACTACGCTTGCTGGTAATATAAAAAATAATACGTTCAGAACGTTCTCGACAGATACAAAGTTTACTGGAAATGTCAGAGAAGATTTGTTGATTAGAATGTTAAATACGTTTGTTAGGGTGAATAATGGTAATTTTTCATGATACAAATTGTATTTAGCGTTTAACCAACTTTAATTTCTGCTGTAGAAAACAATTCTCATGCTACTATGGTTTGCAATCAACTAAATGTTTATTGGATAGAGAGTCTGACGTAGGTCCGTGGTGGTGCTGATTCAGTATATCTCCCAGACTGTGTAGCGATTTATTTATAAATGGTAGAAACTTACAAATATATACGGTTGTGAGAATAAAAGGTCGTTGGTTCAATAAAAAAAAAAAACGCTGTTGACTTCTTGATTTGGCTTTCACAATATATCCAATGAGGCAAAAATTGTGTTCTCATTTTTAAACATACTCGAAAGGGATATGGCACTTAATTACTTTCTGCAATTAAAGTCTTGCGGTTTGGTTTTTTATTATAACACTTCCCAGCTAAACGCTCAGCTCATGATGTACCATTTAACTAAAGTAAATGCTTATTGACCCGGGAAAATCTGGATCGTAGCGTGTTGCCTTGTTGCGGATGTCAGACACATCAGAATCGAGAATACACTTCTTTCTAAAATCCGTGATGAACCTGATGTCGCTAGATATCAAGGTAGTCAGATATACGAATCCGAGATTCATCATCAGGTAATATTCTTTTGCTTATGGTAGATTGGCCAATTTTTTGTCTTGAGAATGTTTAAAATGAAGGACCCCAATACAGAAGAATCCACTGCTCAATGGTATAGACATCCTGCATATCACTATACCTTATTTTTATTGTGTCCTTTGTTATTATTATATCAATACCTCTTTGACAACTGCGATTCCAGTCTGTATAGAGAAGGGAGAAAGGTGAGTAATAATATAATTAAATGCTTGTTTATGTTTTTATATATTTTTTAAAAAACAGTGATTTAATGCAAAGACAACGCTGTCGATGAGTTTACTGTGGAATTGGGGTCATAGAAACGTGTTGCTTCTAGAGAATTCACTGGGATAAATACAAGCATTTTGCTAGCTACCGTTATTAAAAACTGAAAGGAAAAGATATTAATAAGGCGTCTTTGTTCATGACAATTTTTTTTCTTATACCAACCAGAGGGCTTTTAAGTCATTCTGTTGATGACCTGAAAAGATGCTAAGTATAATACAAAGTAGAATTCATTATTCATTATCCTTTAGTTTTAACAACCATGCAATTATCTAAATTCACTTATTTTGAAAAACAGTAAACATACTACGGTGTCCTTCAAGGTACAAATACCGAAGGAAATTTGAAGATGGAAAGATAGTATGGAAAATGAATCGGAAGAGGTTGACAGGTATAATTGAAAAAAAACCTATTATAATAGTAAAAGACAACTTGAAAAGGTAAACTTTGATAAAGCTCAATATTGAATGTCACACCAGGGCCAGCCGTAGTATGTATCCCATTTAATCGTCTGAGTTCAACTCCATTTCATTTATACCGCTTTTTAAAGCGTCCTTGTTGTATCAAGGATGAGACAGCAACATCGTTGCCATTGGATTCTTAAGATAGGTGTTTTTTTTACAGATGTATAATAATGACAACCATGCTAATTGAGGTTTATGACATGTTTGCCCCTGCAGAGAGTAAAGGATTCATCAAGATGAGATGTTATTACTGCCGCCATATCCAGTTTAAACGCATTCATACTCATAGTGAAAAGCTCAGTTTAGGTTGTATATCCAATATTGTCATCTCCCGCAGCGCATATCATCATCCCACTTTTAAAAAGGTGCGTGGGTAGTATTGTCTTCTCAAGTGGCAATCGACTTTAAGTTTACATGATTGTTAATCGATTATTCCCGATTTCATGTCATCCAGTGGTCCGTATAATCCTCTTGAATACATTTTGGATGAGCATATGTCCTGTTTTTTTCCAACTCAATCCTCATCATATTGATCTTGAACAGATTCTAATTATGCGTTTGAATCCACACCCTTCATCCCAATTATCGTCACTACATCTTTTAAATCATACATGTCTTCAAATGTCCAAAGTTGTGAAACCTTTTGTGTATTTGAATTTCAGCGTCTATCTGTGGATCTCTCTTTTTGCTGGCAATTTCCTTATCTGAAGAATTGGTCATATTTTGTTCGTACAATCTAAGCCTTCTTAGGTAATGAAAGGTGTATAGCGTTGTCCGTGTCTAAACAGTTATTTGACTTTTATCGTTGATTAAGAGAGTTGTATACAGATGGGTAAAAGCAGTAAAGCTTCTCCTTAACATGACTTAATTTTGATCCCAAGATAACATATTCCTCCTTGATATCTCGTTGTATTGAGAGGTTAGGCTTCTTACGTTGTAAATAAAGTCAGAGAGAGTTTGTTTCCCGATCGTCTAAATGCAGTCTAATCATCCGATGAGTTCCACTTGACAACTTCTTTAAAAAGCTGTGTTCTCTTGCTATACGATAGTAATTCACGTTGAATTGTACGATTCTTTAGTTTTAGTGGCACGTATAGAACAAATAAAGAGTTGGTGATGCAAAAGTATTTGAATAAAGTTAGTCTTTTAAGAAAAAAGCTAAGAAAAGACGACTTAGGAGTTTTGTGATTAGACTGAACAAAAAAAAAAAAAAAAAAAAAAAAATGCACTCTTAATGTGCGGGGGGAGCACGTGGGCACACAATCCGTGACTTTTTTTTCGTGTTGACAAAAATACACTCTCACGCCACTGTCCAGGTTTTTTTTGTTCTCCTTGGTTCTCATACTATTATCTTTTCACTCATTTGATTGTACATCATCCTAATGCAACCAAACAACCCTAACATCGGAGGGTATTGACGACCTCAATATCTTTCGCCCGTTCTTATTGAGAGCAGAGTTTGTTTTGTTCTGACAATTCTTGTTGCTGTTCGACAATTCCTTATCAGGCCAACGTTCGTGCAAACTCACTGATTACGGGGCCTTCTTCCCGTTCTTAGTGAGGGACAGGTTGTTTGGTTCAGACAAATTCTTGTTTTTGTTCGACAATTCCTTATCAGGCCAACGTTCGAGCATGCGGGACCCCCCACCTCGTTCTTAGTGAGGGACAGGTTTTGTTTTGTTCTGACAATTCTTGTTACTGTTCGACAATTCCTTATCAGGCCAACGTTCGTGCAAACTCACTAATTGCGGGGTCTTTATTACTGGCTACTTCATACCCCTTCGACAATTCCTTATCAGGCCAACGTTCGTTGGGAGTCACTGTTTAGTTGGATCCAGCCGTTCTTTGTCACTATTCTTGCTGCAGGTCCTCAGATCAGGGATGTAAAAGTCTCAGGACGAGAGATGAAAGTGGAGGTGATTGCATTCATTATAGTCCTTTTGGGCTGAGTGTTGAGATGTAGAAATTGAACCCGCCTTATCCTGTTAATGATGCGTATATGTTGTATATGCTGGTTCCTTGTTTGATCACGTTTGATTTAGGCATAGTGTATAAAATCGCTAGAGTGCTTTGGCGCGCGTCCTTTTCTGTGAGGTAAAACATAGTTCACAACATGCTATCCCCTGGGGTAGTCCAACTATACTTATAGGAGGGGTCAAGGCCCTTTACGCCGCCAAATCAGGTCTTCGCCCTGTAAAGGATGGATCTAAAAGATTTTTCTTTTAGTGAACTAAGAATTTGGCATCCTTGTCGTGACTTAGGTCACTCAAAATTTGTTGATATTCAAGACAAGCTTTTATCTCAATCATAATAAAATCATCTTTGACCCTCTAAATAATTTGGCTGTTACATAACAAAAGTCCCACGACATCCCCATGTATATTGAGGCAAATTATTGGTGTGATTGGGTATGATAACGGGCACTGTAATTGTATGTATTGTGCTCTTAAATTATAGTTAGTAAGCGTAGAATAGTTCAGTTTTTACGATACCAATGTATAATATCCGCAAATTCAGTCAACGGGCAGCTACATCATCGTTTTGGTTTCGACAAGAGAAAAAAGTAAAGGTGTTGCATTTTATTGTGCTCGTATATAAAAGACGTTCCCCATTATTTTACTGTTCGTTTCCCCTCTTCTTTTATTATTTTAACATGTCTGTAGATAATCTGAATTATATTTCTATTTGGTATGATAAAACTGTGCGCGTATATTAATTCGACAACATCAGAATTCTATTTCTGTCCAGGATAGTATAGCTGACTTGAGGCAGTATTAAATGACAAATCCATGTACAGCAGAGATAATCAAAGCAACCGAATCCAAAAAAAAAAGGCTCTTAACCAATGGAAAAAGACTATAACACAAAAAAATACAGTTAAGAGTCTCGTATGAAAATCACTTCTAGGTGTTTATCAAACATCCTGGGAGGATTATGCTGGTTTGCTCAAAGATGGCCCAACTGCGCTTGCTGGTAATATAAAAAATGATACGTTTAGAACGTTCTCGACAGATACAAAGTTTACTGGAAATGTCAGAGAAGATTTGTTGATTAGAATGTTAAATACGTTTGTCAGGGTGAATAATGGTAATTTTTCATGATACAAATTGTATTTAGCGTTTAACCAACTTTAATTTCTGCTGTAGAAAACAATTCTCATGCTACTATGGTTTGCAATCAACTAAATGTTTATTGGATAGAGAGTCTGACGTACGTTCAAAGTATGAATGTTTTGGCAGGACTTTTTTTGTTAGCTTTGTCTGGAGTGGAAGCATTTTACAGCTTTTCCACTTTCATCTTTAAATGGTGCTCTCTTTATGTTCAACCAACCATGAGAGGTGTTCACTGTGGGCTTAGGGTAATTTTGAAAATTTTGATTCGTAGATATGAGTAACTACATTGAATTTTTCTTCAGCTTTTAGATATGTGATAAAAATGAGTTTGGTAATATATTCGACCAATGTTTTTAAGAACAAGTGTGACACTACGGTACCTTTGTAATGGGATGCTGAATATTTCATTGCTTTTGCTCCGTCATGTCCATTTGGCACCGAATCGAAAGGAAAACAAACAAGAGAGAATTACCGCTTTCAAGAATAAACTATCTACCTTCCTAATAAAGTAATATCAGTAGCTAGTTTGGAATACAATGCACGTAATGGACCACTGAAGAAACAACGTAAACGAAAAAAATTAAGTATTATACTTAAGTTTACACTGATTTGAAAAATGAGCAAAATTAAAAGGTCCACCGCAAAAAATTTTTCCGGTATCTAGAAGTATGATTTGGACCGCGAAAAAATTAGACCAGAGGTCGAGGTACATAATTTTGTACCTGAACCAGCGGTCGCGGTAATTATTTTGTACCTGGACCAGAGGTCGCGGTCCATTCTTGCATGAAAACCGACCGCTACTTCCTGTTTCCGGCGAATGAAAACATCATAACCTTATTATTTAATGAGTTGGTATTGGAGGATATTTTTTAAATGTTTATTAAACTAGGGCTTTAACCCTTGCAATACTAGATGGTTTTTACAAAAAATAACATTGGATATAATAAAATATAACGGGCAAAAATAATGTTTATAATGGTTTTTATTTAATAACGAAATAATCGGTGAATAATTTATACATGTACAGAAACTATGGAACACCTATTTGTAGGGATGTGTACTATAAGGATGACAAACAACATCACATAAACCGGACACCATACACAGTAAAGTTTCGGCTGTCCTGGTGGTATATGGAGACTGACAGATGCAGAAGTGGTACCTAACTATGTATATGACTTACCTTTAATAAAGCTGAATCAAACTAATAAAGATACTGTTATCTAGAAAATATAAACACAGTTTCAAGTTTTTAAATAGACTTACACCGTAGTTGACAATCATGTATTTGAAGTGGACAGCAACCTTATACGCAAAAAATAAAGTAGTAAGTTAAGCCATAACAACCAGCGGGATATAACAATATGTCTAGTACCTTTTTAGTTCATTATAAGGATGGGATGTTCCCATGTACTTACTATATTTTTTAAAAGAAAAATTTTGTTTGGGGGAAAGAAGGAAAAAAAAAAACTTGTTTATATATAAAAAAAAAATTAAAACCCAATGAGGATTAAGATTTAGTTTAATCTTTCTCACTACGAGGGCACTTGTTTATAACTAATGCTGTATTGGCCTTTCCTAGATCAGTTTAAGAAAGAAATAAAATGTACTGCATTCAACAGTTCGTTTATTCAGACCACTCGAAACCTAGTTCAAAAACTTGATACTTGCCTTGTTACAGCATCGACTTATGCAGATACTCTATGTATGATGAAAGGTATGGAGTAAACTACTTTTTTTAATATACTAACATAATTTTTCACCTCTCATTATTGTTTTGTTTGTCTTGCACTTCTAAATAATTGATTGGATCATGTAAGAGGCGGATCGGATCCGCGTAATTCTCTGGTATAAACGCTCGACTATCATAGAAACACGAGAGGCTTTTGGATTTTTTGAAACGTCCCACATATATGACATCTATGCCATGACGACAACAAATGACGAAGCGAAAAATAACAAGCCGTACCCATTCATTCCTCACTTACTCAACTGTAGTTTTTTTTCCTTGATACTCCTGGATATTTTATGATTGCTGGGTATCCTTTAAAACAAATTTCTTCATGATTTTTTATCAATTGTCGCTATCAAACTCTTCTGAATGATAAGTGTTGATGAGATCTCCGACTCATCTGATAGGGATACGATAAGAAAAAATTTCGCCAGTCTATCAAAGGTAGCAACTTGTGCTTTCGAAAAGATTTTCCCGTAAAAACCAAGTCTACAATTTCAAAATATGTCCACATATGTTGAGGAAAAAAGTTCAAAGGAAAAGGCAAAGCTGTAGACACTGAAATTGCTTCCACTTCTAGTTTTCAAAACATTAATGAAAATTTAAATGATGCTGAAGCAGATATGGATATAGATAGTTCATCAATATATATCACCACAAAATATGACGCTGGTGAAGCAAGCAAACAAGCAGATAATACAGATAATCCTGTTTCGTGGACTGTCCAGTCAAGGGATACTTCTTCTCCTTCTGTACCTAAGGCTTCTTACTCATCTACAACTTCTGTTGATCCTGAAATTGTTCTAAAATCTGTTAAAAAGAGTAATGAACCACATGAATCTTCTAATGCTACACCCAACCGTATAATGGCCGTTAAAACCACTGTAAGAAGTATTTGGAAACAAGAATACATACAGCCATTATATGATTTAGTCAATACAACAAACATTTTAGTAACGCACACATTTGCTTTTATTAAATACATACTTATTCAAGAACTGCAATCGGATGACGACTTTGATTTCAAAGAATTTATCAAGAAAGATTTTTTTGTTGAAGTGTTTCTAAGCCTTATTCAGACTAAAGTCGTAAACTCCTCAAGACTTAAGGATATAACCAAAAAATATAGACAGATAATTCTCAAATACAAGAAGGAATATTGTACAAATGCTCGATATACACCTATCCCACTTGCAAACGCTCAACAAATTGCTTTATATGAGTGTACTAAAATCTAGACAGCGTATATAAATAACCTGAAGGCGCATTTTGGAAATAGATTACGCAGTTTTGTGAACAAGTTGTTTAAGAAGGATGAAAAAGCAAGCAATCTTCGTGAGAAACTGAAAGCAAATGGTTATACTGAGCAAGCCATCAAAACAGCTATCCGGAAAGAGGTTTATCAGCCATGCAACCAGGTGAAGCAAGCCATTGCAAAAAAAGAGATTCCAGAGAGAGGTCTTTTAGATGCTCAATCTTTAGAAGAATTGGCTATGTTTTACGCAAGTTACACAAAGAACTACTCGTTCCAAAGAAATTCCGTTTATTATGACGTAAAGGCAAGACCAGAGAACCATTTCAAGGCTTTTTTTAAATTAGCTGTAATGTTTGAAGCGAAAAAAATGAAAATGTTTACCTGTTTTCCTTTACGCACTACTTTTATTCCTTGTTATATGACATTGGATAGCAAAATAATCCATCATCATATTCTCAAAAAAAAGTCGCAACTAAAAGCAGAGAACAAGTTTGACACATGGGGTGATGTAGTTAACCTTCAGAACAAGGTTTTCAAGAACCAAGGATTTGATAAATCTATACGATTTCAAGGGACCATCGAAACAGATGGAGTTGGTATATCAGTCATAAAACAAAATATGGATACCAACAGAAAGACATCCAAAGCAAAGAATACAACAAAGGTTACTGTTGATCAAACAGAGTATATAGAGAAGGTTAGCCAATCAGACTTGAGAAGGACTGAAGGAAACTGTGTTCTTATAGATCCTGGAAGACGTGATCTTATGTATTGCCTCAAGGAAACTAGTAACACAGAAGATAAGCAAACTTTGATATATACAAAAATGAATAGAACAAAAATGCAAAGACATCTCAGACTTTGAGAGAAAAAACAAAACCTGTAATTATCAAGGCTGCTGAGGTGGTTTTGTCAAAAATCGAATCCTTTTCAGTAAAGATAAAAAACTATTGGAATTATTTCAAATAAAGAGTATCTGTCGATATTCTATTAAGCAGAGTATTATGGAAACGAAACTTACAATACAACACAAGTATATTTTCCTAATTCTTGCTTTGAGTTCAATGTGACTAACAAAGGCTAATTGTATTTTAGGAATTTGTATGTGACAAGACTTCGAGGCTACTACCCTCAACCCAAGTTCCTCCTGATGCTTTCACTTACTTCATATGAATGCTACTCATTTGGATATTATGATGCAACAAAATCATGTGAAAAGACGTTTAAATAATAAGAAAAGTAGAAATACTTAAATTTATGTCAGAAACAGGTCAAGTGGATCTATTGAGGAATCGTGCAAGTTAACTTTTAGAAAAGCTACAGATTTGGCCATTCCGTAAACTAAAGTTTTCTAGCAAACTGTACTTTGACAAAAATGATGCTCAATTAGTTAGAAAACTGAAAAACAAGTTTGGATCCAATACAACGCTGATACTTGGAAATTGGTCAGCACCAAACGTCAAGTTTCAAGAGCCAACTAGGAATAAAGGGTTAATTGATATGTTAAAGAAGAACGTATTTAAACTATATTTAATTGACGAATACAAGACGTCTTCTTTTTGTCCTACATGCGAAAGTCCTTTGGAAAAGTTCAAAACCATAGTGAATCCAAGACCATATCAAAGACGAAAAATGCCGACCATTACATGTCATGGATTACTTCGGTATGTGATATTAATTTAAAAATCTGCATTGACAAGAAATTATCTAATCATTTATAAGGTGTAAGAACATTGCTTGCTACAGAAAAATGGAGAATACATCTGGTATTGTTGCAAGAAGAATGTGGAATCGTGATTTGGCTGCGGCTTTAAACTTTAAAAAAATACTGAACCATTTGAGGGAAACTGGAAAACGACCCGCTTTGTTTAGTCGAGAAAAAGCAGAAAGAAAATAATTTTCCACTAAAGTTATCGCTTTAGTTATTTAATGCAGGTATTACCCGTTTTAAAATTTCTGAACACTAAATTTTGATTCGTCTGAAAAAAAAAGCTCAGAAGTCTGAATTTTTTTTTATTGATCTGAATCAATTTTTGTATTTATCTGAATTTTAACTTATGTTTGTCTGAATTTATAGTGTCAAAACTGTATATGGTTGTGAGAATAAAAGGTCGTTGGTTCAATAAAAAAAAAACGCTGTTGACTTCTTGATTTGGCTTTCACAATATATCCAATGATGCAAAAATTGTGTTCTCATTTTTAAACATACTCGAAAGGGATATGGCACTTAATTACTTTCTGCATTTCAAGTCTTGCGGTTTGGTTTTTTATTATAACACTTCCCAGCTAAACGCTCAGCTCATGATGTACCATTTAACTAAAGTAAATGCTTATTGACCCGGGAAAATCTGGATCGTAGCGTGTTGCCTTGTTGCGGATGTCAGACACATCAGAATCGAGAATACACTTCTTTCTAAAATCCGTGATGAACCTGATGTCGCTAGATATCAAGGTAGTCAGATATACGAATCCGAGATTCATCATCAGGTAATATTCTTTTGCTTATGGTAGATTGGCCAATTTTTTGTCTTGAGAATGTTTAAAATGAAGGACCCCAATACAGAAGAATCCACTGCTCAATGGTATAGACATCCTGCATATCACTATACCTTATTTTTATTGTGTCCTTTGTTATTATTATATCAATACCTCTTTGACAACTGCGATTCCAGTCTGTATAGAGAAGGGAGAAAGGTGAGTAATAATATAATTAAGTGCTTGTTTACGTGTTTATAAATTTTTTAAAAAACAGTGATTTAATGCAAAGACAACGCTGTCGATGAGTTTACTGTGGAATTGGGGTCATAGAAACGTGTTGCTTCTAGAGAATTCACTGGGATAAATACAAGCATTTTGCTAGCTACCGTTATTAAGAACTGAAAGGAAAAGATATTAATAAGGCGTCTTTGTTCATGTCAATTTTTTTTCTTATACCACCCAGAGGGCTTTTAAGTCATTCTGTTGATGACCTGAAAAAGATGCTAAGTATAATACAAAGTAGAATTCATTATTCATTATCCTTTAGTTTTAACAACCATGCAATTATCTAAATTCACTTATTTTGAAAAACAGTAAACATACTACGGTGTCCTTCAAGGTACAAATACCGAAGGAAATTTGAAGATGGAAAGATAGTATGGAAAATGAATCGGAAGAGGTTGACAGGTATAATTGAAAAAAACCTATTATAATAGTAAAAGACAACTTGAAAAGGTAAACTTTGATAAAGCTCAATATTGAATGTCACACCAGGGCCAGCCGTAGTATGTATCCCATTTAATCGTCTGAGTTCAACTCCATTTCATTTATACCGCTTTTTAAAGCGTCCTTGTTGTATCAAGGATGAGACAGCAACATCGTTGCCATTGGATTCTTAAGATAGGTGTTTTTTTTACAGATGTATAATAATGACAACCATGCTAATTGAGGTTTATGACATGTTTGCCCCTGCAGAGAGTAAAGGATTCATCAAGATGAGATGTTATTACTGCCGCCATATCCAGTTTAAACGCATTCATACTCATAGTGAAAAGCTCAGTTTAGGTTGTATATCCAATATTGTCATCTCCCGCAGCGCATATCATCATCCCACTTTTAAAAAGGTGCGTGGGTAGTATTGTCTTCTCAAGTGGCAATCGACTTTAAGTTTACATGATTGTTAATCGATTATTCCCGATTTCATGTCATCCAGTGGTCCGTATAATCCTCTTGAATACATTTTGGATGAGCATATGTCCTGTTTTTTTCCAACTCAATCCTCATCATATTGATCTTGAACAGATTCTAATTATGCGTTTGAATCCACACCCTTCATCCCAATTATCGTCACTACATCTTTTAAATCATACATGTCTTCAAATGTCCAAAGTTGTGAAACCTTTTGTGTGTTTGAATTTCAGCGTCTATCTGTGGATCTCTCTTTTTGCTGGCAATTTCCTTATCTGAAGAATTGGTCATATTTTGTTCGTACAATCCAAGCCTTCTTAGGTAATGAAAGGTGTATAGCGTTGTCCGTGTCTAAACAGTTATTTGACTTTTATCGTTGATTAAGAGAGTTGTATACAGATGGGTAAAAGCAGTAAAGCTTCTCCTTAACATGACTTAATTTTGATCCCAAGATAACATATTCCTCCTTGATATCTCGTTGTATTGAGAGGTTACGCTTCTTACGTTGTAAATAAAGTCAGAGAGAGTTTGTTTCCCGATCGTCCAAATGCAGTCTAATCATCCGATGAGTTCCACTTAACAACTTCCCAAATTTTTAAAAAGCTGTGTTCTTTTGCTATACGATAGTAATTCACGTTGATTTGTACGATTCCTTAGTTTTAGTGGCACGTATAGAACAAATAAAGAGTTGATGATACAAAAGTATTTGAATAGAGTTAGTCCTTTAAGAAAAAAGCTAAGAAAAGACGACTAGGAGTTTTATGATTTGACTGAACAAAAAAATAAAAAAAATAAAAAATGCACGAAATTCACTTTTAATGTGCGGGGGGGGGAGCACGCAGGCACACAATCCGTGACTTCTTTTTTCAAAAATACACTCTCACGTTACTGTCCAGGTTTTTTTTTTCTCCTTGGTTCTCATACTATTATTTTTTCACTCATTTGACTGTGCATTACCCTAACATAACCCTAACCCTAACTCGGGAAGCTGTTGATGATCTCAATGTCTTCCTTCCCGTTCTTATTGAGAGCAGGTTTTGTTTTGTTCTTACAATTCTTGTTGCTGTTCGACAATTCCTTATCAGGCTAACGTTCGTGCAAGCTCATTGATTGTTTCTGTTCGACAATGCCTTATCAGGCTAACGTTCGTGCAAGCTCACCCATTGTTGCTGGGCGATAAGTCCATATCAGGCTAACTATCGTGGTAAGCGCAATGATTACGGGATCTTCTTCCCGTTCTTAATGAGGGACAGACCAATTCTTGTTTTTGCTCGGCAATTCCTTATCAGGCCAACGTTCGAGCATGCGGGGCCCCCATCCCGTTCTTAGTGAGGGACAAGGTTTTGTTTTGTTCTGACAATTCTTGTTACTGTTCGACAATTCCTTATCAGGCCAACGTTCGTGCAAACTCACTAGTTGCGGGGTCTATTACTGGCTACTTCATACCCCTTCGACAATTCCTTATCAGGCCAACGTTCGTTGGGAGTCACTGTTTAGTTGGATCCAGCCGTTCTTTGTCACTTTCTTGCTGCAGGTCCTCAGATCAGGGATGTAAAAGTCTCAGGACAAGAGATGAAAGTGGCGGTGATTGCATTCATTATAGTCCAATTGGGCTGAGTGTTGGGATGTAGACATTGAACCCGCCTTATCCTGTTAATAATACGTGTATGTTGTATATGCTGGTTCTTTGTTTGATCACGTTTGATTTGGGCATAGGGTATAAAATCGCTAGAGTGCTTTGGCGCGCGCCTTTTTCTGTGAGGTAAAACATGGTTCACAACATGCTATCCCCTGGGTAGTTCAACTCTATGTATAGGAGGGGTAGGGTCCTTTACGCCGCCAAATCAGGTCTTCGCCCTGTAAAGGATGGATCTAAAAGATTTTTCTTTTAGTGAACTAAGAATTTGGCATCCTTGTCGTGACATAGGTCACTCAAAGTTTGTTGATATTTAAGACAAGCTTTTACCTCAATCATAATAAAATTATCTTTGACCCTCTAAATAATACTTTTATATATTTGGCTGTTACATAACAAAAGTCCCACGACATCCTCATGTATATTGAGGCAAATTATTGGTGTAATTGGGTATGATAACGGGCACTATAATCGTATGTATCGAGCTCTTGAATTATAGTAAGTAAACGTAGAATAGTTCAGTTTTTACGATACCAATGTATGATATCCGCAAATTCAGTCAACGGGCAGCTACATCATCGTTTTGGTTTCGACAAGAGAAAAAAGTAAAGGTGTTGCATTTTATTGTGCTCGTATATAAAAGACGTTCCCCATTATTTTACTGTTCGTTTCCCCTCTTCTTTTATTATTTTAACATGTCTGTAGATAATCTGAATTATATTTCTATTTGGTATGATAAAACTGTGCGCGTATATTAATTCGACAACATCAGAATTCTATTTCTGTCCAGGATAGTATTATGACCTTAATTAAGGCATTGTGTTCTAAAGAAGCAACGACTTTGGTCAAGTCTTATCTTTTATTGAACCTTGGGTAAGTTTTTGTTAGATTAATGGGTGATTGAAGGCATGGCGGGTAAGTATTTGTTTTTGCAATTAGGTTCGATTGGGTTTAATTATCATTGACGTATTATCTTTGTAGCACCACGTTTTCAACCCGACAACTGTATTATGTGTATAACCTACCTAAAATTTTTCAAAAATTGGGTGCACCACGACCAACTGCCTTCTAAAGGTCCCCTTAAAGGTAAGTGATTTCATAATCATCAAGGCTCCTTCAAATATGATAATGCAATCTTCAAGTTTTTTTTTTTTTTTTAACGCTATTATGTATCATCGAAAATGTATAAGCTTTGTGCATTCATGCACATACCCAATTGATTTACCCTTCTGGGAACCATGTGTTTTTACCGAAGCGCAAGCGTAGGTGCAAAATATATATGGTCAGGAGGGACTGTCTAAGAGCATCCGCAGCGGTTCACTAAAATTTTCACTGAATAAATGGGTCATTTTCCGGTCGGACTAAAAATGTAGTGCCTTTTTTAGTGAGTCCGCAGCGGTCAAAAAATAATTACATTAATATGGAATCATTAAGATTAGGAAAAATGTTAGCGGAGGATGACTCAACAACCAGTATTGATGTTGGAAATTACTTCTATCAACTTAGGCACCTCAGATCAAAATTTCATTGTTTATCCACATATACTTTATGTCGTTCATCCAGTACATTTGCATATGATATTTCCTACAGACCTTACACGATTTGGACGCTATGCGACTATGATTCTTCTCAAAAAACAGACTCACAATCTCAATTGCTATCTCAACTGTTTCAATCAATCGCCACTTCAGTTATCAACAATGGCATATTGGCCCAGATCAAACTAGATGTTCTAAATGATCTATGTAGCAAATTGAAAGAGGGACCAATAAAATATACCACCCGTGAATTTATTGATCAACAAGAAGATTCTTTTGCAGTCATCAACAATATGAAACTGAACCAATTACTCACAATTTTAGCTGATTCGATGACTACATCTATTAAAAATGCCAACGCAGTGGTGATCAAGTATTTTTACAACACTTCAGCGTAAATAATACCCTACATAAGAAACCATCACTATACCGCTACTATTTTATTGAGTTGTTTCTTTAAAGTATTTCATCTTATATCTTTGATTTGCATTGATACGAACAAAAATTGAATTGTAAAAACAAATTGTAAATATTATATTATCAGTTTAAGGAAATAAAAACCCTGTTAATAAATCTAAATATACTTCACCAAATGTGGTAGCTTCATGACCTTAATAAACTATTCTTAAAATGCATTTGTTGTCCAGTGGATAATGGAATGAAGCTTGAGCTTGATTAAGCCAAATCTGATGGCTTTGTGGTATTTTGACCTGGAAATGTCCACACACCAGTTGGTTGATCTGCAAGTATATCTTCAATGACATTTGGAGAGGCGAGCATGTAATACTTTTTCCCATTTTCTAGCGATACTGCTATTGATTTCCAATTTCCAATCTTGCTTAACATTATTATTTTTTCTTCATCAGTTTGTGGAAGATCTAAGACATTTGACGCAAGTAAATACATGACACCAAGCGTGTTATTGGGACACTTCCAATTAAACAAACAATTTTGCTTGGTACTTTTTGATTTGTCTGGGAACTTTATAAAGTATGTGTTTAATTTCATCAGACACCTGAAGGAACCCAAGTGTTTTATTATTTATGTAATTTAAAAAATCTCCACAAACCACTCCTTTTCTCCGGGATCATTATAACGAATATTTCTTGATCCTAAGGAGGCGATGGCATCAAAATCTTCTTGATTTAGCACAAAATCTTGGAAATTTTCGGAGATACGGCTGGGTGTGACACTTTTGGGGATGACAACAATACCTCTTTGGGCAGCAAAAGAAATACAGACTTGAGCAGGTGACTTTTGTAGTTTTTTGGCAATTGATACAATAATGGGATCATCTACGACTCGGTCTTCGCCATAAACATTGTTTCCAAGAGGAGAATAAGCAGTAACGGCAATCTTGTTGGCATGACAGAATTCTACTAACTCCGTTTGGAGGAGTGCAGGATGAAGCTCAACTTGTAACATACTTGGTTGAATTTTACAATGCTTCAATACATTACTGATTTTTTCAATATTATAATTAGAAAGACCTAATTTTATATTTAGTCACAGTCCACTTTATTTTTTCTTCTTTTTTTACTTACCAATAGCCTTGACATAACCTTCTTCGACGAGCTCTTCCATAGCCTTCCATGTCTCTAAAGGATCAACAGATTCAACTTGAAGCTTACCGTCCCTAAAATACAGGTTAGTCAAACATACCTTTCTGATCAATTTTCACTCTTACTTTTTAGGAATGAGATAATCAACTGTAGGAACAGTAGGTGTTTCTTCGGGTGTTCCTGGGTTCTACGAAAAAAAAAGTTAAAAAATAAGATCTTATCATGGCATGCATATGGTAACATACAATAAAAGACACAGGCCAGTGAACCAAGTAAAGATCGAGATAATCAACACCTAATGCCTTGAGAGAAGCCTTAACAGCTGACTTTACGTATTCTTTACGATGATGAGTATTCCAGAGCTACTTACATTAATACACAATTAGCTAGTTTGTAAAATAATGGTAAAAGATCGGTACCTTTGATGTAATAAAGATATCTTCACGGGGAACACCAGATTCTCTGATACCTTGACCAACCTCATCTTCATTACGATAGACATAAGCACAATCCAAATGACGATATCCGTTTTCGAGTGCATACTTAACAGCCTTTCTAACTTCATCGGGCTTGGACAACCATGTTCCGAGGCCAACAATATCCACCTCCTTGCCAGTGTTTAAAGCTGTTGAAAGTTAGTTGATGGTCGAGGGGTTGAAAGGAAATCTGTCTTACTAATTTTTCTATTGAGAGCCATTGTTTACTAATGTAATGGATAAACTTAATATCGCGTGTAAAGAAAACAAAAACAAAAAATGCGGAAAATCGTGTACCATTTTATATTCTATGATCGCATTAAAAAATTATTCCTTTTGTCCGAAATTGCAACGCTATTTAGCGATTGGTTGAAACTTTACTACCGGTCTAAAAAAAAAAGTTTTAACCTTAAAGCGCGTACCTGTGTCTGGAGGTGGGAACAATTTTTTTTTTTTTTTTGTGATTACCTTGATAAATAGACTTGTCTATTTATTCTGGTATGACCTTTCACTGTCTATTTCTAAAATTGTCCCACAGAAATATTTTTGCTAATAGCGATCCTTGGGAAGAAATGGGGTCCAGTTATTCATTGTCCTTGATACTAACTGCCGAAGTAGTAAATTATGAATTTCCTATTATTATCTGCCACCTCTCATATCCGTATATCTTATGTTTGGAGATGGGATAGGCTTAGCTTTGTCAAGTACGTTTTTTTTATTTTATCTTATTTGTGTTCTTTGGGAGAGATATGTTACTGTAATTTGTGGTAAGATTTATTTGTGGAACGAACTCAAAATATTTATGACGTTAATGTATGTCAGGAACTAGTTATGTTTTTCTCCCTTCTGTCATTATACCACACAACGGGAGATCCTAAGAATTTTGAAGTCGCCCAATCCTATGGAACTCATTCAATATTCCATTCAAAAAGCATTCGAAATAGCAAGAAGATGTATGGAAAGAGGCTTGTTTTATTAATAATATATTGTGTATCCTCTATCCTTTAATATACAGAAGCTTCGGTGTATCATCCCTTTAATGCCTATAAAATATTTTTAATAATGCAGGACAGGAAAAATATGCGATAAAAAGTCGTACCTGTAAACGCTTTTGCATCATATCTAATTCAGGGCCTTCCTCCTCATCCTCCTCTTCTTCTTCTTCGACCGCTGGTCTTGACTCGAGAGCAGGGCCAACATTTCCTGCCTCCCCAAGCATGCCATCGGTTATTTGGAATAATACATTATTGACCTCTTCATCTGCTGCTTCCTCAATATCATCATCATCCATCATATCCATCGTATCGCCAATCATTTCTTCCATGATACCTGCCTGAACAGATATTAAGTTTAAAAATATGTCGTTTTTTTCTTTTTTTTTTTTTGCTTATCACATACCTTGGTCATTTCCATAGACATTTGCTGCATTACTTGTGACATTTCCGGTAAACGAGCAAGTTGATTCACGAGCTTCATGACTTCACCACTTTTTTGGAGTGATCCTGCGACCTTTATAGTAGCTAAAGAAACCGTAAGAATTCAGGTACGCTATACGATTTTTTTTCATTTTGCAGCTGTACCTAATTGATGCTCTAACTGCATAATGATGGAGTTCATTTGAGCTTTGCTGGTATATAATCTATTCTTGTGTCTTTGAGAACGTATCAGCTCCTTTGCCAACATTCTGCAATTCTTTACATCTCCCTTCTTAGCAACTTGTTTGATTGAACGTTTGACTTTAGCTTCTTCATTGTCAATCGCTTGAATCTGACGCTGAATTCCTCTTTGTTGTGATCGAATTTCTTGTCTCCATTTTTTCACCTACAAGTTGATGTAAGGTTTGGTAACCTTTATAACTAAATCTACTTACAAGCTCATCTGGAGTCTTTTTACCAAAAAATCTTTGAATTGCAGCAGACATATGTTAAAGTTAAATATTAAACACTTTTTATAGGGGAATTTGCTTAGGAAGAAAAGCTGTTGCGCGGATATCTTGTCTTTGGATTGATGTAGAGCGAAAATGCGCGGTGCTTAAATGATAATTTCGTCATCGGCAAAGAAGGATTAAAAAAAAAGAAAATGCCCGTCTTCCCTTTTCGTTTCTCTTATTTCACAATCATTTCATTCAATGACCAATCAGTAAACCGTACTATGTTTGGTAAGGTCATGTGGTCTATAAAAAAACAGTAATACGCTCGCCTTCTAGCTATTAATTGCGCTTTTGTCTGGAATGAAGACGATTCAACACGGAAGCAATAGAGTTTTTGACTCAAAGCACCACGAACTTGCTATTGCGTGCGCAACCACGACACGGGCTCTAATGGTGTATTTTTTACAATAAGTGCTCTCACTGCTTGGAAAGTATTCATTCTGAAGAGTCAAATTAATTATTTATGCTTTCAAGGGAATGTGGTTTAGAAAATAGTTGCTTCTTTCTAGCTTTGGCTCTCTATATTCACAAAGCTTTCATGCTTGCATAGTCTTGTTGTTTAGAAAATAGCTGGTTCTTTTCCGATTCTTGGTCTCATATTACATGTCACTGGAAATGAAATATGTAGGTTCGATAGCGATGAAATAATTTGGGTTTGTTAATTTAATTAGAATCGATAAGAACTTTGTCGATTTTATAAAGTCTAAATTGCATAGACACGGAATCGGAACATGACTTTAAAGATATGCTGGGTTTTTAAACTAATTTGATTTGGAAAAGAGGTCTAAAATAGAACAAAAAACTACACAATGAATATGAATAACCAAGTAATGAAAATGTGTTATGAACTTAATTTCTCGATAATCATTAGGATTGCAGGATATTCTTGTACAAGCTATTATTATTGGTCTGCAGCTTTTAATTGTATCCCAATTTTAGCTTTTAAATAATGCGATGTATGCGTAAAAATAACATAGGCATCAGTTTAAACATGTGGATATTGAAGGGGATATGGATGAAGTGATATAGAAAGATAATTGTTATATAAAGCAACATCTCGCTGATAAAAGATGATTATGTATCCATATATGTGGCTAAAATAGTTTATTTCCTATAAATAACATGCCAGGATGCTAACTTTTATAATATGACAGGACATATTACCTTGGAAGTTTTGGGAACTCATAGTAAATAGAAACGGAAGTTTATTAAAATAATGGTAGTGAGAGACCTATTATATAAAATATTAACATATTATTTAAATGTCGTGTGTATTTAAAGTCGATTTACTGTATAATTTACACTCTCAATTCCTTCTATTGACACCCATCGAGAATAAGTAGTTATGATAAGCAGTTTCTTCACATCAAGACAATTTGCTACAAAGCCAAATAATTAATTTTAACCGGTCTTAATACAGCCACCAGTACGCTTCACAACTTTGTCGATACCAAGTGAAACATTTCTATGAAGAAGGCACAGTTTTATTTAATAGAACACGCATACCTTAAAAACATTAATGCTCGATATAAATGGGTTTCTAGTTTGTGTTATGATGTCAAAGGTTCTCAAGCTGAGATGATCGACCTTTGCTTCACTCCGAAGGCTTACACTTGACTGTTTTGGTGTCATTTACTTCACAGTCCTATTAATAGTATCCATAATTTCCAATTCTAAATGTATCCTATTGTACTTCGTATGGGATTTATCCTTTGGTCACTTTCTTTATTGCAGTAACTCGGTATAATTATAGCCAATCACGTTACAGACATCACCTGATTGTCACGTGACTAGTGTTTTTAGTTTATGGAATTATATTTTATAAACATTTCATAAATATATCATTCCTTGATGGTCTAGTGGCTAGGATTCGTCGCTCTCACCGACGCGGCCGGGGTTCAATTCCCCGTCAGGGAATTTCTTTTTGTAGTTTTCTTTTACCGTAGTGTATGTAGCTGTGCTTTTTTTTGATTGCAGAAAACTACTTTTTCCGAGTTGAATTAAGAAAACAGTATCCTTCCTTGAAGAAACAGAATATGACATAAAGGAACCAACAGCTTAGTAATTAATTTAAGTGAAAGATAAAACTGAAACCACGACAAACGAAGCGTGTATTTTATCATCGCACCACTTATGATAGTTATCGAATTTTTTTTACGATTTTAGGTAGATACTGCATTACATCTTAATTAAACAAACCACTACTGAGTCACAAACAATAATAAAGCTGAACTTATTGGTTTGTAATGGGCTATCCCGAATAAAAATGACGTCCGAAATATAATATAATGTTGACTTGGAAGAGAGGGGCTGCAGGCTCCAAAAGAGGACTATCGTACAAACTATAAGTACTTTGATTGATTAACATTGATGTATAAGAAAAGGTGTTGTAAGTCCCCAACGACAAAAAAAAAAAAAAAGATCCACTCTATCCTTCATGCTTAATATTAAAAATATACGAAGTGTCTGGAAGTCGGGTAGTACAGTAGCGCCGTTCGGCTCACATCGTTCCGTATCTTGCAAGTCAGGATTTATATGTATCGGAATGCTTTTCTGAATATCGTATATTACAGGCTGGACAATAAATAAAATTGCCAACTTGACAACCGTTTATAAAGAATCAATTCAGGGACTCCCCAGAAGTTCCCGGTTTTGACGAGTATGTTTTGATACGTAAGTATAGCAAGTTATTGCCGCCACTGAAGCAAACAAGCTTTTTGTCTTATACTGTGTTTGATAAGGTTGGCGCTGTTTTGTTAAAGACTTGTGACCTTATAGCAAGAATGAGAGTATGTGCATTCAAAGTAATACTATCAATAGCGTACTCCCTTCTGTTGATCAACAATATGAGAGCCAATAATAGTTTTACTGTTGCTCTGTCTGTGAGCAATTCATTCTTTATCTATCTCGTCTAGAGAATTCTGATCTGCTGTTTGCAGAAATGCTTTTTAAAAATTTATAAATTCTGAACCCGAAAATTAACCAATAATTACTTTACCTTGTAGTGATTTCCTTTATTAGCCTAGATTTCAAATACACTTTCCCTCAAGGTACATTGACTTATCGCCTTGTATGTTCAAGCTTCTACCATGTAAATTCTTAACAAAGACGTAAATTTTACACCGAGAAAAGAACTACAATGATACCAAAACAAATTTTGAGTAGATTAATTCTTGATATTAAGAATTCAATTCTGTGGGGTGGGGGGGGGGAAGAAGTCAATTTTGAAAATGTATCAAGCTAGGCTTATTATCGAATGCGATGTATTGCATGAATTATTATGTTATACTATTCCTCTTTCAGCGTAAACAAACGATAGCCCTTATTTTAATTGAATCGTAGAGACTTACCTCATTCTAAATATGGAAACCCTTTGGCTTCTTTATGTATTTACACTCCGATATACAATTTTACAAAGGAGGTGTTTTACAATATGGATTATTTCTTTTTCTTTTACTTTTGCCACACAAAAAAAAAATAGAGTGGATCTATACATAGATCATGGATAAAATTGGAAAGTTTGTAGAATTAGTTTCTTTTAAATTTAAACCTGGCTCAGAAACCGACTTCGAGGATGGCATAGGTGGATCATGGTAAAGCAAAAAAAAATCTGTAGAAATCACACATTTGTTGATTTACGATCCAAATAGGTATGTATCACCTACATCGCACGGTGTAGAATTCTTGACTGTGGCTCCGTTCTATCTAATAATGGCAGCATATTTTGGTTACAAGGCCATCCTAAAAAAGTACCTGAATACAAAAAAGTTGTGTTTAAAAGGTATCTAATGAATCTTTCTTTAGTAGGATCAACTACAATTTACTGGTAGAAAATAAAGCGAGACCTTTACGATCATGGTTTGAGAACATATGTCTAGTCACAATGGTCGCGTCATATGTTGTAACTGTAATTCATAAGGCACACACTGGAACTGAGTTCTTTTTGTTGCAGGTAAGGAAAGAGAGAATAAAGGATAACAAATGTATTGATGGGTTAAATATTCTACGGGGGTAGCCTTGCCATGTAAGCGCTGTGATCTTGATTGTGATCATGGCATGGCCTAATGGCATGTCTCAATTTACACCCCAATTGTTGTTCAACATTTATTTACACACTTTATGGGGTTCAATATTAGCTTTGGTGTTCCCCGACTTGAGAGATCACGATATGCTGGGTGAAGTTTTTAACTTCTTTTTAGGTAAAATAGGAGGATCAATAGGGGGGATTTGTAAATTCTAATTGTATTGTAGAACATGGTCTTATTTTATTACTTCCATTCTACATGTTAACTACAAAGCGCTACGTAGTGTTACCTCTTAATGTGGATATGGCACTGTTCAGCTTTTTCTTATATGCATCTTACCATTCACCTCTCCTTCATGCTGTGTCACTATGGTCCGGATATAATATCAACTACACCCTTGTTCCCCCTACACGTAAAGTAAATAAGTTTATCATGATGTATAGAATTGTAACACTTGGTTTTTTTTTATAGTTGGCTTCTTAATAGAAGCAGGAAATTGGTATAGGTTGATCATGTACAGTGCTGCTTTCCTTTTAATGTTTGTGACACGTTATGTTTTGGTTGAACCTTTTATTAAGGTCTTTGTTGGAATTACTCCTCAACAAAAGCTCGAAGATAAAAAGAAAAGCTTATAAACGAAAAAAAAATTGGTTATCGTATTTAGACATGCATACGAATTTTCCACATTAAAATAAGCAGTAGAGGATATCTTTCATGATTTTAAGAATAAAAATAAACTGCCCCTCACACATAGAAGCTCCTGCTCTAAAAAAAAATAAAAAGGGGTTAAATGATTAAATTCTAGCCTAAATTCTTTAGATATTTCTTTTTCTTTCTTCTTTCTTTGTTATCTTTTACTAATCAATATGGACAACAAATTTCAACTTTGGTCGCCGCCTTTGCTAGATTTATCACTGGACTCTTTTTCAAATGACCTGTTTCAAGAGTTTGACAAAACGAGAACAAGTAGCGGTAACCATGAAATCAATGAAGTTGCTACAATCAGTAGCGAAGTTCAAATTAAAATGAATAGCCCCACTATAAATAGCCAGATGGAGCCCACTCCAGAACAGTTAGAGTCTCTTGAGATTCACCAAAACAGCCTCTTATCGTCTTCTCCTATATCATCTTCAGTCACCTTACCACCCTCAGAACGCGAAACGTCTTTCCACGAAGAAGATTCTTCTTCAACAGCAAACCTGTTTCGTAAATCTTCTACGTTTTTAAAGAAAAAACTCAGTCAAAACGGAAGTACTAGAAGAGAGGAAAATGGTTCGATTACAACAACGAATGCAGAGGAAATTTCAAATATTATCTCGCGTCAGTATCCTCCCAAGCCCTTACATTACTCGCCTGTAGTAGAGACTCCTTCAAATAGTTTACAGGCCATGTCTATAAACAACAACGATACCGAAAGTATCATTGATACATCATTTGCTAATGTCAGCTTACCCCGGAATAGCAGAGAAGTTATAACAGTTCCTCCCCCAGTAAAGAGTAATTATAGTAGTAAGAGAATGTCTGACCCTATGTCCTCCGTAACTACATCAGCTACAGCAACTACGACGACAGCAACTGTTCCGGCACCACCAAAAAGACGGTCTTTTTTCTCTCTAAGATTTTGTTAAAGAATGCTATTTTTATTTACACACACATGCATAATATACATGCAAGTTTGCTCTCTTTCCTTATTTTTTTTTTTATTGGAGCAGGGCGAGGGGAGCTTTTTTTTTTTTTTTTCTAATTATATCTATCTTTTTTTTTCTCTTTGCATCTTTAATTCTTTTCTTATTATAGCATCCACGCCATACCCTTTTTACTCTCTCTTATTATATATCTTAATTTAATCACCATAATTTATTAAATAATAAAAACCATTTTGACCAACTTTTCAATAATTACGATTCGGAGCTGTTCTACAGTAATCTGATTAACGGGGAAAATAATTGCCTAAACAGTTATATGAATTGTAAGTACCGGGCTTGCATACATATCTTATATTTCAGGATTGTTTTATACCATAATCCGAAATAAAATGTATAATCGGTCTGTTTACTATAAACAACTTTTTTACTCAAAGCAATATGGTCAGTATTCTCATTTTCGATGAGGTCGATAAAGAGCAAAAGGAAAAAATAATGCTCAATATTTTGACATATTTTGAGAGGTTTGGTTAATTTGCTCTTGGCACTATGTCCTTGAGATAATAACAGGTTTACGATATTCCCTCCATCATGTAAAAGATATACTATTATCTCAAACCAAATTAAGCCATTTTTTTGCCACAATTTTGCCTAATTATTAAACCATTAATTCTTTGGTTGTAATTATAATAATATTGCACTTTCAAAATTGTAAGCAGCAGCAGTTTCTATATGCAGATAGTTGATTTGATTTGTTTTCAAAATTAACTACAGAAAATGACTCAGATATCAATTATTATTTTGGCGATAAGCATGTCAAACTTATTAAGTTTGAGGGGATCATTCTAAACATGGAATTTTAAAAACAATACTATGGCATATGACAAAAAAAAAAAATCTTGGAAACCCTGCCTATACTTTGATATCTATTTCATTTTTGTTCTTCGTGGAGTTGTAATACCAATAAGTGTGCATAACCAGTATAAACATAGGCAGAGATATGCAGGTTGCAATTGCTAAAACGAGATGATAAATAGTTGATACATCGATGTAAGCTTTTCAATAGTAAAGAAAATGAGAGCTTGTTTATAGTTCTGGCGAATGGTAAATTGTATTTTAACATCATTTTCAGGAGCCGGCTAACAAGCTACTTGCTTTTCCGCAAACCCATGATCTTGTTAAAGTTTAAACAGAGCACATATCCATGATAAAATAGAAACGTTCATTTTGTTTGTACATATCTTGTGCATGTAAGTCACATAGAGCTAAAGCAAAGGTCCTGTTTTACAAAGGTACCTAAAGAGAAATGAAAAAGTTTGGCAGACATATTCCGTGACTGCTTTTTTAGCAAAAAGTTAGAAAAATATATGAACCCATGGCGGGGGTCGAACCCGCAATCTTTAGTTTAGAAGACTAACGCGTTATCCAATTACGCTACACGGGCTTCTTATATTTTATTAATTAACAAACAATATATATGCTGTGTAATTGTTATACCTATCACGTGATTATCACGTGGAATCAATATGATTGGATCAAGCTTGTTGATAGGCGACCTAGTACATTTTACAAAGAAGGGTATTCATAACTCAGTGTTGCACGAGAAATAATTTCAAATTGGCATGTAGACGATAGGTGAAAGTAGGTTTTGGGAAATTCGAGGAAATGAAATATAGAAAATGATCACAACAGTCCTTTATTATTAGAAAGAAAAATCATAAATCATAAGTCCCATCGAACATTGAATATGCCATTAATAATTTGAAAGGTATTAACCAATTTACGATAAGAAATATAGTAAGTTAATTAAATTCTTGTGGGTCTTATTGCATAACAGACTTTATCGTATTTGATTAACAATTGTTGGAAAAAATGCACTTAAGAGGAAAGATATTGTCTATATATAAGGCGAGTCAATGGTAAGAATTATAATCGGACGCCAACTGTGCAAATAACGGATATTTCTATAGAAATAAAGACTACAATGTTAGTCTAAAAACATTCCTGTATAGTTACTAGAAAATATATTTTTATACAAGAATAATAAAACGAATATAAATACTTTTTTGCATAAGTAGTAAAATGTATCAATGTTGTGTACTTGAAGATAGCTGCATGATAGGCATGGTATTTGCCAGCTATACCGATAATTTTAACCTTAGAAAGTCTGTCTATAAGGTAACCTACGGTTGTAACAATAATATAAAAAGACCTTGGGAAGTATTCAAAATTTTATAGAACGAGCATCTATTAGAAAAGACGAATATAAATGATAACATAGTTGAGATGGCTTTATTACTTTTAGTTTATGCATTGTTTTTGTTTAATATTTTGACGGTGTCATTAGGGCAATCGCAGTTTTCACTGTAGAAGAGAAATCCCGTAAAAATACAGCTCTTTGTTTTGATAATACTTCCTAGCCACTTTATTTAAACAAGTGGAGTCCTTATGATTTCTTTTTGTGATATCCAATTGGGGGGTTCAGGGGAAATTTGGCCGATTTTTTTTTTTGATTCCCAAAATATCTATTTTGTGGCTTGTTGGAATTAGGGAATCCCTTTTTTTCTAGAAATTCAACTGAGTCAGTCCCGCATTTTTTTTTGCTTCTCTTTTTTATCTTTCCTTTTTTTAAAAGTTTTAATTAATTAGAATGGGTCAATTCAAGAAAGAAAAGCAAAGAGTTAGTCGTGATAAGGCTGGTGGTGATGATCGTGCCAAGAATCTTCGAGTCAAGGGTGAGAACTTCTACAGAGATGCAAAGAAGATCAAGTACATCAACATGTTGAAGGGTGGTAAAGCTACTCGTAATTCTCAGGGTAGAGTTATCCAAGCAGCTGAATTCCAAAGTACCGAAGTTAAGACTGCTCGTGTTGCTCCCAATCGTAAATGGTTTGGTAAGTTCAAATATTGGATCTTTTTTAGATCATGAAAAAAAAAAAAAATATTCAGATCTAAACATTTTTTTTTCTTAGGTAATACCAGAGTTATTGGACAAAAGGCACTTGAGGATTTCCGTGAGTCTCTCGGAGCTAAAGTCGATGATCCTTATCAAGTTTTGTTGAAGCAAAATAAGTTACCCATGTCTCTTTTGCAAGACGCAGAAAAGCATAGTCGTATGCATATTCTTGAAACCGATACTTTTGAAAATACCTTTGGTGGTAAGGCTCAAAGAAAGAAGCCCAAGTTGGCTATTGGATCCATGGAAGAGTTAATGACCAAGATTGATGATACTCATGGTAAGACGACTATATACGTCAATGTGAAAAAGAGACACTCTTAACATTTTTTTTTTATAGAAACCTATAAATCCGAAAAGGATTCCAGTCTTTTAGCCAACAAGGAGCACGATTATACCGATGCTGCCCGTGCTTGGTATCTTCAAGCCGGTCAATCCAAGCGTATTTGGAACGAATTATATAAGGTTATCGATTCATCCGATGTTATTATCCATGTTCTCGATGCTCGTGATCCCATCGGTACTCGTTGTGTGAACATTGAGAACTTTATCAGAAAAGAAAAGCCTCACAAGCAATTATTGTTTGTTCTTAACAAGTGTGATCTTGTCCCTACTTGGTCCACTGCTCGTTGGGTTTCTCATCTTTCAAAGACTGCACCTACTCTTGCTTTCCATGCTTCCATCAACAACTCTTTCGGTAAGGGTTCTCTTATTCAGCTTTTGCGTCAATTCTCTTCTCTTCACAGTGATAAGAAGCAAATTTCCGTTGGTTTTATTGGTTATCCCAACACTGGTAAATCTTCCATCATTAATACTCTTAAGGCCAAGAAGGTTTGTACCGTTGCTCCTGTTCCTGGAGAGACCAAGGTCTGGCAATATATTACCTTGATGAAGCGTATTTATCTTATTGATTGTCCTGGTGTTGTTCCTCCTAACGTTGACGATGGTGAGGTTGATATTATTTTGAAGGGTTCTGTCCGTGTCGAAAAGATGTCTGCTCCCGAAGATACTATCCCTACCATTTTATCCCGTGTTAGACATGAATACATCAAGAGAACTTACGGTCTTCAAGGCTGGACCGATTCTACCGATTTCCTTGAACAAATTGCCAGAAAGACCGGTAAGTTGCTCAAGAAGGGTGAACCCGATGTACACAACGTCTCTATCATGGTCCTCAATGATTGGCTCCGTGGTCGTATTCCTTATTACGTTCCTCCCCCAGAGGCTGTTGAGCCTTTGACCGAAGCACAATTAGAGGAAAAGAAGAAGAAGATTGGTGTTGAACAAATGTTTGCCAAGATTCAAGTTTCTGCTGATTTCTTGGAAGATGATTTAGCAAACAATGCTCAATTGGTTGCTGAAGAACGTGCCAGAGCCAAGGCAAGAAAGGCCGAAGAAGCCGCTGCCAAGCTTTATGCTACTGGTGCCAACAAGATTATTAAGAAGAAGGTTGCTCCTAAGCCTGTTGTCGCTCAACCCGAAGTCACTGATTGGGATGAAGTCTTCGAAAGTGTTGTCGGTGAAGATGGTCCTATCGTCAAGGCTCCTGTTATTGAGGGTGAAGAAGAAGAGGAAGTCGAGGAGGAAGTTGAGGAAGTCGATAGTGAACTCGAAATGAGTGGTGACGAAGATGATGTCGAAGAGGAGGCAACTGAAGTTAAAGAAGAGGTCACAGAGGAACAACCTGCTAAGAAGGTCAGAGTTAACAACAACGAGACTGAAGCTGATAAGAAGGGTAAAAAGGCTGGTGTTCATTATTATGAAACTGCCAACGTCAAGAACAAGAATCGTAATAAGGTCAAGCCTGATGAATTAACAAAGAAGGTTCTTCACTCTCGCTTAAAGGGTTCAGTTATCACTGGTTCCAAGCGTAAGAGAAACTAAATCAACTGTATTAATTAAACACCCACCCACACATAGATTCATTTTTTCCCCTCCACCCTCTACCCTCTCCTTTATGTATTTTCATTTTTCTTTATATTATATATCTCAACTTTTTTTTCCCTATTTTTTTGCATATAAAAACGGTCTTTGAATAGCACACATTTTTACTTTTTTTCCCTGACGTCATGAAAAACGATTTATAAGGATCTAAAAAATAAATAAAATCCATTGTTTGGGTTGCATGTTCCTCTCGCTATAATGTTTAAAAGTATACCCAACGAAATCATTTCACATATTTTAAAATTGCTTACTTCAGATGGAGATCTTAAGCAATGCACCTTTGTGTGTAAACAATGGAGTTATCTGGCTTTAGAACTACTCTGGTACAAACCGAATTTTGTTAACCCAACGTCTTGGTTAGCATTTTTCACCGTGATACAATCGACACAAACCAGTTTCCCTTACACTTCATTCATAAGAAGAATCAACTTGTCGCCACTCTCAAACCTGGTGGAAGATATTCATATTATCACGCTAACAGCCTGCACCAGAGTGGAAAGATTAACATTGGCCGGTTGCTCAAAATTAACTGACGTTGGTTTATGCGCTTTAATCACTCACCAAAAGTGTCATGGTATAGGCGCGGAACTTGTTTCAATTGACCTTAGTGATGTTGTCCAAGTGACTGACACCACAGTTTTAAAGATCGCCCATTGTTGTCCAAACTTACAGGGTTTCAACTTGGGTATGAGCCAGGAACAACAATCGATTACGGATACGAGTGTTGTCGAGCTGGCTAAACAGTGTAGAAATTTAAAAAGAGTAAACATGATTGTATGCAAGGAACATATGAAGCGAGGGACTAACATTTTTATATGATATAGATCAAACTGAATAATTGCACTAAGATCACAGAGAGGTCTGCCATCGATCTTGCATCCCATTGTCCTCGTCTTGTGGAGGTGGATTTTACGAACTGCAAAATAAACGATGCAGCGTTAGAAATGGTATTTCATCATTGCCGTGATTTAAGAGAACTTCGAATAAGTCAAAGCGAGGTACCCAATCCCCGAATTAGCGATCAAGCATTTTTGGATTCTTCTCTTTGTCTCAAACAACAGATTAAAAACCCACCTATTTACTATTATGATCAACTTCGACTTGTTGATTTTACTGCAATATCCACGATTACAGATCAGTCATTAAAAGTCCTGATTAACTCAGCACCCAAGATTAAAAGCTTAGTGCTAAACAAGTGCTCTAGGATTACAGATGAAGGATTAATGTCAGTCTGCAAACTAGGTCGATTTTTGCATTTTCTGCATTTGGGACATTGTGTGAATTTAACAGACAGATCAATAACGAAGCTTGCTCTATATTGCAGCCGAATTCGATATTTGGATATGGCATGCTGTATCAATATAACAGATAGATCAGTGATCGAGCTGGCAAATCTTCCTAAATTAAAAAGAATTGGTTTGGTCAAGTGCTCTAATATAACGGATATTGCTATCAGTGCTTTAACAAGTCAAATCCGGATATCCAATACCTTAGAACGAATTCATCTTAGCCATTGTACTCAACTCAGTATAAGGGAGATATCAAACCTTTTAAACGTGTGTCATCGATTAAACCATTTAAGCTTAACAAACGTGCCTTCCTTTCTGAGGAGCGATTTGCAAGCGTTTTGTCGAACTGCCCCTAAAGAATTTTCTGAATTGCAGCTTCGCACTTTTTGCGTATTTAGTGGGAAAGGTGTTCAAGAACTTCGAGACTATCTAAATACGCTTCATGAAAACTATACAAACTCATTTAACAATAATTCACGACTAGAATAAATAAACTTTTGCATTTATTACCCTTCATTAAATGTTTCCGATGTAAAATAACTGTTTTATATATTCAAGCTACGATAGTGATGTACATATACATCCTAATCACAATACATACATATGATCCCGAATAGATCAAATATTACGTGATATTTGTTTATTGTTTTCTTTGAAGAATGAATGGCGCTAAAAATGTGGTTAATTTCCATTTTAGCTGCAGTGAAGTTTACGGCCGTGGGAAAACAATCACTCCCTTTTTTGCTGAGGGACTCGGCAAGTCTATGAATCTGATGGTTACGGATGTCAGTGACATGCAGAATAGTTGTCATTGTGTCACCAAGACACGAGGGGGGGGGTGGATTTTTATGACATTGACCACAATAAGTCTTTTATCATATACTGGACTGATAAATGGCTGTCAGATAAACGAGTCTGATGAATTATGCATGTTTCAAATTGCCATAAGGAACGAGAATAGGGTTACACATGGTGTATATAATGCATATTGGATTGTGGGTTGAGCCAAAAATCGCTGATAATGGTCGAGCCATAAAATATTAAATGACGACAACTACTATCTACTCAAACATATTTTAGTATTGTAGCTTTTTATCGTTTTTAAGTATGGAAATTGTCCAATGTACTGAACTATCATTTATATTTTTAACTAAAAAATGTGGCTTATATCAGATTGGCTCTCATTATTACATGAGTCATTATTGCTCCTTGCATATCCTTTACGACGCGAGGGGCTATTTTAATAAAAGGGTATGATTGTTTTGCTGATAAGTGTGGATATGACTAATAAAGAGTCCATAGGCCACAGACATGCTTTGATGGTACACTGATAGGAGAGCCAGTTATTTTTTTTTACCCAATTAACACTAAGCTGTGACGTAAACACCCTCTTGCGCAAGAATTTTTTTTCTAAATCATAATAAAAAAATTATCCACACACCGATTTTTTTTTTCTTAATCCATATAAACATTTAATCATGTCGGATAACGAGAAAGAACCCGTCAAGGATCAATTCGACGACGAAGAGGTATAGTGAGGATTGGAAGCAGTTTTTCTATTTCCTGTATGCTCAACTTTGCACTTTTTTTTTTGATAGGTCGATTTTTCCAAGTTGAAAAAGAAGAAGAAGTCCAAGAAGAAGGTCGACTTTGAAGCTGAGGCAGATGTTGCCCCCGAGGCACCTGTCGAAGAACAAGCTCCTGTTGAAGCTGAACAAAAGGGTACATTGTTTATATAAGAATTCGCGTAAAACATGACACTCATCGAAAACAAAAAAAAAAAACTTTTTTTATAATTACAGACGTTGCTGAGGAGGATCCTGATGCCATGTTTGCTGATTTGAAAAAGAAAAAAAAGAAGAAGTCTAAGCCCGTCGAGGAGGTAATTGAATACAAACCGAGATTTAGAATAAAGTATATTAAATAGGGATATTTTAAATAATAGGAGGATGCTCCTGAAGGCGAAGCAGTTGCCGCCAACGAGGAAGATTTAGATTTCGGTGGTTTAAAGAAGAAGAAGAAGAAGAAGAAGTCTATGGCTCAATTCGAAGCTGATTTAGCTGATGAGAATGCTGATGAGGAGGAGGTCACTGAGGAAAAGTCCAGCAATAAAGAAGGTGGCGACGAAACATGGCTCAAGTCTGACAGAGATTATTCTTATGACGAGGTAAATAGAGTAAATAGGTGTGTAGTTACTGTTTATTAACCGACTTGTTTAGCTTCTTGACCGTGTGTTCAACATTTTGAAACAAAATAACCCTGAATTAGCTGGAGAAAAGAAGAAATACACAATTGTTCCTCCTTCCATCCATCGTGAAGGTAACAAGAAGACCATCTTTGCAAATGTTACAGAAATTTCAAAGCGTCTTCATCGTCCTGCTGAGCATGTTATTCAATTCTTATTCGCTGAATTGGGTACTACCGGTTCTATTGATGGTGGTCAACGTTTGATTATTAAGGGTCGTTTCCAACAAAAGCAAATCGAAAATGTTTTACGTCGTTATATTGTTGAATATGTTACATGTAAGACATGTAAATCTCCCAACACTATTATGACCAAGGATAACAGATTGTACTTTGTTACTTGTGAACATTGTGGTTCTACTCGTTCCGTATCTGCTATTAAGACTGGTTTCAAGGCACAAACTAAGGAAGATAGACGTGCTCTCAGAGCATAAATTTGATTTGTTTATTATAACTAGTATTTTTATTAAAGAAAAAAAAATCAAAAATTCCTCTTTTATCATGTCTTCTTGAGAAGGTCCATTTGACTTAGAGATTTTTTGGGCGCCCAATTACCTGATGATGAATCATCCCCAATTAATACTTCTCTTGCCTTGGATTTCTTCTTCTTTTTGACAATAGATTTAATCTTTGGTATAGATTCCACAGAAGCTGATGCAGTAGGTGTATTGACTTGAACGGGTGATGATATTGTCGGCGAGGACGTCACTGCTGCAATAGCCTGATCCTTTTCTTGTTCCATCTTTCGGATCTGATCAATCTGGGATAGATATTGTGTCTTTATTTGTTTGAGTTTATCCGCCTTGGCCTGAAGCTGCTTTGTCCTTCCTGTCAACATGGACATGGTTGCCTTTATCGATAATAATTTTGTATTGTAAATAGACACCTTATCCATCTGAAAGACTATTTTTTTTAGCTTCTATTGTTCTCATAAATAGTTCCACGCTTACCATTTTCTTGATGTCAGCTAACTCTTGCTCTGTAATACAAGTTGCTTGCGCTTTTAAGATGGCATCCAGCAATTCATTTTGGGAATTTCTGTTTAAATCACTCTAAAAGCTTAATAACATTTGTATATTCTCGCTGGGTAGTTTATTTACGTGATGTCCTTAAGCTGGTCTTCTAATGCTGTAATGGTAGATATAATTTGGGAAGAGTACTTGGTGGCAATTTCGTTCGTCATTTTGATAAATGGGGGAAGGAAGAAAAATATTTCGTGCGCAATTTTCTAGCACGGGCGCGTTGCATTTTAAACGGGCTGACTGTTTTATTCCTTGGTCAACAGAAGCAGTATAACAGTGTAATCACTTAGGTTTTCACAAGGGTGTTACTGAGCATCATTATTACAGCTAAACATTTATAATCAACCTGTAAGCTAAACACGTCTTTCAATGGTCTCAACCGGCAGGGGTAAAATTTAATTGCTTTATCTAGCAATGCTTACAAGCAAAGTAAGGCATGAGGGTAAATTATTCTAAACATATAGATTTAATCGTGATAATTCTAAGACAGAACATAATAAGCGAAGACAAAGACGTATAATAATAAGCAAAGGCAAAGATAGATACAAGAGTAGAAATAGAAAGACGTGATTATATTTTTGTTTTAAAAAAGTTTTATTTAAATTTAATAACATTTACCTGTAAAGAATAAAAAAAGAATAAGTATTTTGATTCAACAAGATAGAATAATTTTTTTTTGTAAATGATTATTTTCAGAGTGTAATAGCTAGCAGCTGATTTCATCAAGAGATTATGAAGACCGTCGTGATATATTTATCATCCTTTTAATTGTTTGTCGTTCCTAATACAATTCCAGTTGATTCCACTCCGACATCCAATGTGATACATGCTCTCTGAGCCACGCTTTATTTTTCCTTTTTTCAATAAACAAATATGTCCCTTTCTTCCCTATATCTTTCTAAGCCGCGCATCGTGGAGTAACTATGGAGAATATCAATCATCAACAACATGGTGAATCATCGCAACAACAACAACAACAATTATACACGCGAGAAGACGTTGAACGATTATTTAAAGAATTCAGACGTGAAGAGCAGAGAAACGCAGAGGAAGCATCACAAGGAGCACCCCTTCCTTTGGTCATATCATCCGAATTGGAAAGCTATAATACGCAACAATTACGAGACAACTTTAAAAGATACAGAAGACATATACAAAAATATCAAGATGAATACTGGACAATTGGAGAATCAATCGATAAACCACTCATCCCAGAACTTAAGAAGGCTACAATGGACGTATTCCAAACAGTTAGTACCCTATATAAGGGCTCAGAAAATACAAGAATCCAAGCAAGAGCAGCTACAGAAATCTTTGAACAATTATCATACCTGCAGAACAGAGTTCAATTTGCCTCAGAAGAAGACAGAGATATGTTCAAAAATACTATTGAGCAAGTCCAAAAACTATCAGTCTATGGCTGGGGATCAGCTTCTTTGCAAGACCGAGAAACCAAGGCTTTGGCTACCAAATATATACAACTACCAAACACCCTTAAACATTTGGCGTCAGGAGAAGATGAGGGAAAATCAAGAAACGCCTTTGGATCCGAATTCATACAGGAGCTTAACAAAGCAAGATTTGAACAGCAGGTCGTCAGGGGAGCAGCGTACAATGGAACGAGAGGACGCGGTAGTTTTAGAGGACGAAGTTTTGGACGTGGAGGATTCAGAGGATTTGGAGGAACTTATGGACATAGTGGATCCCGTGGAAGAGGTCAACATTTTCAACCAGGAGGACGGGGAAGAGGTGCCCCCTTCTCTCATCAACAAGACAACACCTCACCTCCAGCAACCAGCAACGAAGCCAACCAATAATTCAACAACAAGCTCAAGCTCAACAAAATTTACAACAACAACTACAACAACTCAATCGACAGCATCAACAACTCGCGAAGATACAACAACATCAACAACATCAACAACATCAACTCAATCAGGAACATCAAAAACCGAATCAGCAACATCAACATCAACAATTCAGGCAACAAAATCAAGAGCAAGAACGCCGAAATCAACAAAAAGAACGCCAAAATCAACAAGAAAGCACAAACAACCATTACGTTATTCCGGAAGACGGAATTTACCCAGGAGGTCGACTCAGCAAGTTTCAAGACAGGTGGAAGGAAATCACTCCTCATCCATGGCCATTATCAGTTGTATCCCAAGGTTATCAGCTCCAATTTGCAAAGAAACCAATTCCATGGAAATCTCATCGAATGAGGATGTCGTTGGAGGATCAGCAAGCAGTGGATGTAGCAGTCAAGAAATTTCAAGCCGCAGGAATAATAGAGGTGTCACCAACCCAAAACAAACAATTTCTGTCCAATCTGTTTACGATTCAAGAACCGAACAAGAGAAGACCAATCCTGGACTGTCAGAAGTTGAATCAGTTCATACAATGCAACCACTTCAAGATGGAGGGTGTTCCTGCCTTGCGGGATATAATAGAGAAGAACGATTACATTTGCAAACTGGATCTCAAGGATGCTTATGTAGTGGTCCCAATCCACCCCCAATCCAGGCCATACTTGACATTCGAAAACAAGAATGTAGTGTACCAATACAGATCCCTAGCGTTTGGACTCAGTGTCGCACCGAGAGTATTCTCAAAGTTGATGAGATATGCAATCGAACCATTGAGGAAACAAGGCTTTCGGCTGGTTTATTATCTGGACGACATTTGCCTGTTATCAAAATCAAAGATGGAAGCAGAGAATCTATGCAAGGTAGTAATCAAACATTTGGAATCGTTAGGATTTATGATAAATCGAGAGAAGAGTATACTGACCCCATCGCAATCACAGGAGTTTCTGGGGTTCCAATTCGACACAAAAAGGATGACCCTTTCAGTACCGCAGCAGAAGATAAAGAAGTTGATACAACGGGTGAGACAAGCTCAGAATTCGAAAGTTCCTCGGTCGTGCAGGTGGATAGCAAGCTTGCTTGGCAAGATGACTTCAGTAATACCGGCAATTGGAGAGGCTTTGCTTCACATACGGTATCTCCAGCGAGACCTGTCGAAGAGTCTGAAGGGGAATCGCCAGAGATGGGACAGCATATGCAACTTGTCAAAATTAAGCCAAGAAGAACTGAAATGGTGGCAGGAGTTCATGGTGTTAAAGAATGGCCTACCAATCCACAAGATTCAGATGAAGGATGCAAAGGTGACAATCTATGTCGATGCCTCAGACACAGGGTTTGGAGTGAGTTCACCTATGGTAACAACAGCTGGATTTTGGACTCAGGAGGAAAAAGAAAAATCAATCAATGTCAGAGAGTTGAAGACAATATATTTTGCCTTAAAGCTCCATGCCGTAAGATGCCAAAACTCTACAATAAGGATATTTTCGGACAGCATGACTGCATTGAAGTATACAACAAAAGCAGGGGGGACTACTTCTGTTTTTCTCCAGGATCTAGCACTGAAGATTCAGGAACTTTGCAACAAGTACAAGTTGGAAGTTCAATATCAACATATCCCGGGGGTTCTAAATGTAGCAGCGGACAAGTTGAGTCGGCTGAAGATGCCGTTATACGAGTCGACAATTCCAAGGAAAATGTTTCAACAAATTCAGCAGCAATGGGGACCACTAAAGATCGATGCCTTTGCTTCACACCACAATCACCAAGTAAAGAGATATTGGAGCTTAATTCCGGATCCAACTGCAGAAGCAACCGATGCCTTTCATCAAAGGTGGATGAAGAAGGGAATGTATTTGAATCCGCCATGGAAGTTGATTCCAAAGGTGATCCAGAAAATGAAGAAAGAGAAGATAACAAGAGCAGTACTAGTAACTCCGTATTGGCCAACCCAATTTTGGTTTCCTATGATCCTGAACCTGAGACACCTAGCTCCTCCTATAATCATGCAGAAGAACAAGAAATGGAAATTAGCCGCTTGGCTACTATCAACAAAGTGAGACAGAAAATAGGAATGAAGAAGAGAACAGCAAGGTTTTTGGAGAAGGCGATTAGACCAGCAACTCACAAGGCATATGACAATGGTTGGAAACGGTGGAAGAATTGGTGCAAGACTGAAGACAAAGATCCTGAAGATTACAATGTCAATAGCGTATTGGAATTTTTGGTACAGAACAACCAACTTTCCTACACATACTTAAATGGGTTAAGATCGTCAATTGCTTCGGTGTTCAAGGAGCTTCATCCCGAAAAAGATCCTATTGCAAAACAGCCTATTATACAAGATTTTTTTGCAGCAAAACGAAGGTCAGAAATAAGAATACCATCGCAACAAGATCTGGAAACATGGGACATGACAGTTTTAACGGATTACATAAAGCTGACGTATTTCAATACTACTAGTTTGGGGCTACAAAATTTACAACAAAAATCAGTGCTTTTGCTTTGTCTGGCGACAATGTGGCGACCTCGATCTGATATTGGACGTCTTCAATATAGGGATGTTACCCTGAGGTTCAGAGGAGACGGCTCGATAAAGACGCTATCAACTCTGGAGAGTGCGATTATACATGTAAGAACTCCAAAAGAAAGTCAAGTCAAATCCATACAACTTGGAAGATTGGAGATGGAGGATGTGTGTCCAGTGGCAACACTTTTTTGGTTCTTGGAAAAAACAGCTCATTTGAGGTCAGGCCTGTCAAAGGCGCACACTCTGTATCTGGCTTACATTGACAAGGAAAAATCCAAGGTATCATCGATTTGTCCTTCAACACTGGCAAACTGGGTTAAGGTAGCTATGCAAGAAGCGGGGATCGACACCAAGGTATACAAGCCTCATTCTATTCGGGCCGCATCAAGTACGAAAGCAGTTCAAGTGGGTAACAGTATTCAGGATGTTAAGACACATGCAAACTGGAGCTTAAATAGCAATACATTCGAGAAATATTACTATAAGCCTACGGCTCAAGAATCATCAAGTACCAAGATTACCAATTCAATTTTTTCAACGGAGAACAGTATCACATTGGATGTCGGAGTGGAATCAACTGGAATTGTATTAGGAACGACAAACAATACTATAGTTGATGAAACGAAGACAGAAAATGTGATACATGCCCGCCCTTGGTATAGACGTTTGTTTGGAAAAGACCAATAATTTAGTATCCCACCCAGGAAAAAAAAAAAAAAAAATTGAATAGGTTTAGCTTAGCTAGAAAGATATAGGGAAGAAAGGGACATATTTGTTTATTGAAAAAAGGAAAAATAAAGCGTGGCTCAGAGAGCATGTATCACATTTTCTGTCTTCGTTTCATCAACTATAGTAATAATCATTTACAAAAAAAAAAAAATTGGAAAAAGATGTTTACCTTAACATATACCGAGAAATGCAAGGAGTTCAAAAAGGAAAAATAATTTTTCTGAAAAGAAAAATAATGTCAATACCAAAGTATATAAAATTATTAGACAATAAGAAAAATAGGTGAGGAAAAAAAGAAAGATTCAAAACATCAGACAGGATAAAACTCTTCATGAAATCAGACATATGCTTGTCTTTTGTTTTTTGTAGTTCATCAATTGAGAATCTTTTTTTTTTCATCAGCTAATTCATCAATTAAAGCCATATCAAGAAAAGATCAATTACCCTTTGGAACCCCACAGAAAGAAAAGGATAAGCCACAATAACAAAAGAAGTTAATCTATTAGAAAAAAAAAAGTCGAATTAGTAAAAATTGACTTTGACATGCTACATTTAAAAAAAAGGATTTCTTCTTTTTTTCATGTTTCAGAAAAGCATGAATGGTATAATAAAAGTTGTCTCAACATCGAATGACTCGTCAGACTCGTCATCTAATAGGGATCATCATTTAAACATGAAAAAAAGAAGAAGGCCAAAGAAAACAGAAAGTAAGATAATTACCATTTGAAAGTGACAGCATCCGTCTTAAAGGCCCACAAAGCGCGTTTAGAGATTTAGAAATCTATTGAGAAATAAAATATTAATAAAAATATTCATAAAATGATTGGCAAAATACATTATAAAAATGAATTCAAGGTTATCAGACAAACAGCCAATTTGTGTCTACAGGACATTCAGACGGTAATTCCAACTATATAATAGTTCGATCATCATTATAACCTTGAATCCTTTTTTACAGCATGTATAAAAGAGATTCTTACCAATTAAAAGCAACTTGTGAGGCCGAGAAAAGTTTTTTTTTCATTTTCATTAAAATTAGATAAAATCACATTTAAGAGGAAAAAAAAAAGAAGAGAATCTAAATATTAGAAGTAAATATTAGTAAATGAATATTTTAAATGAATAAAATAAAGCAGAATAAAAAGAAAAGTGTTCAAGATTTTAACATCAGGATAAAAAGATTCACATCAATGATCAGAAACTCTAGTTTGTTTGACTTAAAAAGCATCTTTTGCGCAAACCATAAACACTTTCTTTCTTGCTTAATATATAAAATTAACTAACCTTTTTAATAACTCGTGAAGTGGTAAAGGAAAAGAAAAGAAATATCCTTCGAAATGAACACGTTTTATATCTTTTTCCGGAAAAAAAATTTTTCTTGCCAAAAAAAAATTGTTTGACTTCCTTTCCGCAGTCACTTTGTTTAAAACCCGCTAATAAACCTGTCCACCACAAGCCCGTCCAACACAATGACGGAGGGCCAAAACTAGCCCCGCCCTCTTTTTTACTTTATTACAAAAATGGACAAAGAAGTTGACTACTATGAGCTTTTAGGCATTGAAATCACTGCAAACACAAAGGACATTAAGAATGCGTACCGTAAAAGAGCGCTAAAGGTGCATCCTGATAAGAACCCAAGTCCCAATGCAGGTAATCTAGTTATATAAACCCTTTATTTTTTTTTTGTTGGCTTCATCGTATTAACTTGCTTTTATAGCTATACTCTTCCATGACTTGACTCAAGCACAAGATCTATTGTTGGATCCAGCAAAGAGAAGCGAATATGACCAAATTCATAGAAGTCGCCAAGAGAGAAAGAAGAAGAGAGATGAAATGGATTCGAAAAGAAGAAATGCACAGGCTGAACTGGAACAACGAGAAAAAGATGCAAAGAAATCAAAAGTGGATCAGAACCAGGCTAAAGCTCAATACGAGGCTGAAATTGCTCGCATGCGAGAAGAAGGTGCCAAAAGAAGACAGGAAGATTGGGGCAATAACAGAGAAAAGGAAGCAGGTAAATATATGCAAATTGTAATGGGCCCGTCTTTGGTATCTAAATAATGAAAATATAATAGAACTGCCTGAAGAGAGCGAATTGGATTGTGCGCTTAAAGTAAAGTGGAAACGCAAGAAGTTTGACTTTTCTGAGAGCGACCTTGAGCATATTTTAAATCCCATTGGCAGTGTAGACTCTGTCGCTTTATCGCAAAAGAAAAAAGGCGGCGCCATTGTCGTATTTAAAACAGTGGTTGATGCTTATAACATTATCACCAAAAAGGACACACACCCATCTTTATCACAATTCGAAAGCATTGATTGGGCTACAGGCAAAGCACCCGCGCTTGTGGAAAAGATGAATAGAGCCGAAGAAATGAAGAAGGAAGCAAGAACTGCATTGTTTAGCATGAACGATAGACCTGCTGCGGCTACTGGGAAGCCATTATTTTCGATTGGATCACAACCCTCATTTTTTAAACCCATGAGTATACCATCTAAGGTAATTAATTCTATATGTTTATATATCATTTATTTAACAATGCGTGTAGGCTCCACCTTCCTCCGCTTCCAAGGCGTTTGACAATGATTACGAGGCAATTACATTGATGAAAATGAGACAGGCTGAGAGAGATCGACAGATTTTGCTTCAACAAAGGCAACAAACTACGAGTTAAGAGGGGATGCGAAATTGTAAATAAAAAACATATATATCATGACTTTAAAAGGAGGGGATGCTTTTTATTGCTATAAAATTTATGACCCTATTGCCCAATTGGCAACATACGAAAAGTCTGAAAACTCTTGTTGCTCGTGTCGGGTCAACATGGCATTGACAGGCGTTAAAATTGGAATTTCTCTTGTGAATTCTTCATCAAAATTTGAAGTATCTGCTCTTCCGTTGATGGTTGGTAAGAAGGGAGGAGGTACTTTTTTAGCCAGCATGTCTTCCCAATTGACACCAGCAAAAAACGGATGATTTTTCACCTCTTGTGCGTCGCCTTTACCACCACCAAGACGCTTTTCGGGGTTTCGTTCGAGTAACTACGCAACAAAATTAAGAAAATGGTTTCAACACGATTTAAGTACTACTTACAGCCTCACAGATAGACACAGAGTTCTTGGACATGTTAATTGGGTATAAAATATTATCTTCAAGCACAGCATCAAAGATTTCATCCTCATCTTCTCCCTTGAAAGGGGACTGACCGAGCAGCATCTCATACATTAAGACACCGAATGCCCACCAATCCACGGCACGTCCATAGCGATTCTCTTTGAGGATTTCGGGGGCCATGAATTCTGGTGTACCACAGAATGTGTTGGTTGTGTTGTTACCCCCCATATTCTCTTTACAAAGACCATAATCCGCCAATTTAATATGTCCATCCAAGCACAGCATGATATTGTCCAATTTTAAATCACGGTAGATGATACCATGCTTATGAAAGTATTCTAACGCCAACAATACTTCACATGCGTAGAATTTAGCTCTTACTTCTGAAAATTGCTCTCTCTGGATCTGAAGCATCAGATCTCCTCCACTCACGTATTCCATCACGTAATAGATTCGAGTTTCGGTCTGGAAAGTCGAGTGAAGATTAACCAAAAATGGATGACGTTCTTGATTAGCAGCTAAAAACACGCGCTTCTCTGATCGTGTACTATGTAAAAAAAAAAAAAAAAAAAAAAAAAAAAGGTGAGGGATCCCGACTTTGGTTTTGGTATTTTTTTTTGTTTACCTCTCTACTTCATCGTTATCAAGGACAAATCTCTTTTTCAGAATTTTGATGGCATACAATTCGCTTGTGTACTTTTCTTCGGCAAGCATGACTTTACCGAAATTTCCTTTACCCAACACGGCCAAAAGGTTAAAATCGTCAAGACCAACCTTTCTGTTGACTTGTACAGGTGTAGTCTGCATACAGATATAAAAAAGGGAGTGTTAGAATAAAAGCTTTCAAGTTTACGGATACCATATTTACAAGTTGAGTCCCATTACGTGATAAGGTTTCACAGATACTATTCTGACTAAAGACATGCGAAAGAGATTGGAAGGAAGAACTATCGTGAACTAATGATAAAGGACGAGAAGGCGTGTGCTGTGTTTTAGGTGTCACAGGAGTAGAAAATGAAGGCTGAGGAGAGATAATGTTACTGTCGTTAAAGAATTGTTGCTGCAGCTGGGTATTACTAGAGGAAGATGCGAATAAAGGCTTGGCGTTACTATCGAGAGAAAATGGCATACTGTCTGAATGGATTGTACGGCGACGGTTATTTGCTGCCTTCATTTCGCTCAACATCAAGTTGGCCTTTTCCATCGACATACCACAGAAATCGGGCACCAAACGAGCACACTTGGTATGGCATACAACATTACATTCTATTTAAGTAAGGTTAGATCTATCAAATTATTCTTGGCAGCGTCCTTTTATTTAATGTACCTTCACATTTCTGTGCTCCTCTAAAACCAAGCGGTAACATAAAACCACAATGACAGCACCAATTTGCACCGATGATGGTCAGTGGCTCAAATCTATGGGGTATACGATGCTTTAACTCTTCCTCATCATGATCCTAATAAAGACAATTTTAGAGCTATTTTAATATAATGGAATATAATACATACGGATTTCGATGTTGCTCTGGATATACATCTTGTTACTACACGAGTATAGCATTTTTTATGGCATGCCAAGGCACAGTCTAGTTTGATTTTTTAGTGGGTGATATCATTGATCTTTGCTATAAAAATCATACCTTCACATTGGAATGTTAATTTAGCCATAAAGTCACCACACAAAGCACACTTCATGATGTGATAAAATCGTCTTGCTACAAATTGATGACCATTCATTTCATGCACTTCGCCCTTTCTTTCACGTACAGCATCTGCTCTTCCGAGCTTATCCATTGGACGTTTCTTGACGTTCTCACGGACTAGTAAGAAAGTTAGCATATATACATATATATATGCATATATAGATATTACCGAAATTAATCTCGAGGTATATTCTGCCGAGAGGTTCGACATCAAACCAGGCAGCTATACCACCATCACTGGTCTTTCGTTTATTTACTCTGGTTGGTTCAGGTTGTGCAGTAGGAGGAACAACGGAGCTACCGTCGTCATTGTGTTGTTGGGCTATTTGAGCAGGTACCCAGTTTGAATCATTTTGTTCTAATTCCAATTTTTGTTTACGCAGACTTTCAGCTATATCGGAAATCTTTAACCAGAGTAAACCGATAGGTAAAGTGCGATCACCGGATTGATCATATATTAACAATTCTACTTCTGTTGCTTTATCGACATGCATTTCAAAGGCATCAGTCCATTTATCATTCTTGGAAAGACGAGTACGAAACTGAATATTTCCATCAATTTTGACCATGACGGCAGTATGGGGATCACGAAACATGCGGGTAGGGGCATGGGCTAATTCATGAGCCTCCAGTATTTTTAATTGAAGTTTACCAGTGACGGGTCTGCGTGCTCCAGGCAAGCCTCGAAGTACAGGTCTTGTCTCGATCTGTCGTTCGTCTTCTTCTTGATTTTCCATCAGATATTCAAGCTCGTCATCCTCTCCTAAATAAAGATCCTTGTATTTCTTGACAGAGTTGTTTAGTAAGGTCATCTTTTCAGTACACTCCAACTGCTTTTCATGAAGTTCGGCTTTTCTTCGACGATCTGCTGCTGTGGATGACGTACGTTCCAAAAGGTTGTAGAGGTTTCGGATACCTTCCTGCACTTTCTTTTCCACATCCACTTTATACTCTAATTCATGAAGCTTTAGGGACACCTTTGCTCTATTAATAGGTGTATCTGCTTCCAAGAGATCTAATATTTTGTATAGTCCGTATTAATATTGTACACACACTCACACACATCTATAATTTACCTAGATTAGTGTATCTCCTTTTTAGTTCTTCTTCCTCCGTAGAGCAAGTGGAGTTTGTTGTGGCAGTGGGAAAATAAGATTGTGAAATTTGACTGGGAGAGTCGACCAAGGGTTGGTTAAGACTAGTAGAATCTATGGTTGTGTTGGAGGAGTCACTTGATATTTGAGTTTGACTGGGAGGTTGTAGGGATATGAATGAGGCACGACTGCCTCTTGTCTGGAGTCGACGAAGTTCCTCAGTGAAATAGTCGATATAACGTTGTGATTCTCTGATTTGAGTATCGCATTGCAGTTGAGCATTACGGTCCTTTAAAATTTGACGAAGCTCAATCGCTTTTTTCCGTAAATGTGTATTTTGTTCAATCTTGGATTGGACTTCTTTTATACGCGTTTCAAGTTCCTGCTCAATAAAAAGGTGTTTAAAAAAGAAGTGGACTTTCTTGTTTGTAAGTGGCTTTTTTTTGTTACCTCCATAATATTTCTTCAAACGTAAAGGAAAAGAAAAGGGGATTTCGCTCTCGGCGTTTCAACAAGGCGGATAAATATTAAAAAAAAAAAAAAAAAAAAAAAAAGTCGCAGATAAGACAATCTTACATAGCAACCCCCCATAGGCTCATAAGGTGATCCATCGACCCATCTTCCTTAGAAATGGTACGCAGTAATTGGTCTTGTTGCATCCCCAATTTTAAAGAACCATCAGTCGGGTGTATTACCATAAAAATCGAATGACTTAATAGAAATTTGTTACCAACTAGTTGGTCTTATTTGTGATTGTAACAATTCATCGATACGCTAATAAAGCCATTGTGACAGTTTATTGATATATGCAATCAATACCATCACTTGTATGCAAAATGCGCGGGTTTTTTTTGTCCCCTAGAACTTTCAAGTAAGGCGGGAGAATCGTTTGGGTTTTCGTTGAAAGGAGAGATTAGTTACTAAATTCTGCATCATCTCCTTTAACTTGGTACGCTAGTTTAGGATACTAACCTGATGGCACCCATCCATCCAGTCAACGAAAAACGAATAGACACGGTAGCCTTATTTACTGTAAACGTGAATAATGTATAAAAGTCGGGTAGGTTCCGCACGACATATGTCATTAAAACTCTCATATAAACTTACGTTAGAAGCATTGTCATCAGCTATTTTATTATTAGCAAAGCGATGGGCTCGTATAGCATTTTTTGACACGACTAATGGATTTGGCCTCCTTGTATAGCGCTGTATGAAAAAATTGAAGCAATTACAAAATGACAAGATCTAAGGCAGTATGCATTTCTACCAGATTGTTACCCAAAACTTTTTCTATAGAAAACAGCCTAACTATTCTAATATTTTTTGACAGTCAGCTTTATTTGATCATTAGCTCTGTGCTTTGTAAATACTCTTGTTACCATTAGAATCCGAAAGAAAAACGGTACCTGAAAACATGACTGACTCTAAAATAGATGATGTCAAACGGGATCAGAAGTTGATTATCGATTTTTGCATAATCTTGTGTTTGAAAGAAAAAAAAAACCAATAGTGCAACAAAAATCTATACAGAAGACTATGCTTTCAGGTTTGTTTTACAGAAACCTGCTTTTGGACCATATTCCCTGAATGGGGCAGCAATTCCACGCTGGGTTGACTAACTATATGAAAAACCGAACCAATCCTATACATATATAAAAAAAATTTTTTTAAGGGAAAGGATGTGGTTGGGTAGATTTAATCAAAAAAAGTTTATAAACTCTAATGATAGGACATAAAAGAAATGTGCATGTAAGCAATGATTAACATGAGATTTAAAAGACTTATTGTACAACACCAATCTGCTGTGTTCCACAAACGGATTGTTATTCAATTGCCTTTTTTTTTTTTAAGTATGTATCTGGGAGGAGACAGAAGAAGGACTGCGTATAATGCTTGCCTTGGTATATGCCTATTTTATGAGGGGATGGTGCTAAGCAGAAAAATACGACCGCAGGAAAAAATCAGCTCAGCTTTGATGAAGTATGTGCTGCGGTTGTTTCAAAAGAACGATGATTTGTAAGGGGCAGAGCGCCCAAAAAGACAAAAACCCGGTCACAATAATATGGTCTGATTGGCGAGATTACTGCGCCTTCATTGAAATAAAAGTCCACAGTCAAATTAAAACTTTTTTTTTTCTTTTTTACTTTATTTTCATTGCAAATCTCGAATGGCTGTCCGTAAGTATTTTTGATTGAGGATTACATGCGAGTTTGTTTCTAACAGTATAATTTAGGTGCTCAATTTGAAAATAGTAACGAGATCGGTGTCTTTTCCCGTTTGACCAACAGTTATTGTTTGGTCGCTTTAGGTGGATCCGAAAACTTTTACAGGTAAAAAAAAAAAAGTGAGATTAGAGGAACAGCAGAAGAACTGACAGAGCTTATAGTGTTTTTGAAGGAGAGTTGGGTGATGTTATCCCCGTTGTCCATACCTCTATTGCCGGTACCCGTATTATTGGTCGTTTAACTGCCGGTAACAAGAACGGTTTGCTTGTTCCTAGCACCACAACTGATCAAGAACTTCAACATTTACGTAACTCACTTCCTGAAGCTGTTGCTGTTCAACGTGTTGAAGAGCGTTTATCTGCTTTGGGTAATGTCATTGCTTGTAACGATTACGTTGCTTTAGTTCATCCTGACATTGATCGCGAGACCGAAGAAATTATTGCTGATACTCTTCAAGTCGAAGTTTTCCGTCAAACAGTTGCTGATAATGTGTTAGTCGGTTCTTTCTGTGCTTTAAGTAACCAAGGTGGTCTTGTTCATCCTCGTACCTCTATTCAAGATCAAGATGAATTATCTTCTCTTTTGCAAATTCCTTTAGTTGCTGGTACAGTTAACCGTGGTTCCGATGTTATTGGTGCTGGTTGTGTCGTTAACGATTGGTGTGCTTTTGCTGGTATGGATACCACTTCCACCGAATTAAGTGTAATGGAAAGTATCTTCAAATTACAAGATGCTCAACCTACTGCTATTATCAATGAATTAAGAGATACCTTGGTTGATACTTACTCATAAATATTTTATCGCAAAGCCTCTTTTTTCATTTTGTCAAATAGTTTTTTTTTCCCTTCTTATACACGCAATTTACATCTCTTTTTAAAAACATATTTTGAATAAATATTGTAACATATTTTTATTAATTTTCATGTCCAGCCTCTTATAACTTACTACTCGATTTCTCGCCCTCTTTTATTCAATTTCTTGCCTTCTTTTTCTTTGTACACTTTTTTTTTTTTTATGAGTAATAACCAGAAATTACAGCAGGCATTGAGATCCCTGAATCCGTTACAGTATGCTGCCGTCACATCCGACGCCGAGTCACTTCAAATCGTGGCAGGCCCCGGATCAGGGAAAACAAAAGGTTTCTTTCTTTGTTGTCATTGACCAAAAGATTGGGAAGACAGATCACTAAATACAACTGCCATTTCTAGTTCTGACTTGCCGAGTTTCGTATTTGATTTTTGAGAAAAATATTAATCCTTGCGACATTATTGTCGTTACTTTCACTAAAAAGGCTGCTACAGAACTCCAAGAACGCTTGAATGCCCTGATTGGGTCGAGCAAAGCTGCGCAATTACAGATCGGTACTTTCCATAGCATTTGTATCTCAATTCTTCGTCGCAATGCCAGATTGGTCGACATGAAACCTAATTTTAAAGTCATAGACGATCGAAAAAGGTACGTTTTTCTATTTTCCTTCGGAAATTATGATACATAAAAAGAAGGCCAAAAACTGACCCGCAGCTGTAGAAAAGAAATAATAAGAGCATTAATTAAGGATGAACATTTACCCATAAAGTATGGAGGCAGACAAATTAAAGCGGGTAATCAACCTCCCCCACTCGAAAAAGCTTTACAAATTTCAGATCATTAATTCTTCTGTCGCGCAGATGTCATTTTGGCGGAAATAGAAAATGCAAAAGATAGAGGAGAGAATTACATCAAGTTTCTCAATCTGTATAGCGGTGGAACCTCTGAGTATATGTCCTACATTTCCATCTATTACATGGCTTATGAAGAAGAATTAAGGCGACAGAACGTTATGGTAAAAAACACGTTTATATTTTACATTCCCCCGCATGGATATTCAAACATATATTGCAGGATTTCGGCGGATTAGTATTAAAAACTTGTGAATTATTGAGGTTGAAAGACAGTATCTTTTATAATGTTGATTGTATATTGGTGGACGAGGTACTTCTTGCTAATCATATAGGTTTATTTTTTTTACTAAAATTATAACTCTAGTTTCAGGATACAAGTACATCTCAATATGCCCTTATCGTGCTTATATTATCACAGCTTGGCCAGAGAACGGTTACAGCTGTCGGTGATCCTGATCAAGCTATCTATGGTTGGAGAGCTGCCAAAAGTAGAGTTTTTGAAGCAATGCAAGACGATTATCCAAAAACCAAGGTGATCAACCTGGAAGAAAATTATCGTAGTACCTCCATGATAGTCAGATCTGCAAGTCATGTCATCGTCCAAGGTAGCCTTTATGTTTTTTTTTAAACACAGAAAGCTTATCCCCCGATATTAAATAGATTCAAAACGTATGGATAAGGCACTTTATACCAATAATCCTACTGGTATTCCGATATCATTAATTACAACTACAGACGAGAAAAGACAAGCTGAGTTTGTTGCTTACGAAATTGGCAAGCTCATCAACTATTCCAAGGGATTGGTCCAGTACAAAGATATAGCTATTCTTATGAGAGCCAATTATTCCTTTCGACAATTTGAACGTACATTTCGTGTACATAAAATTCCTTTTCTTCTTGTAAGTCTAGCATGTAAAACCAAGAAATGGATGTATACTAAATAGTTAGTTAGAAAGGTGGAGATAGATTTTTTAACCGCATGGAGATTAGAGATATGCTTGCCTATCTTCGTTTTGGATCCGATCCATACGATGTAACATCGTTTGCTAAAATCATCAATGTCCCTGAAAGAAATATTAGAAGAGTCACAATCAACCGTATCTTGTCTATGACTGAATCTTTTGGAGTGGACCTAATTGATGCTATTGATATACTTTTGCGCGAAGAAAAGCAGACAGCAGCTGCAGATCGAAAAGAACTCTCGAGGCTCTTGGAAATATGTCGTAGTATTCGCAAGAAAATTATAGCAGAGGTATCACAGAGGACAATAATTAGAATTCATTTATAATCATTGTACTCAGACCTTTGGTCTTTTTTTTTTAAATGAAAAAATAGGAACATATAGCTGAAATCCTAAAGTTTATTTACAAGGAAACAAATTACTACCAACATTTAACTCAGCATTATCATTATGATTATATTGTGCGGTGGAAAAATTTGGGCGAGCTGGTGACAATTGCAGGAAGTAAAAAGGAGATGGGTGGATACGAAGACGAAGAGCCCAAGGGATGCTCAACGACGGACCCGATTGATGAACCAATTTTGATAGCAAAAGAGTAAGCTATTTAGTGTGTTATTTTATACTATCGGTAACTGAATAAATTATTAGAGAACATGTGGAAGTGAAATTACAACAGGATGACCCAAAAGTTGATGCCCATCCGAAAGAGCAGAAAAAGGATTTGCCCAGAGATGATTTTGTAGAAGTTGCAACGGAAGATCTTTTCACAGATGACGAGGATTTTCCTGACACACTATCAGAAGGGGAATCATTTGCCAAAGTGTTACTGGAAAAGGAAGCGCTGGCAGAGACATTGATCAAGGAAAAGGCATTTGCAAATGCATTGTTGGAAGAAGAAGAATTTATAGAGACTTTGTCACTAGAAAAAACATTTTCAGATGCGCTGCTAGACGAACAGAGATTTGAGAAAGCTCTATTAGATGAAGTGGCCCTGTTAAACGGCGTGGCTTTTGATGGAGACGAGGAATTTACAGGAGATTTGCTCGAAGATGAAGCTTTTTTTGAAGCTTTTGTCAAAGGAGAGTTGTTATCGGAGACAAAACCTCAGGAAGAATCATTAGTACAGACTGTGTGGAATGATAGTGAGGTTCCATGTATACCAAAAGAAGAAGATTCAGACTTAAATATACGTTTAAAAGAAGAATTCCAAACATTATCGCTTCTTGAGTTTGAATCTACTCAGGCTCATGAATCTGATACAACGCAGGTCCCCGAATATAAATCAACGCAGATTTCCGGATTCGAATCTACCCAAACTTACGAATTTGAATCAACGCAGAATTTAGGATATGAATCAACGCAGAATTTAGGATGTGAATCAACGCAAATTTTAGGATGTGAATCAACGCAAATTTTAGGATGCGAATCAACGCAGAATTTAGGATATGAATCAACGCAAGCTTCCGGATTTGAATCAACGCAAGCTCCTGGATTTGAATCAACACAGGCTTCCGGATTTGAATCAACGCAAGCTCCCGGATTTGAATCAACACAGGCTTCTGGATTTGAATCAACTCAGAGTGCACGCGCATCAATACCAAAAGGTATTCAAAATGTTCAAGAGTTTTTAAACTACTGCAATTCTTGCAAGAACCAAAAGTTCCAAAAAGAAACTGATGGCGGCGTTAGTATTTTCAACAAATTATAATTTTTACAAGTATTAACTATTATCGATTGTACATTAGTCGGTCACTTTATCTACCATTCATGCCGCTAAAGGTAAAACAATTAATCATATAGAGTGTATTTCAAATTGTATTGACCCAATCGAATTTTAAGGTCTGGAATGGCCATGCGTATTTATTGTCACATGTGCTGAAGGAGTGATACCTGCAAATGGGGATCGTGATGAAGAAAAGTGAGGATGCTAATAACTCTTTTATTACACAATCTGACCGACTTTTAACTATGTAGGAGAATTCTGTATGTTGCAATGACTAGATCAAAATGTAAGGTTTCACTTGTTTTTTTAATATTTGAAAGAACTACTAACAGCTGATAGTCTTACTATATTGCGTAACACCCTTAAAACTGGGAGATTGGGGGTGCCAAAAGCAGGTACCAAGAACACCATTCCTGGAAGATATGGACAAAGATCTTTATACGGAATCCTCTCCTATTTGGAACCAAGAGCTACGTAAAATGTTTGCTGAAACTATACATAGGCCAACACCAAAGGATGAAGATTTTTTAAGAGACTCCAACTTACCAAAAAACACTAGCTCTCAGCCGCTACCAGGATCAATGGCGCCAGTAACACCGACTCATACATCAAGCTCTGGGAGTGGGTTCCAATTCTATCAACCCTATTCATCATCGACCCGTTCGAAGACCAATACAACTACAGTTCCGACTTATAATACATCATTTGATGCAAAAAGCCATACTTCAATTCAAGGCATAACTATATCTTTTTCGGGACTGAAGAGAGTTCGTGATATGGGAGAAGAGGAGATCGATCTTACAAATATTAAAAAGGAGCCTAGGTTTGAAGACATTTGAATTTTAATCACGAATGGTCCAATCCATCAAGAAATTGGTACTCATGACAGTACTTGTACATTATTAACAAGCTATAAATAATATATTATTATCGGGAAAATAAAGCATTGATACCCATTTAGTTTCTTTATTGACCTTTTGTAATGCCACAGGATTTTTTTTTTTTTTTTTACTTATAATTACAACAAGGTCTAAATAAAACTTTATGCTTTCGTCAATGCTGCTTATCAAAATGATTGTATATATATAGGATCTGGATTTATTTATCAAACCCAAGATTTTAAAATTGAAAGTAGACCAACAAAGTTCACTAGAGTATATGTGATGCCGTCTACAGCCAATTCAATAATTGAAATGGTGCGATGAACTTGTAGTAATGCAAAAGTGATCACGAATAAGAAAAAAGCTACAAGAAACATAAACCCGTATATTTGTATTGGTGGTAAAATAACCAGTTGTTGAACGACAGAAGTATTCCCCGTACTCGTGGAGCCTTCAGTTTTTGTATTGTAGTGAGTTGTCGTGTTTGAAATCGTAATGGGAACATTAAGTGAGAATACTGTTCCAATGGCAACTGTATTACTCGTTGAGACTTGTGTTGATTTCTTGACCCAAGGTTTTGTCCATTTCGATGTTTTGCCGTGTTTTTCTACAGCAATGACATTTTGTTCTTTGTGGAAATATGTTTTAAGTTTGTAAATTCTGGATTTGAATCCCAGCTTTTGCTTTGCTTCGTTCATCGTCTTCATTTGAGTTGCGGGATAAGTTCCCGGAAGTGCTGTGTGTTGTATCATGAAAACAGAAAGAGGAAAAATAATAATTAAGCTCGTGTACTCCAACTTTGTCGGTGTAAATGTTGCGCTGTAATAATAATTTGTGGCGAAGTTGTTGATAAAAACTGTCAAGTCCCGGTATGAAGGGTCTGTACAGTCAATTAATTCTTTATTTCTACCATACCCGTGACAGAGGCAGTCAATTTATTCGCGTTCTTGACGGATTTTATTGAACTATTCAGGCTTTTATTCGATTTATTCCGGGATATTTAAACACTCCTTACTTTTGCAAATAAAGGATGTTGTAGTGTATTTTATAAAACAATGGATATAAAAGTCAGATTCAATAAGGTAGAGCACATAGTTAAGTGGTGGTGTATCATAAGTAGAAAATTTAAACACCTAAAATCAAAATTGTTAGTGGTTGATTTACATGTATTATACGTATTATTTTAGTTATTTTAACCGATGGCGACCTCCATTTGCATTTTGTTTAAAACAGTCGTATCCAATTTTAACCCACTTAAAGAGAACAAGCTACTTACGTTTCAATAAACACGAACAGAACACTGATAAAAAGAGCAGGTATACGGATAAATATTAAACTTACTTTAACAGACGTGGAAAGATTATAAACATTAGTTACTGCGGAAAAGCTTTAGCCAGTAACAAAGCAAGCTACATTTCATTATTTGCAGATACATACATCAAGGTTTATGATAAAAACAGAATATATTCGTGGGAAATAAGAAGGTCATGTCTGTAGTTGGAAAATAAAAAAATTAGAAAACCGGCTGTCATAAAAAGACTTTTATTCATAACCGGTCGTTAGGATTTATTTCAAGTAATGCCACCCTGTACAGATTTTTTGCAATAAAGATCAGCACCGTCTTTGACTTTGTGCGTTTTGGGCTCAAGGGACTTCATTTCATTCAAAATCGCTTTCCCCGGGATGACATTGTTGATAGATGTGGCATGCTCGGCACTCAGTACTTGTATCAAATCCACATTATTTTTTTATATATATTGAAAGTAAAGTTTTCAGTTGTCATTGTCAATATTTTTTTTTTTCTGTTTTTACCGAAGAGGCACACTGGTTAAGGCACTTACTTCAATAGTCTGCGCACATTTGATGCCGTTTGAAATGGTATAAAATTTGAACTCGAAATCCAAGAATAGCTCACACTTGCAAATTATGTTAAATACAAATATGTTATTTGTGAATGCAATTGACCATAGCTGAAGGTAATGGCTGAGATTATACTGTTGTGATAAGATTGTAAATAGCTGGGCTCGCACTATATACAGCTGATCCTCAGTAGAGGTTATAGTTTATTATCTTCCAGATTTGTATAATTTGACATTTCGATGTTATCAAAGCCACAGCAGTTGCAGTAACCATAGGTATCGTTGACTTTTGAGAAGGTTGGCTTTCACTATACTTCAATTGTAGCCAACTTCTAACACAGGATTTTCCATAGTCACATTTTGACAAAATTGGCCATAAAGGCAACAAATTTTTTTAACCTTCTGCCAAAAACCTAAATAACAAACATGCTTTTTGAAAAACCCAAGCATCACCACCACCGTGTGAGCGAATTCCAAGCTGTTGTGCTTGCAGGTTACGGAAGCAGTAACAGGTAAAGCACTACATGTGTTTCAAGGTGCTTTTTTCGTTTTAACTTTATTTTGTGTCAGACTTTATCCCATTTCAGAAGAAGACAATTTACCCAAGGCCTTGCTTCCTGTTGGAAACAAACCTGTCATTTCTTATACTTTAGAATGGCTTGAGAAGGCAGGCATTCATGGTAACAAAAACGATTCTTTTTTTCCCCCGTGTTTTCGTGAAAAAAATTTCACTCAACCCAAAAACTTTTTGATCAGATGTCATTGTTGTTATTCAAGCTATTGGTAATGCACCCCAAAAATTATCAGCTTACCTCAGAACTTACACCGGCAATGTTCACACCCAAGTTGTCAGCGTCGATGAAGATGATGAAACAGCTGATGCTTTAAGAGCCATTAAAGACAAAATCGACGTACGTATAATTATAAGCGTAGCAACCTAATTTGTAAAACTAAAAAACAATCACCCCACCAGAGAGACTTTATTGTCGTTCCTTGCGATCTTATTACCGAACTCAATCCTCGTGATTTTTTTGATGCTCATCGTGTATACGATCCCACTTTCAGTGCCTTATTCTACGAGCCCGGATCTACTGAAAGTGCCAGCAAAGACGACGGTATAATACAAAGCAGCGGTGAAAGTAAAATTTATTTATTGACTTATCATCATTAGATCTTTTACCTTATGTCGGTATCGACCCAACTCGTAATGCCTTAGTTTATAAAGCCATTCGTTCCGAAGATGACGATTTCTCTATGCGTATGTCCTTATTAAACAAGTAAGTTTAATACAAGGATTATAGAAGATGTTATCGCTAACCACAGGTCATAGATTTCCTCGCGTGAGAGTTCACACTGATTTGCAGGATGCTCATTTGTACATTTTTAAAAGATGGATCATCGACATGTTGGTAGAGAAGGAAAATATCACCAGCATTTCAAAGGATCTGATACCAATGTTGGTCAAATGTCAATACCAAAAGAAATTAGTGGAAAGGGAAGAAGTCAACAAATGTAAGTGTGCTTGCATAAAACAATAAACAGTCAATAACAGTATATATATATATATATATATATTTATAGACGCATCAACATACGAAAATTTGCTTGCTAATGCACTTTCTCTGTCTACAACACAATCCGCTGATTTGGATGACGAATTATTTATGAACGATCCTATTCACTCTAGTTTTAAAAGCCCCATCAAAACTTACGTCCACGTTTACCGCGGCGGTTTCTGTGGTCGTGGTAACACAACAGCAAGTTACAGTGAATTGAATCGTTATGTAAGTTACAAATACAGGTTTTCAGCATCCCTCCGTATTCACATGATAAGATAGGTTACAAAGCAGGGTACTTCGATCATTAATGTACCTTCTAGTGCAGAAGTCGCACCCAGAACTCAAGTTGGTAATGATTCAGTGATTGGTGAATATACTAAAATTGATGAAAGATCCTCTGTCAAGAAATCTTGTGTCGGTGCTCACTGTGTTATTGGCAAGAACGTAAAGATTGCTAATTCCGTCATTATGGACCACGTGGTTATTGGCGACAAGTGAGTCTATCCTCTAAAAAAAAGGGAGTGTACATGTAACATGTGGTTTAATTCTTTATAATTTCATTTTAGTGTTAAAATTGATGGCTGTATTATCTGTAATAATGCAAACATCCAAGAAAAGGCATATTTGAAGGACTGTGATGTTGCAGGCGGATATATCGTAGAAAAAGACAGTAAGGGTTTAAGATATGGACGAAACCTTTTTTTTTATTCTAACTTATTTTTGTCTTCACAGGTCAATTAAAGGGTGAAAAATTGGTTGCTTTTAGAGAGTCTATTTAATGTTGTGTAATAGTTTATTTTGGATCATATGAGAACCGTACAAATAAATACAGTGGCCGCAACGCCAATGATCGGTTATAGTTTCCAATGGGTGGGTTCGTGTTTTTTTTTTCTAAAAAAAAAAATTACTTGAATATTCCCAAGGGAATAATTTTTTTTACCACCTAATTTATGTTTTGTTTTTGTTTACATATGTCATGACTAAATGTGTATGATGTACTATGCATCCGTTCGACATCTCCGGATTAAATATACTAAGTTTTTTTTAGCATTAATGCGATAATAAAACTACAATTTATTACAAAATTGGGAGATCCGAACATGAAACGGTAGCTAATATTTACCTCTTTTATTACCACGATCACAAAGTGGCAAATTCAGTATATTTTGTCCTCAAAGGCTAAAAGTTTTCGCTTCTATCCCATGCTTAAAGGAGTTTCGATCTTATCGTGATAATTAATAAAATGCAACCGATGTACTTCGTAGTATCATTCGGGTCTTAATAGGTCCATTAACTGATATCCAATGAATTCGGACTCATTAATTCTTTTAGATAAAGAAGACGCAGAAATCATGCTTAAGTTTTGAAAAATGGAATAATTTACATACCTCCTTTTTTTTTTGTTATTAATGTTGGGAGATATATTATAATAAAAAAAGCTTACTATCGACCCTTAATACATGTAAGGGAAGTTTTACGATGCGAGATACTTGAAGCAAAAACAGTTTGGCGGTAGACGTCTTGACCAGAAATAGGGATACAGAAGACATTGATGCTCTTTTCCGCATCCGATCTGACTCCTAGAGATAAAATAGCTCTTATAGACTAGTTTAAGGGGGTGGAAATGCTTATGTTGTGACTTTACAAAACATCATGCTATGCCAGATTTACAAGCAGAAGCTAGCGCTTCTTCTTCTTCTTACAAAAAGGTGACCAAAAGGAGAGAAAATCAAACTTACTATGCAACAAAAAAATGGTTAATATCGCCAAAATTCGACTGCGCTGTTACTTATGTTGATGGATTATTTCTAAAATACAGCTTGTTTTATGATTTAAAACCCGCTTAAGCGTTAGGGTCGATGGAATATCGTTTAACTTGTTTAGTAATTTGAAAGGTGCACAAACAGACAAGTGTAACATTGTTCAACCTAAAATCGTGCTTGATTTCTCCCTCCTTTTTTCTCTTTTTTTTTTTTTTTTTTTTTTTTTTTTTTTTCTTTTGCATAAGGTAAACCGCTCCACTCGAATTTTCTTCTTCTTTATCTTCTCTCTCTCTTTTTTTCCCCAAAAAAAAAACATGTCTTCGAACAATATGATAACTTTAACTTCTGTCTCCAGTAAGTAGTTTCTTTGTTCTCATCATTCTCTTCGCGGAGAATATGATTGTAATAAAGTACAATCTTTTGACAAAAAAACTAGATTCAAGACTAGAACATTTCCGGACTCAACATGAACTCGCGCGTAATTTTTATGATGACTATGAATTCTGCCCTGTAAACTACATAGAGGAGGTATGAAGTTTTGTAAACTATCTTATGTTCGTAATAATAATAACCCCCCCTCCCACAAAAATAAGGTTACCGAACATCGGGAAAGAGTTCAAAAACGTACTTCGCCATACCCATCACCAAATCATTCCCCACCACCATCTTATTATATTGCACCTAACCATCATCGTCATCAAAATTCATCTCCAACAGCTATAAGTACAAGAGCAATCCCTATCATTGATCCAAGCAATATGACCCCTGTGTCCGTACCTGTGCATCAACAATACCCAGTGAAACCAAATACTCCATCAATGGCTCAATGGATTGCATACAAAAATACTAGCCCAACGAGCAGTAATAGCAGCATAAGTAGTATAAGTAGTAGCAGTAGTGGTAATAGTAGTGGCAACAACCACTGCTATAATTATTATTCTAGTAACAATTGTGCCATAAATTATAACCAACAGCCACCTCATTTTCAACAACAACAGCCTGTGATTCCAGTCGTTGCTCGGGGGATACCTATTATAGATCCTGCAACAAGACAAGCATTTCGTCAGCAACAACAAAGCCCAAATATACCTCCTGGATTCTATAACGTTTCAGTATGCTAAGGACATCAGCCGTTCTTTTTTTTTTTGTGTAGATCATCATCCTATAATACATTCTTAAATTATATTTTACTTGGTATATATTCGGTTTTATCATTTATTTGTAAATTTTTTTTCTGTTGTAACAAATATATACAATTATAAATCATTTCCTTTCTTTTTTTTTCTGGTAAAAAAGAAAATACCTTCCACCATCGTATCTAAAGCCTTCTAAGAATCGCTTTGATGACGTCTTGTGTATTACCCTAATTATGTGTGTTACAAACGTATCTTTTTATCTTTCATTGGCGTAAAATGACAAATGATATTTGTTATATCTTGTTACTAGCTGCACATTGGATTTTTTTTTATCGAAGTCAACGCCGGTTTGTTTATTGTTATATGCATTAATTGTTTATACACACAAAAACAAAAGGCACTGTGCATCCCTTTTTTTTTTTTTTTTTTTTTTTTTTTTGGCAATACCTACAAGCCAAATTTAAATCAGACGGGTATTTCATAATTCATCTAATTGAGTAGGAGGTATATTTTTAAAATTATGAACGTGTCTAAATGAAATTAAAACCTACCAAACTATGTTGAATATGTACGCACCTCCCCTCTAGAGAAATAAGACAATTCTAGGCCAATTCTTTCATTGTTTGAACCAACCCTTTACTATAGTATCAGATTTGTAATATAACCTATTTTATCTCTATACTTGCATACTTTTTTTATATAACGATATTCTGTTGTTCTAAGTTTGCATATCCGTACCAACTGAGTTTTTTTATAACAAGACACAAGTGGCACTTTAAGCGCGCACGGACCTAATTGTGCCGCTGTAGTACTGAACTTAGCAGACAGTGGCAAAATATGGAACTGAACCACATTTTGAAATTGTCTCCAAAAGATAATCTTAATAATAATAATCACAAAAGTGGGAATTGTGTGCTATGTTAACATAATAAAAAACTTAATTTGTTGTCAAAGAACGTGTTATTTTGTATGCAGACTAAATAAGAAGATTGTATTTCACTTACTATCGAGGCATTGCCCAAATATATTGGCATTCTCTCATTTATTATGTCATAACACTGCAAGGTTGTCGTTTCAACTTTTAATTCAAAAAACAAACAGTTTTTTGGTGGTCGTTTAATGGAAGGGAAGGTAACTTCTTATTATAAACAATATAATGTGACCCTCCAAATAGTTAATGATTAGACTTAACCATTATCAAAAGACTCTGACTTTATATAGAATAGTCTCTCTTTATATATATATATATATATATATTTGATTTATGTAGAATCTCCAGTTACATGTACCTGGAAAAAGACAATCAATATTCGCACCCCCCCCCCTCCCCCAGAAAAAGCACAGTCTACAAGTAAAGTCAAACAATTGCTGTAAGTTAGACGCTAATACAAATTAGAGTTAGTTACATTTATAATTATTTCATGTAACTATGCTAATAAGCTCAACCTTATTTACTTACCCAGAAATCGGAACTTTTTTAAACTATGATGTAGAACAATGTAAACTACGCGTTCAAACGCTTTTAATCCTTCTGGAAGATCTACTATTTTAGATGCAATAAATATATACGCGTATTTATTTTTATTTTTTACATTGAAGCGTTTTGTTTAGAAAAACAAATATTTAACAGATCTATGTAAAAAGGGTGTATATTTTTCTATCAATAATGTGGTAAAGAAAGATTCCATTAGGTGATAGTTAACGGTTTAAAAATTTGTATGATTTCAAGTCTTTGTTTCCAGTAATGAAAAGTCAGCAACAGAAAATTGTATGACAGTTTGTGATCTCATTGATTATTGTCGTAATTACCTCCAGTATTTAAAAACATCTCCGCTACATCGTTGTTACTGCAAGTACAATCACATAATTAAAAAGTATGTTAAAAAAAATTATACTTCATCTACCCGTAATAGGTATGACCGCATGCCACACAATAAAAAAAATGACCTTAGAGTCAAAGATATGCACTTATATTTTGTTGTCAAACAAATACATAGACTATTTCGTCATTAACAAAAAACTGCGTCTGTTATCACAATCAAGTTAGATATTATTTCTTCAGCAAAAAAACTGGTATAGATCGTAACGTTCATTCGATCAGACGCTCGTAAAATTTTCTAAGCATGTACGCAAAAATAGAATAGTAATGTCAGACAGATGACTAATATATGTCCTAATAAAAATTAGACAGCTGTACAAGGGACCATCTTTTAAGAGTATTCCCGCCGACTTTTCTCCCCGGTTTGTGCATCTTGTTTAAACAGAATTTATAAAAAAAAAATATAGAACATTCAAGATTTATCAGGATCACTTATCGAATTCTGTTTGTGTCACTCCTCATCATCGTCCTTGTGAAAATCAAACACCAAAGGAGAAAAAAAAGTTGCATTTATGGTAACAGCATAAATACAAGAGATATGATTTTTCCTATCTTCTTCAGCGCTCGATAAAATTATCATTTGTATCACCTCGAAAAGTCAGTTTAGAGATTTCCCACCCATTCCGAAATAGTAAAGTCATAAAAATTCATTTTCTAATCTGAAAGCCTTATTATTCATCGAATGAGTTATAATTGGGTGTTTTGAAGTGACACAAAAGTGATTGGTCAAAAGCTTCGACTTCCCCAATTCCAGTAAAAAAAAGCATTCATCGGATATACCTAGTTCATATTTTAAGATACAGCCACCAAGTGATATATATGATGGAAGAGAAGTAAGGTTAAAAAACAAAGACATAAAACTGAAACGAAACAGCTGTATTCATTTAAAGCGTTACGGTATCTTCAAGTCAATTTAGATAGTAATCAGAAACACAGATAGGTTAATTATAAGCATCTGCATTTGTATTTCTAAGTATAATCGTTTAGGATGTTGTTTAGTTCCTTTATTGACTCGACCTGTCAAAACACAAACTCGCCTATTAAACTCATTAAACTCATGCACACATTATGTACCACTTAATTAAGGGCCACCGTAGTATTAGTAATAAATATCGATACCGACCCCATATATGCCTATAGAATAACATTTCTTACTAATCTCATGTTACATGCATGTCAAATTGATACATATATGGAACCAACATGATTTATGACGCCATGTTTTTTGAACGAGAAAAAAGAGTTACCGCAGAAAATATTCTATGACCAAGACGTATGTCTTCACCCTTTGAAGATAGCAGAAAAGATAATAAAGATAGAGGCGAGTACATAGATAGGAATTTTCTGACATGCGACCTATTAAGTGATAACATGACTAGATTTAAGTATTGCTGTAAAAAAATTCTCTCACATTTCTTAATCAGTCATTCGAGTGTCACCATTTCTTTTTTTTTCCTTTTTAAGAGAGAGTATTTCGCACGATATACCCTATGAAATAGTTTGTGGCAGGCAATGATTTGTAAGAACGAGTCCCCTGGGAAGGTCCGCTGGTACAAGTATCTTTTGAATGCTAACCTCACCCCTTTCCTCTGCGGGGTTGCCCTATTATATCTTGTCCAGTTTCCCCATATATGTTTTACTTTATAAATGTTTGTAAAATAGATGAAACAATTCAAAAAAGGATGAAATCTAGTAGGGGAATACATTCCGGATCGAATGAAACTAAGTTTATATAATTTTGATTATTACAAAGTTGAGATATTCATATGGGCCATCCGGATCAGCCCAAGCATATCTAGTCGTTCTTTCAAATCAACATATTTTTACCGTTTTGCTGGTCTGAGGCTAGTAATGACAAATTGTTGTTTATCGGTCTCTTACTACTCGTCCAACGATAGTTCTCCCACTAAACCTCCTTTGTGGAAACTAATTGTATTCTTATTGGTCTTGATTTGTCACTTCCTGGTACATACGAAAAAAAAAAAAGCTTATTGAATATATAAAAGGTTTGCCCTTTTCAATCACTTTGTTATCTTCTTTTCTTCTTTTTTATTTTATTAACTAAATTAACTCCAAACACTTTACTCTTTAAAAATGTCTACTGCTAAAGAAATGAAAACTGTCACTGCCTCTACGATCGAGAAGTACCATCCTTTTGATCAACTTTCCGGTGATGAAATCATTGAAGTTGCTACCATTACCCGCCAATCTAAGCCCGATGTTGATTTCGTTTTCAACACCATCACTCTTAAGGAACCCAAGAAGGATTTAATGCTTTCTTATCTCGGATGGGATACATCCAGACCTCGTGTGACCAAGATTGAGCGTGAAGCTCTTGTGGTTGCTTTGGAAAAGAAGACCATGAAGTGTTATGAAGGTATTGTTTCATTGACTTCTCGTACTCTCAAGACATGGAAGTACATTCCCGATGTCCAACCTATTTTGACTATGGATGAAATGTTTGACGTTGAACAACTTGTGATGAAGGATGAAAAGGTGCGTCGTGAGTGTCTTGAACTTGGTATTACCGATATGTCTCAAGTATTTTCTGATCCTTGGGCTATCGCTCGTCATGTTGCTCATCCCGGCCGTGAGAAGCGTATGATGCAAGCTCTCATGTACATGCGTACTTGTGAGGATGACAATCAATATGCTCATCCTTTGGATTTCGTTCCTATTGTCGGTATGTGAATTACTCCCAATTTTTTTTTTTAAATTTTCTCTAATTTTGTATTCCCTTACTTCATTAGATCTTGGTCGTATGGAAGTGATTTCAATCGAACGTATTGCACCCAGAGATTCCAAGTTTACTCGTCCTACAATTCCCCAAGAAAACCATAACTTTTTGCCTGAATTCATCGGAGAAGAAAATTACCGTAAGGATCTTAAGCCTATTCTTATCCAACAACCTCAAGGTGTCTCTTTCACCGTCAAGGGTAGTGAAATTGACTGGCAAAAGTGGAACATGCGCATTTCTATGAACTATCGTGAAGGTCTTGTCATTCATAATGTCAGCTACCAAGATGGTGCCGAGAAGCGTCCTCTTTTCTACCGTATCTCTCTTTCCGAAATGGTTGTCCCTTATGCTGACCCTTCTGCTCCTCATTACCGTAAGCATGCTTTTGATGTCGGAGAGTATGGTTTAGGTCTTTGTACCAACAGTTTGTCTTTGGGATGTGATTGTCTTGGTTCTATCTACTATTTTGATGCTAACTTCAATGATCATGAGGGTAAGCCTTTCCACGTTCCTAGTGCTATTTGCTTGCACGAAGAAGATTATGGTATTTTGATGAAGCATACCGATTACCGTAACGGTCGTGCTCATACCATCAGATCAAGAAGATTGGTAGTTTCTCAAATTGTTACTGGTAAGTTTTTTAAATCGTGTGTGTGATTTTATGAGAGTGCGGTTTACTCATGGTTTTGTTTGAAAAAAATAGTTGCCAACTACGATTATGGTCTTTACTACTACTTTTACCAAGATGGTACATTTGAGTATGAGGTAAAGGCTACTGGTGAGCTTAACACTCATGTTTTGGCTGAAGATGAAACCACTGGTGGCTTCGGTACAATTGTTGCACCTCAAATCAACGCACAATATCATCAACATTTCTTCACCATGCGTATCGATCCCATGATTGATGGTCAACAAAACTCTATTCAACAGGTTGATACCTACTCTTTGGACTACCCTACTGGTCACCCCAAGAACCTTACTGGTAACGGTTTCACTAGTAAATATACCATTCTCAAAGATACCAAGGAAGGTCAAGCCACTGCCAATTATGATACTTCCAGATTCTGGAAGATCGTTAACCAAGACAAGATTCATCCTTATGCCAAAACTCCTATGGGTTGGAAGATTTCTTCTGGTCACACTGCTCCTTTATATGCTAAGCATGATTCACTTGTTGGTAAGTCCAATGACTTTTTTTATACATAAACACCTGTTCTAATGATTTTTTTTTCGTTTATAGCTGAACGTGCAGGATTTGCCAAGAAGACATTGTGGGTCACACCTTATAACGAAGACCAAATGTTTGCTGGTGGATTCTACTGTAACCAATCTGCTGGCGATGACACTGTTGAAAGATGGGCAAATGATAAGGTGCAAGATATTGAACAAAAGGATATCGTCTTGTGGTACACCTTTGGTATTACTCATTTACCCAGAGTGGAAGATTTCCCCATCATGCCTGTTGAATATTGTGGTTTCACTATGAAGCCTTGCAACTTCTTTATGCGTAACCCTGCCTTGGATGTCCCCCCTACCAACAAAAAAATCAACCATTCCGTTCTTGCTAGTGCTGAAAAGAAGGACAACTGTTGTTCAAACAAGCTTTAAAATACTTTTTTTTTGCTGAGCAAAAAAAAACCAAATCCACTGTACAATATACACACACAATTATCCCATTTACATTTTATATAACAATAAAATAATTCTTACTGTTTAAAGAAAAAGAAATTAATATATTTCGCAAAATACTTGATAAATACTGGGAATGTGGATATGGTTTTAGATCTTTCATTAATTAATTGTATATTGAAATTACAGTGTTGTTACTTCAAATTCAGACAAATGCAAATTATTTTTGGACAAACTTTTATTTGTTTTCAGACAGGCTTATAATTGTTTTCAGACAAACAGAAATATATTTCGGACAGTCGTAAAAAGATTTTCAGACAAATGTAAAAGATAATCAGACAAGATATCCATCCCAGTCAATACAATCTTTTGTGTCGATAATGTTACAAAGAATTTAAAGAGGACATCAAATTATTTTCTACCAACACTTCACGATTTAAGTGAGAAAAAGGTTCCTACACTTGTGCAGATAATTGGCATGATCTACCTGTGATGTAATGATAGAGGCGGGATGTTATTTGGGTAGGACATAGCGGAGGAAAAGATAATGATAGAGAATATGACATAGAAAAACGTACGGCGGTGAAAAACAACGGGTAAGTGATCCTAGATTATGACTACGCGCACTTTACCGGTCCTAAAGAAAAGCGTAATCATAATAATCTATTTAATCAAACTTTGAGACAGCCAAAACTCACTCAACAAAGCTTGTTTAATACGACTTATATTATAAATGAATAAAGTGATTTACATGCCTACAATTATCATACCCAGCCTACTACAAATAACCTCACTTCATAGCATATAGATACAATCTGATATAAAAAATAATAACTTTGGTTTGTACAAATACTTTGATAAATTAATAATAAGCAGCGGTCACATCAAATATATATATATCAGCCTGATGTCGATTTCAACAACAATTATGTCCTTTTCTTTCTAATATCTAAAACGGGATGCGTACACCAATTTATCCTGAAATTGAAGCTTTTATACAAACGAAAAAGTTAAAAAAATATGAAAGCCAACAACAGGAAACTGCTAGTGAAACCATTAACAAACCAAGTAAAAGAAAGAAAGGTAATATAAAGCTTTCTTCAATGTGTTGTAATAACTAAATCTTCCCAAAGGTGTAAAAAGAAAAGATACCCCAGAAGAGAAAAAGGCAAAAAGTGATGCAAAAAGAGCTAGAAATGTTGTCCCAAATACATCGAGTCTAGTATGTAAGTCCTGCGGTCAAAATGGCCATGCATCTGCTAGGTCCAGAGAGTGCCTGAATTATAATTATACAGTAAAAGAATTGATTCAACAAAATCTGGGTTCTCAAAATCAAAGATATACAGTCTCCATACCTCTCAAGTCATTCATGTCTTCAGTAGATGAGAATGCGAATAACACGGCGGTTGAAAAAATCAAAAGTCTTTCAATGTTTTTGCGAAAAGTCGCCTACAACGCTCAGCTTTTTGTCAACTTTTATATTTTGAAACATCCAAACAGTTTGCCTAATGAACTATTGAAACAAAACTTTTGGTATAGCGTATGTAGAGTGGTGTACCAAAATTTATCAATTCAAAATTTTCAATCACAATATCCACTTATTCCCCACCTCGCCGAAGTATGGGATGAGCTTAACGGTGTTGAAGGCGTCAACTTGACAGTTGATAAAGGAAATTTAACTCTTTACGGTCAAGTGGTTTCATCCGCTTGTGAATCTATAGCTACTTGTTATAACAACTATTATATAGAGAACTTTGAAAATATTATTGCAAACTACTTTATATACATGATCCGTCAAGCATTTCATGTAAGTGTAAAGCCTTGTTAAATATATATATTAAAAACTTGACATCAATTATTATTTTTTTAAAAGGACATAAAAATGCCCATAGTAAAACATATAGTATACGAACATGTGCTCAATGTACTATTTTCTCCAGGACTGGGAGCCATCAATTCTGACAATATTTCCACTTCTTTGAACAGTAAAGAGCAAGAAAACATTTGTACGTTTTTAAACCCATTGATATTGGAGATCAAGAATCGTATACCAGCATTTCCTGTGACAAAGGCAACTCTAAATAATGCCCCATTCAGCATTATGCCAGTACTTAAGCACATTCTGGAGAAATATGAGTCCTTAATTGTGGAAGCACCGCTACCTGTTCCTGTCTCTCAATTGGAAATCATCTCACAAGAACAATCAGACGAGACCCATCAAGTAAATAAAAGACCAAGAAAAAAGAAGAAAGTAAAAAAATACAAAAACGACAACAACGGCGTAAAAAGAGATTTCCAGCCGCCTCGTCTCTTCAGTCTATTCCCGAACCCTGGCTTGCATTGGCGTTTCGTTAAAATAGATAGCCAAAATTTGACTGGTCTGTTTCCGACGGCTTCAATGGAACGGTTAGAGGAAGAAACAGTTTTTGAATTCACCCAAAGATATTTTTTTGCCCGTTTTAATTTTGCTAAGATAAACATAAATACGTAGGTACATACGTTTTTAGCAACAAATAAACCTGCTAATTTTCAACTTGTATAGCTTTGAAAAATTAAAAAATTTACCTCAACGAAAAGGAAGGATGTTTATTAATAGCCTGTACACAGATGGGTACACTTGTAGGATTTCTTTTTGCCGAAAGGCATATGCAGAATCTCCTGTGAATGAAACTGCTTTGGAGCTGCAAGATTTTAATAGTGAAGAAATAGATCGTTATTTTAGACCTTGCACAGTAGATCCCAACAGAAAAGATGCTTTTGTGTCATTTCATGGTAACACGGATGTTAGGCGGCTTTCATCTGCCGAATATTACAACATGAATGGAAGTGCCAATCGTATGAAGTTGGAGCAAGACAGGAAGAAAGAACAAGGAGTGCAAACAATCGAGACAAACATACCTTCTGTAAAGTCAGCAGTTACTGATAAATATATTACGCATGTGAAATACATGATGCAACATAAGGACACACTATTTAGTTTTTACAATTTTCAGACAGCAAGAGTCAAATGGTGTAATTACATTGGAAAACAGCGTGCCCTCCAGGATGCTGTAAATACCCTAATTAACGGATCAAAGAAATACAATAAAGGACGACGGAAGAAAACAAGAAAAAACAAGAGAAAAAGAAGCAAGACAGCTGCAAAGTATCAAAGCAACACCCCTCAAGCCGGATCAAGACAAAGAAAAAGAGCATCCAGGTATTACTCACATATCCATGGATGTTGTTCCTCTTCTAATATATTTTTTTTCTTTTTAAAAAAAAAAAGAAGCCACAAAGAGAAATTTGAGGAGGGTGACAAAAGTAAAATGCCATTGATAATTTTTGGGGACGGTTTGAAGAATAAAAGTCACGTAAAGATCAGTGGGATTAGGCATGGCGTCTCTGAAATGATATACAGACAGTTGAAGCTGCGGGAAAAACTTGGAGAGTTATTGCTACTTGACATAGATGAATATAAAACATCAAAGGTGAAAGATATACGTGTCTATAACATGTAATTACTAATACAATGTCATTTCTTTCTTAGAACTGCAATAACTGCCTAGAAAGTAGTCTAGAAAACTTAAAGTATAAATGTGGAACGGACAACCGATCAATCCATCAAATATTCTTCTGCAAAAAATGCAATATTCGTTGGAATCGTGACGTTATGGCTACGAAAAACATGTACACCATTGCCACCTCAATTTGGAGAGGTGATGGCCGACCCGATGTCTTTAAAAGACAAAGCGCCACCTCCAATGTGGTTGCCACACCCTCACCGGCGATGGCTTAAAGATACCTACAGGTAAAAAAAAAAAAAAAAAAAAAAAAAAAAAAAAAAGTCTAACACTAAATCTGAATTTCCATTTTATATCGTCTGAAAAAGGTAAGCAAATGTCTGAAAGTGAATTTTTATTTGTCTGAAAAAAAACTGATGTTGTCTGAATTTGAAGTGTAAACACTGTATGTGCAATATCCAGCAGCGGAAAGTCAGTTAACTGCATCCGTCAATTTCATTGTGGGAGTCCAAATGTTGCAATGAAGTATTCTGAATACAGTTTTACATGTTCGGATATAAAACATGAAAGAGCCTATAAACAAAATCTCGAGTTTTTAAGACACATCTTACAATCTGCCGAATAAAAATTAAATTACTGATAAATACGTTCATCCAAGGTAAATTCCTCAGATTTTAGACTTTTACTATATAACATTATAGTGAAAAAGATGCACCAAAAATAATTTCATCATATCAAAATGAAAAACGTTGCAAATGCTATACTCAAAATCTGTCTTTCCTTTTGCTTTGTTCCTATTGTATGCGATACACGCTGATTTCAATTGAGCCTTATACATAGTAAACCATCGTTTCCGTACACCCCTCCAAGCTTAAAATATGCTCAGAATCATCTAAAATATCATGTCGGATCATTAAATCTTGATTTTCGATTTTTTTTTAAAAAGCTCAAAATTGGCTGAAACACAAAGGGTATACCTCAAGGAAAATCTCAAAATTTACAAATGCATCTTTTATGAACCTTTCCTGCAAGTTTTTCGAAAAATGTTTATAAGTAGATATAGCCCAAATTTAATGGGTTTTACACTGGCATTGTTTTTAGAGCAGTTTTATCATGACAAAAATTATTTCCAGCGCATAATTAAAAGATCAGTTCTTGTTAGACAAAGTTTTCTTTTTACATATTGAATTAATTTTTAAATATATTAAAAGATGCGCCTAAATTTTCTGCGCATTTTGGGTATAAAAGTACCTTAGTAAAAATTAAATATCCAAGGACTTTGCTTTGACACGAAAATTATAAAATCTCATTTTTTTTCAAATCGTTTCGGGAAAAGCGATTTTGTTTTCTCTGGCTGTAAGACGTCACAGACCTCTTTTAGTAAAAAGAAATACATGACGTTAAAGCCGGTCTTTGGGCGCATGTTCTCCGCGTAAGACCCTGTTTTCGTTAAAACACAACAGTAGGTCGTCAAAACACCCTCAAGCTTGTAAATTACAGTGAGAGCAGCTTAATGCACTGTGGATATGCTTAAACCGTGATTATAATAACAAAATCTTTTTTGCTTGACAGTGCCACAGATTTAACACACACAGCGCGTATATTGCTTGCGCAAGAAGTGTTTTCGTGACACTTCAACAGTACACCACGAACGGCTGTGGTCAGACTGTATATGGCTGAGATTAGACTGTAAATGGCTGTGATCACGCTATAAATAGTTGACGTCAGTGTTTTAAGCAGGTGAAAATGACTTTTATGGGTTAGATGACTACAAAGCCGGTCTGAACAGTCCTACATCAAGTGTCGTGAGTTCAGACTCGGACATTGAAAATACTTTCATGGTTGACCAACCAGAATAATACAGATCTTTAGTTAACACACTTTGCCTTATACTATACACTAGTTCATATATTCACTATATGTATACTAAGTATCTTGGCAAAGTACTATTCGATTACTAATTCATAAATATCAAAATAATATAAATACTCTTCCAATTCTTATCAATAAACGATTATCTTAAACTGAAATAATAATCTGAGGATTAAAGTACTCTAAACCCTATTTCTCTCTTTCTGATCTAACCTTCAAAGACCGACTACTCAAACTTATTTTACAAGTAAAAAACATGCGTTTGAGTATTCCAAACCTTTTGATGGATTATCTGGAGTTGTCTACGTCACTGATCACGAGTATTTTGCGTTTAAATCGAAAAAAAACCGGCGCGAAAGGGGTAAAAAATATGACATCCGTCAAGGAAAAGTTTTGAAATACAAAACATCGATTAAGGTATGTGATAATAAAAAACATTCAGACAGCCCGTTTTGATATGCTTGATTTATAAAAACGATGTTAAAGAGTGCAAAAATGTTGACTCGTGATTGGTTTTCCTCAATTTTTCAAGAGGAAAAACGTGGAAAGATTTATTTAAGGGTCAATGTAAACTCTCGCGGAAAGACACTTTTATTGAGCTATTTTATAGTGAAAAATAATTAGAATATATGGATTCATGCTTTTGTGCCAGCAAAAATGGGAAGCACCATAACAAAACATTGCATTTGGCCACAATATCTTTTATTCATACAACTAAGCATCAAATTAATGACAATCAAATTCATCCAAGGTGAAATCGTCAAATTTAAGACTTTGACTATGCTGTATTCTAATAAGAAAAATGCCGCTAACATGATTGCATGTTCCCGTTATTGAAAAAACAATAGATGCTATACCTAATAATGATCTCTTATTCTTTCTTGGTCCTTTTCTTTGCCTAACACCCTGTTTTGAATTGGATTTTGCATATAGTAAAATGTCGTTTCCGTACATCCTTTCAAGCCAAAAAAATGCTCAGAATTATCTAAAATATCATATTGGATCATTGGATTTTGATTTTAAGATTTTTTTCAAAAGGCCTAAAATCGACCAAAACACAAAGAGTGTACCTCGAGGAAAAACCCTAATTTTACAAATGAACCTTTTGAATACCCTTCCTGTAGGTTTGGTGAAACGTGTTCTTATATAACTATAGCCCAAATTTAATGCTTTTTACACTGGTGTTATTTTTAGAGCAATTTCATTATTAGAAAAGTTAGATGCAACGCATAATTAAAAAACCAGTTTTTGTTAGACAAAGTTTTTTTTATATATATTGAATTTATTTAGTCAATATAGCAAAAGATGCGCCTAATTTTTTTACGCATTTTGGGTATAAAATTATCTTAGTAGAAAATAAATATTCAGAGACTTTACTTTGACATGAAAATTATGGAATATCACTTTTTATCAAATCAGTTTAGGGAAATCGAGTTTTTTGCCACACTGCCCGCCCTATTTGAAACTCCTTTTTTTTTTTTTTTTTTTTTTTTTTTGGGCACAGCTGGGGAAGGAGTGTATGTGTGTTCTATCGCTTTTCTCCCTAGTCAATTTAAAATGGAAGACGAAATCATACAGAAAATATACAAGCTTACAACAGAACTAGCGTCTCAACAACAAAGTAACCAAGACCTAGCATCTGGCTTAACAAACCAATTGTCCGAATTAAAGGTAAGCTTTTCATATTTCACCGACCCACCTCAAAAAAGTTAATGGTATAACGTAAAAAGCAAAAAGCTGCCATCAAGTATTCAGACGATGGTAAATATCAAACCCATAAGCGAAATTATAACACACATGTTTAGCAGACACTCATTTTATATGTATATAGGACACCATGTATCCATTCCTGACCCATTGCTACCCGAACAACGAGATGAAGTAGTCGACTCTTTAAAGACTCGATTAGAAACTGCATTGCAACATCAACAAGCCACTCTCACGGCCAACCGAGAATTAGAAAAAGAATGCAACGATTTACGTGGTCTTGTTAAAGAATATGAGTCAGGCCTTGAAGCAGTGGCTAGTAAACTTCGAACACATGCAGTAAAGTATCCCCCCCCCTTTTTTTTTGTAACGCTGATAATTAACTTGTCTTCTATCTTAGAATGCTGCAACGGAAGGACAATTAAGGCTCAGGAGAGAATACGAGGCATTGTTAAACGCAGAAAAGGTACAATCCATAAAGACTGATGTTGAAATGAAGGAGATAGTAAACGTTTTTTTTTCTCTCTCTTGGATAGGGAACTACAACAGCTTTATTTATGGAGAATACCATGCTTCAAACACAGCTTCGACAATTATCAAAGACATTACGTGAAGTTTATCGAGACGAAAGCACGGATATGCATGATCAAGAAATAGCACAATTAAAGCAGGAAAATCAGGATTTATTAGAACTTTTAAAAATATCGCGATTGTCGGATCCACAACGACCTGTGACCGAAACAAATTCGCCTGTAATCAAAATTGCTAGGAATGGTGTAATCGAAGAGTTCTTTGACGAATAACATACACTTTCTTTTTTTTTACCAAAATATACATTTATATACCCTCTCACACTTAATTTTCTTCCCAAAGTAGAACCGTAATTTCAAATCAATTAAAAAAATGAACAATATTTTCCTTATTGACTCGAACTGTGGGATGTTTTCATGGGCCAAATTTCCAGAATCTATTGACGCTAAACTTTTATTATCAAATGCAATGAAATAGCAGAAAAAAAGGGAAGCAATATGATTCCAATCTACTCATTTTTCTAGGTGGCATATTTATGTACGCGCTTTTTTTGTTTTTGTTGTTGCTTAAATTGTTGTTTCTTTTATTACTTTGACTTTTTGCCAAGTCATGCCTTTTTTTAAATAGACCATTATTAGTTTATTTCAAGTATCATGGCGCTCCATTTTTTTTTTTTTTTTTTTACGGGAACATTTTTTTAGCGTGCTACTTTTTACGACTGAAATGTTTATGTTTGGTGAACAAGTTTGTCCATGTCAGGCTAAAGATCAAATGACATAAGCCTGAATTTTTTTTTTTTTTTGAAACTCATCACGTACGGAAGTTAGCATGAAAAAAAACATACAAAGCCGTTAAAAATGGTTCGACAAATATTGAAAAGTCTGGGCACCTCCCACATATAGTCTAGACACTATTTCTACACATGTTTCATGAAAAAAAAAAAAAAAAAAAAAAAAAAAAAACCTCTTCTTTGCCACAATGAAGACATACGCGGTATCTTAAAAAAAGTTTTTTTTATTTTAGCTTATTTTTATAATTAAGGTTTTTTTTTTTATATTATGACATTTTTATTATTTTTTTGAGTGTTATGTGTGCAAGGTCTATTAGATGAAAAGGGGGGGGTATGATATTTACTTTTTAGCAGCCCACCATTTACTTAATTTAGCCCCAGCATATCGACCGGTTTTCAAAGTACCGGCAGTGAATATGCCTTTGATACTTTGGGTGATGGCGGTACCCGCAATAATCTCGGTGAGACTATCATCAATGTAATTCCGCAAGGCCTCGGACTGAGCCACTTGTTCATAAACGGCCGTCATATCCTGGGGAATGTCTATCTGATGACTACAAGCATAATTGCGATGTTGTCGAATGACTTTATCATATAATGTCTTGGGTAACTTCTTGACCATCAAACCGCGGTATCTAGGGTTATCACTCTGCTGAAGTTGTCCTCCGTTTAATGTGGTGACATTAGGCAAATCATCCAATAAGCCATAATAAAGTCGATGGAAATTCTCCATCTGTGTGTTCACAATATTCTGGACTTTATTGGGGTTCTCGCCAATAATCATGCGGAAATCACCCTTGTAACTGATACCAGCAATACGATCATAAAGTTCTTTCTCTGAAAATTTTTCGGGTAAAGTCAAAAGGGCTACTCGTACTGCTTCGGTCAAATTCACTTGGTTGGCTAAACGCACCCGAGAATCATCACGAAGAATCTTTACTGGTTTATGCATACGGCCTGCCAAATAAAGCGTTTCCCAGTCGATCAAATCTTTGCATAGTTTCTCTATGGATACCACACCGTATTTAATGTTCTTTTTTGTTTTGTTTTTAGTAAAAGGTCCAGATATTATAAGGTTTTACTGTACCATGCCATTGACTTGCACATAAGGGTTAAAGTAGACGCCAGCACCTATCTTTTCTTGTAATAAAGTGACGGCGCCGGAACCCAGCCAACGGACACTTGAATAATGATGAGGGTTTTGTTGGATGTTTAAAGCGTGCCAATGACCTGGATGACTTACACCAAAGATAAAGTCGACCATTGGTTTTTTCTGCATAACGAATAAGATATCATGTGATGGGATGCATAAATGCAAAAAGAAAAGAATATGTTACCTTTTCATCGTAGCCAGATTGGTGAAAGACGCCGCTTCCGTATGCAACAGCATATCTTACGGGTGCATTAAATTGTGAAACGACGTTTTTTAATTGTAATTTTAATTCCTCGTTAATATTCATGTGTTGATTGGTACCAAAATCAGGAGAATCCGGAATATTGGAAGGATGAAAACGGTGTTGGCGAAGACGTTCAAGTCTGGTTCTGGTCTCATCCGAGAATAACTCCTTCTTGATGGTCTTTGTTTCTTGTGCTGTCTTTTTTTGCATGGAAGGAGGAAGTGGTAAATCCGTATTGTTCGTATAATGGTTGCTTTCCAAGGAGGACATCGAACGGCTACTGGCAACCACCGTACGACACGTCCAAACAGTCTTCAATGTAAGTGAATTCTATAGGCTCACTTTTTCAGTTTTTACTATCATTTTTATTTCAAGTCTAGTTTGTACCTTTAACATCATCATTTTTTAAAATAACAAAAGAAGAAAGAAAAAAAAAGGATAAAAAAATACCGAGGTGCAATCTTATAAGCTACTAAAAAGCAACGTCACCTTTTTAATTACTCGTTAAAGACACATGATTGGCAGATTACCCCAGCTTTTTTTCTTTCTCAGAGAGAGCAGGAACAAAAAGCTCTTTTATATAATTGGTTACACAGAAAAACGTATTTTACCCTCTCTTTTTTCTTTTTTACCCTTTTTTTCGCTCCCTACTTTCCTTCATGATGGTGAATAGTAGTAATGCTGAAGTCAATGGAGGGACGTTTGCAAACTTTTTGAAATTAAAATGGCGAACGTCTTTAAAGGACCCAAAGTTAAATACGAGGCATCGAATTCCGAACACAGTGGATGATATCGAAAGGGATTGGGTCAGACACAGTGCTTTAAAATTAGCATTTGAGGGGTAATTCTTTTTTTTTCCATTCTGGGGGATAACAGATATTGATTTTTTTTGTTAGAGATTTTAAGGCTCCAATTCAAAGATTATTACAAGCAGGCGGGAGTGAAGTATTAGATATTGGGTAATTTTCTTCTTCCTTCATAGATACGCACTATGTTTAATCATCTTCTTTTTTCTTCTTCTAGCTGTGGTGCAGGATTCTGGACCTCTGTATGTATTGGGGGAAAAAGGATAAGTTTCTTGTATTAACAGGAAAGAAAAAAAATTTACTAGGATATGGCTTCCCGATTTCCCATCTCCTATTTTACAGGAGTGGATATTGATAAGAATGTGTTACCCAACAGCCCATCCTCTCGAAATATATTTTATCAACGTATAGACCTCATTGAACTTCCTTTACCTTATGAAGACGATACATTTGATTACATCTTTATTCGATCCATGATTGATACTTTACCCGATAAGATGTGGGACGACGTCTTAAAGGAATTAGTCAGGATCATGAAAAAAGGTGCTTATATCGAATGTGTAGAAGCCTATGACAACCTTTTCGATGCAGGACCCTCCATGAACACCTTGACACAACGTAGGTGACTCTTACTTCTCTACATCTTTTTAGATAACTAATATATACACCACAGTCATTCAAACAACATTACAACAACCTCCTGAATCACCCACTGCATATACAACCAATCATATACCCTCATCCATTAAACCCAATAATCCATGGCCCAACAGGATTGCCAATCTAAGCCAATTGATGGGCATGCAGATCTATCATACGCATACTCCTGTGGGATTATATGGTGGAGCCATCGGCTCCCTCTTATTAGAATATTGGGAACGTATCGTCAAGAGTCTGCAGAGAGAATGGATCACTCAAAAGTTAATAGCCGAAGATGAATTGGATCGGACGCTGGAAGCCATGAAGGATGAAGTAAATGAATATAATACTTACATGTCTTGGTATTCCGTGGTGGCACAGAAAAGAGGTTACATTGGTCCTGTGATTCAGTTTGATGATGTGGATGATTTTGATGTAGTACACACCACCATATTTTAACTCTTTTAATACACACCTTTTGCCAAAAGTTAAACTGTCGCGCTTTTATTAAAAAAAGCAAAGTGTGTTGCATGTTTTTAGAAAAGAGTTTTGTTTATTTAAAGGATCTTTGCTAATGACAGAGCATGTTTGCGTCCATTGACGTGCCATATCATCTTCACTTTTTCTAAACGTCATAGGATACATGAAGTGCATAAATATTATAAAAATTAATTCTCATTTTATAAACGTTTTCCAGACGTTACTTTTTTGACAAGCTTGTTTTCATGTAGATTTCTATCTCATTGCTCCTGTCTCTCATGCCAACCGCTTGTGTGAATACTACCAGATCATCCATACTCAAGGCTTTGTATTGTGTATCCAAAATAAGGGGCAAGGCTGACCAATTGTACTTATTGAGCCTACGAGACATTTTGAACATAGGGCTTACTTACTGCTTTTTCAATGTCTTTCATGCTTAAAGTGACTACTTTTCAGCAATAGCGCATTGCTCTGATAACAGGAGGACGAAACTATAGGCTTATATTGAGTGTACATTTTTCCAGTTGAAAAAAAAATATATAATGATTTTTATATCGGACGCTTGATGAGTGTGTTAAATTGACCAAGTTTTTCACGTAATTTGTCAATGATGCTATTGGAACATTCAAGTCGAACCTATACATTCATTAAGGATATAGTATAAGTAACAAAGAAACGAAATAACTGATTAGATTAACTGGCAACTTCAATAAATTCAGTTTTTAAATCTTGTTTTCTATTTTTTGCGTGTTGGTACAAGATAAATGTTGAACTATACGGTAACTTACCTTCAGCAATGTCTAAAAGAATAGCTAGCATGCCATACAATTCAAAAAGATGATCAACTGTACTTTGGATCGGCTTCAATTCAATGAATCTGTCCTTCCGAACTGTTTTAGATAATCGCGCCTTTCACTGTTCCATAACATCGAAGACTGGCCTTAAAATATCATCAGCATGTGATTTTTTTCTTCGGCTGTCATGTCTGGTTTACTCTTTATAATTATCCAGAGCTTTATGTTAACCCTTATACTATTGCACAGTTTGATGTCAACCGGTGTTAATGGGAGATTTTTTTTTTTTTTTTTTTTTTTTTTTTTTTTTTTTTTTTGCGACAAGCGGTTGTTTGTCGCGTTTGACGTCTTTTCCTAATCGATCCTCTCTCTCTCTCTCAGACCTCAAGTGTAACTATCTCATCATCACTTATAGAACACACACAGTCAAGCATTTATTACTTGTTCTAGTTTTTTCTCTTTATCAAAACAGCCATACAATTTTTGGGATCTGAGTCTAGGCATAACTCTTTTCTGTTATTCTCAATGCAAGCGATTTTACATAATCTGTTTTTTGTACTCGGGTATTTTTGGGGTGTATGTCCTAATTATAAATATATATATGCATGATTACTACGCACAAACAGGTGACGTCAAACTGTTTGTTTACAAAGTGATTTAAAAAAAATTGTGGGCGTTTTTTTCTGTTTTTCTTTCTTTCTTCTTCGTGCCAAAAGTCTTCATTGAGGGTGAGTCCTTGGTGTTTGTACTTGAAGTCACACGGCACCACTTGCGCTCCAGGATAGTTGCTTCGTCAAGGTATTTCGTTATCGTGTGCCAATTTGGGGTGATTGTTGTCTAGGCATTTCTTTACTGGGTGCTTTTGGATGATTCCCAAGATGCCAGGTTTCGTGGCTTTTTTTTGCTGGGATACTGGACGATTATGATTAGTTTCTGGGTAACGTCACCTTCCCCACTCGGTATATATAGAGAACGGTCTGGGGGAAATTATTTAACAAGCTACTGAAGGTGAATTCAACTTCACTTTTACCGTTTGGAGCATATTTCAGGTGCCCTAGCTTAAGAGTAGGAGTTGTCTTTTGGTGATTCGAAAGCAATATTCTACTTGCCGGTTGTGCACTCCTGAGTTTGGAAGAAATTGGTCCCTCGTCGTGTAAGTCGGAATTGGTTCATGAATAAGTGAACCCCCAAAGGGTAGAACGTTCATAGATTAAGAACATGGTGTTTTGACCTCCTTGTGGTGATGCACGGGAGTCCTTTTTGAGAGCCATCAAAACTAATAAAAAGTGGGTGAGTGCACACGGAGACTGACTTCCTCGCAGTTGCACTTGGGCAGTTTTCTTTATCGAAACTGGCTAGCGAGTCTCCATTTTTTTTTTATTATTATAATAAAAACCACACTGTCTTTTCTAATGTTTGTCTTTATGTAAATGTCTTGTGTTTTGTGTGATAGAAAGATGGTTATTAATTGCGATCTTGTTATAAAAAAACAAAAATATAAAAAATTGTATAAATCAATAAAATAATAGATATTTGTAATATAAATCGATTCGTTTAGACTTGAATGGAACCTGATTTTTTCAATCATCATCGTTTATTAATGATTCCTTAATGCTTTTCGTTTTTATCTCTCTTTTCTCTCACGAACAAATAAAAAATCATAACAAAAATGAAAATTATACGGCCTACTGACCCACAATCAGCCCAAACTTTGGTATATTGGTGCATTAGCTATCTACCTGAGACCTCGGGTAATTACAAACAGCATGTATTTCCCTTAAAACGGTATGCTACATTCAAGGACCTGAGTCAGAGGATATTTAATGAAACTGGCAGTGATATATGGAACCGATATTCGTATCCGCGTGGAACCGATACGCATCACAACAATGTGGTCATCAATAGCAATGAAAGTATGGAGCTTGCTATTAATTTCATGGGTGATAATGCCTTTGATTCCAATCGCGGAATTTTGGTGTTTGTAGATGCATCTTGGTAGCCTCTTTTTTTTTTTTTTACATAATAAAGACGAAAGCATTGCACATGTTGTTAGTATTTATATGGTTATTAGCTGGGCCAATATTGCTGTGTATTGTATACATTGTTATTGTTTATATGATTTATTAAAATTTGTATAATCCTGATCCTTATAAAATACTGAGCTAATATTAGCATGGCATAATCCAGTTGATGTAACTGTTACGGTTTTGATTAACAAGCAAGATTTGATGCCGTCGTAAAATTCTGTACTTTGTGATTGTAATAGCATTTTGGTGTTAGCCGGAATTATCTACTACTCTACTTCTTTATATTTCTCACCGGTTTCCCTTTTCTTTTTTTACCTGTAGTTATACATTAGAATTAGTATGTCACGGTAATTACTTGGATACTTGCCACCTCTTATATAACGATTGATTAACTTTATAAAATAAACGTTTTAGGATGCATGTATGGATTTCTACACTATTGCAGATTGTTTATCGGTGATTAGCAATACAAACCAATTGTGACGAAACCATTTTATGAAGTAGCAAATTGAGACCATACAACGTAGGTTTAGATACGAATCAAAAAGATGAAATAGACCTAAAACGAGATCTCATGTGTAAACAATTTCTAGGATGGCATAACTGTATTTGCATACATCAGTATAATTTCTCTACGTATAGTGATAAAGCAGGTTCGAAATAACTACAATATCTTTTATACAAGTGATAAAAATATGTTTACACATAAAAGCGAAATCTAAAGGATGTGACACTATAACTGTAGGCACACGGGAAATTATGCAGATATTATTTAGTTATGTTGAGTAATGTTTTTACGATAATACGATATTTATATGAATGTCATTTTTTTTAACGCGAGTACATGCTGTATGTTAGTAGATAAGAACATGAAGTACTAAGAATTTATTTTTTTAAATGCAAAGCTGGAATTTTTAGCATAAGAAATGCGTCCTATGAGGGCAGTCCAAAAGCAACTGAACTTTTGAAATACTTTAGAGCTACTCTCACGTCTAAAGAAAAAAATCTCGTATGCCAATAAACATGGACGCCACCAAGGAAAATGGGTTTACCAAAACTTTCATAACATGCTCGTTCAATTCCGATGTCGGGAGGATGGGGGAGAATTTTTTATTATTTAAGCGTCAGATTCTGATTCAGACAATAATGCAGAAGAATCATCTTCCTCATCCGACTCTACTTCTTCTTCTTCATCCGATGTATCATTCTCTCTCTTGGCAACAAGACAATAACGAGCAATATGACCAGGATTACCACACTCATAGCACGTCTTGACAGCTCTTTCTGTCGTACCATGGGAGACATCCCCCGTCACTGCAAGAGGACAATCACGCGCAATATGTCCATGCTTATTACAGTTGTAGCATGTAATATCTCTTGCTTGACAATCTTTGGCATAATGATTGATAATACCACAGTTTTCACAGACAACGGGTTCATAACGTGTACCCGCATGACTGGATCCTCCTCTACCTCTACCTCCTCTGCCTCCTCTACCTCTTCCTCCTCTACCACCACGGAAACTCGTGCTGCTGTCGCGTTGAGGGGCTATGGCTGTTGATGTCTCGCCATCAGTGAGAATCTCTACCGATCGTGGTTGTGCTTCATTGGGACAGTTTCTAGCTAAATGACCCTACACAAACATCTTTTTGTAAGCGATCGGCACCTCATCGGGGAGAGGGGGACGTGTTTCTTTATCCTTACCATCTGCTGACAATTGAAGCAACGTCCTTTACCACCTTGACCAGAAGTAGTGGGAGAAGAAGCGGTTTCGCGGTCAGGACATTGGGCAATCAAATGTCCCTCTACGATTGTGTTTTAACACAGTGTAATATATGTATATATATAAAGTGGTAAAGTGGTATTACCTTGACCGCAAACAAAACAAGTCTTGGCTTCAATGACCTTTTCAGCGGTACATTCACTCGAGACATGACCGGGTTGCTTACAGTTATAGCAAAGTCTTTCTGGTTCTTCACAAGCAACGGCATAATGGCCACCTAAAAAGAAGTCAAGTTTAGCTCTTCCTGTTCTAAACTATTTTTTTTTTTTTAAAAAAAAGAAATGGTTGCGATCGTATTACTCTTTCCACACTTGAAGCAAGATCTTCCCACGTAAACCATTATTCAATATATTTTTCCAAACGAAAAAAAGGTAAAAAAAGAAAAAAAAAAAAAAAAAAAAAAGTTTAGAATGTGGTTGTTTTGGGTCTAAAGAAAAAAAAATGGTTTATTTTTTCTCGACCAATTGAATCTGCGTCAAAAAAGAAATCTGAAATGTGTGTGTGTGTGTGGGAGAAACATTTGTGTCTAAAAAGTAGCTTTTTTCTAATGGGAGGCATATTTTGAATTGATTGACTCAAAATTGTAATCGATATTGTAAGCAGAGGCATCTGTTTGAAAAGAAGCCACCATAGGAGTCACTAACAATTAAAATGTTAGCAACGAAAAGATCATACCCCCCCATGATTTACAATACTAATATACCTGATACGCATCCATTCATTAAGGCCCATTTATCCGTCCCAGGCAAACCATCTCGATCCGCATTAATCGCCGTGAAATCAGGCGCAAACTTGAATTTTTCTCCTTCCACCTTCTCAAATAACGATCCATAACTGGCCTGATGAAATTTGGTGATATGGATAGGACATTTAGAGTCCAGCATGGGAATATTCACATTATACATCCCATTCTGAGGCCATGGGTACTTGTATACGTGCTGGATAATATCAGATGCCGTTTCACAACAATTCTGAATACATTCCACTCGTCGGTTACAGAAACAAAACGACACCGAAATCGCTTTGCACTTGTTTAAAACGCCTTCCATGGCAGCTCCCACTGTACCTGACGCTAACGTGAAAATCGTCGAAATGTTTCGTCCGTAATTTGGTCCACCAATGACCATATCAAATACCTCGTCCTTGTACAAATGATTCAGTGCAATATTGACACATGTAGCTGGTGTTCCACTCAGCTATTTTTTTTTTTTTTTTTGTAGTTTTTGTTAATAAAGTATCTCACGATACAAAAAAAAATTATAGTGTGATACTTGCCAACACAAAATCGTTGTCATGGTGTTGCTCATCACTTATTTCGCCTGTCACTCGATTGTAATATCGCACATGAATCTCTTGCTTGATCATGAAGGACTTTGCAATCCATGACTTTTGGCTGTCGGGAAGACATACTCTAATTTTTAGAAGAAAGGTATGTGTGTGTGTGTGAACAAACTACGGTTCTGTGGGTTATGAAAAGAGCTTTTTACTTGACATCCCAGCCGAGATTCTCCAAATGCTGAATAAAAGGTAAAATAAAAGGGGATTCTTCCAAACTGGGAGGCCCTGTGTTCCCCCGCACGTCACAGTGTTATTTGTTTGTTTATATTATGAAGAATGTTGTTGTCGTACCATCATCATTTGAAATTAAAACCTTCATCTAAATGTTTAATAGAAAGGGAGTGTCAAAAGAAAAAAAAAGGCGGGATTTATTAGGTTACTTTATTGATAAGCCCAGAAAAAAAAAAGATTAACGGTAGATTAAAGATAAGTAATTTTTTTTTTTTAACATGCACATGAACTTGCTTCTGTCTCGGTGGTATTAAGATTTATCTTTTGCACTATGAAAATAAATCAGGATGAGTGGATCATGTGTATTCATTAAAAAGTACTACTTACTTTGATCCCTGTGATCGTTAGGACCATTACCATCGATGCCAGGCAATGACTGAGCAATCTTTCTAAATAACGACTTGACCTATAAGAAGGTTTTAGTAAAAAAGAGAAATGTGTATGATATGCACATAGCATTTTTTATACGCATTACATTATGTCCTGCTTTAGCACTGGTTTCAATAAACATCACATTCAATTCCTTGGATCGCTTCTCGGCATCTTCGACCGTAACCTCTCTTCAAAATAATATAATTAGCCTTCAATAACAACAGCAATACCTATTCCTCTTACCTCTTGTCACTCAGGTCGGATTTGTTGCCAACAAGTACAATGATCACATCATCTCCTCTTTCTGCTCTCACATCATCGATCCACTTGGACGTATTCATAAAGGACTGACGATCTACAAAAAAAAATAGGAGTTATAGGTGCAGGCACACTTCACAGGGTGGGGCTTGGTACCTTACTAGATATATCATAGACAATTACAGCAACCGACGAGTCTCGGATGTAACTGGGAATCAAACTACGGAAACGTTCCTGTCCAGCCGTGTCCCACAATTGCAGACGCACCGTTTTATCTTCCAAATACATGGTTTTCGACAAGAAATCAATACCGATTGTAGCCTACTCTCTCTTTTTATGAGTGTCTCTTTCTTTTATTGTAACCGTTTAGAGTCTCCATTTACCTGGTATGTATTATCAAAGGTGTCGTACATAAAACGGGTAATAAGTGAGGTCTTGCCAACTATTATTGCCACTCAGTCTTTCATGTCTATATTTTGTTTTCTTGTTATATATATATTACCACTTTGTTCACCAAGGAAAACAAGCTTGTACTTTCTTAAGGGACTACTGAATTCGGTGCTTGTCATTTTATCGAGATGAAAAAAAAAAGAGTTAATAGAGAAAGAGGTTTAAACTCCAAAAAAAAAAAAAAAGTAGAGTTAAAATTCATGTGACTGTAACACCAAAAAAAAAAAGTTTTTGTTCTTTCAAATGAAAGCCCTTCTTTCTCTCTTTTTCTCTCTCTCTTTCTCTCTTTTCAGTTGATTCCAGTGTCTAATTTCTCTCTAAACATACTAAATCATAGAAATGAAGGGAGAGGAAAGAAATAATGGGATACGTTCATCTAAAAAAGGTTGGATGATCTAACCAATCAAAAAGTCACTAAAAAACTTTAAGTCAGTTCCCACATCTCCCCCCATATCCAAAGGGCAGTTTTGACAATCCGAGTACATCATGTGAGAACAAAAAAAAAAAGCTGCTTCTTAAACCATCCAAACACAATGACCCTTTTCTTTCTTCTTAACAAAAGGTTTTTTCACTAATGACCCGAAATATCATAAATTACATAATTTAGTACGATCATCAAAGCAGAAACAATAAAAGAATCGCCAAGGCCTTTTTTTTTTTATCATTGTTCTTTTCATGTGCGCCCCACTTTGCCTTATTAGGACAGTGATTTTTACAGTCAATGGGTCATTTTCAGCCATCATTGTCTTTATCAGATTTTTGTATTGAATAAAAAAATACCTCCCTTATGAACTATAAGCCTTTTTCTACTCTTTATCCTTACAAGAAGTATATATCAGTAAAACATGATCATTTAAAAGTTTATGCACTGGCTATCTTTTTTTTTTTAGATTATACGACAAAAGGTTTTTAGACGTTTTCCTTTTTTATTTTGGCACCAGATCTTGTAGAAATTAACATGGACTACTTAAACTTTATATTTCCAAGCGACTATTATATTGATGACGATGAGTCTATAGAACAAACAAAAGATATGACCTATCAATATGATGACATCAAAAAGATCATTGACTTTAATTCATCTACCGAAACTCCCAAAGTGGACTGAATTATGTATTATCTAAAAGCTTTCTGAGTGTTAATAGGACGCTCCTGCTAACGAGAAAGCAACGCTTGAGTAACACTAACAAATTCTTTAGCCGCAGTGGCGACACGATTATCGAGTGAAGGTCGGGAAGACATTTTTTTAACAGGGTGTCAAAAAAAAAAAGGGGACAATTTGTCAGAAATTGTTAGAATATTTGCGAAAAGTAAAAATTAACAATTCTAATGGACCTCTTTTAAAAAACTCTACTTCTTATTCAAAAATCATGTTCCCGTCATATTTGTTTTACCTTGTTTCAAAGCTCAAGGTGACGGTTTTCTATCTACATAAGACTTTCATTCTATTTCGCCTATGCGCTCTTCTTTAAGACAGGCTTCCAGAGCCGCAACAGACATCAACTTTTCATGAGTTCATCATTCATGGAAGTTTTGCTTTTTTTCTGCTTCTTGTTCTTTTTACTCTTTTTATATTCGTTATCCTCCTCAGATTCTTCGCCGGTAACGTTTTCAAGTGATCGCTTATCATGAATACTTGCAATAAACGTTTCTTGATTAAAAGGCTTGTCCTAAATGGTTCCTGTATAAACAGCCCAAGAGGCGTCTGTAATCTATCAGAAAGATGCGGCACCTGTTCGAAGTACTCGAGACATTTGTCTCTTAATTTTTCTTCTTAAATAGCTATAAATGTGAGCAAATAATATAATAATGACATTATATTGCATTACTTACTTTTGATTTCTTCAGACATGCTTACATCCGGAACGTTGCCTCATTCAGTTCCTGCACCCATTTGGTACAAGAGTCTTGACACCTCTCCATATTAAGACGCCTACATGAAATATTGTGCGCGCGAAACAGAGGTTCGCTTGTTCCTAGAATACATAAAAGAAACTGAAGGGATCGTGGGGAAAAAATGAATGCTCCCCATTAAAATATAAGCCTTCTGATCTCATTATAAGTCATTTCCTTTCCCTTCTTCGGTATAAATAGTCAGCGTCAAATTAGATTTACAAATTAAGATTTGATAATAAAGAATCCCTTTTTTTTTTTATAAGTACTTCTTTATTACTTTAATGTATAAATTGAATCGGTAGGGGTAATATATTTGATTTAGGTAGTGTGATGATTTATTTCTTATCTTCTGCAGAAGAGTAGAAAGGATAATCTGTATAACCAACTGCATCATGGCTATAAAAAGTATTTCTATCATACTTGTTCAACTCCCAGCCATTTTGAAGACGCTGAACAAGATCAGGGTTAGCAATAAAAGCACGACCAAAGGCAATCAAATTACCAGTCTTTTCAGCAATATCAATGGCTAATTGATGAGCGTTGGAGTAACCACTAGCGGTAATAAAAGGGCCCTTCCAAATTCGACGATAAGGGGCCAAGGTATCTACAACACAAACAGCGGTATCGCTGTTGGTATCGGCACGCGCTTCAATGAAATGAAGATAGGCCAAGTCCGCATGCTTCTTTTGAATCTCGGTTGTTAAATAACTCCACGTGTCAACCACAGATTCATCTTGCATGTCTTGTTGTACACCACCGGGAGAGAAACGAATGGCCACACGTTCGGCACCAATGGCTTCTACCACAGCATCCAGTACCTCGAGAGAGAAACGGGTACGGTTTTCAATCGAACCACCATAGATATCTGTACGCTTGTTGCTGCTGGTATTGATGAATTGATCGAGGAGATAACCGTTAGCACTGTGAATTTCAACACCATCAAATCCCGCTTCAATCGCATTAAGAGCCGCTTGACGGTATTGTTCTACAATGGCATGGATCTCTTCGATCTCGAGAGAACGAGGTTCTTCATTGTCGGTACCCAAGAGGGACTTGCCTCCGATAGCAATGGCAGAAGCAGACACAATTTGCTCCCCGTTAGGGTTGAGATACTTGAAACCAGCACGGCCAATGTGCCATAATTGGAGAAAGATCGAAGCCTTCTTTTCATGAACAGTTGAGGTCACCTTCTTCCAGGCCTCAATTTGTTCTTGCGTATAGATGCCGGGAGCTTGCTTGTAACCACCGGCAAGACGATCGATAAAGGTAGCTTCTGTAATTAGAAGACCACCTTCTGTAGCTCTTTGCTTATAATATTCCACCATAAGGTCGGTAGGTACGGCTTCAAGTGTGGCTCTGAAACGTGTTAAGGGGGCGAGAACAACACGGTGCTGAAGTAAAGTGTTGCCAACTTTGACGGGAGATAAAATGGCTTGGTTGCTCATGTTATTTAAAGGGTGATGGAAAAAGGTAAAGAAATAATGCAATTAAAAAATAATTCAAAACTTTGCCCTTTATAGTGTATTTACTTTACCTGTCAGAATTTGCTGAATAATCCAACCAAGTCGATTTGATGGGAACCAAAGTCATAAATATGTAATTTGTAATGAAATACGTATGGTTTATCAGCAACCCAGAGCTGTCACAACCATGATGAAAAGCTTTATCCGATCCCCTTAACCCGTGTGCATTCGATACACAATAATACTACTCGTGGATGGCATGATCACCAAGCTAATTGAGGCTACACAAAACACCCACCCCCTTGTTTTTCAGTTAGTAACAAGATTTATTTTTTAGACATTAATAATTCTGTAGTACTTTCATGCAAAACCAGTGTATCGCGTTACATACAGAGAATTATTACGTCCTACGAACGGACTTTATTAAAAGAAAAATTCCATAAGACGACTCAAAAGACACTTTATTGTACAGAACATTTGTTTTATTTATACAATTGGTTATACTACTCAGAACTGTAATCAAATGACATGCCCATTTCTTCATAGATAAAAGCTTACCTGAGCTGTGAACGCCCAGACGAAAACTGTTGGGAAGAGTTCAAGTGTTTTGGCATTGTATTCCAACCAATTAGATTACATTGTAATTTAGTATTCCTTCTTATTAAGGCACCATCACAACTGGATACAGGCACAGTAATAATAAATTTATGCTTTTTTTCTTAAAAAAGAAACTATTATATAGTTCGTACAATGCGCTTGACAGTGTCTGTATTTGATTGTAATATGACCCCAGCACTAAGGAGATAAGGATTACAGTTAAATAAAAACCTTTGCAAACATGAATGTAAAAAGCAGTCAATCGTCTCACTTGTTTGCCGATCCCTTTCATAACAAAGTCATATCATCCACACACACACACACTACCCATCACGGAAACGGTCAATTTTTTACCGTCCCCGTGACGAACGCGGTCAATTTCTCACCGTCTCCATGACGGGCGCGGATTTTAAATTCACCGTATTCGTAAAGGATAGGGATTTTTAATTCAACATATCCGTGACAGATACTGCCTATAGTTCATTACTTTCACTGTATCCGTGACAGATACTGTCCTTATTTCATTATTTTTTTTTTTACCATATCCGTGACAGACAGGGTCTATTTATTTCCATTATCAACTGTATATTCGACTGATTTTATGGAATTGTTCAGAATTCTATCTTTTATATTTTCCAGAATCTTTAAAAGCCTATTACTTTTGTAAAGAATAATACGCCATTATACTGTTGACCAGTTATATTTAATTTGTATGTTTATAAAAAAAAAAAAGTATTTTATTTATTAAAGTGAAAACAATTTGTATGAACAATAAAAAATATTATGATGTTATTTTAAAAAAGAACGCTTTTCTTAGGGACAGCCAATTTTTCCTTAGGGACAACCAAAGTGCACGTAGTCGCAACGTAAGATCTTTGATTTGGATAAGACAAATAGATGTAAATCGATAATGATACAGCGAAAGATGAGAAGAGAATATAGTTCTTAGATGTAAAAGAGTAAAGAGTTTACAACGGGTTTATGTAAGAAGATGTAGTGATTGTATGATTTACAATGGACAACAAAATACTACTTAGTATCAATTGTAAGATCAATCCCAAATTTAGGTGAAGACAAAACTCAAGAATATTTATTTAAAAGAAAAAAAAAAGAAGAGTATTTATTAGAAAGATCCTATCATGTGTAACAACAAGCCATATTATTATTGGCTGCAACAGTATCAAATGCCAAAATACCACTCACACAATATTTTACAACGGGAAAGCTTAAGTTAGTAACAGAGTATGCTAGACATTTTTATTATTTACAGAATATTTAAATAAAAAAAAATTGGGGAGAAAAGAGTAATTTGTAGGAAAAACCTTTTAAATAAGAGTGGGAAACTAATACAACGTCAAACATACGGAGATGGTCAATTTTTAAAATTCCTGTCCGTCACGGATCCGGTCAAAATCGTTGTTAACCTTCACCGTAATTTTGTGATGTATTGAGAATGTCAAGACCTCCGTATATATTTTTTTTTTAAACGTATTTTTTTAGAATAATCTGATGGTCTACACATAAGTTCAAGAAAAATGTTAACGTTGATTGACATGCCATATCATCTTAACTAAACTTTTATATCTTATCTGATCGATTGTTTGTTGTTTTTTATAAAATATGCTTCATTATCAGTACATGCTACAACTGACAACTACCCAAGTTCCTGTGACTTGTTTGGATTATTTGCAAATGTTTCAATTTTAGTTAAAGGCCAAAATATTATGGGAGGCAACGAGTTCTTGTGTTACTGTTTTAAAAAAACCATGCGGCTGTAGCTTTATCCGGATTAATTTAAATAGCATATTCTTAGTTGCAAAAATGTTGGTGTAACTCTCTAAGCCAATTATATTTATACTTTTTTGAATCCCCCCCTTCATAAAAATATCTTGTAAAGATGATGTAATTGTCGTTCTTTTTCACCCAAAACTTATTAAAACTTCAAGCATCGGATAGTCATCGATACCTAGGAACAAGAAGAAAACTTGGCATATGGGAGCGCTTTATTGACTCATTGGATGAGACTAGATTCAAGCAGGATATGCGAATGTTTAAAGATCCCTTTGAAAAAACCGTTACCATGATATTTCCGAATCAGGACGTTAACAGACAAGCGTCAGAAAGCAGCTCATGGTAGTACTTTCTCGTCTGGGGAAGCGATGAAAATGGTGCTTCAGTTGGAAGAATTGCAAGGTTAGCAGGCATCAGTGAGGGGTCTGTTCATGCCTTTACAACAAGGTTCTTTGATGTCATGTTGTCCATGGAGAGCGATGTCATTAAATGGCCTGGCAAGGAGCAAAAAGAAAAAATCAAGGACCTCACCGAAAAGAACAATGGATTTCCAGATTGTCTTGGCTTTGTTGACGGCACCCTGATTCATCTGGAACACAAGCCAAAGTTCAGAGGTTTGGAGTTCTTTAACAGATAAAAAAAAAAGATACTCCATTCAAACGATGGCCGTTTGTGATCCAGACAGAAGAATCACTTTTTTTGCAACCGGTTTTCTTGGATGTAGAAACGATTCTCGAGTTTTTGGAAGTTCTGACTTGGGAAAAAATCTTGACAAGTACTTTGAAGGTGAGGAGTATCTCCTGGGTGACTCTGGTTACAGTCTGGAAAAGAATGTAATCATCCCTTACAGAGACAATGAAAAGGGTGGTTATACCAAGGAGATGAAGACATTTAACTACCTGCATGCAAGAACCAGAGTTAGCATCGAGAACTGCTTTGGGGTGTTGAAGATAAGATTTGGCAGCCTTAGGAATCTTCGGTGCAAGATCAACGTTAAAGAAGCCTTGTACCACGTTATGCGTTGGATACGTGTTTGCGCCATGTTGCATAACATACTTTTGGATGATGTGGATGATGTTGCTTATGATGACAATGATTACAACGGACACACACCCCAGCCCAAAAGTGACGCTATGGACCAAGAGCCCACTGTTTCTTCCAACAAAAGCTCCAAAGAACAGAAGGTCGCCAGGGACATGGCGTCAAAAAAAAGGGACAATTTGTCAAAAATAGTTAGAAAATTTGAAGAAAATAAAAAAAAATAGTTTATTATTCTAACGGACCTCTTTTAAGAAGCTCTACTTCTTGTTCATAAATCATGTTGGCTGTCTCAATTGTCTGGCCTTGTTTTAAAAGCTTAAGACGACGGTTTCCTATCTGCATAAGACTTTCATTTCATTTCGCCTATGTGATCTTCTTTGTCCTTTTAAATTTTAATATGTACAGGCTTCCAGAGCCGCAATAGATGTCGGCTTTTCATTGTTGTTGGTAGTATCTAAACATGATTCGCTTCTACCAGCACCATTGCTATGAGCTCCAGTTTCGATCTCATAATGTTCCATGAGTTCATCATACATGGGAGTTTAAGTTTTTTTTTTTTTTCTGTTTCTTGTTCTTTTTGCTCTTCTTATCTTTGTAATCCTCCTCAAATACTTCGCCGGTAACTTTTTCATTTGATATCTTATCATGAATAAACGTTTCTTTATTATAATGCTTGTCTTAAACGATTCCTGTATAAACAGCCCAAGAGTCGTCTGTAAATCTATCAAAAAGATGGTGGCACCCAGTTCGAATTATGATGTGATAATAAAGAATGCTTTTTTTTTTTTTTTTTTTTTTTTTTTTTTTTAAAAAAAAATGATTTTTTATTACTTTAATGTACAAATTGAATGGTAGGGGGTAATATATTTGATGTAAATAGTATGATGATTTAGTTCTTCTCTTCTGCAGATGAGTAGAAAGGATAATCTGTATAACCAACAGCATCATGGTTATAGAAAGTACTTCTATCGTACTTGTTCAATTCCCAACCATTTTGAAGACGTTGAACAAGATCAGGGTTAGCAATAAAAGCACGACCAAAGGCAATTAAATCACCAGTCTTTTCAGCAATATCGATGGCTAATTGAGGAGCGTTGGAGAAACCACTGGCGGTAATAAAGGGACCCTTCCAGATTTGACGATAAGGGGCCAAGGTATCTACAACACAAACAGCGGTATCGCTATGAATATTGGCACGCGCCTCAATGAAATGAAGATAAGCCAAGTCCGCATGCTTCTTTTGAATCTCGGTTGTTAAATAACTCCACGTGTCAACCACAGATTCATCTTGCATGTCTTGGAATACACCACCGGGAGAGAAACGAATGGCCACACGTTCGGCACCAATGGCTTCTACCACAGCATCCAATACCTCGAGAGAGAAACGGGTACGGTTTTCAATCGAACCACCATAGATATCTGTACGCTTGTTGCTGCTGGTATTGATGAATTGATCGAGGAGATAACCGTTAGCACTGTGAATTTCAACACCGTCAAATCCCGCTTCGATCGCATTAAGTGCCGCTTGGCGGTATTGTTCTACAATGGCATGGATCTCTTCGATCTCGAGAGAACGAGGTTCTTCATAGTCGGTACCCAAGAGGGTCTTACCTCCGATGGCAATGGGAGAAGCAGACACAATTTGCTCTCCATTAGGGTTGAGATACTTGGAACCAGCACGGCCAATGTGCCATAATTGGAGAAAGATCGAACCCTTCTTTTCATGAACGGTGGAGGTCACCTTCTTCCAGGCCTCAATTTGTTCTTGTGTATAGATACCAGGAGCTTGCTTGTAACCACCAGCAAGACGATCGATAAAGGTAGCTTCTGTAATTAAAAGACCACCTTCTGTAGCTCTTTGCTTATAATGTTCCACCATAAGATCGGTAGGTACGGCTTCCACTGTAGCTCTGAAACGTGTCAAGGGAGCGAGAACAACACGGTGCTGGAGTAAAGTGTTGCCGACTTTGATGGGAGAGAAAATGGCTTGGTTGCTCATATTATTTTTTAAAAGGATAATGGAAAAAGGTAAAGAAATAATGCAATTTAAAAAAAAAATTTGCTTTCTTTTAATTTATAGTGATGTATTTTACTTTTTACCTGTCAAAATTTTGCTGAATAATCCAACCCAATCGATCTGACGGGAATCGAAATCATAAATATAGAATTTGTAATAAAGTATGTATGAATTTATCAGCAACCCAGAGCTGTCACAATTTTAATAAGAAGCTTTATCCGATCCCCTTAACCCGATTGCATTTAATACAGACATACTACTCGTGGATGGTGTGATCACCAAGTTAATTGAGGCTATACAAATCACCCGCCCCGCCCCCCCCCCTTGTTTTTCAATTAGTAACGAGATTTCTTTTTTAAGACATGATTAATTCTGTAATTTTATGCGAAACCAGCGAATCGGATTACGCGGAAAGAGTTATCACATCCTACAAACGGACTTTATTTTTTTAAAAAAAAAAAAAAATCATAAGACACTTTTTTTGTACAGAACAATTGCTTTATTTATACAGTCTACCATATCACTTAGAACTATATTTAAATGACATACCAATTTCTTAACAGATGAAAAACTTTACCTGAGCTGGTGAGCACCCAGACAAAAACTGTTGGGAGGAGTTCAAATGTTTTGGTATTGTATTCCAACCAATTAAATTACACTATAATTTAGTATTCCCTCCTTTTAAGGCACCATCACAACTAGATACAGGCACAGAAATAATAAATTTATGCTTTTTTTTAAAAAAAAGAAAAAAAGAAAGAAGAACTGTTACATAGTTCGTACAATGCTTTTAAAAGTGTCTGTATTTGATTGTGATATGACCTCAGCACTAAGGAAATGAGGATCACAGTAAAAAGAAAACGGATCTCTTAGGGGACAGCCAGGGTGCGCGTAGTCGTGATGTTGGGATTATGATACTGTAATAGGCATCAAGAGGTCAATATAGCTTAATAACTTGAAATAGATACAAATTAATTACAGCCAACATAGTGTTAACTAGTATATGTATGTAATAACTTACTTTCACCTACTCGTTTGGACTTTACCTTAATATTTCTGCGTAAGATTAAGATCAAACGAGCTTAAAAGGCGAAGGAGTGATGGTAGACCTGTCAAACCAAGTACAAATCATTCAATATACATTTATTGGTAATTATCATATTGTTTTTGAGTATATTTTCTTGTTTCCAAGTCCAGAGGATAGCCAAAAAAAGGATAGCCAAAAAAAAAAAAAAAAAAAAAAAAAGGATAGCCAAATCACAGATCGCACGTTGGGACTACGTGCACTTTGGCTGTCCCTATGGAAAGCGAAAAAAAAAAAAAAAAAAAAAAAAAAAACCTTTGCAAACATGAATGTAAAAAGCAGTCAATCGTTTCTTTTTGCTGATCTCTTTTCATAATAAAGTCATATCTTCTACACACACACACATATATACATATTTTTTTTTTTAAAAAAAAAAAATTCTTTAGAAAATCTGAAGGATAGTCCCCTTCCAAAAGCAATAGGTTAGCCGTTCAAGTCATTGGAAAATACACTATGATCTTGTCTTTATCGCTCTCTCTCTCACTGTGTCTACTGATTTATCTGGGTATAGAAACAAAGACACTCATTCAAGCAAGTCATCTCCCGCCTTTTGGAGCTGGCTAAATTACCGTACCTGGTATCAACTCGTTTCAATAAAATCTTGAAAGAAACGGTTAATCAACAATTATCTCTCCCTTCGTGTAAATCATGCAATCGTTCCTTGGCACGCATGGACCCGTGGGAAAGGACGTAAATCAGAACACCTTCAGTAGTTACGCATAACTACTCTGAAAAAAACTAAACAATGTGGGGCCTAGATAAAATCATTCTTGGCTAGATTTCACAAAACTAAAGATCTCTTTTGAACTTGGTATTTAGTCAGTTCACCCTAAAAACTAATTTTTTTTTTTACTTGGGTTGTATGTCTTTTTTAAAATTAATACTTTGATTGTGTAAACTGAAGCAATAAGGCATTTGTCAAATGTTGTCTTGTTTAATATAAACACGTCCTTTTTTCTAAAAAAAAAACTGACAGAATAAAAAAAAAAAAAGGGAATTATGGGAGCTAAAGATTTGGCTATTTCTTTTCCCGTAGAGACGCAATTACTTTAACCCAAGCAGTAACACTTTCTCCATGACAACCCGCCGAAAAAAGAAATCACGCATTGTGGGAGGCTGAAAAAAATCACGTTTGCGGATATTTAAAAAAAAAAAAACGTTATAAGAGTTTTGTTGTATTCGAGGAAGGGTTTGGGGGGGGGAGGAAGATCCTCTCTCTCTCCAATGGATAACAGTTAGATATTTCTCCTCGTAAAAATTAAACGGGACACCAAAAAAAAAAAACCCTTGTTTAAATGTGCCCGTTCTCGGAGGAGGAGGGGCTTTTTGACATGTGATTTCTTTTTAGTGACTTTGTGTGACTCACCCCGCACACGAATAGGACGTATCACACAAACAGTTTCTCTTTTTTTTTCTTCCCTTTCTTTCTTTCATTATTTACATACAATGTCCAACCCTATTGAAGAAGGAAAGAAGTTAGCAGCTTATCGTGCTGTGGATGAATACATCACAGCCGACCATAAGGTGATTGGTATCGGATCTGGATCTACTGTGGTGTATGTTGTCGAACGTATTTTGCAAAGACCGGAATTAAAGCACATTGTTTATATCCCCACTTCTTTCCAAAGCAAGTTATTGATTATTGACGGTGGTCTTACTTTAGGCAGCATTGAACAGTAAGTAGACTTTAGTAGTGTGTATAGAGAGTCCTACTGACACAATGAGGACAGGTATCCCGAGATCGATGTGACAATTGATGGAGCTGATGAAGTGGATTCCGATTTAAATGTCATTAAGGGAGGAGGAGCATGTCAATTCCAAGAAAAGGTGGTTGCCGAAGCAGCCAAGAAATTTGTGATTGTGGCCGATTTTAGAAAGAAGTCCAAGTTGTTGGGTACAGAATGGACTAAGGGTGTGCCCATTGAAGTAGTCCCCATGACCTATCAAAGTGTAATGAAATCCATCGATACCAAATTAAGTCTGAAACCCCTCAGCTCCAAGCTTCGTATGGCAGTCAATAAGGCAGGCCCCGTTGTCACGGACAATGGCAACTTTGTCATCGATACGCATTTTGGTCCCATCGAAAACCCTCTCGCCTTATTAAGAGAAATCAAGTTGTTGACAGGTGTTTATGAAGTTGGCTTGTTTTGTCAAATGGTTGAAAAGGCTTACTTTGGTGAGGAAAATGGAACAGTGGATATCTGGACCAAATAAAAAAAAAAAAGTCGCGTTATGTATTAGAACTCCGACAAAGTTTTTTTTTTTTTTTTTTTTTTTTAAATGGGTGCAGGCCAAAAAAAGGTTTTTGAAAAAAAAGAAAAATGTATACATGTTAAGGGAGATATTACATGTAGATCAAGTGTTACTTTACTGCTAATTAATAACAGAAAAAAAAAGGGGGAGGGAGAGGAGGAGAGGAGGAAAGATAGGGATCTGTAATAGAACATTTGTTTGATCAACTTTTTTTTTTTTTGGGCTTATAAAAAAACTATATCTTTTCTCCCCGCACGTGTAAAAAAAAAAAAAAATTATATAACTTTTTTTTTTTTTAATTATCAAAAATTACCAAAAAAAAAAAAAAAAAAAAAAAAAGAACCAGGAGTGATAAAGAAAAGACCATTTTGTAAAAAAAAAGTTTGAACTGTACATATTATGACAAAAAAAAAAAAAAGATCTCCTTTTTAAAATAAAAATAATGGGGGAGAGAAACAATTTTTTTTTTTTTTTTAGAAGAAAAAAAAAAATATTGATTTTGCTAATAATTTGGGAATTGGGTGTGTGAAAAAAAAATGGGGGGGATTATGAGAGAAAATGAAAAAGAAAGATTTATGCCTTGGTAGCCTTCTTCTTGGGGGCAGCAGCAGCCTTCTTAGCAGGAGCGGCCTTCTTGGCGACGGCAGCCTTCTTAGTAGCAGCAGCCTTCTTAGCAGGAGCCTTAACACCGGCCTTTTCAGTAGTGGTCTTCTTCTTGCTGGCAGCCTTCTTAGCAGGAGTGGCCTTCTTGGCAGCGGCAGCCTTCTTGGGAGCAGCAGCCTTCTTGGCGGGGGTAGCAGCAGTGGCAGCAGCAGCCTTCTTGGGAGCAGCAGCCTTCTTAGCAGCAGGTGCCTTCTTGGTAGCAGCAGCCTTCTTAGCGGGAGTAGCAGTAGTGGTAGCAGCGGCCTTCTTGGTAGCAGCAGCCTTCTTAGCAGCAGGTGCCTTCTTTGCAACAACCTTCTTGGCAGCAGTCTTCTTGGCAACGGGCTTCTTAGTTTCAGCCTTAGGTTCCTTGTTTAACTTGACGGTACCAGAAAGACCTTTTTATTTAAGGTTAATATAAACAAATAAACAAAAATAAAACACCCCATAATTTCCCCCTCTAGACACACAGACACACACGTCTTCATCCATCTATCTCCCCTGTGTCCCCTTCTACACATGTCAACCAACTGAATTTAATAATTTACCTTTGGGAAGAGCAAAGAGGTTTTTGGCACTACCACGCTTGATGGCAGCAGAGATTTGGGTATCGAAATGGGCACCGGCGGTGACCTTGTAGTTGGCCAAAATGAACTTTTTGATGGCAGGTCTGGAAGAACCCTTTCTTTCCTTTAAAGAGAGGATAGCAGCTATTTGTTAAAAATATGAGTTATGGATGATCTGTATACACAAACAAAACAAAAAAAAATTTACCCTTGATCATGGCCTCATACTAATTGAGAAAAAAAAAAAAAAAAAAAAAAGGGATCAGCAAAATTAAAAGAGAGTGAGTTGTATGTGCGGATTGCTTACGGTAGGGTGTTCGGCTTTCTTGGCGGGAGTGGTGGTTTTCTTAACAGTGGCAGCGACCATATTTATGAATGTATATAAAAAAAAAGTTTTTTTTAAAAGATGAGAGAGAAAAAAAAAAAAGAAAAAAAAAAAAAAGGAAGCGGGTTGGAAAAATAACACGGTCTTTTATACTTCCCACATTGAATTTAGCTGAGAATGATAAAATAAGCCAATCATTTGACTTGCTTGATTTTTTTTTTTTTTTTTTTGAAATTTTTAATTTTTTTTACAAAAAAAAAAAAAAAAAAAATGGCGCGTTCCTATTTTTTCAAGTTTGAAAAAGTATACTTTTTTTTTTTTTTTTTTTTTTTTTTTTTTCAAAAGGAAAAAAAAAAAAAGATAGGATATAGTCTGATGTTGGACAATGATACATCTCATGTACTACAGTCTGCTTATCTCATCAATGTATACATTGAATAGGCATCTCTTTTTATCTCTTTTTGTAAACAGTATCTCCCCCAAGAAAAAAAAAAAAAAAAAAACTTTGTTCCCTTTTTTTTTTTCATAAAATTTTTCTCTTCATGTATCCATTTCATATATGCCTTCTTTTAAAAGTTGCAAAGTAAACTTTTTTCTATCCAACACACAGTGGTGAAGAAGACCATTAAGAGCACATCATGTCTACATGATGCTTTATTAATTTATATCATTGCTCATTCTAATCATAGAATGAATTGATTTTTTTAAAAAAAAAAAAAAAATTGGGTCGATCGTTTTGGAAGAAAAAAAAAATACATCATGTTACCTTTTTTTTTTTTAAAAAAAAAAGACGGATGTATCAAAGACAAGAGTATTCCTTTTTATAATAAAACCGCCACCCTCTTTAAGACAAGGTAATTCTTTACCATACATTGTCAATGTGAATAGTCTATTTTTGATGGATAATGGATCTCTTTCCTACAAAAGAAAAAAAAGTACCCTTGCAAAAAATTAAAAAAAACAAAAACAAAAAAAAATTATTTTCCCCCCTTCCCTTTTTTTTTTTTTTGCTCAGTAAATTCTAATATCAAATCACATATATTAATCACTAATAAAGTATTATTGAAACTTACATGAATAGATAGCCATGATCTTTCTCCTTTGAATGGTGTAATTTTTGTATACCTTTTACACTTGAAAATAACAATCCTAGTTAAATCAATGTTTTCAGATACATTTTTGCAAATTGGAAAAAAAATAAAAAATAAAAAATAATTTTTTTTTTTTGGATGTCCTCCATCTCCTCCTCCCCCTCATTTCGATGCTTTTTTATCAATGTCTATCTTCCACATATGAAAGCAACGCTATCAATAGAAACAGACAACGGTAGTCATGGTAAACTTCCATGGTAATGTCTCTTTTATTTTGACTTTTTTTTTTTCTTCTTCTCTCTACCTTGGAAACAAGACATCATGAAATATAATATGACGATTTTTTAAAAAAAAAAAAAAAAAAAAAGAGGGAATTTTTTTTTTTTTGGAAATTTTTTTTTCCCATCCAAATTTTTCTTCTCATAATCTGAACTCGTGTAAATAATCAAATTACCCCAAAAAAAAAAAGGGAAAAGAAAGAGGAAAACCATCGTATCTCTTAACATATACTTTCAATGAATCAGAAATATATATATAAAAAAAAAGGTTACAAGTAGAAAAAGTTCCTTTCGGTGCGATCAACATTTTTTATTTTATTTTTATTATTTCGTTCGGTTTCGTCATCATTTCTCTTTCCGAATTTCCACCCATAAATTTGCCTCGATATCATTCAACCATCTCAACCTACAACAATTTGTAACAGCTTCCCTATTCATGCGCACTCTTTGTTTCTTTTGAAAGAGAGTAAAAGGACATCCACAAAAAAGATGGGAGGTTGAGGGCCTCCCGATTCTCTTTTTGTGTTTGCCACACCAATTGAGTTTACCGTGTGTATAACCCCAAGTACGTACAACGCTCTCGCTATCATGACACATGCGTCCAATACTCTCACCAAGATGACAATTACGTTGTATGCTTTCAACGAGATGACAAGTACGTTGTATGCTTTCAACAAGATGGCAAGTACGTTGTATGCTTTCAACAAGATGGCAAGTACGTTGTATGCTCTCAATATCGTGACAATGAATTAAATGTGCATCGAGTATATAAAGCTGCATCACACCTTAAAGAAAACTATCTCATCCAGCAGCAATAGCAACAGCAGCATCAGCATCAGCATCAGTAATATCAGCATCAGCAGCATCAGCAGCAATAGCAGCAGTAACATCAACAGCAATAGCAATAGCGGCAATATCAACATCAGAAGCAGCCATATTAGCATTAGAAGCAGCAATCAGCAGCAACAGCAAAAAGCAGCAGCAATAGCAGCAACAGCAGCAAAAGCAAAAGCAGCAAAAGCAGCAAAAGCAGCATCAGCAGCAATAGCAGCATCATAAGCCGCAGCAGCAGAAATAAGGTACTAGATCGATCATACATTGTAATTTCAATGCACACATTGTTAACCCCATAGATACCATGTTTGTACCATTTTTCATCATTTAAGGACAAAACAAGGCTTATATAAATCAAGTCTATCCTTTTAGTCTGATGATCCATGCAAACTTTTTTTTTATATCATCATCATCATGATGGTCCTTTTTTTTTACAAAAAAAAAAAGATCGCCTGTCTTTTTTGGAAGAGTGACACAACCTTTTAACTTTCTTTTTTTTTTGATATGTAAAAAATCGATATGACCTACTACTTAGCACTACCGGAACCTTTTCTCTCAAGCGTTCCGATGATCTAACAGAAATTAAACTTTTTTTTTTTAGGACAAGATGTCATTTCTGGCCTTCCCCCCTAAAAAAAAAATCCATAAGAAATCAAAATAAGCGTCATCTTTTTTTTAAAAAAAAAAAAATGTCAATCCACTCGAAGCACATTTGTTTTAACAGGAGTAGCACACTGCGTATCACATACACTCCCCCCCTTTTTTTTTCTTCTCAGTAAATCAACAACTAGAGTAAATAAGGGGTAGGACAAAAAGCATAAAAATTATAATACAGAAAAAAAAAATTTATAGAAAATAAGTTTGGGGATATACGTAATAGTGATGTAATATATAAGGTTTTATATAGTCCTTCTTTTTTTAAATTAAAACTTCGCGTTGATCTCTTCTTCTTTGCTCTCGAGCTCTTTCCAGTTCAATAGATCGAGGATCTAATGCTGCTGTAGTTAAACTACGGTTTGGTATCGTAATAAATTTTGGCATCGGTCGTAATTCTAGGTCCAGTGAAATATTAATACCTAAAAAAAAAAAAAAAAATACATTACAATTTTTAGTTTCTTTTTTTTCATAAAAAACTTTTTTTTTTGTATCACAACACACACACACAGACAATCCGTAATCTTTACCCGCTTGCAAGTGTTCAACCCATGATATCATTTCCACATGCGTATTCATTCTCAATAGCAATTGAGGTCCCTGGGGTGTCGTCAATCGGAGCGCATTGGGCCTTCGAAAGTAATCCAACGCACGTGACGCTTCAGCCCCTGCTAGAGACAACGTTAGAATCGGTGTGTAATAATACCGATGATAATACGAATAGGGTGTTCTTAGTGGCCATCGGTAGTAATTGTCATAATCGATCGTACATGATGTCTCTGTTGGCGCTGTACGGTAGATTCGTAATACTGTCCCCCATAACTCCACATACAACTTTCTAAATCAAACAAACAAAAAAAAAAATGTATTTGTTACATCAGTTCAAAAAAGTGAGCCACCCTCCCCCCCCCTCCTTCTTCTTTCTTATTTACCTCCAGCCACGGTAACGGCTCTTGACACCGGGTGTATCAAATTCCTTCTTGACATGAACATAACCCATTTTAAAAACGGTACAAGAATAAGCGGGTAACTCCTCTTTACCTTCCTCCTCACGTGGAAAGATCATGGATCGGCATCTATCCATTCGTTTACCATAGATGGAAGGCACACCCTCATAATCCGGTGGCGGTGTTGTAAATGAGGGTAACTGCACTGGCATCGAAACAGGTCTTGTGTTGACTTGTTTATTAAATCGAGGTCGAGGCGTATTCACGGTGGTTGAAGAAGGTAGCAGGAGTCCTCCATCCATTGGTCCTGCTGCTGCTGCTGATGTTGAATAATCATGAGCGGATGATGTGTTTGTTTGTACAGATGGTATTACGACAATAGCGGGTGGTGATATGGAGCTTTTCTTTGGGTACGAGTCGAATGCATGAATAGCGTTCAAGATAGAAGAAGGTGTGAGTAAAGGTGTATCATCATCATCCTCTTCGTCTTCGTCTACTTCGGGTATGTTATGAGGGGTCGTACTTTTGATGCTGGTGACATCTCCACGTTGTAGATGAACGGAGAGCGCTTTAGAACAGGTGGAGAGTAATCCGAGGTCTCGGGGATCGTCTAATCCGAGTCTTTGAAAATCAGGTTCGGACATGCTCAAGAATTTATCCAGGTCGATGCCTGCTTTTTGAAAGAGAGGAACATGGTGTTGTAAGGATAGATGGGTCAAAACGACGGATGAAAGCTTATCCTCTACTACTATCATTATTATTTTGGGTTAAACATTATTTAGGGTAAGAAAGTAGCATGCGTATTACCTGGTTCAATGGTTTGCATTTTCCGTGTGGGATTATATATGTACAATAAAAGACTTTAAAAAAAATAAAAATAGATAGAAATACAGGAAAGAAAGATGAAATAATACGAACAACCACAAAAAAAAAAACTTGTCTCTTTATAGACAAGGAACTAAATAAATAACAATCATAAAACGACGTCAATTTCATTAAAAAAAAAATATAGTTTTCCCCCCCTCGTGACAATAGGAAATAGAGGAGGAGAGAGAGTTCTCACATCGGTAGATCTCACAATTTTTAGTTTTTTTTTACAGACTCCTCTTTAATTTTTTATTTTATTTCGTCTTTTGATGCTAAATCACAAAAAGGTTAATATAAGGGGATTATTTCAAAAAAGAGTAGATAAACAAAATTTACCTCTGGCTTATGCAATGTTTCGTAATCAACATGAACAAAAGCGCGTTCAACATCAGGTAAAGACTCTAACTTTTGTTGAAGTGCTTCTCCAATGTCATGTGAAGTACGTAATTCCATATTGGGTGGTAAAACAATGTCTACTTCAACAAACAGATTGTTTCCCGCATGATACGCACGGCATGTATCCACCTGAATCACACCAGGATGAGTGAGCGCTACAAAAAAATTCCATTTGTGTTAGTTCTGCAAAAACTGTAAGATGCTTACACACTATCACACACACACACGCACACACACTTAGCGCACTAACCAATATAGGTAATCAAATTGAGAAACGTCGTATCCGCACTCTTGCCAACCACTAATGGAATATGTTCAAACAAGGTAGAGGTCCAGCTATGCAAGATAATTACAGCAATCACAATGGATCCCACCGGATCCACCCAGGCTGCCACTCGACTACCCACAATACCCGTCGTCAAACCCAGTCCATTCACAAGAAGATCATTACGATGATCCTGAGCCAGTACACGCGCAGAACTAAACTGAGAGATGGTCTTGCAATAGATATACAAGAGTAACTTGACAGCTAAAAGAATCATTTTTTTTTTAAGTGTCTATTTAGGATAAAAAAAAACAGAAAAAAAGCTTTTTACCCAAGGCAGCTGATACAAAGGCAATGGCTAAAGGTTTTAAATCAGGTGAATGAGAGGACTCGCTAAGCTTTTGAGCTGCTTCAATCTAGACCCCTTCAACATTAGTCATTTTATCACTTTTTTGTTGTTGTTGTTGCTTACGATCAAAAAGAGAGCTACACAGGACATCAAACAAGCAAATACGATAATACCAATGGTTTCCATTCTCGATTTACCCTATTCGAAAGTGAGGAAGAGGGGGGGGGGAAACGGTTTTAAAAAAACATATGAAAAACAAACAAACAAGAAAAAAAAAACGTACAGCAGGATACTTTGTAAGGTTGGATTTAGATGCTTGCTTTGCGGCCCACATGAGAACTAATGAACTTAAGAGATCCATAAAGGCATCAGCCATCGTAGAGAAAATGGATAAGGAACCAGAAGTGATGGCAGCGACCAATTGAAGCGCGAATAAAATGACATTGGCTACCACGGATCCATAAATGGCTATTTTCAACTAATAGAGGGTGTTTATCTTACTTGTGTACATGTATAAAAAAATTTAATTAAGACTTACTTTAAGCAACTGCTTCTGCTCATCGTTTTCATCCGTTTCATCCAATGCCGTCAACATGCTGTCAATCATATCGTTTTGGTTCTGATAAAAGGATTGAAGCTTCTTTTGACCCTTTAAACCCACTTGGATATAATCTTCATCCGTTTTTTTACCCTGAAGAAATAACGGGTCGTATCCAAGTGTACTTTCCTCCCCTTCTGAACGATGGACGTGTCTGTGTTTTAATTGGATGCTTTCAACCGTTGTTACTGTTGCTGTAGCAGACATCTCTATTTGTTGTTGTTTTTAAAAAGAAAGAACGAGAGAGAAAGAGAGAGAGAAGAAAATAAAAAGAAGAGGGTAGCACGTACGGTTGTGCATCTACGGGTTTAGATAACATGATCTACAAAAGGTTACTTCTTTTGTTGCAGGTGTGACGTTCATGCGGACCATCTATTTCCCTCTCTCTCCTCCCCCCCTCTTTCAAACATGAAAATCATTTCTTCTTCTTCTTCTTTCTTGTTCTTTTTTTTTTATATATACGTATATATAAAACACACGTTATGATTCAACTATTACCAACTGAACTACTTTGGACTGTTCTAAATAATTTGGAATACGGAGACTTGGACAACTTGTGGAAAATTAAACGACTTGAACCCACCATTCTCTATTATATTCAAACGCATTACAAGTTTCATTACCAGATATCATCCTTATTACGCATCTTTGAAGCCATTACACCCACAGCTCGACAGCAAGCGGAGACAAAGACAAGAATGGCGAGAGAGATGCTCGAATTTATAAGATCGAGTGTCGCATGTTTACCAAAATATGAACATCGTAGCAAGTTTACGGAATTACTCGACATTGTACAACAATTGACACTCCAACGCATCTTGGCTTCCGATTTTAAGGCCAATGGATTGGAACATGATTATGCAGGATTATGTTTACAAGTGAGAGCTCTTTATCTACATACACCTTCAATCCGAGTTTTACATGACCCAGTAAAGTTTTTCTCTCTCACTCTTACTCTCTCAAACTAAGAGAGTTCCCCCCCTTTTTTTTTGTTTTACAAAAGTGTAATAATTTTATATATATTATATTCATAGAAATATAGAAGACGCAGTACAAAGCATCCATTAGCACCCTTCTTACCTCGAGACTATACTTTTGTGTGGCGATTGCATTGTAGTCTAGGTGACGATGAAAAGGAACGAGGTGTGCGTACACGATTTGCAAACTTCTTTGGAGGTCTGTTTGAAGCAACGAGTTTATACCTGGAGTCGAACCTAGATGGCACATTTGAGGAGTGTGTAAGGGAGGCACTTGTGACGGGCAATGCACAGGATTTATTGATCCTGTGTGTGGCAGCGGCACGACCTGTAGATGTGGAAGGTATGTGTATGATGGTGACAGATGCGGGAGAGCAATTAAGGCATTATTTGGATACCATGGATCATTGGATGACCACAGATCCGACACCTCAACAAACGTTTCGGTTACATCAAGAAGATGAAGGAGATAGGACGCATTCTCCACCGTTACCACCGCCTGAATGGTTAATACCCGATCGATACAAGGTGAATAAAGATGCTGTATTAAGACTTCAGGTAAAAAAAATCAGTTTTTTTTTTTGAGGGTGTGTGTATGTGTGTGTGATAAAAAGAACTCATGAAAATTAGCTCATGGATAATCTGTACAAGAAAGGTTGGCGATGGTTTGATTAAGTAACAATAAAACAAAACAAAAAAAAACCGTAATTCTGTCCGAGGATAATTTGTTCATGTCCCGCTTCGGCATAACAGAGAGAAAAAAAAAAAAAAAAAAAAGACTGTCAATAAAAGTATAGACAAAACCTCTTTTTTTTCACTCTTCCACCCATCCCACATTTTTTGACTCCATTAGAATTTTTTTTTTTTAAAAAAAAAGAGAGAGTTTTTGTTGTCTTCTCTTTTTTGTAGCATTCATTTTATGAAGATTCCAGTTAATTCACAATTGAAACTATACCTCATTTGCTGGTAAAAAAAAAAAATTCTAATAATAATTCATAAAGCACTTGTATTTATTAAAAAAAAAATGCCAATACTAGTTTTGTATCGCTGGGTGGATTCATGGTAAGAAGAAGAAGAAGAGAGGAAGATATAAATAGCTTTTAATGACGTCTTTCTTATATAGTACGGGTAAAAAAAAAAAAAAACAATTCCCTATTTCTTTTTTTTTTTTCAGCAAAAAGTAAATATTTAATTTTAAAATTCTAGATATGACAGCGGTGTTACCTCTGCTGTTATGCTCATGCCATCATTTCAACATAAATTCAACATACCCACAGATTCTTCAGCATACACAGCAGTCGTACCAGTTTCTTTAGCCGCTTCTTTTCTTGCCTCTTTTGTAAAAAAAAAAAATTGTTGCGTCTATTCCCCCTCTTTTTCTAATCCAATTCTTTTTTTTAAAATAAAACCTGTGTAGATCTCAGGGTTTATAGCGGATGCATTGGGAAGAAAGCGATTTCTCTATGTAGCAACCATTATACATGAAATAGGTTGCATTGTCGAAGTCGCAGGACAAACACAAGGTTCCTTTTTCGCTGGTCGTGTCCTGACAGGTCTCGGTGTTGGGTAAGCTAAATTATTATCATTTTTTCCTACTGAAAAAAAAAAAAAAAAGCATGCTCATCTCTCTCTTTCCCTCCAGTGTCTACAGTATGCTTGTTCCCTTATGTAAGTCAACGGGATCAACAGATAAAAAAAAAAGGGTGGAAGACTGACAGTTTTAAAAAAAGATCAAAGCGAAGTAGCTAAACCCGAAAACCGAGGACGATTAATTTCCTTTTATCAAATCTTTGTGACACTTGGATTTTGCACGGCCTTTTGGTTAGTCTTTGGTATTTATCGTTCACAGGGTGATCTTGTATGGAAAGTACCCTTTGGTACGCAACTCATTGCAGGTGGTATCATGTTGGTGGGCATCTATTTTATTCCCGAAAGTCCACGTTGGCTCATTTACAAGGATAGGCCACAAGAAGCACTCCGGATACTAGCTCAATTAAGGTCAAGGGGTGACGTTCATGACGTAGAGGTACAAATGGAATTCACAGGTATCGTTCAAGACGTCTCATTTGATAAAATCGTCTACAAGCAACGTTTCCTCAGTCTTTTAAAAAAGGGAAACGATAATAACCTCAAAAGAACCTTATTGGGTATGGGCATTCATACTTTTACTCAACTCTCCGGTATCAATGCCTTATTGTGAGTTTTTTTTTACATGTCTTTTTAAATATCTCACACAGCCACTCCCATCACTAAAACTACATCGCATCGCATAGATTCTATTTACCGCATATTCTGGAATCCGCAGGTATCAAGGAGATTTATTCAGCCTTGTTGGGAAATGGTGTAGGTGGGATTGTCAATTTCGTAGCCACCGTCACTGTCTTGCTCTACGTAAGTCATTTTTTTTAAGAGTAAATCATACAACGCTTTATAACAAACAAACAAACCTGTACTAGATTGATAGATGGAGTCGACGTAAAATTCTAGTGGCTGGGGCATTGGGTATGGGAAGTTGTATGTTGGCCATCGGTATTGTATCTGCTGTATTTAACCAAGAGTTGGTGAATAAAGTAGCGGTGTATGGAGATGTGGATGTAGTAGGCCTTGTAACACCCAGAGCCACCTATGCAATTATTGTCTTGCTTGCTGTATTTATTGCCTGCTTTGCACTAAGCTGGTAAGAAAGGGATTTATTTATACGCAGACACACACACACCTAAATCTATTAGAAATACAGGGGACCGATGGGCTGGATTTACCCTGCCGAGATTTACCCACAAATGATTCGAGCCAATGCGATGGGTGTCACCACTTCATGCAGTTATCTTTTCAACCTCATTATTTCGTTGGTAGCACCCATCATGTTTCGGGAGATTGTATGGGGTACGTATCTATTCTTTGCAGTGATCTGTTTTATCATGGCAGCGGTGATCCATCTCTACTATCCAGAGACAAGAGGAAGATCATTAGAAGAGATCCAATTGATCTTTAGTGGCGCATTAATTGATCAACGTCCAGACGCACATCACCCTTCCACAGCGGCTGAAGCACTTTTGCATTTAGAACAAATTCAACATCGAGATAAACGGGATCAATTAGCGCGTGATCATCGTGATTATCCGTTTACGTTTCCACAGACATTTGAGGTATCGAGTCCGCATAATGTTACCCGCGTGTTTAATAATGGAACAAATTATTATGAGCCGAATAACGAACATTCACAAGTGGATATTATATCACCGCAACCGACACGACCTTCCACATGTACTAGTGTGCGGATACCGTCTATTTCTTCCGTGCAATCCTTGTATTCTGGTAGAATGCAAGATCCAGAAGCCTGAGAGGGCTTTTTTTTTTTTCTTTTTTTTTAAAAAAAAAATTGTATATATATATATATTCCTTTGTAAATAAATAACACCTCATCTCGATTTTTATGACAGCTGTATTTTATGCAAAAAAGAGGTAAAACATGCTAATCTCTCTTTTTAAGCCAATGAATGGTGTCCAGCAAAGTTTTTTTTTTTTTTAAATAAATCCCAGCCCCATCTTTTTTTATATATACATCTCTTTTTCTTTTGTATAAAAAAAAAATAACAACATTTGAAATGCGTATTACTGCTGGACTCGCCTTTATTGTAACTGCTGTTACTTCTGTCATGGCTTTAAAAGAAGCACCTGCTGATTTACAAATTGGTAAATACCTTTTTCTTTCTTTCTGCCATCTCTTTTCTAAACACTCCTCTTTTTTTTTTAGGTATTCTTAAACGTGTTCCTGCCGAGAAATGTCTTGTTCGATCCAACAACGGGTAAGAAAAAGAAAAAAAAAAAAAGGGAAACGCGCACTCCTTCCAAAAAATAAGAGAGAGAGAGAGAGAGAGAGAGATAAAATGGCTGACACCTTAATTAAAAAAAAAAAAAGCGATCAATTGTCGATGCATTATACCGGTACACTCTTTGACACGGGTGTAAAATTCGATAGTAGCTTAGACCGTAATGATCCTTTTGTATTTGAAATCGGTAAAGGACAAGTGATTGGAGGCTGGGAACAAGGTTTATTAAAGTATGTATATAATAAGGGATTGTCTACTTGTAGGAATTTTAAAACTCCCCTTTTATGATTTAGCATGTGTATTGGTGAGAAGCGTAAGCTTACCATTCCTCCTCACTTGGGTAAAAATATAAGAAAAAAAAGACACGAAAAAGTAAAAAAAACCCTTTTTAATCTGTAATATGACGCGTTTTTATTAGGTTATGGAGATCGTGGGTCTTATCCTGTGATTCCTGGTGGAGCCACACTTGTATTTGAAGTTGAATTATTAGATATTAAAAAAGGTCAACGTAATGAAAGAAAGGGACCCGAAACCGTTAAAACAAATGACGACGAAGCCATTATTTCGTAAGTTTTTTTTTTTTCATGCATAAAATAGATGACGATTCACTGACGCACATATATCAAAAAAAAAAAGTTTCAGTTCGCCCAGTTTCATTCTTTCAACAGCCGGTATTCTTATCTTGTTTTTCTTGGTCTTTCGTATGGCTAAAAAGCAAGATATTGTAGAAGCTAAAAAAGCAGTTGAAAAGGAGATCAAGGAAAAGAAATAGTTTATTTATTTATTTAGTACTGGTGCCATTGAATTTATCAGCAATAAATTGGGCTTCGTTTTTAATCGTTTCCGTCAATTGACCCAATAAACCTGGCTGTTCATTGTTTGTCTTGTCTTTGGGCTTGTCATCATAGTCTCCCACTTTAAATAATCCAGTAGATCCTGCTTCATTGGTTGAAGTCTTTTTAGAGTATGTGTTGTCTGATTGTCCAATATCCATGATGTGTTTTATAAAGTAAAAAAAGGAATGTTTTTTAAAAAGTAAAAACTTTTTTTTTTTTTTTTTTTTCGGTTGGAACCCTATTTATAATACTCTCTCTTTCACCTTCCGCTCACGACTTACAACACCTATGCAATAAGAATGACCACACTTTTATTTATTTATATTTTAGCATTGTTTACAACTAAATATGTAAAGCACTTTTTTTTTTGGTTTTAGTCTTCTTCGGTCATAGCGTCATCTGCACTAGAAAAGGGGGTTTTGAGCGTTTTAAGGATTCCAGTCACTACTTTAAGAACCGCCTCGGCCATCCAAGTGCTGTAGGACATACCCTCACCGTCTTGTTCTTCCTCCAAAATAGAAGTTGTGTTATAACTCTCTTCAAAGTTGTTCATTGTATAAAAAGAATTAAAAGTAAAAAAGAAAAGAAAAAATCACACGGGGCTTATTCACAACGATTTTTAAAATACAAAATCACTGATTTATTTTATAGTGGATATTGTTAAAAGGGAGAGGGGGTTAAACGCAAATAAGGCTTAATGACCTTGACACCCTTGGGAAAGAGAGTATGTGCTTCTTCGGTAGAGACAGAAGGATGAACAATCACATCTTCACCCTTCTTCCAATTACCAGGTGTGGTAATACGATGCTTATCTCCCAACTGCAAAGAATCAATCACACGCAAAATTTCATCAAAGTTACGACCCGTAGATGCAGGATAAGACAAGATTAAACGGATAGTCTTTTTAGGATCAATGATAAAGACGGAACGAACAGTAAATGGAATACCTTTACTATCGATATTACTAGCATCCTACGTTTTAATCAGCTTTAGTTCCTTCTCTCTCCCACCGTATGCTATTATATAAAAAAAAGTCTTACTTGGTGGTCCAACATGTCATAGAGTGTAGAGACAACACGATCATCATCAGCAATGATGGGAAAGTTAAGCTCAACGTTACTGATTTCATTAATATCAGCAATCCATTTTTCGTGGTCAGCAAGAGGATTAGCAGAGAGACCAATCACATTCACGTTACGTGCATCCCATTCATCTTGAAGCGCAGCTACAAGACCAAGTTCGGTGGTACACACAGGGGCTACAAAAAAAAAAAGAGAGTTAAAACATCCAATTCCCGTTATATATCAGACACTTACTGAAATCGGCAGGATGGGAAAAGAGAACAGTCCATTTATCACCAATAAACTCATGGAATTGAATATCGCCCTTGGTGGTTTGGGCCTTGAAATCTATCTCTTTTTTAGTCAGTTTTTTGTCTACTTTTTATTTTTACGCGTCCTTATTATTACCGGGTGCAGTGGAGCCAAGTCTGAGAGTCATTTTTTTTTTTGTGGTAAAGGGATGTTTAAAGAAAAAAAAAAAAAAAGCAAAACAAAAAAAAAATCCCGAAACTGTTTTTCTGTATTTATATAATTTTTAAAAGTCCTCTCTATGGAGACAGTAATAAAAAGAAACTCTTTCTCACACACACACACACAAGAGCATACATACGCATCTTGTACTTCACCTTTATTTTGAATGCCACAAGAATACGTAAAAAACAGAGAGATGATGCCATCGCATGAATGGGTGAGCTCATATAATCTATCTGATTGGACTTGGTCTTTTTTTTTTTGTGTAATGGCGCAATTCGATCATGCAAACATCTAATTCAAATAGAAGCACAAGAATAGCACACACACAAAAAATAAAGATTTTTCTCTCGCTAAAAAAAATAAGCCACACACACCCAACAGCAGCAAAAGCTCTCCCTTTTAATTTTTTTACGTTTTCCCCGGTTACACACTCCGTTCCAAAAAAAAACCAATGATGGCCCCCCTATAAAAACTTTTTTTTTTTTGTTCTTCCCTTTGTAATGAAATTATTGCGTGCTTGGATAGAATCGAGTAACTCACTTTGTGTCGACTTACGTACAAAACTGGATTTTAAACAATGTCACTTAAAATCCTCCACGAATATCCCACTTTCCCAACTCGTCTTACGTCAATCCGAACTTCCACCTAAACGATTACCTTTTGCTGTCATCGAACCACTTCACGAAAAAGGTTGTGCTACTTGGTTGATCGAACAAGGTTGGCAAGTGCCCTGGGTACTTTGGGAAGGTGAACTGACCTGGAAACAAGCCATCGAGAACGGTTGGATATCAGATACGGATGAACAATGGCTATTATTTCAACCATCCCCCTTTCTCATGGCTCACATGGATACCATTGAACTCCCTCTACGACAATTTAAAAAGGACACACCCTGGACTTGTTTAGATATTGGGTGTGGATCAGGTCGTGATGTAGGTTGGTTACTCGCTCGTAATAAACAATGGCATGCATCCGCATTCGATTCATTGGCTGGCGCCATGGTCCGTACCGATCTCCTTGTACGCAACCTCAACGTCAGTCATCAACTTGACCTACTTGCACAAGCCAAACTTCTCAATAACGGTGAGTGGAAATTAGTGTCGGATGCTTGGTGGGACCCCCATGGGGAAACACAGGAACTCCAAGACCCCACAGAAGAGATCGCCAAACGACTCGCGATGACAGCGTTGGAAAGCAAAGACACGGCATCCTACACGTTCCCTCAGTTTTACAACCGATTAAACCCCGTCGCAAAGTCACACACCTTTGACCTCATTTTAAACATTCGGTTCCTGTCAAGACCGTTTTTGGCACAAGTACCGTCGTTATTGAACAAGAATGGATGTTTTGTCATTTCCCATTTCGTGGATGATCCAGCCTATGATTATAAGCAGCCTAAAAAGAGTCTACGTTTGCAAATGAATGAAATTAGTCAATTCTTTGCAAAGTTTGATGAATTGGAAATCATAAAAGATGTCATTGAGGAAATAGAAGACGGAAGACCTATTAATTCCGTTATTGTACGTAAGAAAAAATAAAAAAGTTTTTTTCTTTGGGATTTTTTTTTACCAGCATTTCCCCGAACTGTACTGTCAGTTTTGAGAGGGGGGATTGTTACACAGAGACGTAGGGAAAGTCGGGGGGTTAAGAGAAGGGGGTTTCATTTTTTATTTATTTATTTTTGTGTATGAAAAAAAGAAAGAGAGAGAGTGTATGGTTCTATCTGTTGTCTAATGTATTTATATATATATGTGTGTGTCAAAATTATTCCTGAAGTCCTTTATAAGCATTGAAACCATAAAAAACACCAAAGACAAGGAAAAGAACAGAACCAGCAAATGTAACTAAGAAAAGAGTAAATACATAGATCACACTTTCTAAATAATAAACAAATATTTACCTGTTCTAACAGAAATCTTGGATGCCAACATACGGCCTCCAATCACAGCTACAGCAGTACACATACCGTGTCCAAGAACAACACCTGCAGTTACGTAATACACGTTCTATATATTGGGCAAAGGTGAAGGGTTAGCTTCTAGCATCAGAGACTAAATAAAATAAAAAAAACGTACGTTGGCTGCTGCTAAAGCAATGGTGGAGATTTGAGAACGGTCACCCCACTCACCCAAGAATGTAAGGACAAAAGTCTGAACAAAGACAGGGGAAAAGACAAGCTGCATCAAGTTCATCAAACCTTCCTTGGCACGTTCAGGTTTTGATCCAGTACCAAGTGCAGGTTGACTAGTAGCTTCTAATCCACCTACCTCCATCTCTTCCATCTTATTGGCTCGTTCACGATCCTCCACCGTCTTTAATTCGTTCTCCACTTCCATCATTTCCTCATTATCATTATCGTCCATATAATACGCTTCGTACATCATACGTACACCAAAACACAAGAACAGGAGCGCTGCACAAACATCCGTGTATTGTTTAGGAATTAAGTTGGGTACCACATGGCCCAAGAAAGCAGAAAGAACAGACATGATGGCCAAGGAAGAAAAGGCTGCTGCAAACACTACTAAACGTGAATGCTTCATGGCCATGATGGCTGCAATCAAGAAGGTTTTGTCGCCAATTTCAGACACAATAATCATGAGCAAGGAAATCACAAACGATTTCTCTAACTCTCCATCCGATCCTAATTCATTTGTATTCAATTCCAACTCTTTGGATGAAGTAGGAAGATTGGCATCTACAAGCTACATGAAAAAAAAAAAGTTAGATGAGCTTTTCCTCCTCCTCCTCCTCCTCACTTATACTTTACCTCTTCTACAGGGTTTTCTTGTGCCTGAATAAAACTAGCACAGAGTAAAGTACAAAACAATAAAGGTACGAACTTTTGTAACCTATTCATTTCTTCTTTTTTATTTTTATTTTATTTTTTTTTGGATTTAATACAACTATTTTTGTTACAAAAGGGAAAAAAAAAAAAAGAAAGTTTTTTATTTTCCCATTTTTATCCAACGGGAGAAGAAGAATGTCCACATTTTAAACCCCTTCGCCACCGCCGCCGCCGCCTCCGCCGCTGCCGTTGCCGTTGCTGCCGTTGCCACTACTGCTGTTGCCCAAGGATCGAAAGACTTCATCGTCAATATAATACGCTTGAAATAAAAACTCAAACACATGCAATCTTTCCTCTAATTTAGCCATGCGATGTTCTTCTTCTTTCCCATGATGAATCGGATGCACAATAGGAATATGTAGATCCTTCTTTGAAAACCTAGCTCGTAAACCATCCAATAACGATTTTCTCATCCAACCCACAGTCCAACGATGCACAATACCCCAAGGTGATCGTGGTCGATAACCAAAGACACTGGCTTGAAATCCAATCATCAAACCAAAGATACCTCCAATCATACCCATCCCACCAATCACTGTAAATGCTCGTTGTTCTCGCATCACCTTCGTATGATAACTGGTAGGAAACACATGTAATGATCCTACAAGAGGTAAAGATCCTTCCTCCTCCTCCACCCATGTTACATCCATGGTGGTTGTCTGATACTGTACTGTTTCTATATCATGCACCATCTCACGTCGTGTCCCAAACCCGATCAAATTCCATAACGAACGATCCATCTTCTCTCGACGTCCATATCGATACCCAATCTGACTTGCCCTTGTACTCTCCAGATGAAACACGTTTTGGGTCTTTAGATTCCCTTGTTCAGAAGCTTGAAATTTAGCATTCTCATCTGCTGTGTACCAACCGTCAAATTCTCCCGAGAGTCCATACACAGGCAGGTTGGGATCATGTAAAGGAGGATAGGATTCAACATGCACGATGGATTGATTCAGGGTCTCTCCGTAATAATAAAACTGAAGGGACGTGCCTTGACTTGTCCATCGATCTGGTCCCAAGAGCAACGTATCCGCTTTAAACAAATAACAAGTCAATGCATAACCGTAATAATTTAGATTGCCCTGAACCTGGGGTGTCATGTCCTCAAGATGTTCGTTGCAAGAGCCTCCAAAATTGGTGGTACATTGTAACACGACGGATTTCCAACCGTCAAAGCAAAATCGAAGATGCGGTGCCAAAACAGTGGTATGTTCATCACGATGCACTTGATCAATCATTGGGCTATCTTGAACTTGTACTAACAAGATGACACTCATCATCATAAATACGGCAAAGAAAAAAGATCGAAAGATGAAACGACTCATCTCTGCCCATAAAGGTTCTCCCGCTCTAAAGGACTTTTTTTTAATACATGAGTTAATTTTTTTTATTTTCTTTTTTTTTTTTTTTTTTTTTTTTTTTTTTTTTTTTTTTTTTTTTTTTTTTTTTTTTTTTTTTTTTTTTTTTTTTTTTTACCTTGGGTTCCATACACTCTTCTTTAGACTTTGAAAGACATGGACCTTGTACTTTCTCAAGATCCAAAAAATGGATAATATAAGAGAGAGAATCACCGCCAATAAAACAAGAAATAGAATGGCGCTTGTGGGAACCCTCGTCGGTTTTAGGTCTCCCTTTCCGATCCTTGTTGGTGGGATCCATTCCTGTGTTAATGTATCCAGTACATAAATTCCATCCTTGGCAGAGTGACTATTTAGACCTTGTTTTTATTATGAGTTTTTTTATCTTCCTAAAACAATTTTTTTTTCCTTGCTGTTGTGCTGATTAAATTCTATATATATATATTTTACCAAGTCCATATACCATATTCGTATGATTGACAATCGTCGCGATAGAAAAGGAAGTCGGTGGAGGTTGGTAATGAGACATTGGAACACGTGTCCATTTCCATTCATTGATATCGAGTACTGCAGACATTTGTTTACCTGAAATATACGTCTGAAAGGGCTCTACACGGGCATCCTGACCGCCACAAATGACGATCTTTTCATCCACTACATACATTAAAAAAAAAAAGTGCGTCTATTTGTTTAGCATTCTCATATACACACACACACACACAAGGGTAGGACCTCACTAACATTACTTTTTACTGCTGTATGAAAGGTTCGATCACTTGGAATGGATCCAATCAAAGGTTGATCGTACCATTGTGTCGTCACCGTATTGAAAATAGATGCACTTGAAAGTGGATACAACAATTTATCTTTGGGTGATGAAAAAGAGGTGATGGAACAATCGAAGCCTCCCAACACAATCATCTTGCCATCACTATGGAAATGTGTACATGAGATTTTTTTTTTTTTTTTTTTTTAAAAAAAAACCTTGTTTTATAATCCTTTAAATAAACTTACGTTGTGATGGTGGATGTATGTCCACATCTTGACTGAGGATGCGCTTGTTGAATTTCAGTCCAACGATCCAAATCTCCACGATACTTCCAAATATCACTAAACCCCGTCGTCCGATTGGATCCACCGTAAAGGTAGAGGGTCCCGTCCAATTGAACTGTGGTATGCCAAAATCGTTCGACGGGTGTCATCTCTTTCTTTTGTAAGGGTGTCCATTCGGATTGATGAAAATTAAAACGATAATAGCGTAATAACTCCCCCCCTTGTTCTTCTCCTCCTCCATGACCTCCAAAACTAAACATGGTATGAGGATCTAAACTTGATAGTGTATGAAAAATGACAGCGGGGGATGCCATGGGATTTGTCTCGACTTGTTTTAACTCGAGTGTATCCGAAAGTATCCACATGGCTTCCTTGTTCCATGGCGCGACATTGTAAAATCCACCATAGATATACGTCGTATCGTTCACTCGAATGCTGGATGCACCGTATATGGGTCGGTTGGTACTTCGTAATTCTTGTCCTGCTTTTTCTAATGTTTCATTCATCCTTTTTTTGTATAATAGAATTAAAAAAAAAGAGAGAGAGAAAAAAAAAAGAAAAAGAATGCAATAAAAAAGATTTAGAGTCAGTATTAAAGGGGTGCATTTTTGTACTACAGAGAGGAGGAAAATCATAATATTAAATCACAAATTCCCTTTTTCTTTTTTATAAAAGAGAGAGAGAGGAGCTCAATTGAGTCGGGTAGTGTCAAACCTTTTTTTTTTTCTTTTTCTTATTGTCGGGTTATTCGATCTGCATTACAATGGACATGGTCTCCTATAAATAAATGACCATTTTTGTTTAGCGGAATAGTACATTTTTAGGATGATTGACCCTCCCTTCCTATAATATTTTAAATTATTTTGATTGATGGTAGATCTTTATTGTGAAAAGTCTAATTTCTAAGGTACAAAAAAAAAAAAAAAAAGGGAGGAGGAGGAGAGGGTTTATATGTAATAAAAAAAAAAAACTCATTCACCATCCTATCATTGTTCTTCATTGCACAAATTTATCCATCAGTTATTATACATACTACATCATGGTTTCTACATCATCCAAAATAGCTGCAATGAATGCATACATTATTCTCATAAATAAAAAAAAAAGCACTCAGATATACAAAAAAAAAAAATCCCACGCAAAACGTCTAGTTCTGAAAGTAAACAATAATGTAAAATAGTAAATTATCCTGAAGGGAATACCTATTTTATTTGTGAATTGTACCAAAAGAGCCTTATGGTAAAGAGGGGGACATGAATAATCATGAATGTAAAATTATTACAAAAGTATGAAATCACAACTGGCGTATATGTTTTCATTATTATAAAAGGATGCAGACATAAGGGCAAACATTTCTGAATTACTTTTCGTTTAAATATGCTTTTACAAAAATTACTTTATAATTCATAACTTTTTTTTTTCCTTGAGTGATGTGATCTTCTTCTCAGTGCTTGTAATTTGTGTCTGGACCTATGATCCTATATAAATATCAATACACTTCAATAGTGGCTGAAACATTGAATAAGCAATTACCAAATTTGGTAAATACTCAAAAAAAAGGTGTGTTTCGATTTCTGTAAGGGAAACCTTCGTCCTAAGTTACTGGTTTCCCCCTTTCGATAGGTGGCTCAATAAATAGAGCGCTCAGCAAGAAATGGAACTTCCTGACCTCTTAAAGATCGCAATGGATCTTCAAAAGAGAGCTTATCTATTTTTGTAGAGATTAAATTGCACCCCTCAGCATTGAAGACTTGGCGAAGAGGGCTTATTTATCCTCTCACTTGATACAATTCGTCGACCCTGTCGTTTATCAATCAAAGGACGGGGACGGTTTTTTTTTCTTTTTTTTTTTAGTGAGCTTAACCTATGTTGACTCATGCTTATGTCATTTATCTTTTGGGCCTGTCTGTTTGATTATTTATCCTTTTTTTTTACTCATTCAATGTCTCAACTCTATAATACGTATCATTCCTCATTAAAGATACCAAGTCAAATAAATACCAAACCAATTCACACAGTCAATAAAGAATTATCTTACATTTTATTGAACTTGGTGTCTTCTGATATTACTCCCAAGATCGAATTGGAGTAACCGCGGACTAGCAATTTGGTATTTTAATAAGCAGAAAGCTTTGCAATTTTTTTTTTTTTTTTTTTTTTTTTGAAAAGTCTACAAAGTAAACCTATGTGAAACTCTCCGATCGAATAAGACGTCTGTATTGTATACAAAAAGAGTTTTGAAGGTTGACAGCCTGTTAGATTGAAAATGTGTCCCTTCACTCTTCAACTACAATTGAGTTTTAAAAAAAAGAATATTTTTGTTCTTTTTTGGGGATGAGTTAAAATGGGTTTTGTCAGACCACCTGTCTAAAAAAAAAAAGAAGTGGCCTTTATTGGGTTTGAATTAAGCGAGTGATCGAACCCAGTCTGTGGGGGAAGCGATGGAAGAATGCTGACTTTATTATTGTGAATAACACTGAAAAAATAATTATATGTCATTATTCCGTTTCATCGTTCTTTTGACGATCGATACATACAAAAAAAAAAAATCAAATGTGAAAAGAAAAAAACGAGAGAGGACACAAAGAATATGCTGGTAAGACACCCTGTCGTACAACATTAATTATGAAAAAAGAGAAAAAGGGAAACATGCCAATTATTTCTTTTTCTTTACTTTCTTTTTTTTTTTATATAAAACATTCATGGGATATCCAACATCCATTGGATTCTACGTACCAGACTGGAATGGTTTGACAATTACTTCACTGATATTTGGACTTTTATTGTCTATCAGTGCCATTGCAACATCCTTCACTGACACAACACCTTATTCAAAATTTGGAAATCGACCCAAACTTGACACAATCCCAAGTAAAAAAGCCATGCTATTGATTTACGTTCCCAGCGTCCTCGCTTGTTTCTGCATTCAACCACGCATTTCATTTACCACCCATTTTGACCTTGTCCATGCGCTAGTCACCATGCATTTTGTTAAACGTGTACTTGAAGTGTTATTTGTTCATCTATACAAGAGTAAAACTAGTTTTGAAACAGTGATTCCAATTATGGTAACCTATGCCATGACAACGGTGCTTGATTTACTCATTGTGCGTCGTATGCCTCAAGGCGTGTTCTCCGAAAAATGGACACAGTATGGTGCTCTACTTGTCATTGCGGGAGAGTTAGTGAGTGTTTACCATCATGTACTTTTACGTCAGTTACGTACCTCACCACACATTAGCAAGAAAAACTATCAACTTCCTCAAGGTGGATTATTTAATTATATCGTTGCCCCGCATTATTTGGCAGAACAAGTTGTGTTTTTAGGGTTTATTTTGCTTAGTCAAAATATCGTGACCGTGGCACTCAAGTTATTCCCTTTCATCTATTTGACCGATCGTGCCCGAAAAACTCGTGCATGGTATAACCTGAATCTGGTGGACCGTCAAAGTAAGAAGGACTTGCAACAGCGCAAGAATTTAATTCCCTTCATTTGGTAGAGAATTTTCAACTCTATCTTTGTTTTTGTTATTGCTTTCCCTTATAGAATTCACTTTTTTTTTTTTTAAAAAAAAACAATAAAATCATAATACTTTATAGTCTAGATGGTATTTTTTTTTTTGTATCAGTAATGACAATCAAAAGTCCCGTTTTAAAAGCAATTAAAGGAGAAAAAGCGCAGAAAAAAATGGTGTAAAAAAAAATCATAAAGACCCCTTTTTTGATGGTGCTTGAAAATCATATAAGAGCCTTTTATATATATATATATATTTGTTTGAGGTTATGTGCAATGCCAAATTACTTGAAAAAACAATGCATATACTTCAAATTGTATTGATGAGCTGGATCACTCCATCCTTCTGGCTAGGTTTTATGTTGGCGCTTATTTGTATATTTCAGCTAGAACCCCTCTCTACGGATAAAATTGAATACTTGAAAGCATGGGATGATTTATTATGATAGTTTTTATCATGTCAATTTTTTTTTTATATAAAAATAATAAAGGGTTTTTCTTTTTTTTTTAAAAAAAAATGATCATGATATATTTTGCAAGTGATTAAGACGACAGTTCATTCGTAATATACAAAATAAATCGCATGGCCTTGTGCTAGCGACGGTCCACTCGATTTTCTGCCCTATCATGGTTGAGATTGTAAGATAGAGGCTTACAAATGATTGCCCTTTATTTTTATAGCACGATGAGTAGATACAGCAACAATGATTACATATCAGAGGAAGGAGGAAAGCATGTAGTATCATCATCATTGATCTCGACGTTCTTCAAGGATTTCTGATACAAAGTATAGGTAGCCAAACCATGTAAACCAGAGAAATTTAAAAACTGCTCGAGGCAACTTTTAACAAGTCCCAACCCAGTGGTTTTAATTTATTTACCCTTGGATGTAAGTGATGCTTCATATTCCCCTTTCGCTTCTTCAAAGCGAGGTTTGACATCCCAGTCCTTCAAATACATTTCAAAAGCAGCTTCAAAGCGGATTTTGTCTCCACCTACACGTTTTGACAAAGTCAATACAAGGACCCATATACACACCGAGTTTCTCTTATTGCATTGGTTTTGGATAGGGTCTGGTCGCCAGCAGACACGTTTGATCTTTGGGTCCCTTAAAAGTTGAACCCAAACTTGGAACCCAAATAATACGTTTTGAACATGCACAGTATATGATTCTCATGTACTGATGTAAGCTTGTAAACCCTTTAATAAGGTACTTCCTTGTAAGAAGGAAATATGATAGCAAATGACGACCACAAAATCAGATCCGGGACCAAATAAGTTCACACTGGTGGTTGGCCAAGCATCATCATTGTCTGGAGAATCAGCGTCTCTGTTACAATGAGGAGGAGGAGGATTATACGTCTCATACTCACTTCCCCTTCTTCAAATGGCTTGTCTCTTGATTCTTCGGGTATATTCCAATAGATTCCTTTTTTGAAAGCTCTGTCTCCCAGTCTTTGACTTCTTCCAGAGTTTGACCCAAGGTGATCAACTTGTTGATGGAAGACAGGACATCTACTAGAGGCAGACCTTCAAATAACTCCAGGCTTGAAGCAGCGGGTTCAACGGAACGCATTACGTTTGACCAAAAAACGACTTTCAGGAAGATTGTCCTGTTGGATTATATGTGTTTTTTTTTGGTAGTATGATTACAAGAAGAAGAATATATTTTTTTTCTTGTTCTCTCTTATCCATCTTTTTTTTGTATGGTAAATGATAGATTCTATATACTGACTTTACATCGAATTGATAAATTACAAAAGAAGTCATATGTGAATTATGACATAATACGGATAAAATAAAAATATGCAATTCATGTTATACACTATTTTCATAAATTTTTCGTGCACGCTTAGAATAAAACTTCAATCAGCGACGGAATAAATAATCGCTTAAAAATTAATTAATTTTCCATGCATAGTTTACAAACGAAATGAACGAAAGAGAAATATATCTGTTATCATTAAATGGGTATACTGCTAAAAGTAGAAGAACAATTTTCCATCATATTGAAGGACCCGAATAAGTGCACTATTGTATGCGTATAATATGACTTTAATTTAATGTCACTTCATCCAAAAGACTAACCTGCTCGAGCTTGCTCTTGAAAATTGAACGATTGGGTTTAAACCAAATAATTATTGTCTTCTTTTTAGGCCTATTTTGATACGCACAAACGAGAAAAACTTGATATTGTTGTTATTCACCCATAAGGGAAGCGAGGGGTAGCAACCCCCCCCCCCTTTAGATGTGTTGCGTTACCAAGAGTAAATTAAATGCCACTACCTCGTCATGAACGACACACTTATTGGTAACAAACGTATAAGTGGATAAATATATGGATGTACCAGACTCATTTCTTTACCTGACACCCTGAAACGGTAACCTGTTTTTTTTTTGTCAAACTAGAAACAAAAGACCTAAAAACGCTCAGACAAGTACATGGTATTTAGAGTTTTACTTGAAATAAAGTTTTATTTCATTATATGTATTAGGGGTATTTCAACCAATTTTGATTTTACTTTGAATGACACAATTATTTTCCGTTTGCTTTCGTATAATTTCTGGGCAATCCGAATTTTTCTATAATGAATATGAGGTATTTACCTTCTTGCAAAAGATATATATATAAAATGAAAGCTAGAAAAAGTGTATTTATTACTGCTTCATGCAAATTTCATTGTTCTTTGTTTTTCTCCCCTTTTTTTTTTTTTCAATAACAACATCAACGAATTATTTTAAAGTCAGAAATGAACAATGAAATCTTATATAAATAGTCGGTAAAAAAGTTTACCTCAATCCTTACTCAATTTTTATTTTTCTCTTTCTTTATTATTTTACGTATAACTATCTTTATTCTCAAATTCATAACACTTTGTACGTAAAAGGTAAATATTGTAACAACCAATCCAAAAATGAGTGACATTTATCTAACATGTTATTATAGAAACTTCTTACTTCAAATAACTGCCCTTTTTTTTACCAGCATGGACTCTGATAGATCCTTGTCTGGTACGCCGGGTACACCTGGAAGCAATATGAGCACATCTAGCTCTTTGGCTCCTGGCGATCATATTATATCTGTTAAATCCTCTATTGATGGTATTGGTTGGGACCCAGAGCGACGTGAAAGGCTCGAAGAATATGTAGTGACAGTCCACAACATCACTACACACGCATACTCACTCTCAAAGTACATTTTTTTGCGTGCCATTCAAGAAGATGAGAACTTTGATATCAGTCGATGTATCAATCGTGATTTTTTTGCAGAGGTCTGGCTCAAACTGACTCGGTATGCACGAGGAAGGGCTGGCGGAAGAACTGGGGCGACTCGTGCATTCATTGACACTTATCTTGATGACTATTTGGAGGTCACTGGTTTTGTTCCACCAGATTTCCGTTATGGTCAGCAAGCATCTTTAATCGAAGGAGCAAAGATCTTTACATCTTATAGCAACAATGTTCAGATGCGTTTGGGAAGTCATCTTAGACAAGCTGTTAATCATCTACTTCGTATTCGACAAAGAAAAGCCGAATTAATTGCTTATAGAAGACGTGAAGGATTAATTGATGCACTGATAAAATCTGAAGTATACAGAGAAATAACTGAGCCGGCGACAAGATTCAAGGAACTTATAGCTAGAAGGTTACCTCAAGATTTTGTATTGGACGGAGAGCAGTTCGGGGACCCTATCTACAATAACGCTCTTGAAATTCTTCGCCCTGTCCTTACCAGTTATCCCGTTGACTACCGGTTTCGTGGAAATAGCATTTATTTTGATTCCAAAGCAAGACCAGTTGAACATATGCGGGCTTTTTACGAACTGGCTTTATTATTTATTGATATAGAATTACCTGTGTTTAATTGCTTCCCATTACGCCGCTCTTGGATTCCTTGCTACACAACTATCGATTCAAAAATTCTTTGTCAAAATATTCTTGGTCGTCGGTGGACTAATCGTCAAGATAAGATAGCACTTTGGCGTGAAGTAATTAACCTAAACTCGGATGCACTCAAACACCAAGAAAATGGCGAGCTCCAGTTTAGAGGAACTATTCAAACGGATGGAGTAGGTGTAACTGTGATCAAGAAAAGAATGGATCGTGAAAGCAGATATACTGCTCGTTTTGCTGTTGTGGTTGAATCAATTCAGTACATTTCACAAGAGATTGCTCAAGAAACTGTTGGAAGATGTGTTACAATTGATCCTGGACGAAGAGATTTGCTATTCTGTGTGCATGAAAACTCAACCGCAAACAATCCAAACAAGTTTCGATTTACCAAACAGTACCAAGACAAGTTTGAAAAGATCAAAAAATACCGTAGAATCCGTGAAGCTGTGAAACCCGCTAGAGTAGCAGCAGCTGAAAGGCTTTTGGTTAATTATGATTCCTTGAATAGAGATGAATTTGAACAGTATCTTGAAAACAGGTCCAATATGACAGGCATTATCCAAAACCACTATGTCAACTTCCGAACCAACCATCGTACTGCTCATCCCTTGCACAGAAAATTGCGGCTATCTGCCTACATTAGAAGACAGCAAGGAAACGAGGATCTTATTTCAAAACTAGATGAACAGTTTGGTGTCGAAGCTGTTTATGTTATGGGTAACTGGTCTTCTCCTAATGCAAGATTTCATGAGCCGGTCCGAGGCCTTGGATTCCGTCGGTTGCTTCAAAAAGCTGGTAAAAGGGTGTACTTGATTGATGAATTTAGAACAAGTCAGTGCTGCCCAGTTTGTGAACGTAGAAGTCTTGAAACGTTTCGGATGGTCGATAACCCGCGCCCTCATAGACGAAGAGCAAATCCTCGTGTAATCAGACATGGTCTCTTAAGGTATGTTGATTTTACATGTTAATAATTTCTTCATCTAATAATTTTTTTTGTTGTTCTTGTGACAGATGTACAAATCAAAATTGTAGAGCCATGACTAATAACACAAATAGGATTGTTCCTCGTCTATGGAATCGTGATATGGCTGCTTGCTTGAACATGGTTGATATTGTTCGCTCACTTCGTGCTGGAAATGGCATTCCCCCAAGATTTCGACGTGGAGAGGTTCCCCAGAACCAACGGAGAAGAGCAAGAACCCAAAATGAACAAGCAAACATTAGAAATGTTCGTCAACGTCGCAACTAGAATTTTCCAGGCCTGTTATCGCAGGTCAACCATAGATACACTTAAGTGGTAAGCTCAATTTTTTTTTTTTTTTTCGGAAGATGAACGTATTTTTTTTTACGTTGTGAACGAATTATTTTTTTATTTGTGAACGAATTTTTTTTTACATTTTGATCTAATATTTTCTGAAAATAGTGTATTAGCACATCTACAAAGAAGAATGATCATCCCTCTATTTACAGTAGTCGCTCGATTTAAGGGTGTTCGATTTAAGGGTATTTTCTATTTAAGGGTGGATTTTGGAAAAACAGCTTCCGTCCCCAGCATTAACACCACTAAACCACTATTCTATTTAAGGGTGAGATTCCAATTCCCCATACCCTTAAATCGAACGATTTGACAGTGTATTTTTGACTTTTTTCTAACTTTTTGATCAAATTTATTGAATGTCCGAATAAAAATAAATATTTCGCAGTAATGATCATATTTCACGGTTAAAAATGGCGTAGTGACTTCTGTTTAAAATAGTCACGATTTTCGATTTAAGGGTATTTTCTATTTTAGGGTGAGATTTCCGAGATTTTTGGTCACCCTTAAATCGAGCGACTACTGTAGTTCTTTTTTTTTTAGCAGGGCCCTCCCAAAAGAGGCAATTACTTGGAATTATGGTAATTTCGAAAGGTAAAGGGTCATGTGTATTAAATAATGTTCCTGATTATTTGTACGACATTCTCTTCTATACAAATGTTTTTATGCAAAAAGATAACGATTTTTTTATAAACAAATGGATGATCTGCCAAATCGGAGGCTCAAACTGACTGATTTTTTTTTTGTCACAAAAAAAGAGAAGAAAAAGAAGGTAGAGTGGAAGGGGGGGAGCGGATTTGAGTTCCGTACATGTGTTTCACGAGAGATGATGCACACACAGCATGGAAAGAGATGAATCCGGGTTCAGGGTGGATTAGTGTACGTATGTCATACAAAGCCTGATAAGAGAAAAAAAAAAATAAAAGGTTAAAGGTTTGTTGTATTTTTACTTATCAGATCTTGATTATCTTTCGTACAGAATTTCAAACTTTAAGGCGGCACATGAATAGGATTTACAACTAAAAACAAAACAAAACAAAAAAAGCAAGGATGGAAGATATAAGAATATCTTTTTTTTTTTTAGAAAAAGATATTCAGTTACCGTCTGTGAAACGTTGAAGCTTTGATTAAAATAAAAAAAGACCTAGTGTAGATCCTTGTACACGTTTTTTTTTTTTGTAATGTTTCAGAGTGAGGGTAGTAATCAATTTGTTACAAGTGTGCTTATCCAATCTTGGCACTACTAGTGTTCAAGGATAAGGTCCCTTCCCCCCTCCCCTTTTTTTTTCCTTTTTATTTTGTAAACAAGAAGAGTGCTGCTTTCAAAAAAATTAAAAAAAAGATGGACAAGTCAGAATGTTAGTTATTTAAAACCCATAGTATTTTTATTTTTTAAAAACATCTAAAGAAATATGCACGACTAAAATGATACTTAGCATGGGAATAGCATGAAAAAAAAAATACTTTACACAAACTGTCCAAATTCAGTAAACAAGAATGGTGAAAATAAAAAGCTTTCAACAACAAAGACTTGTCCAGTGCGTTTTTATGGTTTCTTTGTCCGACCGAAAAGAGAGGGACCCGTGAAAAAAAAAAAAAAGAGAGAGAGAGAGAAATGTGTGAGAGTGAGAAAAGTGCTCCTTCCATCGTTTGACAGATAAATATAGTTTGTTTGGGTAAAAGAGTCGTACCAAAAAAAGTGCGGGAAAAAAAAATGTTTATTTACAAAAAAAGCATAAAAATAAATGTATATAATATAATTGTGTGTGAGTGAGGGGTAAAGTGAATGTATGGCATATAACAAAGGTGTGTATTTTTTATAGTAGTAAGGGGGGGGGGGGTTTAGACGCTGACAAATAAATTGATGCTGTTGGCATTGCCTTTACTTTCAAAAGCCATTTGAACATCGTCGTCAGAATTAATAGTGATTAAATCACCATCTTCATCTTGGTATCTCAGTCGTAATACATCATTGGGTTGTAAATTAGCCACTAGTCTGATTTTGCGCTCCACTTTTTCCATCAGCTCATAGAACAGAATATCCATGGAGCACATGACGACATAGATACCATCACTGTAATTGAGTTTGAGTTTGAGTGTGCCACTGATAGGTGAGGTAGGCACATCCGAGAGTCGACTACTATGACTGGTCACGGGTCGATGACTATCGCGTGTAGGTGAGTCGGAGGGAGAAGGCGGTGTTTGATATAATGTACGTGAATTAAACGGTAATTGCGGTGCATCTTCCCATTTATGACCACCACCACTACTACTACTAGTATTGTTATGTATATTTGGACTGCTTTGAGATCGAAGGCGAATGTAAGATGGGTTCACTGTGGGTACCGTATGTTGTGGTAAAGGATAGCTATCACCGGGATAAGCTGATTGACTACGGTTCATTTTGGGTGGAGGTGAATATTCTTCTGTGGTGGTTGACATAAATTTGGAGGCAATATCAGCTAAAGGTGAGCCATCTCTCATGCGATTAGAAGTGGTTGAACTGGATTGAGAGGCTCTTGCTGATGAAGTAGGGGAAGAAGGATTGGAAGGAGGTGGTGAAACAGGATAGTTATAATAATCATGTGTATTTGTACTTGAACTGGTACGTGGAAGTGGTGGTGCTACGGCTGCTGTGGGATTGTGATTGTAGCGTGCGGTATCAGACATATTACGTGGAATCTTGGGTCTACCAGAGATCGAATGAATTAAATGCGCTGATAATGAATTGGCTCGTAATCTTTGTTGTTGATGTTCATCTTCATCTACGTCTTCGTCGTCATCGTCATCTTCATCATCTTCATCTGTACGAAGGAAAGCAGGTACAGATTGAGGTGAATATGTCTTCATAGAAGCTAGTTGTGTGTTGGAAACGGATGATTTCATGGGTGACATTCTTCCTTTCAAAGTAGATTCCCATAATTTAACATGTTCTTCATTACGGAATTTTAGCGTGAGATGATCTACTTCACGGTCTTTCCAATCAATGGCTAGCAACCAATTTCCTTCACCTGTAGATTTGTTACGGACAGCAATAATGCGACTGACAGCGATTAAACCTTTAGGTTGTAGACTGCCAGCTCTCCTTCTTCGGATGACCATAGGTTTATGTTTGGTAGGTTCTTTTGTTTCCTTACAGATAAGGATAGTTCTTTCAAAAAAGTAAATATACATTTCTTTACTAGGTTCATCGGGTTGTTGTACAATGAGTTTTTCATGTAATAATAAGCTACCATAGCTTTCAAGTGTTTGAGGTTTCATTTCATCCACTCTTTTCTTTAGTTCTTCGACGACCTGAATATTTTCATATTTTCGTTGTGTTTCATTTACTTTTTCTGTCACACGTTTTACAGATTCCAAACCTAGTTCCATTTCGGCGTAATGAGGCCAATCAGGTTTTGTGGATTTGATCAACTGGTTAAGCAGTAATGGGTATTTACAGATACGTTGCACAGGTTTAATCAACATACTGGGTAGTTCGAAATAGGGGTTCAAGATATTGGAGAGTTTGACTAATTTCGGGATTTCCTGAACGACAAGGTCTTGAGCGGTACAAAAGTTGGAACAGAAGGGTTCATAGACCGCGAATAAATCTTCATTTTGGCTGAAGAGGTAACCAAAGTTTTGGTCCTCAGGGCATTTTTCGCCCACTTCTTCTAATTGGATTAAGAATCGACGTTGAAAATCCACTAGTGAATTCAAGTTACCAAACACATAATGGATGGTATCTGGGTTCAAAACTTCTTGAATTTGTACTTCACGCATATAATTCTAGACATTCCCTTTTATTGTTAGTTCTCTTTTTTTTTTTTTTAAAATAGGTACAAGAAAAAATTTACCTGTAAAATTTCTAAATCTTGGACATATTTACGCTCAGTTTCAAGCATTTCATGAACAACTTTATCACGGGTATCTTTGGGTGCGTTTAAAGAGTTTCGGTTGTTTGTGAAAGAGGAAATGATGCCTTTTTCTTCCAAGAGTTGTAAGATGGCATCAATGGTATTGACGACCTAAAATTAGTAATGTTATTAGTCATTTTTTTAAAGTTTATAATTTTTTTTTTTTTTGGGTTGTGTGCAGGTACCTTGACAAATCCATTGGTACTGTCTTTGTAAACATCGGAAAGTGTAAATACTTGATCTTCGGTAAATAAGAGTTGATTTCGACAGGCTACAATAAAGTGATAGACTGTCTTTTTACATTCACTCGTTTGTTGTTGTGTGGTGGTATCTGCTGCTTTTAATGGTTCGACTGGATTTAAAGCGTTGAATAAAGTAGCTAGTGGTGTGCCACGTCGACAGAGTTCCCATAATTTAGTCAGAGGGTCATTCGAAGTATTGTGAATGACGGATTCAGATGGTGATGTAGTAGATGGGCTTTCCAGTTCCAAATAATGTGTCATGCCTTCTACCAAGGATAGTCTGTCTAGCACGGAACGACAGGTGTGATAAAGTGAGGTACCGCAAGACGGTTTATTGGTAATAGAGATAGAAGGCATAGGCATCTCCACCGAAGTCATAGTAGGCAATGTGCCTAAAGAAGGTGATCGACTCTTCATCATAGTGGTCATTTTTTTATTTTATGTGTTATGTTATAAAGAGAAAAAAAAGAAAAAAAGTCTAATTTAAATCTTTATATTTTTTTTTTTCGTGAACCACAGGTGACCGGGACACACGAAAAAGGCGGAGAAATAAATGTTTATTTGTGTGCAACCAAGCCTTTGTAAAAGGATGTACTGATTAAACCAATGAAATAATATGGGACAGTTGAAAGGAAAAAACGTCTTTTCGTGTAGAGTACATCATTTCGAATCAATATCATGTGTTTGTTGTTTAAGAAATAAGCATATTCATGACGTATCTTTTGATAGATTCTTTGGGAGAACCATGAAAGTAAACATGTCACTGAAAGGGAGCAGAGACCCAGCATATAATTGGGTATAGGTAGATTTCCCTTTTCAAATAAGGGTACTTGAATCACATCATGTCCCCGCTTTAATAACCGCACACTCTTCATCATCTGTCCAATCCAAAAACCCCATAGACTAGCTGAACTCAAGAGGAGCCATCGATGGTAAAACTGTCTATTTCGGATCTCTCGTTTCTGCACTGCCTGGAGTGCTTCGCAATCGTCTTGAATGTGTATCACTGGAATATCACCGCATATCACTCGCTGCAGTTCCTGTGGGTTGGATATACCCACACCCATCATCGGGATTGACGGGTATCTCTTCATGCGTTGCTCAACTGCTCTTTCATTCCATATCTTTTCTGTAAATCGGATAATCTCTAGCACTTCTTTGGCTTCTAACCTACTTAGTCGCGACGAAATTACAAATTGAGATGGGAGCTCCAACATGTTTAATGAAGGTGTAAAAAAGAGAGTTTTGAAAAGAATACATCGGATTTTTAATCACAAAAAAAAAAAATCAATAAATGACGCACGCTCTCTCCCAATTCTCTTTCTCTCTCGTTCTCTCAGGTGATTTTTAACTTCCTCCTTTCTCTCATTTTACCCACACAATAACACATAATGTCGCCAGATGAAAGAAAAGTTCATGCATTACCTATTCAGTCGTTATATCAAGATATATTGTGGTGTAAAGTAGGATACCGCGTCTTTTTTCATCTAGTTTATGTTTTTTGACAACCCTCCCCCCTCCCTCACAAAAAAAAAAACCTGTAAACATATAAAAATAACTTTTTGTAGCAAATAGAACCATTATCGCTGCTTCTGCTGCTGCTGTAGTGGGTGTTATATCTGGCTATCCCGTACGTTTTATAGCATAAGTCTCCACACCCTCCCTTTTTTTTATATCACTAACAAAATATGGTATGGTGGGTAGAACAGTTTGATTCTATTAAGACGAGATTACAGACACAACACTATGATTCGATCAATGCGTGTATCAAGCAAACCTATAAAGAAGAGGGTGTACGAGGCTTTTTTAGGGGTACAATTTTTTTTTTTACTTCATGCCATCCTATTCTTACTTCTAAACTCTCTTTTTAACAACAAAAAAGGTGTGGTACCACCGCTTATCACTGTAAGTATCATCAAGTCTATCTCGTTCTCCGTTTATGAAAAGACCAAGGCGTATTACAAGAGTGCCTATCCCAACTTGTTTGATCAGAACACCATGTTATCGACAATGGCTATTTCAACATTTGCAGGATCTGTCAGCGGAGCATTTATTGCTACCCTGAGTTGTCCATTTGAATTAATCAAGGTACAGAAACAATTGGAGTTTTTGTTGCAGACCAGTAGTATCTCCACAGGAGCCACCGTCTATATGCGAGATTTGAAACCGACCACCAATCGGACGGTCGGTGCAGGATTACCCGTTGCGCCCATCGCGACACCGCCAGTGGCTCGAGATAAGCCTGTATCGACCACCGTCATACCCAAGAAGCGGAATATGTATACTTCTACTTCGAGTTGGCATAGTGCTAAAGATATCTTTCGAAAGAAGGGGCTGACTGGGCTCTACAGTGGATTCAGTTTGCATTTAGGTAAAAAAAAAAAAAAACAAACCCAAAAATAAAAGAAAAGCGCGAGGGGGTAGGAGACTCATGTACATGTTTTTTTTTTAAAAAAAAAAGTAAGAGATACGGTGGGTACAGCAGTCTATTTCGGTGGATATGAGACAACAAAATACGTATTAAGTGGAGGAGACAAGGCATCCAAGGGATCGCCTTTGACCCAATTTTTGGCGGGAGGTATCTGTGGCATCATGTGTTGGCTTGTGGTATTTCCCCTGGATTTGGTCAAGACCTTGATCCAGAAAGAGATTTTACAGCCGAACCCGACGTACAAGAACGCACAGGCGTGTGTCAAGGATATTTACACCCGAAATGGCGTGGCAGGTTTTTATCGGGGTATTACCGTTACCTTGATTCGTGCTTTCCCTATTCATTCATTGAATTTCTTGGTCTATGAACAAACCTTGGTACTTGTACGTCATTTATCTCAGCCATAAAACAAGGTTTGAACCATGGCTTGTAAATAAAAATAAAAAAAAGCTTTTTTTTTCATATACCAAAAAAAATATGACGTTACTGGGAAGACAAGTGGTTACACACTGGGTGCCAAAATCATTATATTTCAAATAAGTTTTTTTTTTTTTTTTTTTTTTTTTTTAGGTGTTCTTATTTGCTGTAAATCAAAATGGAGATCTCACGACAACAGTTTGCTCAAAAGCTTTCTGCAATAGAGAAAGCCATTCAGGAAAGTGATGTTATTGCAATCGATACAGAGTTATCAGGTAAAAAAAGAACACATACACACATAAAAAAAAAGGGCCTCTTTCGATAATGTCGCGACTCATCCCTCCCCAAAAAAAGGTCTTCATCGTCCGTTTACACCTGTGCGATTATACTCAATGAAAGATCGTTATGTCGAATACAAGGAAGCCAGTGAACGTTTCCTTATTATTCAATTTGGCATGTGCACGTTCAAGTGGGATCAACCTTCAGGAAGATATATCGCCAAACCCTTCAATTTCTATATCTTTCCTACCAGTATTACGGGTCAAGTGCAAACGAATCGAGTGTTTCAGACGCAAGCGCAAGCATTTGATTTCTTGGTGAAGCAATCCTTTGATTTTAACAAATGGGTGTATCAAGGCATTCCTTACATGACCAGACAAGAGGAGAAAGTGTACGTGGCTCAAGCGCAAAATAAGTTGAACGATGTGATGCCAGATATTCCCATTGACGATAAAGAAGTCGACTTTATGAAGGCTGCTACCACCAAGATTGAAGCTTGGTTGGCAGAAAAGGATCCTCAAGATCCCGAAGGCGTGAATATCAATGCTAAAAATGCGTATCAGCGAAGATTGATTTATCAACAGGTACGAAAGTATCCTGGATTAACGGCTGTGGGCATGCCCGGTTTCATTCGAGCCCAAAAGTTTACAGAAAAGCAGCATGAGGAGCGTAACAAGGAAAAGCTTGAAAAGTTTGAAAAGGATTTGACTACCGCCATTGGATTTCGAAAGGTCATCGATATGATTTCAGAGTCTGGAAAGATTGTTGTCGGTCATAACATGCTATTAGATGTCTGTCACATGATTGGTCAGTTTGTGGAGCCTTTACCTGAGACCTTGGAAGAGTTCAAGACGCTTTCTCACCGTATCTTTCCCAAGTAGGCCTCCTAAAAATACAAGCATATATTTTTTTTTCTTTCTTTCTCTTCAGAATCTGACATTTTACTCTGTAGCATGATTGATACGAAAAATATGTGTTCGTCAGAACCAGAGTTAAGATCGGTGTTTGGTACATCCACGGCTTTAGAACAATTACGATTCGAGACGAATAAGGAAGCCTACAGCAACCCACGTATTGATATGCACCCTGCTTTCCCTCGTTATCTGACAGAAATGGCGCATGAGGCAGGTTACGATGCCTTTATGACAGGAGCGGTCTTTTTAAAGCTGACCTCGTACTTGGATAAATGTCGCAACCCCGAAAAGTTCCCGGAAAAGGTAGAAGAGGAAGAGAAGGAGGAAGAGGTGAAGGCTACTAAAGTAGATGCCGATGGATGGGATATCACGGACGATGAAGAAGAGGAAGCAGCCGAATCTGCATGGAACATTGATGAAGTAGAGGAAGTGTATAATTATGGCACGACACGAGTAGATTTGGTAAATGCCGATGGCAAGATGGATAACGTCTTGAAAAATATCAATAATAAGGCAGCAATTGTACGTACCGCCTATGATTATTTTGATTTCACTCAACCTGAAGTGATTACAGTCCAATCGAATGCGGTGCATGTGGCGTACCCTCGTGGTACCTCCATGGATAAAGCAATGGCCGCACGATTATTCTCAAAGTATGGCAAACATATTCTTGAACCAATCGATGATACATCTTGTTATATTATTTTTGAAAACCTGAGAGTACCTGTTGAAAATATCGATGAAATTATTATTACACCTCTTATGAAACCCACTGAATAAATAATAATTGGGATAAATATTTAAAAAAAAAAGTTTTTATTTAGTCACATTAAAATCAAATTCTTGATCTCCAATCATGATTTTAATAGGTCCATCATCAATGGTAAGGGTATCGTCAATACCAGTGTATTGGAATAATTCGGCATTCAGAGTGAATCGTACAGTCTCTGTTTGACCGGCAGGTATAAATACTTTTTTAAAGGCCTTCAAGAGTTTAGCTGGAGGTGTAATGACACGGAAAGGTTGATGAACAAACATCAAGACGGTCTCTTTACCATCGAACGGACTATTGTTGGTGATCTGTACGCTGATTTCGGTTTGTTGATCGGATCCTGCTGATAGACTGGGCAAGGTTTCTTGTTGCAAGTTGTTTTTACCAGCCAACGTGATATTACCATAATCGAATTTGGAGTAACTGAGACCGTGACCAAATTCATAAAGAGGGTCCCAGACATCACTGACAGGACGCCAATAGTTCAAGTTGACATCACCGGCGTATTTAGGATAGGTGTACGGTAATTTACCCGAAGGATTTGTTTGACCAAATAAGACTTCGGCAATGGCTTGACCACCCCAGGGGCCGGGAAGGTACGCTAATAAGATGGCATCCGAATTGTCATGGATGGTTTCTAAGACACGGGGTCTTCCCTCTAAAAGCACCGTGATTAATGGAATTTCAGTCTTGTTTGCAAGTTGGGCTACATGATCAATTTGTCCTTGAGGTAATTTGATATCATGAATATTTCCTGGTACTATGGGATAAAAATTTAAGTAAAACCGAGCTTGTCTCAATTTTTTTTTTTTTTTTTAAAAAAAAAACTTGCTTACATTCGGAATAGACGTGCTCACCCACACAGACAACAAGGGCATCAAAATCTTTGGCAGCTTCAATGACCTGAGCCATGTTTTCATCTAACCCATCGATATCAAATCCGGTCATGTACTCGACATGAACACCTTCAGGAGCAGTGGATTGCATGCCTTTTACAATATGGATACCCTTTTCATAGAACTGATCATCGTCGATTTTACCGTGCCAATGATCTTGTGTGGGGCCTTGCCAATCGATGGTCCAACCACCGCTTAAATGAGCAAGATTATTTGCGGTGGGACCCACCACAAGGACACGCTTGATAATGTTTGGGTTAAGGGGTAAAACATGTTCGTGATTTTTCAACAAGGTAAGAGATTCTCTAGCAGCATCCAAAGAGACCTTGATATCATTTTCGTTACCTACCAAGGCTTGAAGTTCCTTGTTTCCCTTCCAGCCATCGGTTTCTAATAAACCCACGTCCTTTTTCAGTTGAAGTAAACGGGCAACAGAAGCATCAATACGGTCAATGGAGACACGACCTTCTTTCACGAGTTCCATCATGGAGTCAAAAAAGATAACATCTTGAGGTACCATGGACATGTCAATACTTGTATCCGAGATGGCCATACGCACCGCTTCTTTATGTGTGGCAGCAACACGATGCTTAATGTGCAAATTTTCGATTTCTTGCCAATCAGTGACTAACATACCTTCAAAGCCCATCTTGTCTCGTAAAAGCTTTTGAAGATATTTGTTGGATGCAACAACAGGCTCACCATTGATATCGATGTAACTTTCCATGGCTGTGGCCACACCAGCGTCAATGGCAGCTTGGAAACCGGGGACAAAGTAGTCTTGAATGGTTCTATCCGAGACCACAGTTGAATCACGATCCTGACCACTAATTTAATTCGAGCTTTATTAGTTTATACGCGTGTACCTGTCAATATCTAGTTTTTTTCATTACCTCCAGGGAGCACCGTAAGCAATGAAATGCTTCATACAAGCGGCAACTTTGGTTCGGTCCGATTTATACTTGCCTTGGTAACCTCGAATGGAAGCAGCCCCCAAGATGGAAGAAAGATGAGGATCTTCACCAAAGTTTTCATAGACACGTGGCCATTGTTTACTAACAGGAATGTCAAGCACAGGAGCAAATGTCCATTGAACACCAGCAGCACGCGTATCTCTTGCAGTGATGGAGGCAGACTCGTAAGCAAGTTCTGGGTTAAAACTGGCTGCAATATTGATACCATGAGGAAAGATGGTGGCTAATAATGGCCTATTAGAGCGTCTGTAGAATGAAGGGGGGTGGGGGGAAACTTACTGTTGGCAACATAATGCGCACCGTGAATATGGTCTAAACCATAAATAATTGGAATTTTAAATGTGGAGTTGACGCCCAAGGTGATTTCTTGAATTTCTTCAATGATTTTAGCATAATCTTTTGAATCGTAATTATCTCCATCACTATGAAGAAGGGACATGAGTATAAATGAGAAAATAGTTTTATAGCAGTGTTTTACCTGGCCAACTGGTTGAGATAGGATCCGACGTAATAATTTTGAGCGTAATTTTCCACAGCGGTACGATTTAATTTACCATCCGTTCCCAAGACTAAATCTTGATTGATTTGAGTCATTTGGCCGATTTTCTCTGGTATGGACATTTGCTGGATCATGTCCAAAATATCCTGATCGATGGGACCGGGTCGATCATAGTCTTCATAATTGAGAGTACCATAGGCGTGTTGATCATTTAATATGGCGGTAGTTGTGTATGCAAATAGCGATACCAGGAGTATACTTTTTGTAATGGAAATCATGTTTCTGCTTAAAAGAAGAAGTGAAAGGAAAAAAAAAAATTGAGTATCAAACAGAGTGTTTATATAAGATGTTTACAAGAGGAACATATTTAATTTATGTATCAAAACAAAGTTGCATTCTCGTGACAGACAAAACAAATCCCCATTTAATATGTCCAGACAGTAAAAAAAAAAAAAAAAACACATTCATAAAAGCACACTAGTGTTATCTTGTTGGTCACTATTGTTAGACCCAAGGTGATAACATCCCCATCATAAGAATGTGTACATCTAAAACCTTATCTCAACCCAGTTACTAAGTTCTAGATGCAGTTCATGTTCGTATGAGGCCCAAAAAAAACAAAACTACTTTTTACATGATTTATTAAATGGTACATTTGTTTTACTTGATAAACAATAAAATTGGTGTTTTGGATCCTAATAAAATAAATAAAAAGCGTCAAATCGCAATTCTAGCTAAACACGTATTAGGTTTTACCTTTAGGACACCCTAAATCCTGCATTTCACGAAATCCAAGTTGATGAATTAAAAAGTCATGATAATGTTCAGGTAAGAAATGATAATCGACCTTTTCAACATGTAGTTTTTTGGCCATTTTTTTAAATTTGATTTCGATGGGTTCCAAGACCAAAGTACCTCCTTCGCGTAAAGCATCGTAGCATTTTTTAAAGAAGGATTTTAAGCCTTTATCACCATGGTGTAATTGGATCCATTTCGTGACACTCAGACTATATGTAGATGCGTTAGTAATCCGGATCATGATATATTCAAAGTGGAGTGGGGAGGGTTTCACATTACGCCATGAGTGTATCGTATTTCGGCTCGTTTTCATCGTACACATCTTTAGCCCAATCCACCGCCTCAAAGTCGACGGTCCAGGGAAATTCGGTCTTTGGGAAATTGGGTGGGACAGCCATGGGTATCATACCAAACATATTGGTCATGCTTTGTGGAAAGTAATGAGAGCGTAAGGAAAGGTCAAATGACTCTGGGACAGTCTCTCCTGGTTTTCTTAATGAATACGTAGCGCGTAGATTGTTGATTGCTTTCTTGATGAGTGTTTCGTCAATATCGACACCCTTGATGTATGCTAGCTTGTATTTTCTGGCCAAGGCAATGGCAATGTTGCCTGAGGTACAACCGATATCCAAAATGTATTTACCATTGAATAAGGTCGGATCCAACATATCGATGCGATGATCGATGAGCGCATCGCCTTGTAAATGTCGTGTTCTATATATTGCAAATCGTGTTAATTTTTCTATGCTTTTTTTTTGTATTGAATGAAGGGGGTGAGCGTTTTTATTTAATTTTAGAAACTGACGAGTAGTAACTGGGAAAGTTGCCATAATTGAATGTTCCAAATGAAGGTTTTTCCTTGTGTTGGTCACGAAGATAGACAGCGCCCTTTGTTTTACCGCCCAACAAAGGTTCTTCCTCTTGTTGTTGGCTTGAACCTACAGTAATGTTGAATGGTCTGTCATTGTGTCTTTTATAAGGTCTTGATGACTCTGGTAATGCTGTTCTTTTCATTTAAAGTGGGTGGGGTGGAGGAAAAGAAAGAAAGCGAAATAAAAATCAAATTTTTTAATTAATTATAAATGTAATTCGGATAAGACTCTGCTGCAAATATTTTTATAAATCCAAGGATCACCACTGATCCTTCGAAACTGTATACCACGTATACCTAATAACCAAGGGATTTTGATGATGTGAATATCGAATTGAACAAGAGAAGAGTTCCTGACCACTGCATCGGGTTGATCTGCGCCAACTACGAGACAACACTGAAACCTATCCTGTCTTTCCTGATATTTAATATCGTGATGTTGATGTAAAGTACGTATCAGCTCATTTCGAATGACAGAAGCTCTTTTGGTGGATGTAGTCGAGACCGAAAAGAGTCCCTTGAGGTAAATGGGTCGTATCCGATCATCGGCATGAGGAATTTCTTTTGCTGGCATCTTGTTGCAAGACACTGAATTACGTTTTGGTGGTCGATATTCTTCCATGGGTTTTGAAGAAGGTACATTGTAGGTATTACCACGTTTCAGCATCTTGTTAAGCTTTTGGCCTAAACTGGTGGTGCGCTGTTGTTGTTGTTGTTGTTGTTGTTGTTGTTGTTGATGTTGCTGTTGATGTAACTGTGGCGATAGTGATGATGATGAGGGGTCAGATACATTAGATGGTGTGAATTCATCATGATTGCCACTCCAGCGTCTACTCATTCTCCGAAACATGTTCTCCTTGGGTGAATTGATATTTTCCGGTGGTAGTGGTAATGACGACATTGATTGGTGACGTTCCATACGTTCCTTGACAAGGTAATAGATGGATATTAATGGATGATTTTCTGATATGTCCTTTGAAGAAACACGTTTTTGTAGATCATGAATAGTGGTGATTTGACGCTGACGAATAAGCGACTCGAGTTTCTCGATAATGGTATCTTCTGTACCGAACTCGAATCCTGTCATATTGCGTACGACGTTAAGATCGAGAGGGAGTTGAAGCGGTGAGCGTAGGGGTAGATGAGTTTCGATAGGTTCATCAAACCCTTTGGTCATCCAAGGGTGAGACATGAGCTGTGACATGGTAGCTCGTTTTTGAGGATCTGTGATTAACATCCGTTGTATAAGATCCTTCACACCTTTATTCAAGTTAGCAAAAGAGAAGTCAGGTAGAAATAGATGTTTCTTATCTGTTACCTGAAGTAAGATGAGAGGGGAACTCCAATAGACCTTGTTTTACTTTTTTGTGTAATCCATAAACGGTTGGATCATCGAATGGGACTTGACCACAAACGAGAACGTAGAGGACAACACCAAAACTCCATACATCGACCTCAGGGCCTGTATACACTCTTCCGTGTAATAACTCGGGAGCGGCAAAATATAAGGATCCGCAAAAGGTGGATAAATGGGACCTAGGTGAAAACAGATTGGATAACCCGAAATCAATGATTTTAATATTTCCAGCTCTTGATATTAAAATATTTTCGACCTTTAAATCTATCAGAGATGATTTGAGTATATTGTTTATTTGTGCTATGTTTTGTTTGACCTAACCTCTGTGAACAATGGAGTTGTGATGACAATAATCTGAAAAGAGAATTAGAGTTATAGTGTTTGTATTTATTTGGATGTGAAACCATACCTAATGCACTTGCGATTTGTCTCGAAAAATGTCTAGCCTGTTTCTCTTTAAGTTTTCCATGCGAGATGACATAATCGAGTAGTTGACCACCATCCACATGCTCCATAAAAATATAATAAAAGTCATCAACCAATATCATTTCTTCCACACGCACAATATAGGGATGATCTAATAGTAACATCATACTGGCTTCTCGTACAGTTCGTATCTCTCGTCTTATTTCGGTTTTAACCTTTTCATCCTTATTATCTGACTCGCTTTTCATGATTTTGCGTGACACGATTTTGACAGCCATCTGTTGTTGTCATACATGAATCATTTTTTCTTAGTTTCATGAGCTGATCATTTTATATTAATAGCGTACCTTTTTGTCGCTTTCGGTATCAATAGCTAATTTGACCTTACCAGTGGATCCTTTGCCAAGTGTTTTAGTAAGTGTGTATGAGCCCACCTTTTTTAAGGATGGCTTGGTGTGCTGTTTATGATCACACGGTGTTGATGGAAACACCTGTTCATTCAATGGTGGTTGTGGTATGACCATATTTTCTTTATTAAAAAAGAATAGAGAAGAAAGAAATAAAGAGAAGAGAATGAAAAAAAAAAAAAAAAAAAAAAGAATGAACAATTACTCGCTCATGCAATGTTATTTAAAGCGGAGAGCACGGAGTGTAAACATTAATGGGTTTTGGATTAAGAAAAAAAAAAAATATGGATATGCATTTAACAATGAAAGCGAGTACAATGATTGGATTTCCTTATTAAGATACATTTTTTAATTATTTTTTTTACTTTCTGCCAAAGATATTCCAGAAACCACTTCCAGAAGTCGTCTTTTCTGTACGTTCATTCAAGGATTGTTCAGGGTATTTCACAAAGTTAGCTGCCAAGTCAAAGTAGAAGGGTTTGCAAGCCACAGGTTGGAACTTGGGAGGGAAGTCCACCAAATGGTTGGGTTGAATGACGGAGGGATAAGCATCCAATTGATCAATTAAAGCATCGGCATCTAAATTTAATTGGTCTAACTTTTCTGTCACCTCATCTTGATCTTGACTACCATGTTCAAGGAACCAAGCAGCACGCGATTTCCAAGTACCCGATCGAATAACGTTTTCAACAGAGAGTAAATCCGATTCCGAAACACGTAAAAGGGCATCTGAAGAAAATGTCTTGATTTGTGCAAGTTCTTGTTTAGCTTGAACTACATACATTTGTGCACGTTGATAAATGGCAAGTGATTCAGGTGTCTTCTTCATATCGGCATAAGATAAAGCCACTTGGATACAACGTTGTGCCTTATAATAAAGTGATAATACATTCAATTCTCCATCCAAAGATAAATCATCACGAACATTAGGTAATTCCCAAATATATTCAATATTCTAACGCCATGATAAGATACGTCAGTATACTCTATTCCTTCTTTATAAGTCCTAGCCGATTCTTTTTTTTTTTTACCTTCATGATATCGTCGTATAATTTAACAGCTTGTTGAGGCTTATCGGTGTTGGCAATGGATGCTAAATTACGTTGAATTTGGTTGCCAAACAAGTTATATTCGACCATGGTAAAGATAATTTTCAAATCCTCGGTGGCCTTTGCGGATTTAGAAGAAGTGATTTTAGCGGTGGCTTCCTTATCCTCTTTCAAGGCCTTCTTGATTAATTTCTCGGCTTCAGACCAATCCTTCTCTTCGACTGCTTGTACAAGTGCTTCGACCTTGATGGTGAATTCCTTTTGACGCCATGTCATGAATTTAGTGACGGTTTCCTTTTTATTGGATTGGATGGTGGCCAATTGAGCATTTAATGCGTCGGAATGATAGGATGATACAATATCATCGATTTCCTTGTTGATGCCGAGTTTATAAGCACAGAAACGAATGTTGGGATCAATGGTATCGATGAATGAATAACATAAAGCTTCTTGTTCAGCATTGCTATTCAACTTTGCAAATTTTTCGTAGATGGTTCTAGAAAAAAGAAAAGCGTTAATATTTCATCAACCTTTTTTTTTTTTGTTCACCGGTCCTTCATTAATACCTTGACTCTGTGAGTTGATCCAAGGCTTCTTGCCAATGTTGTTGTTCAAATAAAAGATATCCTTTCATCAAGGCAGCATAAGCCTATGGGGGGGGGGGTGAAAGAATAAAAAAAAAGTTAGCGCTTGATTCGACGGTTGCAATCAAAGGAAAAGGGTTGTACCTTGACGTCCAGGACAGTTCTACTGTCCACAGTTTGATTCTCACATAAAGTGTACAATTGCTGAGCATACTGAGAAGCTCTTTTCAAACGTTTGACAAGATGATGACGCTGGCGGGTATCCATACTCTTGGAAGATTCTTGTTTTAACTCCATGGAGAAAGCCCAAGCGCGTTCACTCTCGTAAATTAAAAGGTGCAAGTAACGGACGTCGTTAATTTCTTGAGGAATACTCTTGCGAATGTTGGTTTGTTTATTGTTGGCTTGTGTCAACTTGAGAATTTGTCGAAGACGATGAATGCGGTTGGTGCAATATTCACTAGAAGTCATACTAGTTAGTTAGGGACGTGTGTCGTCTGTTTGAAGCATTGTTTACCGATAACGTTGATAATCTTGGTGTCTAAGACCATATGTTTGACGGGATGAGTTTATTAAACTTAAAACTAGAAACACAAGTTAGATGATGATGGCAGGTTTTTTTTTGTTCTTTTTTCTTTTTTTTTTTGTTCTTCTTCTTTACCATCCATTGACATGGGACCTGCAGTAGGTGTAATATCCATAGCTATTGAAAGAGTGTAAGCACACACACTATTACATTGTCACACATTTATATTTACGTTCACCCATTTTATTTTATTGATGAAGAAAGGAAAGCTCAACACTACTTTTGTTTTTCACCGTAATAGTTTTTGACCTGCGTTCAGTATTACGGGAGGGAAAAACCCAGTCACATGCGGACGATTTTGCAGCACACCTTGGGCCTTTAAACAAAGTATGAAATTTCAATCAAAACGCGTTCTTCAAGAGTAATATGGGGAGGACTTAAATTTTGAGACTCTAATATAACTAGTATTATAAAGGTTGATAGAGTTAAGATACAGGACATTCTATGGTTGAGCGTTTCAGACTCTATTCAAGCTGCAGGCGACGCTTAAAAATTGCTATCCTTTAGACCGGGAAAAAAAAATATATAATCAAAAACAATGTGACAATTACGAGTTAATGCATATTAAATGATTTATACTCGTTTTGACAATTCTATCATCACTCTTTCGTCTTTAAGCTCGTTTGATCCTAATCTTACGCAGAATCATTAAGGTAAAGGCCAAACGAGAAACTGAAAGTAAGCTATAACACACACATACTGGTTTACCATATGCTGGCTGTAATAAACTGTATCTACCTCAAAACAATAATTTATATTGACCTCTTGGTGTCTATTGAAGTCACTCGTACCAAAATTTTATCTCTTTTAGGCAGGAGAATATATCCCGATTTTCTTTACTTCAGTTAGGCCTTGTAAGTTTTTTGTTGTGAGGTAGTTCCTCATTTTATAATACTGTTTGCTTCTAATGTAAAGTATTTATTTAAAAATACTAAGAATTCTAAATGTTATGTAGATTGACTAACAATTGCAGTAGCTGAATTAAAACTAGCTGTAGCTTAATTGGAGGTTAATTTGCAATTAAATACTTGATTGAATTCTTGAAGAAATGAAAATAACACGAGAGGAAGCAATATGTATGCTTTATGGCAAAGAATATAGCGACAAAAATGCCGCCGAACTTTTGAAAACAATTGACGAAAAGGAATTAGATGTTTGCTATGAAACTAGTCCTTTAAAACCAGTACTTGCTCCACTTTCTAGAATTCTTGCTGAACCTCATCTCTATAAGAGATATAAGCCAAAAAATGATAAATAAAATTAATGATACTCAGGAAAGGTTTAAACGAGAAGTTTACTATAGTTATAGCGTTGAATTTAATATAATAAAAAACAATAGCTAATGCCTATCATAGTTTAATACTTAATATATGCTAGAATTGAGAAGTACTTGTTTATTTAGTTCATTAAAATAGAACTGATATTTTATCATATATATAGGGTGGGTATCAATGGGGGGGGGAGGGTAAATTTAGCAACTATAAAATATAAAACAACTATGCTTTTGATCTTTGACGAGGCGTTTTTCTACAATTGAAGGCTGATAAGGTACTGATATCATTGAGTACACAGCATCTTTCAAATTCTACTGCATCACAAGTATAAGGAAAACAGTCAACTATTAGTTTTTCCATTGCATCGTTATTTCTATAAAAAACAAACGTAATAAGCACTTATCAAGAGCTTTAATCTTTAAAAAGAATTACCTTATAAATTCTTGAATGTTTACCGGATCAGTGGAGAGACCAGCATAATCTATAATGACCATACAGACTTTTCGTTTTGACGAGGAAATAAAATCAATCATTTCTAAAATAAAGAGTGGATTTATCAATATTAAAACTTTTAAACTTAATGGAAACATACATATATTATATATACTTTGGGTATTACCATGTATATGTCGTATATTTTCAAGTGTTTTAATATCATCCTTCAGGTCTCTTGTGATGATGTCGCTGTTGGCATTTGATGAAAAAGAAACAAAACATTTGTTCACATTTGATCTTCAATATAAACTATCGACCATGCTCTGAATGTTTTTGGCCCGATACTGCGCGGCTTTTATTGACTTTCGCACATATCCAACGAGTAAAAAGTCTCTTTTTAAGTTTTCCATGTGTTTTTGAAAGTCAGGCAGTTTGGTGACATTATTCAAAATGACATTTGCTACAACAGAAAGAAAAAGTAAGTACGGAGACACTCATAAAAATTAATTGTTATAAGACTACCATGAAATTCTGATTTCAAAACGTGCAACTCTCTCATTCTAGGAGTGCTTCCTGCTCCGTTTCTCTTTCTTGAAAAGGGTGTCTGAACATAATTCACCTTTCCTTTACGGAAATGAGTAGACCTCAGTATTTTTTTCAAACGTATTTTTTTAATACTACTTACAGGAATTTTAGCCAATACCAGCAGGACAGTATGATTACGACTAATTACAGTCCGTGAGTTCCAAAAACTCGAGAACCCTGCCTAGGGGGTCGTCCTCCTATAGCAAAGACTAGCCGCAGTCGCAATATCGCAATACATCTTTTTTTCATTTTAGCGTTTTTGAAAGAAACAAGAATCATTACTAACTAACCTTTTTACATTATTGGTTACTTTCATAATATAGAAGAAATATGTTAAGAGAAAAGGAAAAGAATAAAGTGTGTGAACCAGCTTTATTTGTAGGCTGATAAACAAGCTTATGTCAGGATGATTTAATTGATTGTTTCATCATCCATAATGTTTGAGCCTTTACCTAAAATAGAAACACTTGCAAAAACCTCCCAAGCGAGTCAGAGATTGGTAATTGTCTATCTGCGTTCCAGTAGTAGCTTGTAATGATAGTGAAGCATATTTTATGGAAAACATAAATCGATCATCCTATGAAGTTTAGATGATATGGCATGTCAATCAACGTGTAGACCTTCACGTGATTCTAAAAAATACGCTTGAAAAAAATACGGAGGTCTAGACTTTTCCGTAAAAGGGTCATAAGGAATTCGGTTAATTGGAGCCAAAATGGGACTTTTTTCAGATGTTTCCAAACAAACTTCAAGGTCGCCATATTCTGCTTGCTTTAATTACATTTTCAGGATTAAATTCAAGTCAAAACCAACAACTTCAAGACTTCGGAGGGAGGATTCATATAGAACGGCAGATCTTCTTCGACTTCTTCACCATTCACCTTTTTCTGAACCTTGACGTAGTGCTTCATCTGTCTGAGCAAAAGAATCTGGTTTCTTGTTCTTCTTGAATCATCAAAACTGAATATGAGATCAGCTGCAGGTACTTTGGCTTTGGGATAGGCAACCTTGGCTTCAGTGACGCCCTTGACAAGCTTCACAATATCTTTCATCAAACTTTGAGATATGACACCCCCAGACCGATAATAGAATTGATACATCAATTGATGTATCTTATCCCTGAAAAGAAAAACCTCACTGTTGACAACTATGGGCGCTTGTTCTTCAATTTCGTCGACTACAGCTTCCGGTTCATTAACAATGGATTCACTGAATTCAATGTCTTCATCAAAAGGTTCATCTTCGTCCTCGTCGTCCTCCTCGTCACTGTAATCTTGGCATTCAGATTCGTCCTCTTGATGAAACACCATACGATTCAGACTGATGCGAGTAGATCTAATCGATTCAGGTAATGAAGTAACTTCTGGTCCATTTACTTGCATGAATGCCGTGTTGCTTGCGGTAATGGGTGCCTTGAAAGTGAAGGCTTCAGTAATTTTATGTGATTGTTTATGACGTTTGACATCGCTTGGATGCTCGAAGCGCTTACCACATTCATTGAAATCGCAACGATAGGGGTTTTCGGTTTAGTTGGTTTTTTCAGGTTGATTATTCATAATCCAGGAAGTAAAAGAGATAGAGATATAGTTTTTTTTTTCTTTTTTTTTGACTTTGAGGTTTATATGCAAAAGTTTAGAGTGCATCTGCTTTTAGGTGGCACCTAAAAAAAATTTAAGCAGAGACAAATATTTAGATGGGTAAAACACATTTTCTTTATAATTAATATCCCATCTGAAAGGTTAGGATTGTTTTTTATGTTGATTATAATGAGAATCTACATATATTAAATTAAAAAACATAACAGATTCTGGATTCAACATTTTTTTTTTAGGTGGGGGCGGGGAAAAAATGTCACAACCTGTACAAAAAGGTTTTAGAGCCAATAATAACCTGCCGCTAATATCATTAGCCGTGGTCGGATTTTGAAATAACCCACTGTTTGTGCTCACGATTTAAAAAACCGCGCACAGACTATATAATCGTTAGTAATGGCTTGAAATAACTTCATCCTTTTTTGTGTACTTGGTAGAACTACTTGAATTTTAAAATATACATTAAAACAAATATTCTTAAGATGCGTGACCCTTTGTAAAAATAATTTATCTATTGAAAGGCTGGAAATATTGATTTGAAGTTGTTTAGAGACAGCCTATGAAGACGCAGCCGGAGGCTTAATATCACAAACCCTGAAAAAGGATAAAAAAGTTTAAACCTTTTTTATGTACTAAGTAGAACCACTTGTAATTTTGAATATATATTATAAAGTATATTCTTAAGATGCGTGACCCTTTTTAAAATTAATATATCTATTGAAAGGCTTGAAATATTGATTTGAAGTTGCTCAAAGCCGGCCTATGAAATTGCAGCCGGAGGCTCAATATTACTTACACTGAAAAGAAGATAAAAAAGTTTAAACCTTTTTTATGTACTAAGTAGAATCACTTGTAATTTAGAATATATTTTATAAAGTATATTCTTAAGACGCGTGACCCTTTTTAAAATTGATTTATGTATTGAAAGGCTTGAAATATTGATCTGAAGCTGTTTAGAGCCGGCCTATGAAATCGCAGCCGGAGGCCCAATATTACTTCCACTGAAAAATTTTCTTAAAAAAAAAATAAAAAATCCCCCCACATAAAAAAAATCTGGCTATGAATAAATTTCCTTTTATATTACTTGTACTAGTCGGAGATGAATGCTCAAAAATGTCACAAAACACGTTAGGAACTACTGAAAAGCAGATGCACTCTATGTACTAAGTAGAACCACTTGTGATTTTGAATATATATTATAAAGTATATTCTTAAGATGCGTGACCCTTTTTAAAATTAATCTATCAATTGAAAGGCTTGAAATATTGATCTGAAGTTGCTCAAAGCCGGCCTATGAAATCGCAGACGGAGGCCCAATATTACTTCCACTGAAAAATTTTCTTCAAAAAAAAAAAAAAAAAAATCCCCCCCCCACCTCACCCACCTACATTAAAAAAAAAATTTATCATTTCCATCTCCGTCTTGGGCTAACTTTAGGTACCTTAATTTTGTTTACTGCCTAAATGTACGTAAAACACGAAATAAAACACAAATTAACAATCGAAAAATTAAGTAGTCACAAAGATATTTCTTTTACTTGCCCGGGCACACTTTGAGGCTTAAGCTTTATCTTTTATTTCTCATGTCTACCATCGCTATTGCTCGCAATCCCGCTTACGATCTTCTTCTTTTAGAGAAAGATAGACGTAGAGAAGAAGAACTTAACCGTCTTACTAGATTCAGAAGATTTGATCAGACAATTACTTTGGACGATATCAAGGCTGCTTTAGGTAAACGCCACGACGAAGGCCTCCCCGTACCTGATCGTCCCCGTGCCATCAACAGGTTCAACGTCTTCTGCCAACAAGAAAAGGAGAAGTCTATTGAAAAAGAAACTCTTGTCCAACTTGCTTCTTTTGACGAAGATACTGGTATTGGTGAAATTGCGGGTGAGCAAACCGTTGCCAGTGGTTTGACAACTCAAATTTTGGCAGCAAAGTACCGAAATTTGACGGAAATCGAAGCTGAGACGCTTGACGCCAAGGTTGTGTCGTTGAGCAACATCAGGAGAATGGAATCTCGTGTGAATTCAGGGTTGACAGTACGTGAAAGTTTGGCAATCTTTAGGATATACATCGATACCTTAAACTCGTTGTATGGATATGAAGTTGCCTGTGTTTTTGGTCGAGCAAAATCATGGAGAATCCTTTCTGTTGGAGGTTAGGTTTATAATAACTTTTTTTTTTTTTGGAAAACATTAAGCTTTTATTATCTAGAGAACGTGGGGTCCATGGACTTGGAACGATGGAAAAAAGAAGCTTATCTGCATGTGAACCCTAAACCCTTTGAAAAAGGTACGCATACTACAAATATATAGGTGGCAATAACTCTAAGTGATAAGCTTTTATTTTTTAGTTCCTGTTCATCCTTCGGTGATGATCTTTAATCAAAGGGTTTCTCAGGCCAAGGAAGCCATCAGGAACTCAATCAGTAAGATCAAAATTATCAAGGTTTGAAATGCCTTGTCTAATCCTATCATATAGACGAACAATGCCAAACTACGCGGGACACAGTACCCTGGAAGCATATGGTGAAGATTGAGGACCTGAGGGGTAAGGTTCTTACCGGAAATAACGTTATCGTTGAAAACTGGCCGTTGGACAACTGTGACCATAAGAGTTTCATGAAGCGAGCTAATTTTGTGAAGGTTGAGGCAAACTTGTCTCAACTTAAGTTTAAATTGCCTCGTCATTACGACAAGGAACTTGATATGGACATTGACAGTTCCTAAATAAAATGTCTAAAGTTTATAAAACTTATTTTGGAAAGCATTAGCCGTGATGGTCATTTATCCGATCATAATATCAGCACTTTTTTTTAAAAACATGATATGCAAAATAAGGTGCACCACTGTGTTCTTTACGTGGCACTGACATCTAAATACAGTATAATATGTCGGTATTGATTTCGTTTCCATCATTTATATTCAATATATATACTATGTCGACCCGGAGCTGCTAGTCATACTAGCAATATCTATGCAAAACCAACTAGTGTTCAAGTTATAAGCATTATATAAAACCCAAGTGAGAATCGAAAAGTCTTAAAAATTAAGTGGTGGTTGACTAAGAATCGAAAAGTCTTAAAAATTAAGTTGTGGTTGACTAAGAATCGAAAAATCTTATAAATTAAGTGAGTGCCTTTGGCTTGAACATAATTACAGATTCATTTCTTTTTTTTTTAAAAAAATGTTTGTATGATTTACAAGGTATATTTAATAACTGTACAAGGTTTATAGAATATCTGTACAAGGTTTATAGAGTAGCTGTACTAGGTTTATAGAGTAGCTGTACAAGGTTTATAGAGTAGCTGTACAAGGTTTATAGAGTAGCTGTACAAGGTTTATAGAGTAGCTGTACAAGGTTTATAGAGTAGCTGTACTAGGTTTATAGAGTAGCTGTACAAGGTTTATAGAGTAGCTGTACAAGGTTTATAGAGTAGCTGTACAAGGTTTATAGAGTAGCTGTACAAGGTTTATAGAGTAGCTGTACTAGGTTTATAGAGTAGCTGTACAAGGTTTATAGAGTAGCTGTACAAGGTTTATAGAGTAGCTGTACAAGGTTTATAGAGTAGCTGTACAAGGTTTATAGAGTAGCTGTACAAGGTTTACAGAGTAGCTGTACAAGGTTTATAGAGTGGCTGTACTTATTTCATTTTACCACTTGTAAAACAAAACAAAATTGAGCAGCATTGACAAGGTTTACGTAATAACTGACAAAAGTAGGTAGCGAAACAAAAAAAAATGCACTATAAGTAACAAACGTTGAGATAAACCAGCCCATTAACACTATTTTTATCTGACCTTGGCTTTACTTCATTTATAAAAAATGCCTAGCATTGCCATCAGTAACTCCATGATCAGTACAGAATATTCTTCATCATAACGACCAAGCAGTATCTTAAATGTGCTTTTTCAAATACAGAGCGCCTCTTCATATAACGCGCCCTTATGATGGTAAACATCTAATTCATTGGACTGTCGTGCTTATAGATATTGAAAGAAAAGCCATGAACACCCTAATGGCCTCAAATACAGTAAGAATGTCGTAAAGCCTATCAAAGCAATACCAACTCAGTAATCGACAACCATTTACATTTTGTTTAAGAAACTAGGCGGGTTGTGAGATTCGTCAAGTAGTAGAGTGTCATAAGGATTATTATAAAATGTCTGAGAAGGGTATTTAGCAAAAGGTGAAGGTACATACAAAAAAAAACAAAAGGTGAAGGTAAACAGCTTGGGGGAAAGAATTGCGTCACTTTTTAGAGAAAGTAGATGATTGTCATGACGTACATTAATTTGATTGGTGAATAAAGGTGTCATCGACAGAAAAAAATTTTTTTTTCTACTTCAGCTTTTTATTACAGGGTCTGGGCAGTTTCTGAGAGAGACCCCACTTTTTTTTATTTACAAAATCTCTCTGCTAACGGCTTCCTTGCGAAATAACTCACGTTTACTCCACTTTGTATTTGTCAATGCTGTGAGTGAGGTATATTAAACTGAACTAGTGTTCGGAATAAAGATCGAAACTCTCGAGCGAGCTTCGATCGTGTTCCAGTCGAAGCTCGCTCGGATGCGTTTTTTTGCAGCTCGAGCTCGCTAGAAGTTTCTTAAGCTCGGCTCGGTTGCGAATACGATAGCTCGAACTCGCTCGCCCTTTTTATTACACAAAGTGCACGTCAAAGTGATGTTAATTACAGAAAATTATGGTAATAAAATTGTTATTTATTGAAATAGAAGTTGGAAAAAGAAAAAGAAAAGTTTTTTTTTTCACCAGCCTTAACACCAAATTCGGATAATTAAATCAAACTATTACTGCATCTATAATTATAATACATTTGGATTTGTGAACATGAAAGTTTAAATTAATTCTGCTACGTCATGTTACTATGGTTGCTGTAAAAAATTGGCTTAGTTGGGTATAGTGTGCAACACTGTTTCATTTTCTATGGTAAATGTGTTTGTTGGTTGTACAATTAAATAAAAGTCCAAAGCATTTTAATTGGAATTATTAGAGCATAAATAAAAAAAAATGGTAAAGGGAAGAAAAGATTAAAATCAAGGGGAAATGCCATCTGTAGTCTTTCAAGGACCTTAACTTTAAAGTGACTACTATCGACATTTTAGCCGAGCGAGCTTCGAGCGAGCATCGATCGAAGCTCGCTCGAACCCAAAAAAAGTGGCGCAAGCTCGAGTACAAAAACTCGGTTCGAGCTTCGTTCGAACTGGCGCAAGATCGGTGCAAGCTCAAAAAGTTCGAACACTAAACTGAACATATGGCATGCCTACATTATTTTGTTCAAAACTAAACTTTCTAGAACCTTTATACAAGACATGATTGCCCATCCAAGATTTTGAAATTAACGTAATTACATGGAAGATTTATGGCAAAATTTTTCGTAACAATTTGCGCTGAATATGTCAAGGTTTGTAGTGTCTGATAGTGTATGCACAGTTGCTGAGAGCACCTCGTCAGGCTGTTTTATCTATATTCCTCGATCCAGCCTTAAATTAATTTTTTTCGAGCTTAATAAAACTGTACTGTCTGTAAGACCTTTAAATTATGCTTCGTTCACTCAATTAGTTATGTAGCTCTCAGGGCCGCACAATCCCTTTCATGTTTGAATTACCAATTGTGGTGACCTAGCAAGGCTATAGCCATATTAGAGCTAACAAAGGTTTATCCATGCTGATACCATTTGTGATATAAGCTTAACAATAAATGTCATAGTAAGAACTATAAGGATATTACATCACAAGTCTAATTTAGTACGTCTGAGAAATACTTAAAATTTAGTTTAAAGCAAAGAGAGTTAAGAAGACTTAACATTTATTAGAACAAGACTAAATTAGTGACTATGTAATAATCATATACATTTTTGGTTAATCAATGATAACTTCAAGATAGCACTAGAGATATGAACACAGCAGACAGTCTTTTATATAAATACTCGTACATTTCATTTATTAATAAAGGACAATCTTATAAAACAGTCTCAAACTACTTCTATAGTCTTTTTATAATTTAAAACCTTACCTTAAAACACAACACCAATGTCTCAACCACTGTCGGACAGATAAAATTCGCGACAAGAGGGATGTCATTATAATCAACATACTGTTTATGTTTGGCCGAATCAGGACAGTTTCCCGTTATATGACCATACGTAAGCACACACACACACAGATGTAGTGGATACAAGCATCGTGTTTCATAGATTAAAGATACCAGTTGTTTCCTCGGTACGTCACTGCACAGTTCATATAAATAGCGGTTGAACTGTTCTTTAAGTTTATTTCATATGACAACATGACCTTATATACTATAAATATCGGAAGTATGGTATGAAAATTCCTTTGCTATTTTCTTATGCTGTGTCATTTTAAAAATGTTTAACATCCTAGGATGCTACTGATATACTTATATATTCGAATTGTATCCTCAAATAATAACCCATTGATGACTCGCGAGTTATCTTATAAATTCAAAGTTACCGCAAAATTACATAGATTTCATGTGCATAGTTTAAATCTTGTTAGTTAATTACACTTTATACTGTCGCTTATAAACATTAAAAAGTGTTGCAACCGAATAATATGGGATCCATTATGTTGAATATTTATATTCAAAGCCATATAAACAGAAGTTAACGTAAAAATAATATTTCAAGAAAATAAAATGTTAAGTATAAAAAATTGGTTTATCAAGTCCAAATGATGATCTACTAATAATTAAAACGGTATCAATAACATAAGTAGATGCAGAACGAGTTTTTCTATTTAATAAATCCAATTGATAACATAAATATTAGCTTTGTATGTTGAGTTAATAGGAAACATGCGATTCTAAGAACTTTATGCATCGTATACACCTTAATTACGATAAAGACAACATGCTGGCAATTTTTTTCAAGTTAAAGATTTTAATTGTGCAATTATATTATGCTAATTGTTATGGAATATGTATGGTCTTTTAAATTTATGTCCTAGTACATACAAAAGAAAAAGTATCATGTTCTTGAAGAGATTTTAATGCAATTCGTATTAAACTTTTAATTAATTTATCTCTTACCAAAAGTTTTATATTTAGGATATAGCTTTCATTTAATATATTGTCAGTTTTAAAGTGTTGCTATTGTTTTGAATGGCATTGATTTATTAATATCATTGCAAATCAAATATTCGTAAATAGCGATCTGAAACTATTCCATAAAGTGATGCAATTTATTTTAATAAGAAAGTCTACTGACTGTATAGATATTACAACAAGTATTTTTCTTTACAGTTACTTAAAACTAGATGTAGCTTACAACTAAAGGTATGATATAGCCACATAGCTATTGGATTTATTAAATAATTGAGACATTTGTCAAATCCATTGAACACTTGTTGTAAAACATGAAACTACCTCAAAAGAGTGTTCTGACATATCACTGTTGTGGACTTTAATTTTGTAATTTAATACGACAGACTTTTTTTAAATGGATGAATCTAGATAAAACCAGCGGTGTGCTATAATTGCTTGTAGCTTAATTTATAATACATATTATATTTTAAAATTGTTTAACATTATAAAACCACATTCATTCCAAAGAACATTTTTCATCCTTAATTTTTCAAAACTAATTTATTTAACTTCTACAACATCACCGTCAGCACCACCGTCAGAACCACCGTCATCATTCCCATCTTCTTCTGCGCCTTCATCAACCAAGTCGACATCGTCATCGAGTTCTTCTTGCTCCTCAGCAATCCTGGTCTCGTTGTTGCTTCGATAATGAACCAGGTGGTGATCTGTGAAGATTTTCCACCTGGCGTTGACTTCTATAGCACGTTGAAGGATTATCCAAGCACCAGTTCCTTCAACGTGCTTTTTGATCGCCGAGTCTAAATGCTCTTTCTCCTTGGCAATACCATGGTCAAGCCAAAAGATGTCTCGCTACATTGATTTTAAGGTTATTATTATCATTATTATCATCAGATAAATAATCTATACTTAATATACCTGTAATCGGATTCGTTCTTCCTTCAAGCTTTTCCATCTTAGCCAAAGCGAGACATCTTTTGACCAATTCATATCCCAAAAGCCGTTCTCCCTTTCCAATACGAAGTCCAAGGTGACCAACTGTATATTATCTATTAAAAACGTCGGAGCTTCGTTATACTTCTAGGTAAGAAAGAAAATACATGTTAAACCATACCTCCGTACGGGCTGTTAATCAGCTCCTGGTTAGCCGCGTTATCCACGGAGATAACGTCAGTCACCTGGGACTTCTGCTTCCTCATAGCTTCTTGAAGCTTTGCAGCCTCCCGAGTCCCTAAGCAAATAATAAAGTTAAGTGATTGGTAATAAATTAAATACTAAACTACGTACCGATATGGCCGCTATGAAGCTTATCCCCAAGGTCAAAGTAGACTTGAACGTTACTTCTCAAAATATCTCGATATAATCCCTCTTTGACCTTGAGAAATGCCAACCATTGGGACTCGACAAACTGGTAATATTCGGGTTCCAAGAATGTTGGTCTTTCAGAGACGTTACGACCGGCAGCCCTCTCCACATCACAAAGATACTTTTCAATCTTAGGTAACTCGCTGCGAAAGTAGGACCTACCGGTGGAGCTGATGACAGAATCGTTTTCGTTGCCACCAAGGATGTTCCTAAGAATCAAGATAAAATAGTGAATATGTTAAAAATTAAAAAAGATTAAATAATAGTAAGACTTACTTAAAGCTAAGATAGACGCTTAACAATAAAGGAAAAGTATGCTCGTCTACATAGCTTTTCGGGAGTACGTTTGATAAATCGTACCCGGAACATCCTCGCTCCCCAAGATTAGCCACTTGCTTGGCGTAACGCTCCTCAACATCCCGGAGATGTCCAACAGACCACTTCCCAACCTTCTTGTCAACACTAGACTTTTCAACAAATAGTCGTCCAATCTTTTCCTTCAAGATTTTCGTTAAGAAAAAAGTATTCCATTGGATTAAGTACTGGTATAATATTGTCTTTGAAAAAATTGACGTACCCAGGTTGTGCTTGATAGCTGTGTTCCTGTACTTAACAGCCATGTACAAGACATATCGCCGGTTCTCGGCCATCATGGGTTTGGTTATGGTAATGTATTTGGCCAGATAAGACCAAATTCTTTCCATGCCTTCACCGTCAGTCAACCCAAAGTTTGCTATGTACCTCGGGTTGTAATTGACCTGACAGTGCATTACATGGGCGTAGGCATGGAAGACAGACAGACCCAAGCGGTCAGAACCGGCGATTCCGGGGAAGTTCAGCTAAAACTTATAGATTAGTGATATGATAATTGTCAATATTCGATATAACATACCTTGATACAACTCCGCACATAAAATATTCGACACTTCCGTTTTGAGCCAAAAAAATAAATAAACCTACTCTTTCTTCGTTCAACGATTCTTTCATATTTTATTACACAATTTATCATGCCACTTACTGACATTACTAACAAAGTCTCTAGAAAAAGCAAGGAACTTTCAGATTTCGATCGTGGAGTCATTTGCGGTTTGGCAGAGCATGCCAAATGGACAGGTGCCCAAATCAGCAAAGAATTGGGCGTTCCTAGAACAACCGTTGTTACGATTATAAAAAAGTATCGAACTGAAGGGATCACAACTGTCCAACCTCGTCCAGGAAGACCAGCAAAGCTGACAGCAAGAGCTGAGCATCACCTGACGCTTTTAGTTCGAAGGGACTCTTTTGAACCTTTAAGTGTTCATATGCAAAATCTTGCGAAGGCTACCGATCCAATCAGCCTGACGACATTGAGGAATGCACTTCGCAAAAACGGTTTTTATTCTTGCAGACCTTCCAAAAAACCGTTTTTGAGTCTTAGACATAAAAAAACGCGAAGAGAATGGGTCGACGACAAGATGAATTGGACATTAGATGACTGGAAGAAGGTAATCTGGTCCGATGAGTCGCGATTCGCACTCAGGCACAACGACGGTGGTGTGAGAGTTATTAGAAAGAAGGGTGAAAGGTATATGGATAGATTTGTTTTACCAACATTTAAATTTGGTAAGGGATCAGTGATGGTATGGGGATGTTTTTGGGCAGGCGGTTTGGGCCCTTTGGTGACACTAAAAGGGTCTGTCGATCAAGAAAAATATGTCAATTGTTTAAGTCAAAACTTTCTCCCTTGGCTTGAACAATTGACAGAGAAATATGGTCATGACTTTATTTTCCAAGAAGACGGTGCCCCATGCCATACAGGAGGATATACGAGGTGGTGGAAAGAGAAGGCTGGGATTACAGGCTTTGAGCGATGGCCCGCTCAAAGTCCCGATTTGAATCCGATTGAGAACCTTTGGCGCCTCCTGGGACAAAGGATTGCTAAAAGAAGAGCCCAGCTTCAAAATCTTAATGAATTGGAGGTTGCACTTCATCAGGAATGGAAGTTGTTGGGGGATGAAGTGTGTCATAAGCTTGTAGAAAGTATGCCCGATAGATGCCGGGCAGTAAAAAAAGCTCGTGGCTCAAATACCACTTATTAACGTAAAAAAAAAAGTTTCTTTTTACAAAATATATATATATATTGCTATTTTGTCAAGTTTGGTAGAATTTGAGATACCTTTTATTAACAAGTTTTTGGTTTTAAAAAAATGCATGACTAAAGGAACTCAAATTTTTGTGAAAAGTGTCGAATATTTTCGGTGCGGAGTTGTAGATGGCTCCAGTTTGCATACAATGTCATACATGACATGTAAAGGAACCTTTCTACCAAGCTGGTTCTACACAGAGGCTATAGCAGCCAATAAATACTTAAACCTAAAATAGATTAATAAATATCGTTTTGTTAAAAAAAACAGAGAAAAGCGAATGTTACCCTTCCCCGGCGTCCATGTCTGCAAGTTGGAACACAGTATCGTGTCTTGCACAGCCACTGCCAAAGATACCTCGAACAGGATAGATAGCCGAGGTGCGGTTCTGGTGCACCAGGGCTTGAAATGTACGTGGCTCTCCCACCGTGGCCTTGACGGGCAGGCCCTTGTCGGCGGGGGTCTCCTTGGCAGTGATATTCTTCGTGGTGGTGGCGGTGGTGTTCTTGGTAATGCTCTTGGTGGCCTTTCCGGACTATATGAAAAAAAATTAAATAAAAATTGATGCATCGAACGATGATATCCCATGGTTATTAGTTACCTGCTCAGACTTGTCAAACCGTTTGATCAGGGATTGATCCATCCACATGGTCTTATACCCACTAAGACTAGAAATCTTGGATAATTCGTTATCCTGAGCCAACGATTTGGTACCCTTTAAGCGGAAGTTTTCATCCATCATCATGAACTGCTTGTCGTTGGCATTTACTGAATTAGCCTGATGAGTAAGTCAAAAATTCGAAGTTAATAATGGTTTTTTTTTTTGCAAACCTCAGGACAAGCAGGACATGATGTGGAAACTTCCCCTATAACCTGCTGTTCAGACAACTAAATCATCTTGTTGTACATAAGGATGCTATTGGAGCATCCTTCAGCCGAGAGACTACTCTATATGAGGGTTTAGAAAATGTAGCACACAACTGTTTATAATCTTACCTTCTCGGTTCCTACAGCCCAGTCCTTATAGAACTCTGCAATCTTCCCAGCAGAGCCAGCAAAGATGTTTCTGAGCTTGATGAAAAGATCACAGAGACTAAAATGTACTGCTCCTGATGGTTTGATGGGCGACAAAGGAAACATTCCTACCTCTACCAAAGCAATAGGCAATGTCTTGCACAAGGAGCAGTACGCAAATACCTCGTTTTCTTGAATTCCTTTAACCAACTTTGCATAAGTATGACGAATATTGAATGAAGACTTCACTTACCCGAAACAAAAAAGAAATTGATCTTCACCAATTTGACAAAGTCATGAGAGCACTCACAAGAATTACTTAAGCCGGGACCAACAGCCATCTTGTTGGGCATGCCGCCATTACTACTCAAAAAAGCCAGGTACTTTTTTGGCAAGTACTTCATCAAGTCCTTCCAAGCAGCAAAAAGCTTT